GGGGGGGGGTCTGGTGCTAGACATTATTTTCAGCGTTCTAGCGATTTGGTGTAGGGAACTGGAACCAGGAAGGATACACGGTACCGATTGGCAGACGAGCCCACGGAAGAGGCATATCTGCAAAAGCTCTTGGATATTAGTCGTGGAAGCAACGATGTACTATATAAGAGTGGACTTGTTCATGAGAAACGATTGAGTTACACAACTATCAGGCCTGTGTCGTGGACTAAAGGAATATTCCGGTTCGATACTACCAAAAGGGCATGATGTACGGCGGTCTAGAAGGACCTTCTGGGTGCATCGACATGCCGAGGCTTACCATCATGATGGGCCGGAGTACTACATGCCTACAGCTCGGGCAGCATCTCTTCCTTGTACAACATCCTGAGTTGCCGGGCCTGTCCGTCCTCCTCGCTATCGTTGTTCTTGAGACGCCAACATGCCTTTGGCATACGTACATCTCGTGCATCTTTCCTCTTCGATCAGCCTTCCGGCTGCCATTCGTGCTCTCTCGTCTGCCAACCCGCCACCTCTCATCCTGTCCAGAGTCATTCGGTGGATGATAGTGCCTTCTACCATCGACACGTCGCTGTTGCGGACGCCATGGGACCTGCTGCTAATAACATCCTCCCCAAAGCTACCATCCGCCATCCATCCTCATCTTCTCTCTCATTACAGCCTTCAGGTCGGGATTCCATCGCGCCTCACCAACTCGTTGCCATCGCACAACCAAGCTCTCCTTCATCCAGAGCCGAAGGCGGTCCCTGCACTCACCGGATCCCTCGATAAGCCGCGGCTGGGCAGCACCAGTCAGACGCTGGAACTGTCGTCGGACCTCTTCGAGTGGATCGAGGCCTTCAAGCAAACCCATGTAGGGAGCGGCGCCATGTCCATGCTGAATCTACTTGCCTTCAAACCCGGCGCGGAGCACCATGAGTCCTACAAGCGGTATGGTCAAGCTTTTGCAAGCTCGATCGGCAAACGTCGCGGAGGCGATGCGAAGCTGGTAGGAAACGTCGTGCATGCCAAATCAAGTTCCACCAGTGGTTCAGCATCATCCATAACAGAGGCTAAGGAATGGAGCGGAACCAAGACCGTGGGTAATGGCGGCAACAACGAAACAGCTGAGCGCTGGGATGAGTTTGCTCTGGCTCATTACCCTAGCATCGAGCATTTCGCTGACATGCTGGCAAGCGAGGACTATCAAGCTGTCAACCTCAAAGACCGGGTGCCCAGCCTGAGGGATACTTGCATACTGTGCACAAGTGAGATAGCGGTGGAGGAAATATTGCAGCAAGATGCAGGGAAGAGTAAACTCTAAGGGCACCTTGGCCGTGACACTTAGGATGTGCCTTGAAGGATACAGCCGTTCGGACTACTGTCTACCAGTGGTGGGAGGTGCAATGTCAAAGCTCGATCATGGCATATCAAACAAAGACAGAAACAAGGGAAATGTACCAACTTGTGGTATTCATCGTGCGAGTTGGTTGGTGCGCTTTGTCCATACATAATGCAATTTACAATGCACCACTCGAGGCATATATCCTCAACCAGACGTAATAGTCCTTGGTTCTTCGTCGATCTGAAACAAAAGTCACCAAACTTCTTAACAGTAAATCTGAGGAATAGCAACTAGTTATGTCAACGAGTCCGAAGCGAACGGCAGGCACATTGCAAGACGCTGCCAACCCAACGAAAAAATCCAAGACGGCTGACCATGAGCAGATCGACTTGCCGCCAATTGGCAAAGGCAGCGTTGTGACTTTCGGAGTAGAACTTGAATGTAATATCATTTTCTCGGAGCATGAGCTCACAGCTATCACAAAAGAGTACAGTATTCCATATCATCATATACAGAAGGGTCACCCAGTGGTCCACGGCGCCGAGTACAGAGTCAACGACAATGCATTGCTGAGCGATGACCCATCCAACACATGCCGAACCCACTACCCTTCCTGGACTCTAGCTGTAGCATACGATAAGAGAGAAAAGCCAGTCAGGAAGGACCCGTTTCATCCTTGCACACACTACGTATACTACCCCAGCGGTAAGTCGCCAAAAGGCCCTCCACTCCGCATCCGCAAACTATTCTCTGAGCATCTCCTACTCGCGAAGAAGGCGTTGAGTCAACACAAGCTTCCAGTAGATGTTTGTGGGGAGGCAGGCGCCTACTGGAAGATCGTTGCGTTGCCCAAGCGGCAAACACCAGGAGACTTCTTGACATGCCAGTTTCCAGATTACACACAATGGACACTGACCAACGATAGTAGCCTGATCGGCTTTCTCAAAAGTCAGCTTGTTGATAAGGTTTCTTACATTACCAAACAGAATCAGCACGAGTACGACAGTATGGGTCTCGAGCTCATATCGCCGGTCTTCCAGCTAAGTGAGAAGGACGCCAGCCTTGATCTGCTGGGGCAGTACCTCGCCGCCCTGAGAGCGGGACCAATGTGCACCATTCGTCCGTCGGTATGGACTGGACTGCATGTGCACCTCGGCTTGGCCACCCGGAATACCAACCACGGAGAAGGTCAGGTTGATGAATGGTTTGTGAGGCATCTACTATATACCATCCTCTTGCACGAGGACTTGATTTCGCAATGCTTCCCCCGCGACCGGTCCGGAGAGACACCTCTCGCAGAGCTGAGACCAGTAGGTGCCACATCAGAGAGCGACGAGGATCCGACGGCTGAGGAGCTGGAAGAGCAGTGGCGAGTCGAGGAGGACCAACGGCAGCGGCAAACCGCACCGACATTTGAAGATATAGAAGCCGCGCACGATGCAAAGGAACTAGAGGCAATACAAGCCAACGACGAAGACGTGCTGGCTGCTGAATCAAAACTGACCAATGAGCTCAACCTCCTCTCTAACGCCTGGTACCTGACGATGAAGCAGGACCTGCGCCTCCCGCTCCACGAGAACACGCATCAAGTTCGCGATTTTATATTCGCCCCAGTGTCACTGGCCAGGGTCTTGACGATGGTCCAGGGCTCAAACGCTGGCCATGACAACGGCAACTGGGAAGACGAGGGTGATGACCGGTGGCGCGGCTTCATCTACAATTTCAGCAATCTACATAACTGGGTCCGGAACACTGAGGGCATCTCCCGCTCAAAGAAGCCAACGATTGAGTTCCGCCAGCACGAGGGCTGTGTAGACACCGGAGAAATTCGTCGCTGGGTGGATTTCTTGGAGGCACTGGCGAAGAAGGCAGATGAGATGAGGTTGCAGGCCGGAGACGAGGATCGGGAGACTGGTGCTCAAGGGCTGCCTTATCCTGTGGCTTTTCCGTTCAGAAACATTAGAGACTTTTGCGAATGGCTGATTCTACCAGAGGTGGATGTGTTATACTGGGTTGAGAGGTGGGAGAAGCATCACCTGGATCGACCATCGGAGGATGCTCGGAAGAGGCAAGAGGAGGACGAGGCGAAGGCACAGCAGGACACGTAGGCTGGTACGAGAACTCTCGGCAGAGTCAGACGTAGTAGTGAAAATAGATTTCTTTCTGCCCGATGAATACCTTAGGAACGCATCTACCTTGCTGTCTACTTCCGGTGAGTAGTGATGCATTCTTGGCACATCTTCGGCGATATCGGCACGAACATCCGAGCACCGCAGGACGCCTCGACGATCTCCCCAGCCTCGATGCCTACTACGGCGAATCTCCGCCACATATTTTCTGGGCGGTCAGTCACGACGCTCTCTTCTACCAGATTCCTCTCTTGATACGTGTGTCAACTGACGGATCTGGATCTGCTCACACCAAGGCCAAGAGCACGACGCAGTCTTTTCCTTATCAGGACCGTGTAAGCCAAACTTTGGGCGCCTTTTTCAGGCGCTGCGTTCTCGGCACTTATACAGTTTCGGCCACCGTCCGGCACTGCTGCAGCATTTTCGGTGAATGCCAGGCAGCAAATCTACAGGCACAGATGCTCGCGACTACCAACATGTAGCGGAACAAGAGTCGCCACTGCTGTCCGACAGCGACGACGACACCCTACAGGGCACCGACGTCTACGCCAAGGCCGAAGCGTCCCAACATGCACGACCGGTTCGACCGACGCTCGGTCTCGACCCAACGCCATCCACCATCCTTCCACGCCGCCACTCCTTCATCGACGAGGAAGAGCAGCCCCACCCCGAAGTCCCCGGCCTGACGCCCAAGCCCAAAGACGCCCCCGTGACCTGGACGTCGCTCCCGCAAAAGACGCAACTCGCCGTCCTGACCCTGGCCCGTCTCTCAGAACCCCTCAGCGAACGCTCCCTGTCGGCCTACATGTTCTATCAGCTCCGTTGGTTCAGTCCGGACGCCTCAGAAGCCACCATTGCCTCTCAGGGCGGCATCCTCACCGCCGCTTTCGCCGCCGCGCAGTTCCTGACCGCCGTCTGGTGGGGTAGGGCGGCGGACTCGCCCTGGATAGGGAGGAAGCCGGTGCTACTTGTGGGGTTGTTCGGGACGTTCCTGGCCAGTGTGGGGATCGGCTTCAGCACGAGCTTTGGGTTTGCGCTGTTCTGTAGGATCATGGCGGGGTTCCTCAATGGGAATATTGGGGTGATGAGAACGATGATTAGTGAGATTATCAAGGAGAAGAAGTGAGTTTGGCCCAAGTTGACCATGAGACGCGTGTGCTGACGGACAAAGGTATCAATCGCGCGCGTTCCTGCTGCTGCCGATGTGCTTCAACGTTGGAGTGATTATCGGGCCCATCTTAGGCGGATTCCTCGCCGACCCGGTTCAATCATTCCCCTCCACCTTTGGACCTGGCTCTTCGCTTGGCGGCAAAGATGGTGTTTCTTGGATGAAGAGCTACCCGTACGCCCTTCCGAACCTCGTCTCCGGTATCTTCATCTTCTGTTCCGCACTTGGCGTCATCTTCTTCCTGGAGGAGACCCACGAAGCGCTCCGCCACAAACCCGACTGGGGCCGCAAGACCGCGAAGTTCATCGCCCGTCACGTCTTCCGCTCCCGCACTGAGGACGGCGACTACCGCTACGCGCCCCTGCACGGGCACTCGACAAGCGAAACCCTCGACCTGGAAGACCACCCAACCCCGTCCACAACCTCCCACCCCGTCACGCCCGCCGCGCCGCCCACTCCGCCCCGCGTCACACCCCTCCGCAGCATCTTCACCCGCAACGTCACGCTCACGCTCCTCTCGCACCACCTCCTCGCCCTCCACGTCAGCACCTTCAACGCCCTCATCTTCCTCCTTCTCCCCACACCACGCTCCCACAACACCACCGCCCACCTCCCCTTCCTCTTCACGGGCGGCCTCGGCCTCACCACCGAGCAAGTCGGCGTCGCCACCGCCATCATCGGCGCCATCGGCCTCCCCCTCCAAATCCTGCTGTACCCCTCCCTCAACACCCGCCTCGGCACCCTGCGCGCCTACCGCCTCTTCTTGCCCTTTAGCGTCGCCGCCTACATCCTCTTGCCGTTTTGCGTTTTGCTGCCCGCGACGCCGTCCTGGCTCGTCTGGCCCGCTTTGACCGCAGTCTTTGCCCTGCAGGTGCTGAGTCGCACGTTCGCGCTGCCCAGCACGGTGATTTTGGTGAATAATAGCGCGCCGGGCCCGAGGGCGTTGGGCACGATTCATGGGTTTGCGCAGAGCGTGAGCTCGGGGGCTAGGACGGCGGGGCCGGTGCTGGGTGGGTGGGCGCTGGGGTGGGGTTTGAGGGGGAACTGTGTGGGAGGGGTGTGGTGGGGGATGGCGGGCGTGGCGGGCGTGAATTGGGCGCTGTTGTGGTGGATTTGGGAGGGGGATGGAAGCGGGGGGAGGGCTGTGTAGGGAAGGAGGGGCGGTGGTTGGCTCCATCCGTGTTGACTGACGTGGCGTTGGTGCAGGTGTTGTTTGTTTGAGCGGGATCGGGGTCGTTTTTGAGTGATATTGTGAGCCACGGAGAAAACGTCGTATGTCATGCCTCGGCGTATGTGGAATGAGATATGCTCGCACGATGGGCGAAGTTGACGAGCCCATATAAGTAGACTGACCCAGAAGAAAAGCCTCCCGAAAAGCCTTTTGAGCAATAACAGGACCAGGTAGAATTATGTCCAACTGTCCACCCCATCCTGCTCCATCCGCAAGCTCATGCCCCCCAAAGCCCCTCACTCGCCCACAATGACCTCCTTCAACAATCCCTCCACCCCATCTCAAGACCCAATGGGCTCCGCCAGCCAACACCGATACCCCGTCCAATACACCGCCGGGCCCGCGAACTTCTCCGCCGTCCAGGCCTCCACGTCTCTTACCCCGGGATACTGGATGGTAGGCGACACGCGACCCCAGCAGTTGTTGGCGTTACTGTGGAATTCGTACTATTTGATGTGTTTTGAAATGCGTTAGCAGCGCTGCTGTCAGGACAGGGGAGGGGGGGAGGGGGGTCGACGGGGTTAGTTGAGCTTTGCAAGGAGATGGGAAATGCGAGAGTGAGAGGGAAATGGAGAACGTACCAATTCGCACAAGACCCCAGGATCTGGACCAACGGACTTGTCGTCGGTGCTGTAGATGCAGCGGTTGGGTGGCATGGAGTCCATGAGCGCCCAGTTGGTCCAGGTGCAGTAGGATTGGACGCGGCTGGAGGTGTGGAAGTCGGGGTCCGGGCAGAGGTAGGCGCCCCAGATTGCGGGCAGGGGGTGGGGGAGTTGGGGGATGGGCGTAGCTGTGGTTGGGCCGAGGGTTAGGAGGAGCGAGATTATGGCGGTGGTGGCGTGGAGAAGGAAAGACATGTTGAAGGGCTTGATGTGTCTAGAAATTGATGTATGAGGGATGCGGTCTGGTACGAAGCTGTGGCTGGTAGCTGGAGAGCTGTCCTGGGTGGATTGGTCAATGGTAGAGGTATGTCGAAGGCGCGAGGAGAGGATGGGGCCGTCCGCATATAGGGAGTTTGCTGCTGTTTGTTATGAGTGAAGACAGTTATGCCAGTTGTGCAGACTCGTCTAGTTGCGACAGTCAGTGGGGCGCAGAGTAACTGTGGTACGCTTCACGGCAGGAACTGAGAACGCCCATCTGGGGACGACTGCATGAAGATGACGCTCGTGCATCACGATCCAGGTGAAGGTCGATCTGCTCACAACAAGGTCAGTCATCGCTGCGATGAGGTGTAGGTGAACTGTTGATAAGGATATTGTTTAGTATTCACTAATCGAGAATCCTGGGGTCTCAGACCATCATGCTGTAGCAATAGTGTCATCCATCTCCGGTAGAGACAACGACCTAGACTGAGCCCGTCCGGGTTTGCTCTTGATTATCTAAAGCGGCGGTCAATGATGATTTCGCACGTCTGCGTCAAGAAAGGTAGCAGCAAACAAGGTACAGGTCAGTACTCGAGCTGGATTTGGAAGAGGGTGTGTAGTTGTAACGAGGAGCATTTATATTTCTTCACAGCCATGCTGCTCCAATCGGAGAATGTCAGGCAGTGCATACCCACGTGATGCAAAGAGGCTACATGTACACACTACACCGCTCCTACTGTGTCGTTGTGGCAGTGCGCAAAGAGGAACATGAAGAGATGTAATCGACAGTGGCAGTGGTATGAGTTCGAGAGGTGGTCGGTGGTCGGCTCGGGGTTAAGTTGTTCCGCTGTTGACGTACTTCCCTTTTTGGACGTCACAGGTTACCTGTGGGCGCAGGCAAGACACACTTTGCCAGCAGTGTCCTGTACAGGTCTCATTTCGCACCCATTTGTCACCTCGTTGACAATCGCCGCGCATTTCTGGCGCTTCGTGGACGCGTTCCCCCTGCCACGATGCCTCGAGTTGCCAATCCGCCTGCAGGCAGCCGCCGCACTGCAACCCGAAACATTGCAGCCACACCGAACAAACAAGCACCTGTGAAGTGAGTGCTGCACTTTGCGAAGCTCTCTGAAGATCTCACTGACGGCCTAGACTTGCTCTGAATGATGACAGAGGCGAGAAAGCTGCGCGCTTGCAGTCGAGACAAGCACTGCAGGAAATACATATGAACGAGATTCGAGCCGCAGCATCCCCAATGCGCAAGATCAACCAAAACAACTACGCCCGCGCGGCGTCGGAGTCACCGCGCACCCCGCGAACCTCAGCAACACACGACGCGCGACGACGAGTATCAAGAGGTCAGCCCAGCAATGAACCGAACAGCCCCGGCCAACTCGATGTGATCGGAGGGAACGCGGTCACACCTATGAAGCGCGTGCCCATCCTCGCCAACTTCGAAGAATGGATGAAGATGGCAACCGACAACAAGATCAACGCAGCCAACAGTTGGAATTTTGCCCTCATCGACTACTTCCATGATATGAGCTTGTTGAAGGAAGGTGATGGTGTAAACTTTCAGAAGGCCAGCTGCACGCTCGATGGCTGTGTCAAGATTTATACCTCCAGAGTCGACAGCGTCGCCACGGAGACTGGCCGACTACTTTCTGGCTTGGCTGATAGCGCCGAGGGCAAGGGCAAAAAGTCGAGGGAGAGTGGAGAAGATGATGACGCGGAGGGCGAGGAGGATGAAGAGGATGAAGAGGGAAACAAAAAGCCCAAGAAGAAAAAGGCTGCCAAAAGCCATGAAGCAACTCTTGCACCTAGCTTCGCCAGCCTTCAATTGAAGAAGCTGGAGCTTGAGTTCTCGGTAGATCCACTGTTCAAGAAGGCGTCGGCCGATTTCGATGAAGGTGGTGCAAAAGGCCTCTTGCTCAATCATTTGAGCATCGATTCCGAGGGCCGCATCGTGTTCGACAGCAGTGACGATGCGGGCGACGTCTCCCTTGACTCTGAGCAGCAGGCTGAGGAACAAGATGAATCATCGGAGGATGCATCGCAGCCGCCAACACCCAGGCCAGCTTCTTCCCAGACGGAGCCCGAGGTCGAGACCGAGATCGACCTGTCGTCTTTGGCTTCCAAATTCTTTCCGGATCTATCGATCCTCGACAACCAAGACATCTGTCCAAGCATGAAGACCTTTGCTCTAGGCTCTTCCGACCTCACTTTGCCCTTCCTGAAAGCTCCCGATGACTGGCGGGAGAAAGCCAAAGAACCATCACCACCACCAGCACTTGATCCCAATCTCAATCTCGCTGAACAATCCGGGATATTCCTGCATGATGCCCCTGACATGGCCTTTGATGATGACGATGGCATTGGCGGCTTCGACATGAACATGCCTGACAATGTTGGCTTTGGCGAAGGAGGTGAAGCCTGGGCACGCGACGCTGCGCTCGAGAATCAATTGCAGCCGGTATCCCGCGGCGACGAAATTGATGATAATCTCGATGCTGATGGAGAATTTGCCGTCAGTCTGGATCACCGAGATCGCTATCGCACCGATCAACTCGAGCATGAAGGTCTGCTAGAATACTTCTCCAAAGCGTTCAACTCTCGCGCAAAAGTTGGTACCAAGCAATTCGTCACACTCGAGAATTGGCGGATACAAAAGCTACAGAAGTCTCGCTCATCTGAAGGGCCAGAAGGCACCAAACCTACACGAACACGCAAGGAAAAAGAACCATTTTTCATCGATTTTAAATCCCCCATGTCCGAGTCACTTCAGGATCTTCTTGATGCTCCACCAGTCAGCAACTCCCAGATCTCCTTGCCCAAGAGCAGCTGGCGCACCAAAGGTCGGAACCTGCTCGACCGGGACGATGAGATGGTAGATGTCGAGAAGCTGATGCGACTATGGATCAAGCCGCGGTGTCGTGTTGGGCGTCGGAAGAATGGCGGCTACGGCGTTGTCGATGAGGGTTACGGCGCACGCGGCCTTCAGCAGCAAGATGACAATGACGAGGGTAGAAAGGGTGATTACGATGCCAATTTCTTCGCTGACGGAGACGACGTCAATCCTTACGATGTACCGTTGCCAATTGATGACGACGATGACGACGGACTGGGATTCGGGATTGATGAGGGCCTGGGCATCAACGGGGGAAACGATGACTTTGTTGACGCGCGCGAGATGCTTTCGCCCGGTCCCGAACGCCAATTACAAGGCGACTTGGATGCCACTCTGGCGCTGGATGCACTAGGACAGGATAATATCCTCGCCAGTGCCGAAGCTGCAGATGACGCTGCCGCCACACAAACAGACGACAAAGATCTACCCCCCGGCAGCTTTGGCAGTCAACTAGTCACACAACAAGGACGGCGAATGAGACCCGAATATGTCAACTATGCAAGAACAGCGAAGAAGGTGGATGTCCGGCGACTGAAGGAGAACATGTGGAAAGGCATGAGCTCAACGCTCATGAACGACATCGATCACGTGTTGGCGAGCAAGCCGGCCCTCCCTCCTCCGCAACCAGTTGACAACGGCGAGGACGTGGACATGATGGACGTCGACGCACCTACTGCTGCTGCTGCTGCTGCTTCATCGCCAGAAGACACGCGTCCCGCGACCCCGGCCGACGGTGATGGGTCCGAGCTGCGCTTCACGCAGATGATCTCGGATCTGCAGAAGGTGTACCCAGCGCAGCAGATGAAGGATATCAGCACCAGCTACTGTTTTATCTGTTTACTGCACTTGGCGAACGAGAAGGGGTTGGTGCTGCAGGGGGATGTTGGCGAAGGGAGCGACGAGGGTCAGGGTCAGGGTCTCATGCAGGAGATCACGGTTAAGAGGGATGTCAATGTTGGGCCGGGGTATGAGGGCGAATAAGTTACGAAGAAGAATCATTTGATGTTGTGGTGCTTTGCTTTGCTTTGCTTTGCCTTGCTGGGGCTGGGCCGGGCCGGGCTGATCGTGTCTTCCTTCACGCATGGCGCGTTTTCGGTGCGAGGGCGTCGGTACGCTGTCAGTCGGAACTTTGTGGACTTGGAACCTGGGCTCTTTCTACCACACAGGTTTTGTTGGTTGGCAGGTATTATGATGATTATGAGAACGTTATTTTCTGTCTGATGAATGAGATTTTCGATGGCGATGCTTCATGGCCAGCATGTCCAGATCTATCTACTGTAATGTCTTCTCAATTGATTGTGGATATGCAGGCAGGTCCGCGTCTCCTTTGACACCATTCGGTGTAGCACTGTCTAATATGAGTTCTATATATTTCGTCGTCTGCGTCTCACAAGGCAAGCAACTGCTGGTTGCTGGTTGCTGGTTGCTGGCTGCTGGCTGCTGCTGGTCCTGCAAACGGTCTATATGCATGTGCATGATGGCTATTGTTGTCTAGCATATCATCCTCACATCTTCTCTTTCCGCGCCATGACCCACACGCCGCGGCCCTCGGTGTAGATGGTGCCATCCTGCCCGACGATCTGGCCGATGCTGTACCACTTGCGGCCCTGCCACGCCACGAGCCAGCAGCGGACCAGCACGTCCGCCGGGGTGGGAACTGGGGCCTTGTAGCTGACGTTGAGGTTCACGGTGAAGAGGGAGTCGCGGGGGCCGGCGATGTGCTGGTGGTGCAGCATGATACACAGGCCCATCATCTCGTCGAGGATCGCGCACGCCATGCCGCCGTGGATGATGTGCGGGTGGCCGTCGAGGCCGGGGGTGCTGAGGGCCAGGAGGAAGACGTTGTCGGGCTCCGCGGGCACGACTACTTGCTGGCGCGCGAAGGGGTCGGTGGTGTGTGGCGTTATGGGCTGGCCTTTGGGCAATTCTGGAGGGAGGCGGAAGTCTTTCTTTTGCATGGAGATCAGGTGGGGGATGGTCTCGCGGGTTGCGACGGTGCGGGAGAAGAAGTAGTCCTCACCCGTGCGCTTCAGAGTGCGGGAGAAGGTTGGTATTGATTGGTAGGAGGCGGACTCTAGGTATTTGCGCAGCCATGAGCCATCTCTTGCAAAGTACTCGAGGGCTTCTTTTGGAACTTGGTGCGCGGCCATGAACTTCTCCATGAAGTTGCCATCGTCGGGGACGTCGGCCATGCCAGGCGGGTTGGCGGCACTGCGGTTGTAGGAGAGGAAAAGATCAACAGCCACGTTATGAGAGAACCATCATGCCGTACTCGAGGTCCGCCTGTGTTGTCGCGCTGTCGATAATCAGTCGTCTACAACATTCACAGTACCTCGAACCGAGATCTGCGGTAAAGGCTGAAGCAATCTGGGGCACCCAGAGAAAGTACCTCGGCCCTTTGTTTGGCGGTGGCAGGGTTCACGGGTGTAGTACGGTTGCCGGCTTGGCCTCGCCAGCTCAAGCTTCGGGGCTCGCAGTCGAGCTCGTATCCCCACCCACGGAGGTCACGGACATGCCCAATTGACTTCTCACAACCTGCCTACCCGAGTTTAGGCTAGATCTCAGTGCCTAGAACTTGGGAAGCTCGGACCCTGGTTAGTAGCGTCGCACTACGCCCAGACCGAGTCCTGGTCGGCGTCACAGACCTGTGTCATTCGCGCTTGGTTGCCGGGAGCGACGGCGCGCTTCAGAACAGGCCACCCTCGCTATGGTGGAAATTGTCAGCAGAAGTCTACTGATACCTGGTGCAAGCGATTGTAGCAGGCCGCGCGACTATGATGGGCTTGAAATCAAGGACCAGAAAGAGTTGATTGCGCAAGCTTCTGTTGAAAATGCTGCAGGATGGAGCAGAATAAGCCGCGGCCTGCAGGCTGGACTCGACGAGAGGGAGCTCCGGTCGAATCGGGAGGGCGCAAAGGTCTCACACCTTGCAACTTCAAGACAGAAGGCGACAAGCGCTAGCGGCGAATGCAGCCAGATAACACCACGGCACCAGGGTTAGCTTGGTCTTAGCTCTGTGATGTTGCCTCTTGGAGACGTGGACAAGAGGCTCGTGAGTCGCAGGCGGGAAAGACGCGGCCGCTTGTTATCTGACATGAGGAATTCATAAAAAGCCGCCAGCAAGCTCCCCAGCCATCTCAATCCCCCGTCCTCGTTGCCTGTGTCTGCGGTGATAGAAAAGTCCTTCGTGCCTTTTTGCCGTCGCTACCGTCCTCAACTACCTATTCTCACTCCGTTCCTGCTCAGATTCAAGTCGTCGTTTGCAGTGCAACCGCAGTCGCTATCACCACAAAAAAGGTAGCTCCCGCCTGCCTCTTCCCGTCTGCTACCTCTCACCAGAATTTCCTCTGCCACATCCACCATTCAACCTTCAACTGCATACCTTGATTTTGCATTAACAACCACTTGTGCAGTAACTCATTACCATCAAGATGCTCGCCAAATTCATTCTGGGCCTCGTGGCGGTCTCCGCCGGTGCCTTTGCACAGGACCCCACCATCGAGACCTCGTCCGCTTCTTCGATCGATGCCACCACCACTCTGTCTCAGGCTATGCCTCCTGCCGCTACCGCTTCCTTCAATCCCGCTCCGGTCAACTCGAGTGTGCGATGTAAGCTACGATTTCGTCAAGAATCTACCACTCGCTAACAAATTTTAGTCAACTGGTGCCGAGGTCAGCTGAACGCTTGCCCCCAGATCTGCGGTGGTGCTGCTGCCCAGAACTTTTGCGACAGTGTGAGTCAAGACCTCCTCTCGGCCTCCAACTTTACTAATTTCGTTTGCAGGACCAATTGACCTACACCTGCGTTTGTGCCAACGGCACTGCTCCCGACGTCACCTCGTTCGCCAACACTCTGCCCTTCTACATCTGTCAGCAGACCTACATCCAGTGTGTTGCTAACAACCCCGACGATGCCCAGGCACAGGAGGTGTGCACCACCAACCAGCAGTGTGGCACTCGCAATGCGACCGCTGAGGCTATCGCTCAGACTATGGCTAGCGAGTCGACCACCGCCACATCGACCTCTGAATCGAGTGGCTCGTCCGAGACTGGCTCTTCTACGGCTAGTGAGACAGCCAGCTCTACCAGCTCTGACAGCGCCGCTGTTGCCAACGTTGCTCAGCTCTCCACCGGTGCCTTTGCCCTCCTCCTTGCTGCTGCGTTCAAGCTCTTTGTTTAGGGCTGAGCAAACCTCTTGGGTTGTGAATCTTCGGCAGGGATTCAATTCTTGTCTATGATTATGGTATTGGACAAACTAAGGCTGGGAAAAGACAAAAGGGACGACGGAACAAATACCCCCCACATCACATGTGTAATGAAGCAGACAAACGATGGGACGCGTCATGGGTCCAGAATGATGATTACGGCTGAGCGTTGACTTTGCTGCCATGAGAGCAAAGCTGTCCTGTCCTTTAGCAAGCGGTGCGCATCAAGTATTGCAGGTTTCGATATGGACAGACAAACAGAGACTACTACGCGGTAGATGGTCAATCAACAAAGACTCTTGTAACCCATTCCTCCAGCCTCTCAAAGAAATTTCCCCACACGCTCCCTCAGTTTCTCCAAGTTTGTGATCGGCGACGCGTGCACGGAGATAGTTGGAGTTAATGACCGCGTTTGAGGATTTATCGATACCGCAACGGTCTCGCTTGCCATCTCGTCCGCCTCCCTCCCACTTGCTGCCTACTCGACCCCCGCCGCCGCTATTTCTGCTCATGCTGGACTCCGTGGCCAGTCTATATCTAGTAGAAGAGTCAACTGGATTTCTGGTTAATCGACATACATCCCTCTCGCTTCCACAAATCTCACACAGGCCGCATGCGGCGATATCGTATACTTCACTTGTACATTATTCCACACGAAAATCGATGCCTCTTCTAGCTCGCGCACTTCAGTACCAGATTCGATAGATATCATTCGCTCTCGTATAAACATTCGCTATGGATACTGACGGCCCGCAATCGAAGCGACGCAAGCTTTCCAATTCCGATGATGTCGCCGCCTCACATTATCTTCCCCTCGCCCGAACCACGGTCGAAGTCTCCCTAGTACCTGTAAAAAAGCCCTCGCCAATTCCTTTCGATGAGGAAATTGCGATCAAGACCGTTAGACGTACCGCAGATGGAGGCTTAGAACTGGTGGTTAACAAAGGCACACCCCGATCTGCGTCGACATGGACATTTACCACATCCTCCCCAACCAATGCCCATACTCACCAGATCCTCGAGGATGCACCGAACATGTTGCCTAAGGCCAAGATGTCGGGTGGCCATTACCTTCAAGCCTGTCACAATGCCACACTGTACCAGCGAGACTCAATTATCGAGTTGAAGGTCGAGCTGCTGTGGTGCAACACGACATCTCTGTGGGACAAAGTTGATGAGGCTCTACGGGATATCCTGGATACTTATCTACCGCTTGGAGATGAAAACGAACCGGTCGAAGAGGCCTGGCAGCCCCGCGAGTTTTATGACAATGTTCACGTACCCCCAAAGGACTCTACGGATTCGGCCGCTATCAAGATCGATGGTTTCCTAACCAACCTTTACCCATTTCAACGTCGCACACTGCGGTGGATGCTCCGCAGAGAAGGTGTCACTGTGGATTCTGAAGGCTGCATCGAGCCCGTCGAAAGCGAGCCAGGCCTCCCACCTGGATTTGTGCAAGTCCGTGGTCTCGACGATCAGATTCTCTACATCAATCGTGCTCTAGCCACCATTTCTTCTAATTACAACGAGGTGGTGAAAGCATTTCAAACTCCAAGAGGGGGACTTCTCGCCGATGAGATGGGCCTAGGGAAAACTTTGGCAGTCGTTGGAACAGTGTGCTGTCATCGACGTCCCCTGGTGCCAGCTTTGGCGAGAGGGAATAATCCACGCACGTCCGGAGCCACCCTTATCATCACACCGCCAACCCTACTCGATCAGTGGAGGGAGGAGATCGGTGAACACACTAGCTCCCTGAGAGTTGTCAACTATGAGGGCATGAAATCCTCCAAAAGGAGTTTCGAAGACCTGATGGATGATCTCGCAGCAAGCGATATCGTCCTCACCACATACAACGTCATCTCAAGAGAGGTGCACTATGTTAAGGAAAAGCCTGATCGCGCTCTTCGCAACAAGGCGCGTACCGACACACCTAAAAGTCCACTGACTGAGATTTCTTGGTGGCGTGTTTGTCTTGATGAAGCGCAAATGGTCGAGAGCGGTGTATCAAACGCTGCGACTGTCGCGAGACTGGTGCCAAGGGAGATCGCGTGGGCTGTGACAGGCACTCCCCTTCGCAAGGCCCATCGCGATCTCTATGGCATCATGATCTTCCTACGCTATCAGCCCTGGGGCTGGTCGCCGAAACTATGGGACCGTCTGGTGGATTTTCATCGACCCTTGTTTAGGTCATTGATTTCGGAAATCGCCATACGACATACCAAAGATTATGTCCGAGAAGACTTGCGATTGCCGCCACAAAACCGCCACACCATCACGCTTCCTTTCACAGCAGTGGAAGAGCAGCACTATGAGAACATGTTTGACGAAATGTGCAATGCTGTCAACCTCAGGATAGATGGATCGCCACGCCGAGATGATTGGGATCCCGATGATCCAAAGATTGTCGAGGAGATGAGGAAGTGGCTCTCCCGACTGCGGCAGACTTGTCTACATCCCGAGGTTGGTGCACGTAACCGGCGAGCGCTTGGTCGAGGGGGCGGTCCACTAAGAACTGTGGGTCAGGTGCTGGATGTCATGATTGACCAAACTGAGGGCAACCTGCGAACTGAACAACGTGCATTACTCATGTCTCAGATTCGACGAGGGCAAATGCTTGAGAATTCCAAGGCTACAAAAGATGCGCTTGCTGTGTGGCAGAACTCTTACAAAGAAGCTACTATCATTGTGGATGAATGCCGCAAGCGTCTTGAAGCCGAGATCGAATACCAAAAGCAAGAGAAGGCCAAGAATGAGAGGAAAGCCGAAGAGAGTAATGATCCGGATGAAGAGGATGAGCTCGACGCCAATATACAAACCTTTCGACAGCGACTCCGTTCGGCTCTAGAAGTACAGCACATCTGCATCTTCTTTGTCGGCAACGCATTCTATCAGCTCAAGTCTAAGGAGGATGAGGTCAAGCCCGACAGTGAAGAGTTCTACGCCCTCGAAAAGCAAGAAACGGAAGCATACGACGAAGCGAAAAAGATCCGCGGTGAACTGCTGGCCGAAGTTCTGACGAAAGCGAACAAGCTGATCAATTCTGTCCGCACCAAACGCAGCGACGACACACCTGAGGCGCTGACACCGATGAAACCTCACGATGAGTACACTGGCATCGAAAGCCGGAAAATATGTGAAAAGCTTTACAACTACTGCGAAGCCATGAATGAGCAGGGCGTGTATTTCCATGAATTGCGACAGAAGATGATCGACTTTCTTAGGCAGGCGCTGATCGATGATGATGCCGGTGTTGAACTCCAAGGTGATGAGTACGAGACTTCCACGAAACATCAGGACGAAATGTATGTGTACATGGAGGCTCTTCGTGTCCTCTTCGCCGACCGCAGCGACGCCATAACAGGGTTGGAGAATCAGCTGATCAAGCATGAAGTCCGCGGGTTCATCCGCAATGCCAAAGAAGGCGAGGGACCAGCACCAGAATTGATGCTCAAGCTATTAGCCGAGCGCTCACAGGTCCACATCGACACAGAACAAATTGGCTCTCTTCGTGGCATCGTTGCGGAAGCGCGGCATTTGGTCACGATGCTGCAAGTTCAGGAAGCCGCAGGATCTGCACGCGCTCGCGCCGAGCTTGCGGTGACCGAGAAGCTTCTTAGTTATTCTCAGCAGTTGGCAACGACCCGGTCCAGGACTTTGGCTCAACTTGAGCAGGAAGTCAATCTCTTTCGAGATACAATGAACAGTCGGCTCGACTATTACCGCGCTCTTCAGAAGATCTCCGACACAGTTGCGCCCTACGAAGAAGAGCGTATCGGAGAGCCGCTAGATCAGCAAGTCTTCGATGATACTATCAACGGTGAACGTGCAGTTTCTGACAAGATCTCGACACTTGCTTCCAAGAGACGATATCTGATACACCTAAAAGACGAGTCCACTAGTTCAGCCCCGCGGGTATGCACAATCTGTCAGACGGAGTTCGAAGTCGGGACCCTCACTGTCTGCGGCCATCAATTCTGCAAGGAATGCATCCAACTTTGGTGGCACGAATCAAAGAATTGCCCAGTTTGCAAGCGACGTCTCTACCTTCACGACTTTCACGACATTACGTATAAACCTGCCGAAATGGCCGTCCAGGCCGAATCTCCAGAGAGCTCCAACAGCTCTGCCTCTAGCCCCGAAAGCCCTCGAAGTCAATCAATCTACACTGACCTGAGCACGAAAACTGTCAACGAGATCAAGAACATGGACCTGCATGGGCCGTCCTTTGGCAGCAAAGTCGACATGTTGATCCGGCATATTCTCTGGCTTCGTGAACACGACTATGGTACCAAATGTATTGTCTTCTCGCAATACCACGATTTCCTGGATGTTCTTGCCCGTGCCTTCAAGCAGCACGGCATTTCGGCTACGGCATTTGACGATAAGAACGGCATCCAACGCTTCAAGGTCGACCCGGCCATCGAATGCTTCCTGCTACACGCCAAGGCACATTCCGCCGGCCTTAATCTCGTCTGCGCCTCGCACGTGTTCTTGTGCGAGCCGCTGCTCGCCACGGCGGTTGAGCTTCAAGCCATTGCCCGTGTTCACCGTATAGGCCAGCACCAGGCCACGACGGTCTGGATGTACATCATCGCCGGAACGATCGAGGAGTCGATCTACGAGATGAGCTTCGCCAGACGTCTCGAGCACATCAAGCGCAATGTCAAGAAAGTCGGCAAGTCAAAGGCTGGAAGTTCGGCAACCTCAGGCACGGTGACGCCGAAGCTCTTGGGCGAGACTGTCATCGACCAGGCTAATAGTCTGGAGTTGCAGGAGGCGGACCTGAAAAAGCTCCTGACCACTGGCAAGAAGGGCGGTGAGTTTGTGGACAAGGCAGACCTGTGGCAGTGTTTGTTTGGGCGACGAAAGGTGAAAGAGACTGTTTTTGGAGGAGGTGGAGCTGGGGGAAAGTTAGACGGCGAGATGGGGAGGCTGCTCAGGGCTAATGCCGCTGAAGCGAGGATAGACTGAGGCGAAGGTTATGCATCGTCATTGCCAGACCAGTGTCGGAAGCGGGCCAGTCCGTGGGTATAGCATGGTGATTTGGGCATTCGTTATCCAGCAGGGACAGGTACTTCTTAGGCGATGAGTGAACCACCCTATGCAGTAGGCGTGCCACCATTTCTATAGCATAATAGACACCGCCCGCCGGCCAGCACGCTTACGCCAACACCAGGAACATGAGCAAACATAGATTCTTCCGCCGGTTTGATCGGAACCTGTTCATCTATCCTTGGCGAAGGCACAGCATGTTCCCAATCAGGGCCTCCAATCCACAACATTCTACCGCAATCACAGTGATCACAAGCTGTATCGGAAGAGGTCGTCGCCCGTAGGTATTTTCCTGATCAGGCAGTAAAAGTCTTGGCGCCCCCGAGGGGGGGCACCCCGCGAGCTACTTAATCAGAGAACGAGAGGGCATACTGCACAACTTGTACCTGTCACGTCGTAACCTGAGCTATTGTCGTCTTTGAGACACGGAGAGTTTATAGGAAAGCGAAAAGCCGAAAGCCCTTTCTCCAAGAACCACGAGGCGGAAACTAATCAAAGTGGAAGAAACGAGCCTCAAACATACACACTCTCTTCTTTCCATTCTCTTTTTATCACTGTTCCCCTAACTGGCCTAGGCTCACTTCTTCTCGGGCTCCCCCTTCTGCGCCTTGTTCTTGTTGTCGCCCGTGTCCTTGTAGTCGCCGCCCTGGGCCTCGTAGCGGCGGGCCATCTCGCCCGCTTTCCAGGCGGACCAGGATCCCTTGCCTCCTCCTTTTGCGAGTTAGGTGTGGTGTGGCCAGGTAGAAATGGGAGAGGGGCATGGGATAAGGAGAGTGAAAAAAAGAGGAGGGGAGGGGGGATTTGGGGGATGAGATGGGGAAAGAGGGGGAGGTGAAACAGTACCTTTCTCTTCGGCCTTGACTTCCTCCTTGATGCGGTCGCGGAGTTCAGGGTCGGTGGGCTCGCCTTTGGAGGAGGGCATGGTTTTGGGGTTTTGGTGGTGGTGGTGGTGGTGGTGTGTGTGGGACTGGTGGTTGGAAGATGTGGTTGTGTTGGTTGTATAGCGTGAGTGGGGAGGCTGTGTAGTGTTGCTGTCCACGAGGAATGGGGGGTTGTGTTATCGTGTATTTGTATCTGAATGGGAGCCAAGTACCTGACTGCGGCTGCATGTCACGGTCCCAGAGTGGCCAGTCATGACGACACCAGGGGCTCTTGCACGGTTTGTGGGCCAAAAGAGCTTTTACCTTTGGGAAACGGTCTGTGGCTGCCGTCATAATTTGATTTGACGCGCTTGCTACCTTCGCTTTTACGGATTATTCTTCCGAGTATTTTTATCTGATGTTCTTGGGAGTTGTGAGGTGCGTTCAGAGAGTGGAGCCTTGCTCAGGAGTGCGCAGCCTTGCCGGCGAGCGCGGTGTCACGTGCCGCAGAGTGAACTTCGGCAAATGTTGACGACGAAAGTTACAGCTCAGCGCGACGCGTTCGTGATGAAGAAGGCCTAAGCTACGTATGCTCACAAGTATCCAGTCGTTTCTTCTGATTGAAGATTTCGAGGAGACACCTCTGCTGCTGATTCAAAACTCGTGTGTATGAGCTCTGTTCATGTCTGAATTGGCGGCTGTGCTGTGGGCGGGGACTAAAAAAGAGTTTGATGAGCAGAACACAAAAATGTGGAAGACAGTATAGCAAGAACCAGCTGATTGTGTCGAAGTTCGTTATACTACGGCAGATTGTGTAGGGCGTCAACCTCAATCAGTTCTCCTGACCAGTAATGAGCTGAGCCGGGACTCCTTACCCCCATGGTAAGTCGAACTGCGAAATAGGTTGAGGAACAACTGCCAGGGCATATCTAATACGGAGGCGGCTCATTGCTGACACGTGGATCGTATAGAACCACGGGGAGGACCTGCGACAGTAGCTTGTTCCATAATACAGCCAACATGTTTTCAATATATTTTTCGTAGCACGGAGTCCGTTTCGCAATCGACCACAGGCTGCGGAAAACAGGCCTTCCCGTCCGCTCAGGCAACTTAAACCACAGGCCGATCAGTTAGTAGTTAAGTGGGTGACCATTAGCGAATCCTGATTGTTGATTGTTTTTGACTTTTTGCCGACTGAAGAGAATTTTTGGGTGGAGTTTGATATCGCCAAGACTGTAGTTACCAAGACTTTCACTGCCTACTTTACAGACGCCTGTCGGATCAAGTCAAACTGAACTGACTCTTTCTCTGGCTGTATGGCCACATGATCAGGCACAACCGGACCAATTTACACCGTACCCGGCTTGACGACATCTGTGACGAGGTCCCAAAGACCGCGCGCGCGTGTGGGAGACTTTCCTCTCTCCCAAGCTCAAGAAGATCCCTCCGGCTGAGTGGTGAACTAAAGCCAGGCTCAATTATGAGGTACATACATTAGCAGCTGCCTCTCGTCGAGACAGACCTCCAAGACATCGGCCTTTATCCACATACAACGTTCATTCTTTATATACTTCCACAGCCAACGCCAATCCAAGATTTGTCTCAATTACTCAGTACGATACAATCCGTCCCCGCATTTAAAGCACGGGAATCGACAAAAACAGAGAACTGGAAGCAAGTGGCACCTTCGTGGAAGTCGACTGCCACACAAGTTGATTGAGAGGCACAGGACTCCACACACTCTCTAAGGTTAGTGATTGGTACCTGCACCCTAGTGCCCGTTGTACAGTGCTGGTTACAGTAGACATTGAACCTTTTGCCGTTACTAGCCGTGAAGCTGCCGTTGTAATCAGCGCACGAGGCGTTGGGATTCGACAATGCGGTGGAAGCAGACGAGGTGCTTGTCGTCGAGGATGGGGACGAAAATGTTGTTGTAATGCTGGTCACCACTGAGCTAGTTGACGACTGCGAACTGGTCGATGCTGATGAACTGGTAGATAGCTCAGAGGTAGTTGATAATACTGAACTGCTGGATGTTGATGAACTAGTTGATAGCTCGGAACTGGTAGATGGCTCAGAGGTAGCTGATGATTCTACAGTAGTTGATGATTGTGAAGTAGCGGAGGACTCTGAACTGGTCGATGGCTCTGGAGTAGTTGTCGAATCCAAAGTAGTTGATGATTGTGAACTGGTTGACAGGTCAGAAGTGGTTGATGTCCCTGAGCTACTTGTGGATGCAAGACTGGTTGACGACGAAAGACTGGTGGTTATTGGTGTGCTTGACGACCCTGAACTGGTCGTCGAAATCAGACTGCTCGATAGATCCAAGCTGCTCGGTGATTGTGACGATGATATCGTTGTTGTTGTTGTGCTACTTGATTGCAGTATGGTATTTTGAGATGCGGTGGTGAAAGAGCCTGTAAAAGATGTCCCTATAGAAGTGGTGCTTGCTCCAGTCGATAGCGACTGACTTACGGAAGTAGTACGAGAGACGGAACTACTAGTGGAGCCGGACGAGGGGAAGGTGCTCGACTGGGAGACTGTTGAGAAGCTGTTGAGAGTTGTAGTCCTGCTCGTGCTTGATATGATCGTGGTATCAAGCGAGGCTGTCGTGGAAGAGCTGCTTGCGCTTGAAGTGTAGGTCGAGCTGACCAGAGATTGGCTAGACCGAGAAGCCGTGGAAGATGCTCCCGTTGACGTCGAGAGAGCCACCGGTGCAGTGAAAGTGGGGTTTGGGATCGCTGTACGTCTGACTCGGTCGATACATGACTGCCCAGCAATTGCTCCAATCAGAATCTCAACGCATGCATTGGGTGCACCTCCAAAGCCTGCGAAAAATGCGCCGTTGCAGTCGTAAAACCTTGCAACTCCCTGTTCTGCAGTGATCCATCGGAGATAGCCATTCTCAAAGGAGAACGTCGCATTGACTTCATCCGCAACAGACGGGGTCAAAAAGCCAAGGAGAGGGGTTAAGTCAGAGCTCTGTTTCGCCACAGCACGATCATACTGTACTAACAATCCAGCACGGAGGAGTAGTGGACTGGAGTCGTCACAATTGTCTTGAGAAATGCCGCCAGGTAGTCCTGTTGGTGCCACAAGGTCAACTAGGGTCAGTGCTGATACAGTGCCACTTGGCGGCTGGACTGCCCTCTCTTCAAGCTTTCGCGGCTCAAGAGTAGCTTGCGGTATATTCGTGTATGCGAGAAAAATGAACCGATCAGTCGAGAGATCTAATACGACACCTGTTGGTATTCCCTGGCCGATGTACAGATCCGAATTTGTCGATGCAGTAGACGTGATGCTCGTTGATGCCAACGTTCCTGACTGCGAAGTTGTACTGGAAGAAAGACCTGGAGATGGTGCCAATGTCCCAGACTGCGAGGTTGTGCTGGAGGAAGGACTTGAAGATGATGCCGAGGTTGGACGAATTGAGCTGGGGAATATCGTCTTTGTAGAATAGCTCAAAATGTGCACCTCTGTGGGTGCATTTGTGACCGTGTATGGATGACCATCCCGGAACGGATCAATGACAGCATCCGTGGGAAAGAATTCGTCGTAGTATAGCGGCTGTAGCTCGACAGTAACAACTGGACATTGCGCTTGAGGATTCTCTCTTGGTTGCAGTTGACCGTAGGCAACGGCGGCCAATGCTAGTAAGTACGAAGACCTCATGCTGTATCATCTGCCCCGATCGATGAACATAAACTGAAGCTGTATCAACGACTTATACACGAAATCTAAGACTGCTATCATTCTTGGCACGGGAGATGAATAGAAGGGGAATGCAGCTATACGGTAAATTGTGGCGATAAGCCGTACAATTTGGCAGAACACGAAATCTGCAAACGAGCGAATACCCTGCGCTATGTTTGACGCATCGAGACCCAGTGTTCTCTACTGTAAGGCTTTTCCAGCACGTTCAGGACGAGATTTGGACAGTATCTGGATGTCCAAGTAAAGTAATCTCGAAGCAAAGGGGGATGCCGTGTTGCAAACTCTATCGGTAACCATCTGCCGATGTCAAAACGATCCGGCTGTCCTGAAGTGGTTTAGATGGAGGCGTTGGCAGGGGCTGTATACGGGGAAAGGAAATTGAATGCCTATTCCGTACCTTGTCGAACAAGTACGTAGCTGGGTTCTAGTCTGTCACGGTTATCCCTCCTCCCACTTCAAGTCAGTACAGTAAATGCTCAATGCTCATTCCTCAAACTACGGTGCTTCAGAACAAGTGCTTTCCAGCTTCAAACAGACCGGGGGTTGTACAGATCTCGTCGAGATTGTGTCCTGAAGTTCCTGCAGAAACACATCACTTGGGAATGACGCTGATCTCGGTTTTCTTCAACTGTCATTGTATAACGGAAAGTGGCGGCTGCCATAGGGCTATACATTCCTCAGATCGGGAAGCCCTAAACACGGACCTCGTATTCAAGCTTTGTGGCGTGATCATCGCGGCCGTAGATCGCCGGTAGCTAGGACTGAGAGCCGAGACTACTTCTTAGACATGGGCTCGGCTTCACTTCAAAGGTCTGCTTCAAAACACCATCAGGTAGATGCTGCATGTCACTGATGTGGCACTCTAGATTGCTGGAATGATGATGTTCGGCAAGGCAGAGTAGACGTTTGTCTCATTACTCTGCCCACCGTAAGCTTGAACTTCTCCTCGACTCGCACAACGCGAACAGTGGCAGGCTAGCGTTCGCGCCAAATGGCGTCTGATGCATTCCAGCTTGCCAAGCGTTTTGGGCTGTTCTGAAAAGTCCACTGTGGAAAATGAGCTATGCAGCGCTCTAGGAGACCTTCCCCCTCTCCTATCAAAGGCGTCAAGAGTGTTGCGGCCAAGACCGCATCTGAAGAGACGAATGCAACGTCCGATAAGAGCACGACGAGACGCGAGCGGAGAGTGCGAGGAGGGGAGGTGGGAATGGGATCGATACGAGCAGCTTGGATGTCAGTCCGTACGAGTGTTGATGTGACGGCTCGGGTTGACAGGACAGACACATGCCGCTCTCTGGCGAAACAACCCTTGTAGGAATGAGCTATCCGAATCTCTCATAATCCTGGATCACGTCCCCGACAGTTCGACAGAATTTTGAGAAGCAATAAGCCTAGATACGAGGCTGCTAGACATGCCCACTTGGTCGTCTCTCTGATGGGTTGCATCACAACTAGCAGTGTAGAGAATTTGCGAAGGTCCAATGTACCATCCTGAATGAAGGTCATCAGTAGGACAGGTCGAGCGATTTTGCTGAGCTTCAGTGCCCGATTTACCAACGATGGTCGATGGATGAGCAGGTGCAACTGTGCAACGAATCGTGCTGGTGGCAATATCAACAGGAGTTTTGGTTAAACAAAGCTCTACCACGTTGGAGTAGGTCTTTTCGCAGACGTGGTGGCATGAAAGCAGAGGCCTCTCATCATGACATCCAAAGGAGCGTGGTTGATTGTGAGTTGTGTAGCCAGGTAGGTTAGGCGGGAGCAGCCCGGGCCAAAGGTCGTAACTCAGCCCTATGAAGAGTACGGATGTATCCACCTAATGACGCTTCTTTCCAAGTACTTTTGGTGCCAGCCTGTGTTCATCGGGTGTCACTCTTTCCACTCCCAGAACTGAAGTCGGGTGTTCCAAGGACCACATATCGTTGGCATTTCATGGCTCCCACGCACTTCCTCTCGCTCTCGGACGATCTTTTGCTCCAGCTTGCCGATCATTTACACAACATCGAAGACTATACGAACCTCTGCTCATCATGCAAAAAGCTGCGCGATATCCTCGGGTCTGCTCCTCCGAGAACTATTCTACGACTGGCAGCAGCTCAGTCAAACATCTTTTTCCGTCCGTCGCCTTATTTTCTAGTGGCTGCTACTGCCCACGAACTAGGTCACTGGGCACGCGATGATGAAAACAACGAGAGACAGCTAGCTTCGACCCTAGAACGAGGCATTGACGGGCTTCTGGACTTGGCGCTGACACACTGTGGTTTGACGATGGCAAGAATACGACAACTACATCTTATGCGGTTTTCCGTCATCAATCCAGTCACTGACGTGATCGACAAGTGTGTTGGCGTGCAATGGTATCAGACTCCCAATTTCTGGGATGGTGGAGTTAGCGATGCCTACACAATCAGCGCTGAAGCGTCACGAACGCTCTTCCATCTCGCGATCTACGGCGAACTGTTTGGCCCTGACTTCGAGACGTTCTTGAGTTACGACTGCCAGTCCCGAAGGCTGAGTGTCGAAACTCGTTTGGAGTTCATCAAGTATTGCTTACCAGATTTTGCGTGTTTCGCGGGCCAGACTAGTGCCAAGGATGTACAGATGCCGAACGGCAGTATGGATCCTAGGCGTGCAGTGAATAAGACTGGCCCCTATGCTGAAAAGGCAGAAGGCAGCCGCGGTAATGAGCTGAACAACAACATCGCTCTCGTATGGGTGTTGCAGAGTTCCCGATGGCAGCCTCACTGGAAAGAGGCTAGAGGACAGGCTGGGCCCGACTTTCAGGAAGATTTTAATGACGGCTGGTGGTACACGGAGAATGATGATCAGGATTGGAGGCAGCGTATGTGGGAGTCTATCATGATATGCCAAGGACTTGAAGGCCTGGGTATGATTAGACCAGAGCTTAGGGACTCATGGATACCCAAGATCAGACAATGGAGAGACAAAATCGCGGGACTTGAGAAGGAGCCTGAATGGGTACGAGTTGGCAGACAGGCTACACTCGAATACCCGTTTCTGCTTGGAGATTTGCGTATTTGTGGAAGTGGATATTGTGGCGGTACTTAGCTCTCTGTATAAGTCACACAACAGCGAGTGCCAGAGCCGATGAGACGCAGGACTGCCTGTAATGGCGAAAACTTCAAATCCTTTCATCTCGTAAAATTCTAGGTGCAGTCTCGGCATTATCACCGGTTCTCCCCGGAAGATGGGAGTAGGAATGTGGGGAGATTCCAGCCAAGATCCTCATTATCCCTGCATCGCCTGTTCTAGCACTTCGTTTCGTTTTCATATCTGATAAATTCGGACGTCCAAAACCCACGTGCACATCGCTGTACACTAGTATCTTATGTACTCCCCCGCAATTCCAGCTTCCGGCGCTACAAGATCACCGGATGTCGCCGAAACTCCGACGCTCCCCGCTCAGGCATCGAAAATTAGGACGTACTCTCGAAAACGAGCTGTAACGGCCTGTGAGACATGCAGAGCAAAGAAGATCAAGTGTGGGAATCAACGACCACGCTGCGCGTCATGCATCAAGACTGATCTCCCTTGCTCATATGACCCGCGGTTAAATCACTCGTCGTAAGTTGATTGTTTGGCAAGCACATTGTGTCCATTATCTAACCTCCGAAGCTTCGATCCCGCCAGTCTGTTAATTCTGGAAAAGCTGGATGAGACTTTAGACAGACTCGATCACATACAATCCGCACGTGAATCTCATGAACAGAACCATGTGGGCTATGTACCACCGGCTATAGATGCTGCGGAAAATGCCTCCAGACAACGACAGAACGGTGCCGATTCCTCCGTACACCAGTACTTGTCTGAGAGCTTGGAGGTGCCTACAGCTTTTGCAACTGTTGATCATGTCCTATCATGGCCAATCTTTGGCAACAAGAGACCTAAAGACTTTTTGTCGCACGAGGTTCTCATCAAGGATCAAGCTGGAATCCACTCTCACACGAACTCCACGAACGAGCAAAGTAATGGTCGTTGGAACCAAACCATCAATGAGACAGAGATCCCTAGGCTTGTGGAACGGTTCCTAGAGTTTGTACATATCAAAAATCCAATTCTCGATGCCATACAGCTTCGTCAAGATGCGAGAAGGATCGCCGAGGATGGCATCGACTGGGAGCCATCAACTTGCATCGTGGTGCGTACATATTTACTGCTAGCTCCTCAAACAGCTGGCGTCATGTCAGTGACCAGATACTGATTGCGTCATTAGCTTCTAGCCTGTGCACTGGGCTCAGTAGCACGTCCTTTCGAGGCCTCCCAAGATGGCGGTTGTTTGACCAACCGCAGCTCTGCGAAAGAACTAGGAAGTTCTCGACCTGCGGCTGACGCGTACTACCAACTTGCCCGCAGAAGGACAGGACTGCTTGATATCAGCATCACGGCCGGCCAATGCTACGTCCTATCAGGCATCTATCTGATGTACACGCTCCGGCCACTCGAAGCATGGTTGGCTTTCCACCAAGCAGGTTCAACTTATTCCCTATATCTCAGACGCCAAGCTGCAATGAGCGACGAAGCTATCGATTTGGTTCACGATACAAAGCAGAAGAGATTGGAGCAACGACTTTACTGGACCGTCCTCAAGTCTGAATGCGAACTTCGGGAAACGCTGGATGTTCCTCAATCTGATCTTTGCAAGCTCAGCTACCCGTACCTATTCCCATCACCTCCAACGCCTCTGAGTCCCGTACGGAGTCCAGAGGAAGCGCTAAACTTCCAAACTCCAGCTTCGTCCACCTCGATGCCTTCTCAAGTACAATCAACTTCATCGATGACATCCTATCAGCAGACCGAGGAACAATCGTGGTTTTACTATCTGAGCGAAATCGCGCTTCGTCGAATACAAAACCGTGTTCTGAACGCGTTCTATCGGCAAGATCACAGAAGCTGGGCGCAGATGAACATGAGTGACATGATAAGCATTGCAGAGAATATTGAGACGCAGCTGACTATATGGTGTGCATCATCCCCCTGTTCCAAGTGTGCCGCTAACTCGACATCAGGAAGGCATCACTCCCAGCAGCAATTAGATCTGACGACCTGCCCCCTGGTCAGCCAATCGATGAGCTTCGCTACTGCACAGAAGGAAGAAATCGGTGTATCCGTAGCCTGCTTTACCGACCATTCGTCTACTGCGCCGTGCACTCCACGCCCAACATCTCCGACCACATCACCATGCAGCAAGTGCAAGCGATGTGCAGGAAAGGTATCATGAACTGCTTGAACATTGAGACCGCTGAGGCAGTCACTCACCGCCACCACGGCACCTGGTACGGTCTGCGCCAGTCTATCGTCAACGCGCTCATGCTTCTTGCCACCAAAACGGTGGATAACACGGACTTTTACTCACCACGGCAAGGGGAACGGCACCCTTACGATCATGCAATCGATATGTGCATGGACAAGCTGCGTTATTGGGAGGGTGAGAGTCCTGATACCATTGCAGCCCTAGAGCTTATTGAGGAGCTATACGCCGGGATGAGCTAACCAGGAGCGTGTTGGCCCAGACTCTTCGACTGGTGCAGTGGGCTGAGCACAAGAAAGATTGAGAACGAGCTTCTGGAAAGCATTGATCAAGTTTGGGATGATCAGTGAAAGCCAGATGAGCTATGCTTTGAACCTGATGAAGTGGGTTTCGGCATCTGTACAATCAGCGATATGTGAACATTTTACTTCTGCATTGCCCATCTACATCTCCTCAATGCAGCCCAAGACCGGTCTAGTGACTGTTCCCATTCGTCAGGGGTGCAACTTTGGATGCCGAGCTGCTATTGTCACCACGCGCGCCTGCGCGCATGATCATGCCGAAAATTTCAACATCTTTCCTCGCATCAGCTGGGGTCGTCTTGATGGGTTTCCCTTCCGTCACCACAGCATACAGCTCCTTGAACTCAAGCGTATAGGGATCCTCGTAGGTTCTGCGAGTCGTCGACTCACGGTAAGATCCGTCTAGTAGTTTCTCGCGAATGAACATGGTCGTCGGTAGACCTTTGATGTAGGGTGTATCGTAGCAGATCTTGACTGTCTTGTCTTGCGTGAAGATCTCGATGGCCGCGTCGAATCGTGGTACGCTGTCGATGCCAGATTCGTAAGACACAGCGAAACTGGGATATTGGAAGAGCGCACTGTCGAACATAAGTGAAGGGCTTTATGGCAGAAAGAGACTCACCTCCAGAAGAGATTCTCAGTAGATCCACAGTTGACCGCACCTCTTACTTCTTCTGGCATTCCTAGGACCTCTCTCATGGCGCTCAAGTCGTGTGAACCTAGGCCACCGAGCAGACGCCACATCAACGTGTTTGATGGAGTGACAGGTAGGCCCAGTTCTTGGACAAGCGCTTGCTCCAAGAAACCATCTGTCCGAGCCTTGAGTTCGTTGGAGTCCTCAGCGCTGAAGTCGCTGAAGACCTTCGGGAAGGTACCAGATTGTGTGACAAACGCGGCATTCGGCCCAATAATGTCTCGAACCCTGGCGTAGAGAATCGTTCGTCCTCCTAACTCTTTGACTGCGTCTTGGAATGCAGCCGCATACCTGCGCATATAACCCACCATGACTTGGCCACTCGAGGCCTTCTCAGCCTCAATTATCAGATCTGCATCTCTCAGGTTGAGAGCCATTGGCTTCTCGACCAAGACTGTCTTGTTGTACTTGAGCCCGAGCAGCGTATGAGGGACATGAAACGCATCGCTGTTCGCAACGAGCACAACGTCGACATTGGGAGAACAGCAGAGATCTTCGGCGTTCCGAGTGACGCTAGGCTGTTTGCCAGCTATACGCCCCTGACAGTGTACAAGCGCATCATTGGAAACATCGCAGAGATATGTTATGGTGAACAGATCGGAAAGATGACCGATTGTGGGAATATGGACCACCTGTGTGATCTCGCCGCAGCTAGAGAAGCATGAGTACAGAGAGATCTGAGTTTCTGGGCAGACCTACCCAATAATCCCTATCCTGACGGGCATCGTGGAGGCTTCTGCAAGTCTCTTTGTACTATCAAGTCGTTTCTCAGTACCGTTGCCGTTTATAGATGTATCAGAACAGCCCCGCGACCAGCTACAAATTGCTGAGCGAGCTCTGAGAGATCCAAGTTGTCCGAGACGTAGGTTGCAGTAACGCTAGACCACTTCCCTTATGCCGCGGAGGAGCTCGCGTAATCTATGGCAGAGTACAGCTCCGTCAACACTTCCGCCAGTGGCGTGATACGTGTGATAGAGTGGGAGCCACCAATATGTTACTTTTCTAAGGATTTGACTCCCAACTTCTTGATTCTTCTTCGGTCCTTCCTTGATACCAAGGGCCCAGCCATGTAGCTGCAGACCTGGGGCGGGGTCGACACCTTGGCCGCAACTCCCCGAGAATGTCTTCGCCGCAACTCCCCGGCTATCAGCTGATAATCTTGCACTACGAAGAGATTTGGGGCCCCACCAAGATTGAACCCATATTGCCCCGCACAGAATTTGGCGCTGTGTTACCCCGACCTATTCAACTATGGATGTGCATACCTCCATCAGCCCACGTGGCTGGATGGAGTCGGAGTGGGAATATTCAGAATGCAGCAAAAGAAAATTCACGGCATCACGGCCGAATGTCACTTCGCTGTACTGATAAGCATCAAGCTAGGTTTAGTAACGTGACATTATCCTCCCTGTGGTTCAGCATCTGCTGGCAGGTCAGGATAGTTCAGTCCTGCTTAAGCGCTGCTCGATTTTCTGAGACATATCGAAGAAGCTCATAGCATTTGATACCTCATCGCGAATCTGTCGTGATCAAGTGACACACGTCGCTAATTGACATTAGGCCAGCAATCGACCGCCATAAGCAAGGAACAAACACAGTATGACTGGCACAGAAGTAGCTGTCCCGATGCTGCGTTGGGGTATTCTAGGTGAGTACCGATAGACTCTAGCCCTCCGTCAAGTGAAACTAATGAGTTTTCCATTGCAGGCACCGGATGGATTTCAACCATGTTCACGAAGGATCTGCTGGCCGATCGTCCAGACGCTGACTGCAGACATGCAATAAGTGCGGTCGGCTCTTCGTCCATCTCGAAAGGCAAGACCTTCGTCGCCAATTGTTGGAAAGAAACGACAACACACACGCGACCCCGTGTGTACGACAGCTATCAAGCAGTATACACAGACACTAATGTCGATATTGTCTACGTGGGAACACCGCACTCTGAGCATAAGAAAAACTGCCTGGATGCTATTGCCGCGGGCAAGCACGTTTTGTGCGAAAAGCCACTTACTATCAATGCAAAGGAAGGTCAGGAGGTGGTCGACGCGGCGAGAGAAAAAGGCGTCTTCCTTATGGAAGGTATGTCTGCCTCTTTCTCCGGTCTCGAAACCAGAGTCCATGAATCTCCAACGCAGGGACTGACATGCTACCAGCCGTTTGGACGAGGTTCTCGCCATTATTCTCCGCGCTAAAGGAGGAACTTTTCGTAAAGAAGACCATTGGTGATGTACATCGCATGTTCGTGGATTTTGGGAACAAGATGCCCCTGGACACGCTGCCGTCTACCCATCGTCTCAAAGATCCCGCTCTGGGCGCTGGCGCTCTTCTTGACATCGGCATCTACGCGTTAACCTATGCTTCGGTCATACTCGGTGACTGGAAACTAGGACTGCAGCATCCTACACCAGTTGTCACATCTTCACTCGATATCCATGATGGGATGGATCTTTCGAATGTGATTGTGCTTGACTATCCTTCAAAAGACACCACCGGACACGAATCAACAAAGACGGCAATCTGCACGTCTTCTTTCAAGTGCAAATCACCCGATGACTTTGCCCGCATTGACGGATCATGCGGAAGCATTCTCATCTTTGGCTTAGCCGCAAGTGTGCCCGGCGGTTTTCGTATCCTCCTCTATCCAGCGTCACCAGGGGAAGAGAAGTCCGAGACTGAGAGGATCTTTACTGTCGAGAAGCCCAAGGACACGCTGGGCTTCTTCTGGGAGGCAGATGCAGTTGCACGCGATATCGCCGCTGGCAGAACAGAGAACGCTGTTGTCCCACTTGACGAGTCGATACGTATGATGCAGCTCATGGACAAGATTCGGAAAGACGCTGGTTTAGTCTACCCGCAGGACACAGTATGACAGATGCTACGATCAATGATAATACACATCTTGACACCCTCTAGATTTCTCGACGGGCACTGCGTTGTCACCGCTCATCCGATAGTGTTCGAAAAGAACTCGACAGAATAATCTGAACCCGCACCTTTCGAAGAAGGGGCTCTGGGGAACGGCACCTTGTTCAATGCCGAGATCTAAGTTTCTCCTCCGTATAGAAACGGGATATGCTCAGCACGCCCAGATTAGTAACCCCAATTTTACCTAAGCCCGACATTACTCCATATCGCTAGTTTATTGAAAATTTTGCGTGGATAGGTTGCGCATCCAGAGGTACCCGCGCTAGCAGCACGCAGAGATGGCTCACGGGGAGTTACGGAGACCCCGCAATCTGAAGAAACTGGAGCTTGTCTAGGATTCGGTCTGGTGATGGCCTCGAGCCGGCGACTGTACTTGTCGAAGGAAACCCCAAGCTTCATGTACTATATATGCTTGTGGGGATGTCCATCTCTACAAGAATCTCAGGTTCCGGCGCAATAGCTTCACCAGCACACGATCCAAAGCTCCACGGCTGACAGAACGAACAAGAAAACACAAGATGACCAACAATCCAGCAGAAAGAGGTATCGGTGCGGCACTTGCTGCCGTTCTTCCCCAGGATGGATTGCGATGGTGGCAGAAGCCTCATCTGGTCTATCTCAACTTCTGTCTTTGGTCACTGTTCCTTTTCTCTTCCGCGAATGGATACGATGGGTCAATGGTGAGACTGCCGCTCTGTTCGACCGTCATGACACACTGCTGACCGTCGCGCGTCAGATGAACGGTCTTCAAGCCCTACCACAGTGGCAAGAAGCATTGCACCATCCCAAGTACGTATACAGCCGACTATCTAAAGCCCAAAGCTAACGTACTGGTGCCTGTAGAGGTGCATGGCTCGGTTTTCTCAACGCTGTGCAATCCTTGGGAGCTTTCTGCTGCTATCCTGTCATCGCATGGTCCAACAACCGCTTTGGACGCAAGAAAACGGTCGCTGTCGGCTATTTCTGGTTGGTCATCGGCACTGCTCTTCAGACCGCGGCACAGAACCCGACTATGTTCGTCCTGGGTAGACTTTGCATCGGAGGTGCCTCATCTTTCTGGTCCGCGTCAGTCCCCCTACTCATGACCGAAACCGCCTATCCGACCCATCGCGCGAATCTCACGGCTCTTTACAACTGCGGCTGGTACGTCGGATCTCTGCTGGCCGCGTGGGTTACGTACGGAACCCGAAATTACGATAGTTACTGGGCATGGCGCATTCCCTCTGTCTGCCAGATATGCATTCCGGTGGCTGCGCTTCCAGGTTTCTTGATGGCCAAAGAATCTCCTCGCTGGCTCATCTCCAAAGGTCGACATGAGGAGGCCCGTGCCTTCCTCATAAAATACCACGGCGGCGGTGACCAGGTCTCTCCTTTGGCAGATTTCGAGTTCAACGAGATCTCCAGCGCCATCGAGCTAGAAGATCGGATCAAGGCCGAGACAAGCTATCGCCAGATGTTCGCGACCAAGGGCAACAGACATCGATCCTTCATCACAATCACCTTGGGGGTGTTCGCCCAATGGAACGGAGTCGGCATCGCCAGCTACTACCTCGCTCCAGTTCTTCTGACAGTCGGCATCACCTCGGTCACAGATCAGACTATGATCTCCGGTTTCTTGCAAGTCTGGAACTTGATACTGGCCGTCAGTGCGGCTTTCCTCGTCGATCGACTCGGCCGTCGGCCACTATTCCTGGTTTCCTGCTTTGGCATGCTTGCCTGCTACGTCTTCATCTCGGCTCTCTCGGGTTCATTCGCGAACACGGGCAATGCCGCTACCGGCATCGCCGTCATCCCTTTCTTGTTCCTCTACTACGGCTTCTACGACATCGCCTTCACGCCACTCCTCGTTTCCTACACGTGCGAGATCTGGAACTACACCTATCGGGCCCGCGGACTCGCGATGAACCAGTGGTCGACCGCACTGGCGGTTTTCTTCAACATTTTTGTCAACCCCATCGCGCTGGGAGCGATCCAGTGGAAGTACTACATTGTATATGTGGCGATTCTGGTCGTGATCACTACCGTTGTCTGGTTCTTTTACCCCGAGACACGCGGACACAGTCTCGAAGAGATGGCTCATGTCTTCGATGGAAGTGCTGCTGCGGTGCCCGACGCTTTCAGGATCAAGGAAGAGGCGCAGAGTCGTGCGTCGGTGGATCATGATGTGCAGAACAAGTCGGGCGCGATGGCTCATGTCGAGCAAAAGTAATGATGTGCCTCTTTACAAGTACAGAGACAGCACCACTGAAAGTTGAGGACGAACATATAGGAACATGTGGCCAGGCTGCACACTATTCGTTTCGGGGCTATGGTGAGTGACAGTCTGCAGATATCGCAGAAAGAATACGTCGCTGTTAGTCCATTTGCCCGCAGGTGGAAGGACATGCTTTCTTCTAGAAGAGGCACCATCACGCGCCACCCAAGTCGTCCTCGATCCTTGCTTCGTCAACATCCTTGATCCACTTCATGAAGAAGCTCACGTCCTTGGGTAACACTCCAGGGATAGACATTCGCTGCATCCACATTGGCAAGTTGCCCGCAGCGTCGCTAGCTGTAGTCATGATCCACTCGACCTCCTCTCCCTCGCCTGCACCTTTCGACCTCAGAGTGCATGTTTCCACGGCGGTGTAAAGTCCCTGAACGACCTCCTCTCTCTGCTGGCCCTCTCCTTCCTTACGATTTCGGTGGTTGGCATAAAAGGCCTTTTTGACGCCGACGCCCAGCTTCACGGGAACCGTGACAACGACAAACTTCTGCTTCTCGCCGTCAGCCCACCGCTTGGCGCTGTCGCTGCTAGGCCTCACGCTGCTACCACCGCCGTCTACAGCTTGCTCGGGAAGCACCTTACCACCCACCACCAAAACACCGAAACATCGCGGTGCGAGTATGCCGGGCAGCGCGTGGCACATCTCGTTGATGGAAATACTGACATCGGTCCAACCTTTCCTCTGGAGGCTCCCTTCTTCAGCTAATTTTCGCACTTGGCCGTCCCAGTCGACGGCCTTACGAGTGTCGAAGAGATTTGGCGTGAACTCTTGCTCGTTCTTGGAATGGTTGTGTAGCAAGCCGAATACGAATTGCTCCCAAGATGCGGTGCCGGACTCAAGCTTGGCGGATACGCAGTTGTGGACAGAGCGCCGGGTGAACCAGTACTCATTCAGAATGTCCGTGGGTTTCTTCCTACGTATCTTGGGAGCCTGGCCAGAGCCGACGGATCGAGCGGACGCATTGCTGGGAGAGCGTGCGCGGCGCGTGTCCACGGGGGCGGTGGGAACGGCGAGGCTGTTGCTCGCTGCAGCACTCGAGTCCGCTTCTGGCGCTTTGCTTGCCCGTTGGCCGGAGGGCGGGTCCACTCCTGCGTTGATGCTGCTAGATTCGTTGTACCACGGGACGTCACGTTCTAGCGCTGACCGTGAGAAGTTCCGTGTGAGCACATCGACGGAGGCATTGGAGCCGTCTGCTTTCTTAGTAGAAGTCTTCTTGAAGTTGGCCTCTACTTGAGACTTGGACAGAAACGAGAGACCGTCGTTGAGAAGAGTAACGATAAAGGGAAGAAGATCCGGCTGATCCACATCTTCCTTCTTGGGATTCAATGACTGGATAGCCGATGAGCCAAGAGGAAGATCGGGGTGCGGCGGCAGTTCGGATAACTGCAGCGGGGTGAGGCGGAGAAGCGGCGAGGCACCCGGCGCGAACGACGACATCAGGGTAGGTGGACACTTGCCAGGGTCGATGGTTCTGCTGGTTGTTGAACAAAGTGGAACCGTGATGGCACAATGTAGCTCAGCGCTGATAGGAATTGCGTTGTGTCTCCTTGAGCGGATTTCGGACGTTCAGGTCAGGCAACTACAACTTATCAATCGGAGCGGCGCCAACTGCCTGATTCTTGAGTCCGCGCATCCCGGTTGGCTCCGGTGCTGCCTCTGAAGTTGTCTTACATGATGCATGTCGTTTCAGCGGAAGTCATGATGGGGGCATTTCGAACCAATGATGTCAGCGTAAGAGCGACGAGATCTGCAAGGCTGAATCTGGGCCAGAAGCTTGACACAAGGCTGCGTATTTCTGATTCGGAAGCTAGCTTTCCCAATGTGGAATATGCAGCTTCTGGTGGGCAATCCAACAAGTCGATCACTTGCCCGAAATCGCGGCTCTCGCGGCCTAGGGAGGATCGTTTTTCGCAGCACTTCCCGGCATTGTGGTAACCGCTGAGGCTCACTTACTTCGTACTGTTCTCACATTTGGCGTGAGGTGCTCTTCGAAATGGGCCTGTTCAGATCCTTTCAGATACCAGAGCGTCAGAACAATAGCATGTTTATACTGGGAGAAAGAACAGCGGCGCCATACAAGGATGCAAAATCTGTTTCTTGTCTCATTTCCCACTCAGCTGCTCACAAAGCAATCTCGAGTCTCGTATGTTTCTGTATGCTGAGCGTGCTTTTAGCAGCATACAGTCTTCGGGACCCGAAGGAAGAATACGAACGCCATGAACGACTATTTACCGGCGACCCGCTGTGGCTGTGGGGGCTGGAATCTCGGCACAGATCCCTACACTGTTGCCGCAAAAGTGTCTCCTCGATTTGAGTCTTCCAAGCCTCGGTGTTGGCATTGGGAACAAAACGCTTCTGTTGGTGTTTTGAAAGATATCTCATATCATTCACTTCCACACGAATAAATGCTGTTTCCGAGCGGCATCAGCTCCTGTCCCGGTAGCAGCAGCATCCCACCAATGAACCATGCGACTCATCGATACTCGCACACTCGAACTCGCCGACTTCGGCAATCATCTTCCCTCGGCGCAGTATGCCATTCTCTCGCACCGATGGGGCGACAATGAGGTAACCTATCGACAATACATGGCTCTGGACAAATCGTTGCTGCGTGCTCAAACCCCGCGTGCCTACAGCAGTGGCCTAGACAAGATCCTATGGGGATGTCACATGGCACGCCGCAACAACCTTCGCTACTTCTGGATCGACACCTGCTGTATCAACAAGAACAATGAGGATGACCAGACAGAACTCAGCGCGTCCGTTATGTCAATGTGGAAGTGGTACCACGAGGCCGCAATCTGTTACATCTTTTTGGCGACAATCACGCTATCTGCTGCCGAAGTCGAGCGAGATCCCAATGCCTTTATGGAATGGCACCATAGCAAGGACTCAGAGGACAGGGACTATGGCCGACCCGCCGAGTACTTCCGGCGTGGCTGGACGCTACAGGAGCTGCTCGCGCCACGGCGCGCCATCTTCTTTAACGCGACGTGGTCCTTCATCGGCTCGCGTCTGCAGCTCGTGGACCAGATCTACAATGCCACCAACATCGCCAAGCAGTACATCAATTCAAACGAAGGGATCCGGCTCGCCAGCATCGCTGCCCGTTTGAGCTGGGCTGGTGGGCGAGAGACAACGCGCGAGGAAGACCGTGTGTACTCATTGATTGGCCTCTTCGATATCAACATGGACATCCGCTATGGCGAAGGCTACGAACGCGCCTTCTACCGCCTTCAGAAGGAGATTGTTGAAAATGATCCCAGCGAGGACATCTTTGCCTGGACCTCTGATAAACTGGCCAAGTCAGGCTTACTCGCGCCGGATATTGACTGCTTCGCCAACTCCGGCGACATCGACCGCATCTGGACTCAGGACAAAGAGCCTCACCAGCTTACCAGCAAGGGTCTGCGTTTGCACATCACAGCGCGGCTGTGGGAAATGGCGCGAGAGAGTGCCCAGGCCAACAACCATCCACACCCGACGGTCGTGCTGCCGCTGGCTGCGGGGCGGCGGAATAAGCAGACCAAGGAGGTCGAGGTCGTCACCATCATGCTAGTGTGCATGAACTATCGAGAGTCACCGACAAGGATGTTCGTACGCGAGCACTGCGATCGCCTGGGGTTTGAGGCATCGACGGCAGCCGCTGCAACATCGTTGTCCGCATCTTCGACGCGTGACAGCAAGCGCCGATCGCAGCTAATGAAGGCAGACGAGTACATCTCCATCTTCGTGCGGCAGGAGTATAGTTTTAACCCTGCACATCGGAAGAAGACGATGGAACTGATGAGGCAGCGTTTTGGATCCTTTGGTCGCGAATTCAAGGCTTACGTGTATGAAGGCCGTTACACGACTCCTGAGGCCGTACCTGAAGGAAGGGTGGTGAATGGTGGTTCGCTGCGCCGTCCTCGTTCACCGAGCCCTCACATTGGGTATGCTATGTGAACGAATCTGGCCTGCTCTTTGTTGGTGATGCGAGAGTGATGTTTTGCGCCATCGCTGGGATCATTAGTCTATCAGGGCCCAACTTTCTCGCTCTCAAAAGTTGTGCAAACGCAGACGGTACGATATGTGTACTGAGCAGGGACCGTTTGCGTCTGGCCACAATGAACGCTCGAATCAAGTACTGCTTCGCAAAGTGCAGACTTCTACGCATGAGTCTCGCCATCATGCAAGGGCGGCTTGTCAGAGCTTGATTGCCATGTGGTTGCACCAGATGCAAACGGCGTTCTTCGCACGCCTCAGAGTACCCAAGGCCAACGATTCGAGGCCCTAGCAGCGTTCAGTTCTCAAGTGACGAGACGCGTGGCTAGCCAACGGGCATCTCTGCGCCGACAATGACCCACGCAAACGCGGAGTGATGCGTTCTCTCACATCTCGAACGGAAACCTATAAATATCAAGCCCTGGGAGAGCTGTAATGCTTCTTCCTTCCTCCAGATCCACCTTTCGACCAAGACCTTGACCGATAAATATTCACCCTACCTAAGGCCACCGATTCGGTTCCAACCCCCGCGACCCTTCTACATAAATAGACACCTACGGTACCTCAGAGTACCGAGCCACCAAACGATCCACCAAGTCAACCCTTTGTGGACACATTCAACTCTCTTCAACCAAAAATCAGCCAACATGTCGACCCGTGGTGTCCTTTGTCCGCGCTGCAGGCTCAGAAACCAACAGACTTGGGTTGTCCCCGGCACCTTCTGCCACAAGTGTAAGTACCCTTGCTGAGCTTGGGTACGTAGCACTGTGACATGGAACCTGGACCCTAGGTTGTGGAGGGAGATGGAATATTGTTGACAGCCGCGATGGATACATTCGTTGCTTAGATGTCAGTGATGTGCGCAGGGGGGGCGCTGGCGTTGCAGGGCGTTGGCTTGCTCTAAATCGTAGGGGGATATAAATGCACGGGACAAAGATACGGAGCTAGTGCTCGGCCCAGCTACAAGACGAGCGAGGCCACAATGGCAAAACGGTTGCGTAAAGCCAACCACTCTTCAACAAACATATCTTCATTTCCCTACACCAACACTCTGACCACCCAGCAACCACTCCACAAAGCGTCTAGACTTGTGTGACCTACATCAAACTACTCCTCCCCCCAATCTCCATACTCGGCTCCCCGCCAGGCATATCCCCCTTCCTCCCCACCACAAACTCCCGATAAATGGCCTCCAACCGCCTCACCTCATCCCGACTAATACTGCTCCTCGTCGCCGCCAAACTCCTCTCCACATGCCGCCACTCAATGACCACCTCGTCATCCTTCTCTTCGCCCGCCCCCCTCTCCCTCTGCATCCCCTGCTGCTGTTGGTGGTTAAAGCTATAGTCCCCCCTCATGGCCGCACGCTCCCGCTTCCGCAGCAACTTCAGCTCCTCAAGCTTCGCCGCGATGCTGGCGTGCGAGTCCAGCTTGAGCGCCTTATTGCCAGCACCACCAAGTCGGGCGCCGCCGCCGCCTTTGCGCGCCTCGGCGTCCAGTGACGGGTCGAAGAGGAATTGGCTGACGTCGTGGCGCTTGACGCCGCCGGAGGCAGAGCCTTTGCGCGAGGAGGCAGAGCCCTTGCGCTGGCTGTGGGTGCCGTTCGTCATCGTGCCGCCTTTACTGTGTTGGTGGCCACTGCCGCTGCCGCTGCCGCTGCTGCCGCTCGTCTTGTCGCCGAGGAGGTCGTGGATGGCTTCGAGGTGCGCGTTGTACGCGAGGGCCTGGAGGTCCGCGCCCGTGAAGCCGGCGGTGCGCTCCGCGACGGTCAGTAGCCGATTCTCGACCTCGGGTTTCAGGCGCAGCTGTTTCGTGACGGCCTTGAGGATGTCGAGGCGGTCGTCCATGTCTGGCATGTCGCACAGGAGGGACTTGTCGAGACGGCCGGGTCGCAGGAGCGCTGGGTCGATCAGGTCGGGGCGCGATGTCGCGGCTAGCACGTACACGCCGTCCAGGCCCTCGGCGCCGTCCATCTGCGTCAGCATCTGATTTACCACTCTGTCTGTGACGCCGGTGCTGTCGTGGCCGCGCTTCGGCGCGATGGAATCGAATTCGTCGAAGAACAGGACGCATGGCTTGGCTGCCTGGGCGCGCTCGAAGAGGTCGCGGACGGACTTTTCGGACGCGCCAATGTACTTGTTAAGGATCTCGGGCCCTTTGACGCTGATGAAGTTCAGGTTGCACTCGCCCGCCACTGCTGACGCGAGCAGAGTCTTACCGCAGCCCGGGTAGCCGTAGAGCAGCAGGCCGGATCGTAGACGAAGTGGTGATTTTGCAAAGATCGGAGCATATTTGGTAGGGTACATCAGTGTCTCAAGAAGGGTCTTTCGCGTTGTTTGTAGGCCGCCAATGGAAGCGAAGGTGGTCGAGGAGGTCGTTAGCGTAACGTTACGTAGAGATGTGGGCGTGAAATTCTTGAGCGCAGCATCGAAATCGGTCTTCGTAAGAGTGAGGTCGTTTCCAGCATTGTCGGATTCGGTCAGAATCGAACGTGTGAGACACGCATCACGAGCTCGACTCACGAGGAGGACGAGATCCGCGGGCATGTAGCCATCTGTATTTCCAGCAATGTCCAGTAAATCGAGGTGTGGAGATACGCGAAAACCGTCTCGGTCTGAACCGGTTGCGGAGTTAGGACGACTCGAGGGATTCGAGGGATCCATCCACGAATGCTCAGACATGTTTTGCGAGTTGCTTGTGCTGCGAGAATGCCCGCCATTTACGCCATTGACGTGTCGTGTTTCTTCAGCCAGAAGCTTATACAACACATCACGTCGGATCTCTTTTGTTGGGGCTTTAATGCTGATAATGTCTCCCACGACATGGCCGCTTATGATTAGGCTGTGAATACTGTCTTTCGACTGTGCAGTGGCCAGAAGCGTGACTCCTGACTGGAAGGTGCAGTATTGCCTTAATATTGAGCAAAGCACTTCGGCGATCTGCCGACTTCGCTCGTTGTCATTGCTGAGCGTCTGCATCTCGGTCTCGGCTGGGCAGATCTTGTCTAGGTCGTCGAGAACCACAACCGACTGCCCACCCAGGCGTGCGCACCAGGATGCCGACATGAAAAGTCTTCTGAGCGTATCCCGAATGGTCGATACTCGTGTCTCATCGGTCACGAGCTTCTGACAAGAGAAGTAGGTCACATTGAACAAGAAATCTTCTCGGAGTTGATGTGCAATGGAGCACGCAATTGAAGTCTTACCAGAGCCAATCGAGCCAGTGAGCAGCACAGATGAGCACAGTGTGAGGTTAGACATGCTCTGCTTTAGCACCGGCTCAGCGCCGATCAATTCTGTGCCCTTGTGTCGCAGTTCCTGAGCAAAAGTCGGAAAGATGATGCCCAACTCCAACGGCCTCGGCACTTCAGAGCGAACCTCTGCAATACCTTTCTGCTCTTTACCTAGCGCCCATATCAGTGAGCTACCCGAATCACCTTCGGGCTGCCCCTTTTGTTCAATGCGGAGCACACCTCCCGGAAAGTGCATTAGTGAGCTCGGATCTCCCGAGGGAGGAAGTACCATGCCATCCGTAATTGGTCCAGAAAGCAAACCCTCATTGCTGTCGTGGGCGATGCGCATTTTGTCAAGTGTTGCTGCTTTGGCGGCTTTTGAGTCACCCCCAAACCTCAACTCATCCCGTTTTTGCGATCCTTCGCTCGCAAATGGAAACAGTTGCAGGGACTGCACCGAGGAAGGATGTAGAGGCCGGAAAGCAGGTTCGATTCTGACGATATTGCCAACCGCTTCGTTGATACCAAGCATAGTGGAAAGCATGGATGAGATTCCGACATGATGGCTGTCGACCGCGCCATTCCAGAGCAGTACCTCCGCAACAATTCGTGTTGCTGGTCTTCCAACGTCGCTGGATTCTTCTTCCTTCAACCGCTCCATTTGTGACTTCTCAAGCTCCGCTCTCAAGCCGTTTGGCCTGACGATGGAGATGCTAGCATGCTTAGCCCCTTTCATGGCTTCTGAGTCGGCATGCTCACGCGGCAGCCAGAGCTTTAGACCCGAAATATTGCCACTGTCATGCTTGAAGAATGCATCTGCGACCGCTCGATCAACCGCCCGGAGAAAGAGAGCGTTCTTGTAGCTTGACGAACGACGGCCGCCAGAGCTATGCGCCGCGCTTGCACCACTTTTCCCGCTACGCCGACTGGTCACGCTGCGAGCCTCACCTCGCTGATTCCTGCTCGAGCCTGGCCGTGTCTTTGGAGCAACCACTACTTCGGCATCAGGAGCGATCTTGGCAAACGGGACGGTAGTTGGTTGTGGCGGCACAAGAGAGGTCACTTTGATATTAGCCGTATGTGTCGGTGAGAGATGCAATGTCAGTGGGTGATTGGTCTCAATCGAAGGCGCTGCTTTACTAGCAAAGGCTGGGTTTGGTAAAGCCCGAATCTGAGAGAGTAGATTCAATTCCAAGAAATTGGCATGTAGCTCAATAACTTCCCAATCAGCTGGTGTAAGTGGCTCAATGTTGACAGTATGAGCCAATGGTGGATCCAGGTGAACCAGGAGCCCAACTTTCCTGCCTTCACTTAAGCCCAGCTTGCTGCCGAAGGTGCTGTCAATTTCGATCATGGGCACGTCGAGCTCTTTCGCACCACGCCGATCAGCATTTACCACAGATGCTGGCCGCGTTCGACTGGCATATCCTGTCCACCCTGTGTAGACTGATCGTTGAAAGCCTGTCCCTCCACTTGACACCGATCCGGATGATAACGTCTGCGACTGATATTGAATCTCAATGATAACGTTCTGAGCCGGGATATTTGACGCGTCTATGAGTGCAATGAGGTTTGGTGGCAGATTGACCAAGCAGTTCTGAAGTGCCACGAAGGCGACCTCTGCACGCGCTGCTGGTGCCATCGTTGTTGCGATAGAGAATGTAAGGAAAGTTTACGATCAGTCGTACTAGCGCATTGTACAAGAAAAGTCCAGATAGTGATAGACTCTGCGAGAGGATGGGTAACCGCACACTTATCAAACGAGGCTGAAGAAGAGTGTTGAATGTAGTCGTTTGATGAGCGTTCCCTCGAGCAGCTTCACGTTCCCGACCTCGGCTCGTCGGAGTCGGCAGAACAAAACTTCCGTGCAAACGCCAAGGCTAGACCCATCAAGAGCTTGGCACTTTGACGCGAAACGCGTTGACGCGAACTTCCCCTCGCTGGGTCGAACAATTCTCGCAACCACTCCCCTCCCAGTCCTCCCACCGCAACAACGTCGCAAAGATGGCGCTTCTCCAGTACAAAGCTCCCGTCGACTATGAAGCACAGCTAGATGCCTTCAAGTCGTTCCTGGAGAAGTTCGAAACCACACAGACCGCTTCAGACGAAGCCGCCGAAGCCATCAATGACCTTAACCTGAACGGTGATGACGAGTACGACTTTATGGACGATGTCGCCAATGGCGCGACACCAAACGGACGCTCACAAGGCACGAAGCGAAAATACATCGAGATGCTGCAGGAGGTAGCGGACCGCGACCGCCAGAACATCCTCATAGACCTGGACGATCTAAAGGAGTTCGAGGATTCATTAGACGCGGATTCGAACCTCAAGCTGGTAGACTCAGTGCTGAACAATACAAAGCACTACGTGGACATCTTTTCCGATGCGGTTGACAAGATCATCCCCAAACCTAGCAAGGATATTTCCTTCAAAGACGACGTTTTGGATGTGATCATGTCCCAGCGGCAGAAGCGAAACGACACTCTATCACAAGCAGCGCAAAATGAAGCCGAGGCGGCGATACCTATCTCTACATTTCCTCCCGAGCTGACGCGCCGATACACTCTCAATTTCAGGCCCCTTACGCCGGCTGGCGAGAAAGACAAGACTCTGGCAGTGCGTCAGGTGCGAGGTGAGCATCTTGGTCATCTCATCACAGTTCGCGGCATCACGACGCGAGTATCAGATGTCAAGCCGGCTCTCCGCATCCAGGCTTACACTTGCGATAGTTGCGGCTCCGAAATCTTTCAGCCCATCACTACGAAGCAATTCACGCCCATGCAGGTCTGCCCTTCTGAAGAATGCGAACGAAATCAGACAAAAGGCCAGCTGTTCCCTTCAACTCGGGCATCGAAGTTCCTTCCGTTCCAGGAGATCAAGATACAAGAGATGGCAGACCAGGTGCCGGTCGGCCACATTCCTCGAACCCTAACCATCCACGCACACGGTTCCCTGACACGTGTGGTAAACCCCGGCGACGTAGTGGATGTTGCAGGGATCTTCCTTCCTACGCCCTACACCGGCTTTCGTGCCATTCGTGCCGGTCTCCTCACAGATACCTATCTCGAAGCCCAGCATATTACGCAACACAAGAAGGCATACCAGGATCTCAAGCTCGACCCTCGTGTGATCCGCCGCATTGAGTCATACAAAGCCACAGGTCATCTCTACGAGTACCTTGCACGGTCCATTGCGCCTGAGATTTACGGACACCTTGATGTTAAGAAAGCCCTCCTGCTACTGCTCATCGGCGGTGTCACCAAAACCATGGGCGACGGCATGCGCATCCGTGGTGATATCAACGTCTGCCTAATGGGAGATCCAGGTGTTGCCAAATCCCAACTCCTCAAGTACATCACGAAAGTAGCCCCTCGCGGCGTTTACACGACAGGTCGAGGATCCTCGGGCGTCGGTCTCACTGCAGCTGTGATGCGTGATCCCGTCACCGATGAGATGGTCCTGGAAGGTGGTGCCCTCGTTCTGGCCGACAATGGCATTTGCTGCATTGATGAATTCGACAAGATGGACGACGGGGACCGCACGGCTATTCACGAAGTCATGGAGCAACAAACTATCTCCATCAGCAAAGCTGGTATCACTACCACTCTGAATGCTCGCACCTCAATTCTTGCGGCCGCCAACCCGCTGTATGGCCGCTACAATCCCCGCATATCACCCGTCGAGAATATCAATCTGCCAGCAGCGCTCTTGTCCCGATTCGATATCCTTTTCCTCATCCTCGACACGCCCTCGCGCGAATCCGACGAAGAACTCGCACAGCACGTTTGCCATGTGCACATGACCAACAGTGCCGATCCCACAGCCTCTACGAACGGCGCTACAGCCCCCACTTCCCAGACCAACGGCGACGCCACCAACGGCCCAACCTTCTCGCCCCACGAAGTGCGGCAATACATCGCTTTGGCGCGCACGCACCGCCCCACAATCCCAGCCTCAGTCTCCCAGTACCTCACCGGCGCGTACGTGCGCCTGCGGCAGCAGCAGAAGCGCGACGAAAACTCCAAGCGCCAATTCACGCACATCTCGCCGCGTACGCTGCTCGGCGTGCTCCGCCTGGCGCAAGCGCTGGCCCGGCTACGCTTCGCCGCCGAGGTCGTCAACGAAGACGTCGACGAAGCCCTGCGTCTCATCGACGTCAGCAAGGCGAGCCTGTACGCCGACGGCCGCAATGGTCGCGCCGACATGAGCGTCAGCAGCCGCATCTACGAGGTCATTCGGGGCATGCGCGAGAGCGGCGCAGCCGCCGTGGGCCGGGGTGGCGCAAGCAGGGGCGAGATGGACTTCAAGCGCGTGAGGGAGCTGGTGCTGGGGAAGGGGTTCAAGGAGGAGGAGTTTGAGCGTGTGGTGGAGGAGTATGAGCTTTTGGACGTGAGTTTCTTCCCTTTCCTGTTCCTCAATTTTATCTCGTTTTGGGTAATGCTAACACACATTCTGCAGGTCTGGCAGCGAGCCAACAATGGGACACGGCTGGTGTGGGTCGAGGCCGGAGATAGCGATGATGACGATATGGCTTGAATGGCGCAGGATTCGTGTTCGTACTCATCTTCGCATTGGTGTCTTGGTCGCCTGGTTGTTGGGCAACTTGACGTTTCTGTTCATGCTGCTGATGGATTATGCTCGGCGTCGGGGGTCAGTCTGCCTGTTTAATTGCTCAGAGTATGGCGCTAGTTGAACTTGAAGGAAGACTATAGTAGTAGACGCATGTTCAAGTAGAGAAGCGGACGAGATGGGGGGTTACCACGGGAGCCGCGCATGAAGCCAAAAGATTAGCAATGCTAGATACATTATGTCTCGCTTCCCGTCGCTACACGGTACAGTGGTGCTATCGGCTTGTGTTCCCTACAATACCGCCTGTTTCATAACTGTGCTTGCTTCGAACGCCTCATATACCATGTTCAACTTGCCCTACTTGCTGAAGACCATTTTGACAACAAAGAATTTCAGCGAATGACATCCTGTAAGTCTGCTCATCAATATCATACCCACGCACACAGCAGTCCTCCGGAGGTTCGTCGACTCAATGTGAAATGAAAGAATGTAAGCTGTCGTGATGCTCTGAATGCTCCGAATCAAGCTCGACTACCGGCGCGCATGGATTGTTGTCGGTGCTGCGGGCCAACGCTATGACCACGGTCACCGACAGACCCGAAATTTTGCTTGACGGCATCGTCATCCTGATCCTTGCCGAAGTGCGCGGAGGCCTCGGCGAGAGGGTTCCTGGTATATCCACAGGGGTCAGGCAAGCTCGCCATCCCAAAAACCCCAGCAAAGGGACCGAATGGGGAGTCGAACACGTGAGCATCGGGCTGACCGTCGAACGGAGTCGCTTGCCATTGCAATGGATTGTCAGATTGCCGTCCGTGATCCTGTGCAGGCGGGTAGTTTTCCTTGCCAAGCCCGATGTCTTGCAGGGGATCCTGCGTGGAGCTAGCTCTGTGCGGGTTGTAGTGGGCATCCATGAAGAGTGGATTTTGGTTCTGAGGCTGCAGCCATGGGGCTTTTTGGTATGTGAGGCGAGGGGCTGGGGCATTGTATGATTGGGTCAAGGACACGAGCTGAGTAGAGTCCAGTGCAATGGCCGGGCTGCCCTCGAAGATGGCGAACTTGGCACGTCGCTTCTTTGGCGGAATGCTGCCAACAGCAATCTTGAAATCGTCCTCGTCCTCGGAGGGCGAGTACAAACCCGGATAGCGGGTAGCATGCACGGGCATTGGAGCATCGGCCAGGGCAGGCTTAGGAGTAGCTGCTGCAGCCCAGCGTCTACGCTTCGGTGTAGGTGAAGCTTTCCTCTTGGACGTGCGAGTAGCGTTGGTGAAAGCCCGGTGTACAGGCTTCTTCTTGAGACGTGGCTTCGGTTTGGGCTTAAACATGAGTGGTGACTCGCCCTCGATCAGGCTGCTAGCATCGTCGAGATCGTCGATGTGGCGACTCTTCCTGAAAGACCATTCGGCCGAAAATGTGACTTCATTGGGTATGACCATGCGAGAGAGACGTTCCATTCTCTTGACGACTGATGCATCCTTCCTTTGGTTTCGTCGACGAGCTTCGTCTGGAGTCGCAGCATCGAACAGGTCCATGCCGGGCCAAATCTTCCCTTTCAGCTTGTTGCTGGCATTAGCAGGCGTCGCAATGAGAGCTGGGTCGATTTCCGTCGGGTAGGTGTCGTTGAAAGGCGGTGAACTTTGCATAGATGAGGTTTGTCTAAGAGGCGTGAGAGGGTAAACTCCAGTTTGGACATTGCTGGTGGTACAGTCAGTCATGCTGCAACTTCTAAGCTGCTGAACTTACCTATAGCCGTTTCCGTTGTCAACATCAGCATCTCCGCTGGTCTTGTTGGCTCGGCCACGCCCTCTTCCCCGGCCGGTCGTACGACGTTGGACTGGAGGATCGGCTGAACCACGCTCTTGCTTTATGGCACGCTTCTTTCCTGCACCATTTCGTTTGGAGGCTTGCTTGAGCTCTTTTTGCTGCATGCGTTCGGACAGAAGTTGAGCCAAGCCATGCTCTTGATACCATTGGTTGTAGGCACTCAAGTCGTAGGCAGCTTGAAGCTCTTGATGGCTCTTGACTTGCAGCTTATGCAGCTGAGCCAGGTGAGCCTTGGAGCTGACATGAGTGAGAAGGTGGGAGACGTCGGTAAAGGAAGGTCGTTGTGGACAAATGCTGCAGTTGAGCATGGACGTCATGGTTGCCGCGTGTGATGGAACGTAAGAACGACAGGACAGACTTTGGTGAGGTCTCGCAGCACGACTGCTGAAAAATGACCTGGCAACGTGGTAGGCACAGCACCGTTAAGGTGCAAGTGCTGACGGAGCAAGAGGTAAGGAGGATCTGGGGAGGAACGGGCAAATTTGTGGATGAGAAACGATGGGAGATGCATAAGATGAAAGGAGATGGCAAGCGCTGATGGAGCTCACGATCAGTGGCCGTGTCAGTGTCCAAAATCACAAGAGGGAGGAACGACGGACAGAAAGTGAAGTTGATTCAAGGCGTCACTGGGAAGGTGGCGAACATCGTGCCTTCTTTCCCAGCGGCCAATGGTAAGATCGGAATCGCCCTAATATCAACGAACCTCGCCTCACCCTCCTCACCTTTCACTCACTTTGCACTCACCATAGCATTATGCTTGATCACCATTTACCTGCGTGCACCATGGACCGAATGTCTTGCGATCTATGAGTCCTGTCACCGCAGGCATGCGGAGTTATGAAGCAGTCATAGGTGATCGCAATGTCAATTTTCTCTTGTCTTGTATCCCATCTCTCAGTTGATGCATCAAGAGGGTTATTAGATCACAAGAGGAGTTCCTCTGTCGCCCACGATATGACTATCTAGCATGCCGTACATTGTATGGCAGCGCCTCGGTGACTGGTATGGGCATACAGCTAGCTTGCGTCAGTGCAAAGTCGAGATGGATGGGGGACAATTCTCACTACACAGGATCGACCTCAACGAGACCCGGATAGCCCAGAAGGCTTAAGCCAGCGACACCGAAGACAGTGTGGAATACATCGACCATGTCTCCCGGTCGATCGGACATTCCTCCATGATCGGTATCCTATTAGTCGTCAACAGCCTGATCGAACGGGGTGGGAACACACATACCTGGCACTTGAGGATGAAGTTGCTGAGCTTATCCCCATCTATCCAGTGCAGCCGCTTGATCATGGCTAGACTACTCACCACCCACCAGCTATAGCAGACATCTTCCAGCTTTTCAGGACGACCATTGAGTCCACCGTTAGGCAACTGCCGTTCACTTAGCCAGGCTCCGAGACGGTCGATGTCCACCAAGTCAAGCCTTCTAGCGATAGACAGCGCACCGACACACGTGAAGACTTGTCCAGAGTGAGACTCTGCTCCGGGAGATGTGCCATATGCGCCGTCTAGGTTCGCACACTGGTGGATGTGATCAACAGCCCCATCGACGTCCACCAAGTCCATCAAGTCCAGTATTGAGAGCGCGATGAAGGCGCAGTGAAGGAATCGAGTATCCTTCTCGCCCCATACATCGCCAGCAAAGGTGCCCGAGTCCTTGTCCTGAAGGCCAGCAATATCTGCATGATCAGCATTGGCTGACCAAGGGTTCGCGAATAGTGCTCACACTTGGCAACCTTCTCCTTTCCTCCATTACCATCAAGCTCGGACAGGGCATCGATAGTGGCCAAGATCTGAACAGCACTAGTGGTATAGAGCATGTGTGAATCGTGTTTCGGCGCGGCTCCAAACCCACCATCAGGATTCTGACACGCCAATACGAACTCAATGGTCTTGTCTCGAGGCAGGACGTCTGGATGGCCAAGTAAGCACAAAGCAATTAAGCCCCAGTAGACGCCATTGAGACGCAAGTGCTCGGTCAGCCAATATTCAAGTTCATCTCGCCGCTGCGCCAGATGTCAACCAACCATTTTGTAGCAACAACTACATGTCACGCACAGTATCGAGAGTCTCGATGTAGCTCACGTGCTTATCGATCACAAGCGTTAGCTCGTTCGGCAGCATCTGACCGCCTCCCCTACCGGGTCCTGACACGAGCGACATGTCGATAGCCGGGGATCGTCGGAAGCTGCCGCACAACAATGTCTGGCTCGGTAGTTGGAGATTTTGCTATGAGCTGCTCTCTGGTATCCAGATAGCGAATTGCATTCCACGGTATGCTGGGAGGTGGCGACTTGATATCGTCGGAATACGAAGATGGCGACAGGCTGAAGCCCAAAAAACCCGAAAGGTCAGGGACAACGAACCCGCATGGCGCCCCTGTGCCCCTGTTGCTTGGCATGCACATCACGCTTCGACTGATCGATTTACGCCTCCCCTGAAACACTTGCATCGCACCCGGCCACAGACTGCCCCGAGTCAGACAGCAGTCTTGGCTTGCGGGCGCAGGAATAGCAATATCGTGGTCGCTCACTTAGAAACCAGACAGCAGAATCAGCCATCCGTGGAAAATTTGGCGTAATGCACAAATCTTCCCAGTGGCAACATTTACAGGGGAGTTCAACGGGCATTAAACCCTGAATGTGCAGCGTAGCGAGACCCCTGGACTCAAGTATAACTCTCGCGCCGACAGAATCATATGTATTTGTACTCACTATGTCTGCATACTACGCAGGCCTACTGCACCTCCTAAGCCCGGCCTAGACAAGGCATGCTGCGTGGACTCGGATCTGAACGACATGGACCTGACAATCCTAGCTGTGGCCGTGGCAGGTATTACCCACCAGATACTACATTCATTTCTCGTATCTCAGACAAAACATGCTGCGTTTTCGGCAGACGTACTCAAACCTATGCTGAACGCTCGTGCTGCCACGCATCGTCTTGAAGCACGAGGCCGGCCAGAGGCCTGACGCCACGCCGCTGCCGGCCCCCATACCCCTTGATCCTTGGATTCTTGGATAGAACTGATCCCACCCGTGCCTTCTTCCTCCTCGTACCCCTGCGCATGACCCACTCTCCGCCTCCTCAACTTGTGTTTCTGCTCACCCGGTTGCGCCAACGTCCTGCGACACGCCAACAAAGGCCAATTTCCTCACCCACAATCCGCTGTCTACTGCCCACCTTCTCTGTGTTTCGGGCACCCGTCGACCGCCCGCCTTGGATAGCGGGGAGGAGACATCTCAGCTTCACGTATCACGGCGCCTGCACACCGCTACCTCGCACTTCGACATTGCCGTTGACCTGCATCTTGCCAATTAAAGCTTACCGCGGTCTTGCATTGCAGATCCCATCAATTACCTCCCTTTACGCTCTGATAGTCCCTTAGGCTTCTGCACACACCTTCGTGCCAGACTAAAATCAGAGCGGGCACTAGCAACCGTCGCACCCCTTCGCCGAATCGTCCCTCACGCCATCCTCGCCTGTTCTGCGCACCGATAATGACCTGTTGTCCCCGTAATGATATGACATTTGAATCGATCGCCAGAACTCCTGCCTGCGCATTTCGCAACGGCCCATCTTGATCATCCCTTCGAGAAAAAGGAACAAACCCAGTCCGAAAGACTCGACGCCATCCTCGGACACCAGCCTGCAAATACATCCTCCACAACAACTTTCACGTCGTCCGAGTCCCGCCTATCTCTGCTCGAATAGAAGCTGCGCAAGCTGCCAGATCTGTGTCTGTACCATAGCCCCGACTGCGGCTAACCACTGCCGGCCGAACCTACCCATCCCTGCCCGCACAAGATTAAATCACAGCCGCCCTTTATAGTACCGCTGTTGTCGTTGCAAGTGGTCGCACAGAACCAACATTCCGCTGCCGGGAAAAAAACAAAGGGTGCTCTCGACCCAGTGTCAGTGCGGGTCTGTGCCTGAGCGAGCAACAGTACCCACGGCTACGCGCAGACCTCCTGGTCGATGACACATAGGAGATGCCTAAAGCCACGGATCTGCCGAACCTCAATCTGACTGCCTCCATACGGAATGTCAGTGAGCTTGACGAAGGCATACCCGGCTTGAGCCCTTACTCTACTGGCTCACGAACTCCTCGTTCAGCCCCTAGCTCTCCTCGAGTTCCATCCTCCGATGTTCCGTCCATCATGCACCAGGTGAATGGGCCATCAAACCCCGAGATAAAGACCGAGAGCAATGGCCACACTTCACCGCGAATCACTGCCATGCCTGATCTACCGCCCTCTCCAACCAGCGCTCAAGCGACCCTGAAGCACGGAAGGGAACCTTCAAAATCCTTCTTCTCGAATTTGATGGCCTCAAAATCCTCCCACAAACTTCATGCGTCCGAGACAAGCCTACCAGACTCCGCAGAAAAGCTCAGCGCTCGTAGTAGAGCAAGCTCAAAAGATCGATCGCTCCACTCGGTACGTCGACAGGGCTCTACGCCAGAACTCCCTCGATACAATATGCCTACGAGCCAGGCACAGACTGCGCCCTCGCTCCGCGAATCGGTCATGAGCAATAATACACAGGAGTTGACTCAGGGACCCGGCCAGGCTGGCAAGAGAGGCAAATCAAAGCTGGGGGGGATGTTGACGAGAACAAAGACCCTACGAGGCGAAGAGAATGCTAAGCAAAGGGCGGCTCCCCCTCCTCCTCTCAATGTCGAGACCAACAGTGCCCCAAGTCAATCCGCAGAACCTCCCCCAAAAACTGCGCCCTTGAAGTCAGACCATCGAGCCCGAGCATTTGGCGGGTCCGATGGCAATACACCACGTAATCGGTCTGCTGATCGCACTTTGCACGAGGAATTCAAGCAGCCCAGAAAAGACCATAGGCAGACACAACACATGCCCCTGTCTCAGTCATTTCAAAGCGGTGGAAACTTACTTTCCAACATCCAACAGACCGGTAAAGGCGTAGGCGATCGACTGGGCAAGGCTGGCAAGGGCTGGTTCGGCAAGATCACAAGGAGTGGGAGCAGCGTGGAGCGAGATGCTCCGCCTCCCGAAGATCATGTTATGCGCAACATCAACTTGCCATTGGTGAAACAAACGCGGCGTACGAGAATAGCAAGGCGGCTTGAGCTTTCCAAGGACAAGACGGAATTTTGGATGCCAGCTTTGCCATGGAGATGCATAGAGTGAGTATATCCACCCCTCGTATGAGCGTGCTAACGTTTCCAGCTATCTCAATATGAACGGTTGCGAAGAAGAAGGCCTCTATCGGATCCCAGGCTCTGGAAAAGAAGTCAAGTACTGGCAAAGGCGATTCGACACCGAGTACGACATCAACCTTTTTGAGGAACCTGATCTGCACGACATCAACACTATTGGATCCATGTTCAAGTCCTGGCTGAGAGAGTTACCAGACGAGATTCTACCGAAGGCAATTCAGAACAGGGTAGCACAAGAGTGTCAGGGGGCTACCGAAGTACCTCAACTGTTCAAGGACGAGCTATCCAAGTTGCCACCGTTCAACTACTATCTCTTATTCGCCATTACCTGTCATTTGAGTCTGCTGACCAGCTTCTCGGACAAGAATAAGATGGACTACCGGAATCTATGCATCTGCTTCCAACCTTGTCTGAAAATTGACGCGTTCTGCTTTCAATTCTTGGTCAACGAATGGAAATCTTGCTGGCAAGGTTGCTGGACAGAGAAGGAATATCTCGCCGACGAGTATCGCTACGAGCGCGAGGGCTCAATCAACGAGAGCGAGGACCTCGCAGTCGATGATCGAGGAGTGAGCTCCAGCGACAGCAGCCAGCATCAGCCATCCCACGCTCCACAAAGCCAGCAGTTGTCAGATCTCCCGCAGTCAGCCGCGTCCAACCATCGGGACACCATGAAGCCAACGGGTCTTCGCAAGTCCAACTCGAAGAAACACAAACCTAGAAGCCTCTCGCATACGGAAGTGCGAAAGACCTCTGGCACGAGTAACCACACACCCGCCAACAGTGCTCCCAGCGTGCCGCGAGTGGTCACAACGCCCGAGCCTCAAAGGATCCCAGCCCCTGACAAGCTGCCGGAAGTGACCGGCCTGAGCCCAATCAGGATGTGAGACGCAACTAAGCTCTAGCGTCATGTACGACAGAACTCTCTTTATGAATGATTATGCAAAGCCCTCGGTTCAGTGCAGCAGTTCAAGAAGAAGGAACCTGGTGTGTGTTTCATCATATCAAGGTCACCGGGAACAAGAAAGGAAGAAAGAGGGAGCCATCTTATTCTATCAAACCACAGATATTCTCCCACATCAACGATATGGCATGCATTGGATAACGACGACTTTGAATACGAAAGTGGGAGAAGAAGATTGAGCTATCACAGTCCACACAATCCATCACAGCGTTGGAGTTTTTTCAGAATGGCGTTTTTTCCAAGACAACGGGGAAGTGAGGAGAAGAAGAAAGAAGAAGAAGAAGAATTTATTGTACGATTAGCAGGCTTTGGGGATATACCCAAATAAGTGATTGATTTCGAGGATCGAGAGAGATGGTGAAGAAAGAGAAGGGAACCTAGGATGGGGGGAAACGAAACGCAAGGAAACGCGGGCAAGAGTGGGATTCGACGGCGTGTGTGTACGTGTGTCGTGTGAGGTTGAGAGCCATAGTTTCGAGAGTGGTACAGAGGGGAAAAAGTATTTCTTGGTGTGGAAGAATGATGATTGACCACGATGTTGATGAATTGAGGCTTGCTTTTTGTCGTCGCCCAGGCTGGGCATCATAATACCTGCGTCTGTCGTCGTCTCTGTTGACGACCAGCTCGTGCGCCCCCTTCCTGCTGCCTCCTTTCTCCTGCTGAGCATTGAGCATTCATCCGTTGGTGATTCGTCCACGCGCGATACTTGCAGGACCTGCTGCCGGCGTTGGCGGCAGCCCCGCGAGATTTCGACGGCTGCCTCGAGCCAGACGTCGACGAGAGACGAGAGACTCGATGACCTGCTCCGCTTTGGGGTCTTATCTCCCGGCTGATGCGTTTCAAGAGGCCCGGCGCACTGGTGGATAGGGAAGACAGGTCATCTGCCTTTTCCTCCTGACGACTTCCGCTGCCTGGCCCTTGATGGGAACAGGCGGTGACATTCGCAGGTTGTGATTGAAACGGTGAGCTGTGGCCGAACGTGCTTTCTCGGTGACCCTCATCAAACCCCCGTTCCAAAGGGAACAGCGGCTCACGAGCGTGCTTGGACCGCGTAGTAGTTTCGTTGGAAGTGACTCCTGTAGTCACCGCTCACCGCTCACCGCTGCACCAGACCATGGTCTTCAGACATCGCAGATGCACGATGAGCCGTCAAATGGATTTTCGCTCAAGACAGCACCCACCGACAAATCCCACAGAGCCATACAATACGAAGTACCGGTGTCTTCCTCAGGCCCCCGCCTTCCGGCCCCTCCGCTCGTTATTCCGCTCCTTCCTCTGCTGTCTCCGCACGCGCTCCATGCGCTCACGCTTGCCCTCACCACGCACGGTCTTGCCCTCGTCCTTGCCCTCCTTCTCCTTGCGGACGGCCTTGTCGTCCAGCTCCACCAGCCACTCGTCGCCTTCGCGCTGGTTCTTGCCCTTGTAGCCCCATTTCTTGACCCACTCGCCGCTGGCCTCGTCATAGACCAGGTTCTTGCGCTTCTCGGCCAGGGCGGCGCCGCCTTTGAGGTTGCCGCCAAACTTGCCGATGCCCTTTTTGCGGGCGAAGGCTTCCCATTTCGTGGGGGCTTTGGGTTTGGGAAGGGGTTGGCGGCGTGGGAGGAGAGGCTGTGGTGGCACGGGAAGGGTCATGGTTAGGCCGGTGGGGTTGGAGGTGATGGTGATGGTGGGCGTGGTGAGGAGATGTGTGAGGAGAGATTGGGTGCCGTCGCGGGCTATGGCTTGCAAGGTGGATTCAAGAGAGGCACGAGGTTGTGAGAGTAGAGTGGATGCTCGAGGGAGAGGGTTGGGGTCCGTGGCAGTCAGGTAGGACGGTGTGAAAGTGTATGGTGTAGGTTTCTCGACAAGGTGGCTCGCGGCTGTTGGCTTGTCAGCGGACCCCGTCAGAGCATCTAGCTCGGCCATGGCGATATCAGTCATGGCGAAGGTTACAGAGCGGTGCCAGTGAAAGTTGCACAAGGAGTTGCGTAGTATTTCTGGAGCGGGTCGAGGTTGAAGTTGTGCTTCGAGAAATTTTGACTCGCTGCTTTTGCGGAGCGGCTTATCGATAAGGCCATTTCTTCTTTCGGACTCCAGAGCCAGTAGCCCTTTTTCGCATGTGTCCATGGCATCAATTCCACTTGTTCTGCATCATTGGCCCTCGTAGCTTCGCAAGCACTAGATGTCGCTTTGATTCTAGACTCAGCACGGGTGGGCTAGATAACACAGGACTTGTACGTGTTCGGTGCAATGCACGTTATCCAGAACAGCAGTCCGAGTCAGACCTATATGGCAAGGTATGGTTACATTGACGCCCTTCGAGGCGCCCTCCCCAGAACCGTGTAGACGCCTGTTCCAGTGCTACATCTATTCTTGATATCAGCCTCAAACTGGCGCAGTGTATATATCGCCTTTAAACTACTTGCACTTCTGAATACAATACTATCCAGCCAACCTCTCAGTCGAATCAAGCTCTGAGTCTAGATCTCTCCAAGATTTTCGACATGTCCACCGACGGCACCTCCGTCAGCACTGTACCCTTTCCCCTGACGTTCCGCGTCGCCACTGTCAAGGATGTGCCAATCATTCACTCACTCATCAATGCTGCATTCTGCAGTGACAAGACGGACCAAGTCTGGCTGACGCCAGAGCGCATTGAGGTCTTTCCAGTCAGCTATCTTACCACGAAGTTTAGTGAGCCAGACACCGTTCTCCTCGTTGCGCTCGACACAAACGCTGTCATCGTCGCATGTTGCTATCTTCGACGTGCGACCGCCACACCCGAGCGACCCATCCCTCATGGGTGGCTGGGCACTCTTGCTGTAACGCCCGAGTTGCATAACAAGGGCGTAGGTCGCCAACTTCTGGTCCATGCAGAGCAGTATATCGCACGCGAGTGGGGTGTCAGGCGGATGGAAATGAACGTGGTCAGCTCGAGAGTGGAGCTCAGAGCATGGTATAAGAAACTGGGCTACGCCGAGACTGGACACACGGAGCCGTTTCCGTACGGCTCGGGCGAGGCGGAGGGCGATGGTGAACGAAGGCAGAAGATACTGAGGGACGGCCTCTATATGATTGACCTCGGAAAGGATCTCGCTGCAGCATAACCCCATGTCGGGGAAGGCTTCGGCCAGTTGAACCTGGGGAGGAAGATTCCGATATTTCCACCCACTAATATTTTACCGGATGGAGACCTCGTCCAATGCCTTTCATCGCTAAGATCCTTCAGCCATGCGACAACATGATGCATCATCTCGACAGATGCGACCGCAGTTATAGAGGCAGGGCCGAAGCACCGAATCACATGGCTCAGACATCAGGTCCCGGCCAAGAGAAACCCGCTGGTCGGCTAGGAGGCGCAATAGATTGTCTATACACCACTGGCATAGATTTCATGCCGCCTCCCTACACCGACACTCGGTGCTCAAACATACACAATCCTTCCATGCCAGGTTTGTCCGCTGCTATCTCAAGCTTCTGATCACCTCTCTATTCCCTCGCTGGCAGCAGCACTCCCCAAGCCTCTCCAAAACCGACGCATTCCACGGTGCCCAACTCCCCAGCCCAACCCGTCAACCGCACCCCATCGCCATCCTCCAAGTACACTCTCTGCTCCCCATTACCCAGCTTCAGGGTCTGTTTCCCGCCTTTTGTCATCTCCATCAAGCAGCCCAGCGACCCCTCCTCGGACCCTGACACCGTCCCCGTAGCCAATAGATCCCCAGTCCGCAGGGCACATCCGTTGACGGTCTGATGCACTACAAGGTCCCGAAAACCATACGCCAGAGTATCCAGCCGTGACCGGCAAACCGTCACCCCCTCCACAGCTTCACCCAGCCCTTGCCGCGCCTGCTCATGAAATCCAGGAAACAGATCAACCTGCAAATCAATCCGAAAATGCGGCCCCAGCGCCTCCGCACCAACCTCACTCCTCAAATACGCAACCGGCTGCTCAACTCCCCCTCCCCCTGCCCCTTTCCCCTCTTCCCGCCGCGCCGCCCCGCTGCAGCGAAATGGCTCCAGCGCCTGCATGGGCACGACCCACGGCGAAAGCGTCGTCCCAAACGACTTGCCATTCAGGGGCCCCAGCGGCGGCATCTCCAGCGTCTGAATGTCGCGCGCGCTCCAGTCGTTGAGCAGCAGCAGGCCGAAGATGTGGGCCTCCGCGTCTGCGAGGGATACACGATCGCCAAGCGATGTGGGGCGGGAGATGACGGCGGCGACTTCGAGCTCGAAATCGACGGCGCGGGAGGGGACGAATACCACACTTGGCGCTGTTGCTCCTGTTGTTGTAGTGGAGCTGGCACGGATTGCACCGTAAGGGCGGGTGATGGGCGTGCCGGATGGGACGATGGATGAGGTGCGGCCGCTGTAGCCGATGGGATAGTAGGGGAAGGCTGGGGGGAGGGCGCGGGTGCCGGTGGCGGCTTCGCCGGCGTTGAGGACGTGGTCGTGCGAGCAGGAGAAATCGGTGAAGTCGCCGGTCTGGAAGGGCAGGTGGAGAGTGACGCTTTGGAGGGGATGGGCGAAGGGCTGGAGCTGCTCCGGGGCTTGCTGCTGGGGAGAGTCGAGGAAGAGCTTCTGGAGCGCGGAGCGGACCTCCTGATGAGTGCTTGTGGAAAGAGCGGCGAAAGCATTGAGGGTGGACTCGTTGGTTAGGGTGGAGGCTGTGTCGGGTGGGAAGGGTCCGATGAGGTTGTGTGAGATGAGGTCGGAGAGGAAGTACACATTGTTGTAGAGTCGGGTCACGGGGCGGGCGCCTGGATGAGAAGATGTGCTGGCGATGCCATACGGTATGTTTGACGGAGTGAAATGGGCATCGTCCCAGCCCGGTCTTGTTGTTGCTGGACTCGTCATTATGAGATCCTTTCTGGGTGGAGAGGCTAGATGGAGTTAGTTCGACCCGCGGGCAGGTTCTCTGCGATGACACCTACGCTGACACGCCTCTGTAGAATTTTGACAGTGTTAGAGAACGGATGGACCAGTCTTATGCTCTCGTGTTATGTCACGAAGCACCGTCAGGAGCCTTCACCAGTAGTAGTACTCCAGCGGCTGGTGGGTGTGCTTCGACGTGGACCCGTCACGGCCAGGATCACCATCTTCTCCGCAAGATCACAAAATCGGTGATCTTACAGTAGTATGCCTCGGAACAGACCCGCGGGCGTTCCTTTTCCCAGCCGTCGTGTTGCACCGTACATCGTGCTCGGGACCACATCGGAAGCAATGTGGGGCCGGGATGTTCATGCGTACTATGAGTAACGTCCAAGAGATGTTTCGGCATACGAACTCATGGACCCTTGGGCTCTCGAGGCTAGCCTAATGATCAGCAGCACGTTGATCGCCGTACTAGATCGTCCGATATGCACTGTGCAGAAAAGGGGGCTGGGCTGGGCTCGGATTTATCTTGACCGTCCATGCTCACCACCACTTAACGAGCATTCACTTCTTCGTCGTCACATTCTTCACTCCATTCCAACGTACGAGATAGAGCCTCAATCTCTAGCACTTCTGTTGCAGAGACGACAAATTGAGCAGAACAGAAAGTGAGGCGTCGGATATGCATGTCGAGCCTTATCAAGGGATGCGACTGGTTCATGCCAAAGTCCCCATCAAAAGCCCATGCAAAGACTTTTGCAATGCTTGGACGGCTGTCTCGCTGGCATGGTTGTACCAAAATGCCAAACATGAATTCGTTTACAACCTGCCCGCTGCGCTCTTCCTTTCTGGCTTTCGTGTCTCTATTTCAACAGATATAGTTTCATGGATACCTGTCTGCTTGAAGGATGAGTGCTACCTTGGAGCAGAGTGTGAGCAGCATAGTGTGCGAGAAAAGCCGCCCACAGCCTGATAAAATCCGAGTCCTTGCCACCTGTACACCATGAGCTCGCGGATGTAAATTCAAAGAGACCTTGAATCAACCGATATTTCCCAACGGCGCAGAGGTAATCATACAGAGTGCAGCTGCAACGGTCAATCTATTGGATATAGGAAGTTTCAACCTACGACGAACTCGTTACTTTCGGTGGCGAATTACACAGTACGATGGCGTTTTCACAATACAGAAGTCTAGATAAGACTCAACAAGAGATCCGGATATTGACATTGTACGCGGGCGCCGAGGGGACATCTATCGCCTGTAGTATTGAACAGACTCATCTGGCCGAGGCAGGTGAGTTCGCTGCATTGTCTTACTGCTGGGGTCCGGCAGGAGACGAAGCCGAAATAGTGGTGAACGATGAACCGATCTTTGTCAGGAAGAACTTGTGGAAGTTTGTGGCCAGTCTCCGACATTTGTACGGAACAATGAGATTGTGGATCGATTACATATGCATCAATCAGAGAGATGAAGAAGAACGTGGCCATCAAGTCAAGCTTATGGCCAGTATTTTCAGTGCTGCAAGTGACGTGTATGCGTGGCTCGGTGACGCTACACCGGAGACAGCTGTGGCCCTACAATTTATCGATGCGGTCTTGCCTTTCACCTGCAGTCAATATAAGGAAGCGTTCGACCGCGACTATCTGCGCTCGGGCATACGGGCCTTGCGAACGCTGATCGATCGAGAATACTGGACTAGGCTGTGGATCATCCAGGAAGTTACGCTCGCACGGAACCTGTGGCTGGTAGTTGGTGCCACTGCTATCCCATGGGTCGATTTGCAACGCGCTGTCACGGCCAAAGTGGCCCCCAGGAACAAAAACGCAACCGCAATAGAAGCTTTCCGCAAGATACGCAAGACGAGACAGCGGCGATTTAGAACAATCCCACTCAATCGACTTATTCAAGATTTTCATACGGCGGGCTGTCATAACCCGCGAGACAGAATCTTTGGGCTGCTGGGTCTTCTCGACGAACACGGACAATCCTGTGCGGTCGTCGACTATCGGTTGTCGATTTTCAACGTGTGCCTGGCTAATATGAAGTTCATACTTGCAACAGCTGGACCCCATAGAAGCGAGCCGTACATTGTCTGGAAGACCGTTCAGGGGATTTACAACGGCGATTACACAGAGCTTCACCGCCTAATGAACGATCAGGTGCTTCGATCGCAGCTCAATATCGGAATAGCAATGGAGCTTTTTGCTTTCAGAGGCGGGGCCAAGGGCGAGCTGGTATCGTATCATACGTTTGCTGCTCTCGATGATCAGCACTCTTCAATCGTGTTATTGACGCCTGAGAATGAGAATTCGCATTTCAAGGCTTATCTTACTAACGTCAGGCGTGATGAGCGGTCGGTAATGTTATATTCGACTACTCATTCGCGAGAATGGTCTGTGGTGCTCAACGCAAGAGGCTTGGGATTAGCGGTGAAGAAGAATGGCGATGCCTATACCGTCCTGGAAATCGTGGGCGACGGGGCCTATACTTGTCACGACAAGCTGATTATGAGGTATGGTATTGAATCCTGGCTGCAGGGTAGGATCCCAGACAGCGATTGCCAGATCATCGGGCATGAGTCAGAGCCATCACAGCTGAAGCGTCGTTACGGCCCTGGCTGGCATGTGTATCTCAATGGAGCTGCTGTGGTAGAGGCCATGAGGAATCATTGGTACCTCTGCTCGCTTAGCAGGTGCCCTCAAGCGCCATCAGTGCCCTATGACTTTACAGCTCCTCCACCCGAAAGCTGGAGAAATGTCGATGCTACTCTCACCTAACCGCATAAACCTTCACGAACGACAGAACCCGTTCTCGAGTCGCAGCAGGTCGGCCGCAGAGCCTTCGATCTTGCTTTGATAACACAAGTGACAAGTCCAATCATCACATGTTATTCAGCCGACCGTTTCGTGATCTCGACGGCATTGCTGGCACAAATCCCAGACTCCACAAGCGTTATTGACCCCCGCAAGCATCAGACAACCAGGGCATCAGTCATAGTAGGCGATAGGTAACAGGTCCTGCAAGAGATGCCTCGAGCTTTGGCGTGGGGGCGCTGTTGCGCGATGAGAGCATGAAAGAGTCTCTCGATGACACTATGATGGTCACGCGTGGATTAAAGGAGAAGAGGAATAATGCATTCGACTGGTCGGCTGTCAAGTGACTCAAATGCTGGCTTCTCGGGACAAGGACTTGCGCCAGCACACGTGCCACCTGCCTGGGCCAAAAGCTGCGCCTCTGTCCCGAGTCCCCGCACTTGAGAAGATTTGCCAATGGAGGTTGAATTTGCTGCGTAGTCTTTGTAGTGACGCCGCCTTTGGAGCGCATTTCGCCAACGCACGCGCAATGCCGCCACGGGGTGCGAAAACAACAGCCAATTGCACGGTGTTGTCTTGCGGCCAAGAGTAGGTACAAGCTTCCAATGCCATGCAAGGCCTCCAGATTTTCAGTTCGTCCCCGCATCGGAGATCCGAACCCGCGGTATGAGAAGTGACGCCCTGACTGGCGGACTCAGAAGTGTCCCGGTTTTGTCATCTTACACCTCGCAAGGCTCTGTGACTCGTGACCCCAGAAGATGGGTATACCAACAGAAGTGGTTGGCAGTCTCCCGCGCCCTGCTGTGCTGCAGCAGGCGTACGCAGACTATGATGCAGGAACAATATCCCAGCAAGACTTCGTCAAAGCTCAAGATCAGGCCGTTAAAGACTCACTAGACAAGCTGTCCAGCACCGGTGAGGTGTTGATCACAGATGGAGAGCAGAGAGCGAGCTCCTTTGCCACATACCCGATTACCGACACTCTTGGCGGTACTGGTCTGGCTGAGAACCTGGCCGCAGATGGTCAGTACTTTGCCATCTTCGATGATGGTCATCACAGGCAGCTACCACGACTCGTCAAAGGCCCGTTCGCATACAAGACTTATGCTTATGAGAATTTCAAGAAATCGCAGGCTCTGGCAGGAGGGCATCCTATGAAACAAGCCGTCATCGCCCCTTCTATGATGTACCTTCTGTATCCCCTCAACGGTACTGTAGAGGGTTATTCACGAGACCATTTTGAGCGAGACCTGGTCAATGAATGCGAGAAAGACATTCGTGGATGTTTCGAAGCAGGGGCGAAACGGGTGTCGATTGATTTCACCGAAGGTCGCCTGGCTGCCAAGAATGATTCCAAGAATCCATGGACGGGGGCAAAACTGCTGCAGACGTTCATCGACTTGAACAACAAGGTTCTAGGTAGGTCTTCCGGAAATAGTCACGGCCAGCGTCACGCTAACAGACGATGCTCAAGATCGTTTCTCGCCAGAGGAGCGAAAGAACATCGGCATCCACACCTGTCCCGGCGGTGATTGCGACTCGGTCCACTCCGCCGACGTCGACTATCACGAGCTCCTCCCTTCCCTCTTCCAGATGAATGCTGGTTACTTCTTGATTCAGCTAGCGTCGGAAAAGGACAAGACCAAAGTCTACGAGGAGATCGGTAAGACCATCCGCAAAGACGCCAAAGGCGTCAAGCAGGTTGCCTTCGTAGGGGTCATCAATCCCCTATCACCGGAAGTTGAGACACCGGAGCAGGTGCGAGACGCCTTGCTAGAGGCCGCAAAGTACATTTCTACAGACCAGCTGGGCGCCACGGATGACTGTGGTTTTAGTCCCTTTAGCATTGATGTCAAGCCGAAGCACAAGGGCCCAGATTTCGCACGCGAAGTGGCCTTCAAGAAGATTGCGAACCGAGTCAGTGGGGCACGTATGGCGAGTGAGAAACTTGGTATCTGATGTTGGCGAGGTTTGGGAATCTTTCTCTCCATCCCACGAAGCTCTAGCGTCCTCGTTCAACACGAGGTAATATTGGTAACATTAGTGCTACGGCGGTCGCCGGGAAAAGTAAATTCGATCTCTTGGAAAAGCAAACTGAACACAAAGCTTTGATGCGCTGCCAGGCCGCCGAGTCCAGTCTGCTTGCACAGGGCTGGCGGCTGGCTCCCATTGTATCTGGCAGGGCAGACTGCCAAAGCAGCTGCAGCGCGCTTGGATCGTAAATGTAACAAGCCTTTTTTTTCCCAATACTTTGATACTCTAAAAGCTTGGGCTAAAAGTTTCACCAACGTCGTATTTCCTTCGCTAAACGTGTGATACAGCGTCCGTGGCGGCATGCAAAGATGACAAACGTGGCTCGTGGGGGAGTACACCCCCGATGGAAAGGTGGAAACAAGCCTCCCCCCGCCTGACTTCACCCCGTCTGACGCTGAAGCATGCCAGTTCAGCTCTAGTCTAGTGGTTCTTCGGGGCAGAGGGCGCTCGGGTTTCCATTGGTTAATGGTTGCTTGATCCATACCAGTCTCTGGACCCGGCGAGCTCATTTACACGTCGCTCGATTCTTATGGTTGCCATGGGTAAGTCGTCACTCCACTGCTTGCCGTTCTCAGAGCGGCAGCAGATCGTATCATCACCGATCATGGCTTTTGGGGCACGAGACGGGGCGACAAGCGGTGCTTAATCATTCCTTAGTAACCTTCGGCGCCTCGAACATTGATTGGTGAATCTGTTTCATTTGACTTTTGGAATCTGCCCCTTTGGTTTGGACCAAACTGAAATTACCCAAAACGGGAGAAGGGTCTCATGGGTGGGAGTTCCAAGATAGAGAGCGGAAGCCTCTACCGCCGCGGTCAAACGAAGTCGGTAACACTAGCAGCTGGTACATTGATTCATACTGTGTTCCCAAGCTTCAATGAGTATATATTGGAAATCAATCCCGGCCCGAATCAAAGAAACTGGGTATTAGACAGTCTCTATTCACCCCACGATCCTACTAGGTACGCAAACGAACGCGGAGGAACCATGAGCCCTGCTGCATGCCAATTGGTATTTCAGCCGGCTGCTGACCCCAAGAGCAATTATTCGACCGCATCATAGAGCGACTCTTAGACGATGATAATGCGACCATCCGACACACAAGTCACTTCAGAGCCTTACCACAGCTGAGTCACACTCCAAGCTCAAACCCAGAATGAATTCACCTGCGTTCTACTTCCTACCGATCAAGCAATTTGCATCCATCAACGAGCGAGTCGAAGGCCTAGCCAGTGCCGACGCCCGATCACACGCTGCCAAAACGGCCCACGCTCGCGCCAAAGATCGCAAAGACCGGCTCAAGCGCTCTAGCCACGCAATGATGCTTCATCATGACACAAGCATCATTTGCAAGCGGTGCCGGCAACCGAGCAACGAAGTGACGCGAAGATGGCAGCGATGCTCCCTGAGTTTTCTTTCATCACCAACAAGTTGCGGACGAGAGCCTTTCCTCGTCGTGGCCGACAACCTGTCTATGGCCGACAGCAACCAGTTGCACTGGTGTAGGTCGTCGTGATCTTTTTGGTGTAGTGCCAGCTGACCGGAACCAGATCTCACGAGATACACTGCCGCGATTGACTCGACGAAACCTCGAAACAGCTTCTTCTGCCCCGTCAGAGACCTCCTATTGTCCAAACTCGCCGTCTCAGCTGCCATGGTCCAGTGTCTGATGCTGATTTCCGACCTCGCCGTTAATGCCAACTGCCAGCTGGTGTGCCTCCGGCGCATGATCATCTTCCAGAAACTAAGAGAACTGGTCGAGGACGACCAGATCTTCGAGGAACCCTCTACGGCCATGACACTCGCGACGGCCATCGTGGCCGAATATCGCGCGGGAAACATCAACGCGGCGAAATGTCACGGCACCGCGCTGCAGAACTGGTTCGCCGCACATGGTGGGTTCGACGCCGTTGAGAGCATGCCTCTTCTTTCACAGACTGGCTTACTCGCCATTCTCACATGTTTCGACATCACCATCTTCACCAGCAAAGACGACTTCGACCGTGCGCTGACAAGTTTCAAGCTGCCTGTCGGACACGGAGTACCCGTCTGGCTCAGCAGATATGTTTTCGCCGCGGGAGAAGGAACTCAAGTGGCGCTCCTCTACATCCTCAACTCCGTCTTGCAGTACCGACAACCTGATTTTCTCTGTGAACTACGACGAAGAGTGCTCAGTAACACTGAACTTGCCCCCGGGGCACTAATCCTCACGATCGCCGAGTCGATAAGTCGGACGGCCCCAGTGGCTACGCCGCCGATCCGCATCAGGGAGACCATTGAGTTCGTCCAACTCCTGTCATTCGCCACACGGGCAACGCGCACGGCGGTGGTCAGGTCGATGGCCGGGGTCTTACACGGTCTAGAGCCCATGGCCATCGACCTAGGTGCGCTGAAGCGAGAGATCCGAGAAGGCTGGACGAGAACGCTGTCTCGGAGGAAACATGGTGACGACGTTGCCGTGACAGAGGTTGCGGTTGGCTCACCTTTCCGGCGTGACGAGTCGACAGGACAGGAGCTGCCTTGGATTCTGAATGTTGACATCACCACAGAAAGCTGTCCGCATACAGGCCCAGAAACGACGAAGCAGTTAAGATGTCCTATGTGGAGATCAGGTAATATGTAGAATTTCTAAAGACTTTGGGACGCCTAGCCTCGCAACTTTCTTCCGTGTTGAGGTAGTCCCGCGTATAGCTAACTCCAGCCATCACTGCGCGGCCTGGCGTCAGACTGTGTGGCCTTTCGCCGACTCAACCAGACTCAGCCAGTCAATGTCTCCATCCAGGTCAACATTGGCGTTGAGGTAGTCTGTGTCGGGACCGAACAACATGTCATCATCCATATTGGTTAGCCCCGGATGAGTCCATGAGGCCGGGTCGTTGCCAGTCACTCCACCGCTCGACATCGGCGGGGGAGGTGCCAGGAATGGGAATTGCCAAGGTAGAACAGTACCCGCTGAGGTCATGCCTTGCGGCCCGCCCATCAGGTTTGTCTGACTGTCTGATCCAGTGCCCCATATTCCATGACCTGCGATCGATCCCACCGATTCCGCATCCCCGTGAGTCGCCTGTGAGGACGGTATGAAGGACTGATCGCCCATCTCAGCGAACTGTGTGCCGGGAGGGGCTCCTGACACGGTCACAAGCCGACGCCACTGCTCACGAAAAAGCTTCGCGCTGTCCGAGCCTGCTGGAAAGGCACCAGAGCTCGCTGGGGGCTGGCTTTGCCCATCCTCCATCTCCAGCTCGTTGACAGCTCGAGGATCCCGGCGTAGTCGGTCCAGCTCTGCGTCGCGGTGCTCTCTGACCTTTGCCATCAGCTTCCGCAAAGGAATCCAGATCCGCAGCTTCTCTGCTCGGGCTGTCGGCGTAGGTATCAGCCAGCTGCTGTGGAGCGCCGTCCAGGCTCTCTCGATGATCGGCGACCAGGGTTTTCGCGAAGCCTCGATCATAAGATACACAATGGCGTGCCAGTGGGTGTGGGTCTGGTACACCCAACGCCACTGTCGACACGCTGGCTCGGCGTTGAGTTCGTGGTTGTACTCCGCCACCTCGATGGCCGAGCGCAGGAGCTTCGTTTTGATCTCGTCGGAAAACTTCTTGTCGGAATCGGCAAGGAGAGATGGCAGAAAACAGATGAGAAATAACTTGGCCATGACAAGCCGAGCCACTGTAGTCCCCACCCAGTAGATTATGTTGCCAGCCTCGGTCGTATACTGGAAGTATTCGCGCTCAAAGTGCTGATAGATGCCGTTCAGCAACTCGCTCCGGCTTTCCACGTCTTCGGGCCCGTTGTTTGCTCGATTGGAGAGTAGCTTCAAATGTATCTCCACCATCCCTACCAAAATCCGGGGTAGTGACATATCAGTTAAGCCATATCGCTCTGTAGGCACCTGGGTGTATTCGGGATCCAAGTCTGCATCGTTCACATTGAGCGGAAATTTGGTGTCGAAACTCCCGATTGGGATCGCGAGGTCAGTACCCTCGTCTTCGGCCGCTCTCATGTCAAGCATGCAGATATTCCACCACACTCTACGCCTGATTTCGATCTCGAAAGGGCTGAGATTTCCCAGATAGGACCCGTCACGCTGCATGCCGAGATACTGAGCGGCTCTGATGACAAGGGCCGTGGTCATCCACACATATCTGGGACTATTATGTCGACGAGCCAGGGTCAGGAATAGTGTGAAGGCTTGCACTAGTATCAGGCTAGGTGCAGTAAGGAACCCAGCTTTTGTAACGGTGTACTCAAAGCCGAGCCGGTACTTGAGGCTGAGCTCAGATTTTGACGATCCAAAGTTTGTTTTCACCTAGGGAGGCTGCTGTCAACACGATGTTTGTGGGTGGCCATCTTTGCTAGCGAAGGGGGCTTACATCGTCTTCTTCCATGGATGATACTGCGGCGTAGTAAATTGAGAACATCAACGCTTCGTTAGACGGTGACAAGTTCGCCGCACCCGTGCCTCGCAGGCCGCGAACTATCTCGTCGATTGACGGCGCATGAACAATGCGCGTAAATATGTTGATGTTCTCGGAGAAGACGTCGACGAGAAAGGGAATTTGCGAGGGAAGTGGCCGGAGTCCGTCAAGGTTGTGTACTTGGAAGTTCAGATCGTGTTGCAGAAGAAAAGGGTGTTTCTCAGGAGGAGACTGGCGCAGGTTCGCAGTTGATGGCGAAGGCGCAGGTTCCTCCTCGTCTGAGCTGTCCAACGAGTCACCGTCGAGCGCACAGGCATCGACTTTGAGACCCTCAATCTATCATGTGATTAGCTAGACATTCATTCGAGCCCTGCAGTGGCTGAAGCTGGAATGGCGTGTACCTCGTCCGCAATGCGAGACCAGAAGCCACTCCCCAGGTAGTGACTTCGACTGGCGTCTTGAAGGACAAGTCTGCCGAAGTGTCTGTGAACATCGGTAGCGGCTGTCCCGTAAGGATGCATGATTTCGTCCTCACGTAGTCCGCCATGGCTCATGGGAGAGCTTCCAGACGATGCAACCCTCGAAGCGGTAGCCGTGGACGAAGCGGCGGTCTCGTGTGCCTGCTCAAGTTGGGTCCTCAGCTCTTTGACCAGATTCTCTAGGTTGCGCAGCCGATCCATGACCAGATCAGCACCTTGAACGGTAGCCCGCGAATCTGACTGAGCCGACGGAGTTCTAGCATCGGTGAGGCGGTCAAGACGTCGCGCCCATCTCGGTGGGCGGTCGCCGGACGGATAAACACAAGCAATGTTCCCCCTTCGACAATTGGAGCATGGCGATAACTTGTCGCACCTGACCTTGCGATTGCGGCAGACGATGCAGCTGCGCAGCTTAGGTTCCTGTGCAGGAGCCGGTGACATCGCGCTTTTCTCGGCAGTCGAGGCCGAGTCGGACGTCGTCTGCCATGGCTGCGCGATGGCTTGCTCTGGCATCCTCTAGCCTGGTAACCAAAGAACGCTGAGCCGTGCCAATAGTGGTCACACGTGGTAGTATCTCGCATTCCTTTCCAAAAATGCTGACGACGTGAATCTGGCTGCTTACCTCACACACGATTGGAACGGGAACTAAGCCAATCACGGCTAGGCAGCCTCGGATCTTGCTATCATTTGCTGGCTGATATATGGACGCCTGAATTTGACCCACCCCGAGAGGCTCGCGAGAACAGTCCGACACGGTGGGCGGAGAGAGTCTAGACGGACGTCGGATGAAGCAAATGCCGGTGACGGTTCTATATAGAGGCACCCGACCTGAGTTAGTTACAATACGATCACATCGAGTTTAACTAAGCTCTGCAACATTCCCGTCCACTGCTCCTATACCAACAGACGTCGCCATGAGTGCGCCATGCCATGAGTGTATCAAAGTAGGTGCTGCTCGCAATGGTGCCTTCCCAACCTGATTCGTGACCAGGGAACAATCCATGAGGGGCAGCCCAAAGGCAAGGAGGAGACCATTCACGGCCTCAACACCTATGTTGTCGGCAATCGCACCGACCCTCGCGGTATCATTGTCGTCTATTCCGATATCTTCGGCATCCCGCTGCCAAACAATAGGCTCATCGCCGACGCCTATGCTGCGAATGGCGAGTGGCTTGTCTATCTTCCAGATTTCTTCAAAGGTGACCCCGTGGCCCTCAAGGTGGCTGATACCTTGATCCCTGTCGATGCCGGCAAGCAGTCGGCGCTGTCGAAGTAAGTTCCGCCTGAGATTCTGTGCTTCGCCAGACCCCGAATTACTGACAGTTCGCCTCGAAGATACACCGGCATGCTAGCCATGATGCCGTCATTCCTCATGTGGTCACAGCGACACAAGTTCGCACCGACAGACAAGATCTGCATGGACTTCCTGCGGGCCTTGAGATTAGCCACACCAAAGACCCGGAAGATCGGAATGGTGGGTTTCTGCTGGGGCGGCAGATACGCCATTCGCGCCGGCCTGGAAAGCAACATGGTGGAGATGGACGGTGAGAAGGTGCCACTGGTGAGCGCCGTGACGGCGCTGCATCCGAGCAACATGGAGCTGCCGGACGACGTGGAGAAGATAGTCGTGCCGACTAGTTTCGGTTGGGGCCAGGAGGACAGCTTCGTGAAGATCGAGATGAAGGGCAAGGTGGAGGCGGTCCATGAAGCGGCCAAGAAAGCGGGTAGGAGGTTACCGGAGATCGAGCACAAAGTCTACACGCCGGGGCGGCATGGCTTTGGTGTGAGAGGTAATCCGGACGATCCCCAGGAGAGGGCGTGCTTGGAGGGCACGGAGAAGCAGGCCCTGGCGTGGATGAATCGGTTCCTCTGAGCGCACTGAAAGTGAGGATGTGGTGCTCTACGGACATTCTTGCCGCGGATACCAGAGGATCTGACTTTGTGTATGGTTCGCCCGTGAATGTGCAGCGATTTTTAGCCTAGATCAAAATGACCGTTCCTGGAATTGGTTTCCGGGACAGCCACTCGTCCCTCTCCAGCAACACAGCTGCTATTCTCATGGCATGACCGTTCTCAATCCCAGGCAACGCCACCAATACACTCACCATATCCCATCGCCACTGCCCCGAAGCCTTTGAATCCCTGATCCGCGGCCATTGCTGTACAAACACCAGCTGCACCTCTCCATCCCATTCCTCCAGGCGCGCCGATGTCTCCGCATCCACGCGGAACCACACATCCGTGCTCTCGAATGCAGGGTGCTCACCTGTCGTGTTGCGCAACAGTTCACCTTCCAGGTCCAGTAGTGCCCAGTGCTCACCGACGGCGAGTCTGGCTTGCTGAGACATATATTTAAGATTCTTGTGTGGTGCGCCGTTATGGCGGATGTGCTTACAGCGGAAGGTCGCGACCATCGTCTCGAGTCTGAGGCTACCGGCGGGTTCGTTAAAGCTGGGCTTGCCTGCAAGGGTCACCTCCGCAGTCTGGGGGTGTGACGTGTCATCTTCGGCTGTGAACCAGCGGAGACGGCGACGTTTAGTTGGAGGGGCGCGCGTCACCAGATCTTTCTCATCAGAAGATGAGACAGATCCGGAGTGGGAACGAGATCGGGGTGGCGGGCGGGTTGGTGAAGGAGAGTCGGTTGCATAGTCTGCCATGTCACCCACCCAATAGGGATACTCGGCTCGACCGCGCCAACCTAGCCACGACCAGGATGGGAATTCTGACCGACGTGTGGAAACATGTTCATGGTGTGCTTTCCAGAGCAACGAGCGCAGGAGATCTTCTTCTGGGTGGCCGAAGGTGAAGGAATACCCCGTGCTGAGGGCGATGCGATTGAGACTGCCCAGGCAGGCATTCAACGCATCCGATTGCACCGTGAGTTTGCGACCAGAATAGACCGATACAAGAGCATCATAGATTTTGAAATCCCACTCGGGTTCATCGAGGTGAATATCAGCACCATCTTCGCGGAAGAAGTCGTCACCCATGGTCGTTCTCACGTCTGGTGCCAGGTGGAGAATGTCATGGAAATACTCCTCCTGACATGCCATAGCGATGTATGTTTTGGCGAATATGACGCTTCGCAGAGATAGCAAGCGTTCTTGCAGCGTCCAAGCTCGACTATCCCATACTGTAGTACCGGCGTTATGCCAGATGGAGTACAGAAACGTAGCCATGATCTGGCCCTCACTCGTCTCGACAACTGGTTGGTTGGTCTGCAGGATGGGTCGTGATACGCCTGTCAAGCCCCAGTCCGCATTCTCACCATCGACGTTGAGCAAAGTCAGGTATGCCGACGAAAAGATTCGGTGCATGGCTCCAATCTGGGCACGCATTTCGACTTCGTCATTCTGGTCGATGCAATACACATCCACCCACAAATACCGCTCGCCGAGCCGCTTGGTAAATGTAATGGCATCTTCCATGGTCTGCGGCATTTCTTTAGGAAGCAGAGAACCACGTGTGGCCGGTGCCTTGGGGGCCAAAATCGCCAGATCATACTCGTCTTTGACTTGGCTCAGATCTGAGGTTTCCAGACGAAGCTCGGTACTCTTTCCCCAGACGTAACTCAACGCGACATATCGTTCTTTGATAGTCCGGCGAACCAGACGTCGTGTAGAAACGTCAATGAGATCAATCTCGAGGTCAGGGGGGTGACTAACAAAACGCTCGTGGCATTTCGAACCATGATCGTCATTACACCTGTCAATCCAAGACTTGATCAGTGGGTAATTGATAGACCCGTTGAAGGCTTCAAGTGGGTCTCTTCTTCGCGGACGGACGCCGGGTGTGGCGGACTGCGTATCAAGGGTGACGCAAATGTGAGGTACGCCGGTCACTGTTGGCATGCCTGTCTGAAGCCAAAAGAAGGAACACGAAGGACGATCAACATGTATCGCCGCCCGGCGATACCAGGCAAGACCGTCTGGGTCTAGAGCGAAGTATATTGCCGAGTCCCGAGCAGTGAGATGCATCCCAAGACGCTCCGAGTGGTGCTCGTCGCCCAGCTGGAAGGATTCGATCAGAAATCTGCAGAAGGCACACCATGATTGTCGTTCAACGGCTGTGAAGAGATCTCCCACACGCCTACGTGCGGGCCGAGACGTTGGCCATGACTCGAAAAGGGACTTGATGGGTATCTTCGCACAGTCCTCGCAAAAGGTGCTCCGAGATGCTGGTGCGGATGTGGTCTCTAGCCCAGTGCTCCCGAGTAAAGCACTGAGCGCCTTGGTGCTCTCATAGGTGGATTTGGCACTTTCATATTGCTGTCTAGCTGTCTCAAGTTGAGCTTCCGCCTTTGTCAAGAGCTCCTGTGCTGCCTTGGCTGCATCTGTATCAGACGTACGGCCTGTATCAGGGTCAGATTTGACCATAGCATCACCGTGTCGCAATCTCAAGGACGGTAGCTTCTTAGCACGGACGAATGAGCCCAGGAGTCGCGCAAACAGGCCGGGGTGTCATTGGAAACAAGAGATGGAGCTTTTTATGGTGATGCTGTGAGCATGTGTTGACGTAGCTAGCCCCTGATATCGTGACCAGGCACATAGGCCTCGATTGGAAGCTGCAAAACTTCAACGCCAGGTTCCAAAGTCTGTGTCGATGTTGAACCGTATGTCGACCTTTGCCTGTTAGTAGCAGCCTTCGACGTATTAGAGGCATGACAAGTGTTTAGCGCAAGATCTCGACATCGTAAGCACGCTTAGGCGCTAAGCCATTCTAGGAGTAGGGTATGAGAGGTGCAGTGTCCACCACAAGGAGGACTACCTCCGGTCGCCAGTCTGATGTTCTTCATATGATGCGTAGTTCAAGGTAGAGAGGATCGCACAGCAGGATAGAATGGAGTTGACACCACATTAAGAATTATTGACACATGCATACGAAAGCCGAACACCACGAACCTTGACATACCAAGCAGTAGTCTCCATGTGAATGAGCCTCGCCATAACGCCCGGATCGTAAGCACGGTACACCAGTAGCAACATCGGAACAGCATTTAGGGCGCACAAGTCGTCAAAATAACCTCAGAGCACAGGCCATTGGGGCCAGGCCCAGCGTATGGATCGTCGCAGAGCACATCGCAGCTCACGCCGGTTGGCACAAAGACGCGATTCTCGAAGTCTGCCCCAGTCAAGCGGAACTGCACCGAAGGGTCGCCCTGGCCAGCGACGGCCTTGTATCCGGCTCTGCAGGCACAATAGTTGCTCATTCCGGTGGCGATACAGGATGTGGAGACATCGCACAGATTCTGTCCGGCGGTGGGATTGCAGGTACCGCATTGAGCGTCAGGAGCGTTGCGGAGCTTAAGCGATACGGCGTTGGTGAGGGAGAGGAGGGCGATGAAGGGGATGGCGAGAGTAGTGTGCATCTTGTTGGAGAATTCAGAGGGGTTGATGGCGGTTTGTCGTGGAGTCTATCGGAGTGGTGATGCAAGCCCTAGGAGATTGGTTCCTGGATTGATGAGTGTCTGGATAAGTGATAGATGGAGGACTGCTGGTCAAGTGTAGAGCATCTTATACTCGATCTACGCTGTCTGTTTCGAACACGCATGTTCTATTGTTAGTTCTTGCTTCCTGACGTCCAGCTGCGAAGCTCAGTAAAATCTACAACATACCCACCTTCATGTTCGAAGGGGTGCCGTCGACGCACGGCAAAGCATAGGAGCCGCAAAGGTCTCAGGCGTTTCCGAAGTGGTACCTACACAGGTGATTGGCGAGTGGACTTCGGGAAGAGCCGTGAGCCATATGTCTCGTTCTTGAAATAGCCAAGGATGACGACGAGCAGCCCACGGGGTTGCAGCCGGTTTGAAAGCGCAAACGAAGAGGGAGCAAAGGGACGTGGTGGCTGAGGCAGTGAAAAGGCTTCACTGTCAACAGCTGAGCCACGGAAGAAAGTATGTCCATGCTCCGCCGAACCTAGCTTGATCTGGAAATCGCAGCCGCCGGGGAGCTCGAGTCCCTCCGGCAGTGCAAGAGCCGGCTTCACGCGTCCACGGGCTCCAAGCTCCGTCATACATCTGGTGCGCGCGATTCTGAGGCAACTGAAAGCACAAAGGTCACGAATGCCTTTCCCAGGCCGCATGATACATGCTGAGGCCCCGGACGACATGGTCCACACTCGCCTCGTGCAGCGGTGCGAGAGGCCTGTAGAGGTGCGTCTTGCTAATATCATCACGTTTCCACTCTACCCCATTCCCCTCACCTGCAAGCCCTTAGGTGTTCTGCTTCGTGCAGCTTGACTCGTCCCACATATTCAATCGGAACCGAGAACACAAAGCTTGAGCCACACGAGGGGATCAGATGGAGAAACCGGAAGCATTTGACGTAGTCCGCAACCCCGCGTCTGGGGAGTCTGGACTCGTATCTGGTGACCGAGGTCGAGGTATAGAGGTACCTCGCAGCCCACGCAAGGTGAAATTTTTGACCAATTCGACTTCTACTCAAGCTTCATGAACACAGGCCACTGACATAGCTTCCCCTCCGCATTCTCATATAATTTCAACATGGCCAACGACTATAAGAACCTCCCCGACTTTGACAGCCTCCCAGCTGTGAAGGACATGCCTCAAGGCTGCGCCTGGGGTGTCTTTGATAAAGGCGGCGAGAAAGACCACTTAGGCTGCCTGAACCTCCTAACACCAGAAGTCGTAAAAGAAGCATACAAGGAAGCAAAAGACGGCGTCTCGGTGTCTCTGAACTGGCCCATCGGCGCAATAGCCACCCCTGGATTCTTACGTGTAAGTGCCACACTCCGAGTGCCAGAAGCAATACCAGCCTGCAAAGTGCCAGCCAGCTGACCACCACATCAGAAAGGCCTAGTCCACAAAGTCATCAACTTCAAGGAGGGGCCCTTCGGTCTGCACGGCTTCGACGACGAAGTCGAGTTCAACACCCAATGCTCTTCCCAATGGGACTCACTGATCCACTATCACCACCAGCCCACCGGCCTAGGCTACAACGGCGCCAAAACCACCGTCTCAGCGCTCGAGCAGCCCTTTGGAAAAGAGAACAAGACCCACGAACTGCCCACCCTCAACCACTGGCACGAGCGCGGCGGCCTCGTGGGCCGCGGCGTCCTCCTCGATTACCGCGCCTACGCCGAAGCCAAGGGCATCACGTACTCGTGCTTCGAGGACAAACGCATCACCATCAAAGAGCTAGAAGACGTGGCAAAACACCAGGGCACCGAGTTCAAGCACGGCGACATCCTGATCGTGCGCTCAGGCTTCACCGAGGATCTGGGTGGCCAGGAGGCCAAGAAGCAGGAGGAGCTGCTCGGCACCCACAAGTGCGTCGGCGTCGAGGGCACGACCGAGAGCGCCAAGTGGTTCTGGAACAAGCACTTCTCCGCCGTGGCGGGCGACGCTATTGCATTCGAGGCCCTGCCGCCCAAAAAGGAGGATGGCAGTGATGGAAACATTGCCGAGCTAGGTACGTTTTTGCTGCGCGACTCTTCTTTCCCCCTTTTTGGTCGCCTCATTGTCCCTTCCCCCCAACAAGTTTCATGCTATGTGTTTTTTCTCATCTGCTGACGCGTTCGCAGTGCTGCATCAGTACTTCCTCTCGCTCTTCGGCCTAAACATCGGCGAGCTGTGGGACCTCAAGGCCCTGTCGCAGAAGTGCAAGGAACTCGGCCGCTACAGCTTCCTGCTTACCAGCGTGCCGCTGAACGTGCCTGGCGGTGTCGGTAGCCCGCCGAACGCGCTGGCCGTTTTCTAGAGAAGACAAGTGCATCACAGTTGGTGATGTGTGGCTGGCTCGTGAGGCAGATGCAAGACGTTACTGGCTTATAGTGGGTGGGGTCCGCAAACACCCAATTGGCCGAGATGAGCTGCTGAAGTGCTTGGATCTTGGGCGGAGGCTTGTGCTGTACAGTCCATGTATGGTTGTAGAAGTTGTTCTGTTCTAGGTATGTAAGTAGTGTACAGTTGTACGGTACAGGTGCACTAGAAATCAATGCACATAGTCCCTAGACCCACACGGAGCCTGCCTCAAACTACCCAGCCAACACATGTAGCACAATGATACTTCCACAGCATCAAACCGTCAACGGTTGTCTTGAACCTCGTTGGTGGTCGAAGCAGGAACTAACCAGCTCTTATATGGAGGTAATTCGCGTGCGTGGTGGTTGGTGGCCGGTCTCATTCGACTCATCAACAGAGCATAGATCACCCTCTCAGCCTCTAGGTCTATGCTCACCCTGACCGATCTTGATCCCTTCATTCGTTCCGAACTTGGTCACCAGCTTCTCGGGATCCAGCCTGGCCTTCTCTCCCCATCTGCAGATCTCGCCCACGTTCCCACCGCCACTCAGCGTCCACTTCTCGCTGATGCTTTCTGGGGTGACCGACTCCTTCAGCACGCCGCTGAGCACGTAGTACTGCATCAGCTGGGCGGCCTCGGCCTTGCTGACGCCTTGCAGCGGCATGAGCTGCGTGCCAGCGGCAGGGTCCAGTAGATTCAGTGGCCGTGAATCGACTTTCTGGTACGGGTTTGGTAGCGGGAAGTTCTTGTCGGTGGGCTGCTTGCCCTGCTGCGCTGCTTTTACCTGCTTGAGAAGTAGATCGAAGCTCGGGTTTGTGGGTACGTTGCTGCCACTTGTGGCAGCCAGGATGAGGCCGCCGTTCGCGAGTGGCTTCTTAGCTGAGAAGAGCAGGTCCAAGTAAGTGTGGATCATGGTGAGCTGGTGTGAGTGGACTGTCTCAAACTCTGCAGATTTATACTTGCTCGGACCCATCCAGTGATTAAGGTTGTCCACGGTGAATAGGACCGGCGGACGATGTTCCTTGCCCGCAGTGGTCAGCTCTTTAAGGAGGTAGGTGAAAATGTCGTGGGCGGCGCTGGGGTGGTCGGCCCCATACTTAGCGATAGTGTGTAGATTGTTGGCACTAGCAGATGGGACACGAGCTGACTCGGGTGGGGGAGTATTCGGCTTGAGCTTCGAGAGCACTGCCGCATTGGCATTGGCGGTACGTGACAGGAGAGACGCAGCAAGGGTGGGTTGCGTGTACATTTGGACGTCGGTGTCTTTCGTCTTTGGCACGGGTGCATAAGCGAAGTGATTCATGGTGTACTCTTGCGCTGCAAATTGTCAGTATTCTTGTCGTCGTCAGGCTTGCGTCGAGGCCATTACTAACCTTCCGGAATAGTCATGACCACCCAGCCCTTCATGAACGCCATGGCCATAGCTTGAGCCAACAACACACTTTTCCCGCCCGACTTCTCACCCGAGACTACTACTCTTTTTCCCTCCTGATCTTCGGCAACCATCCATTTGGCAATCTGTACTGTCTCCTTGCGCACCAAAGTCGCCGGCCGCCGGAACAAGCCCCAGCTCTGGCTTTTCTTAAAGCCTCTGACTTCTCGTAGTTGATCAATAACTTGGCCATCAAAAGCTAACACCCTCCCAACATTCTTCTCGTCGCTAAAGTTGCGTAGACTTAGATCCTCTAGCCCATTCACCTCGAGCGCGTTAGCATTGGATAGTACAATGCGCGTGCGTTGCTGCCGCCGCTCGCCAACGGAAGGAAGCTTTTTCGTATCCCGTCGCTTATTACGATAGCTTGCAGCCTTCACATTGCGGTAGATAATCTTGTGTTTTGCTGCATTTTGCGTGTTTGGAGCTTGGAGAATGGACGTCGTGTGTAAATTTGAGGACTGGATCAGGGAGGTCGTGACGGGGATTGGAGTTCGAGCGGAGCCTAAGTGCAGTCGCGACAGGCACCGCGTGCATATGGATATGGGCATGGCGAAGCTTCCTCGCGCGTTTTGCAGCGCGAGTAGATGGAGAAGATGAGCACGAGTGGTAGCAGTATCAACACGATCCAGCTCAAGACAATTTCAAGGACCTCGAGGCTGCCTTATCGATAGACCCAACACCCGAAATGGCTTAGCGCCGCCTTCCATCTACCATAGCTACAAATTCATTGTAGGACTCCTTAATACCACTTCGTGATCTCGAACTTGACTACCAAGATATCGCTAGAGCCTACAGAAAGTCTCTGGTTCCAAGCAAAGACGTTGCATCTTGACATGGCTGACCACGAGGAAAAATTTACCTATACCTGTAACCAAGCGGACCGAAACCGGTCACGTGACCGGCTGAAGCCGTTGTATGGATATCTGTGAGGGGGTGATCTGCTGGTCCAGCACGCAGAGCTAGTATCAAAGAGGTATTGTTTTGAGAGCATGTGGGACTTCACTGATTTTATAACAACGCCCTTCGCCGTTGCAGTCACGAGAGACAGTTTTCCTCCGGCATACTTTACTGACCCTTCCGTTTGCATTATCTGGACTGTGTTGTTAACTTCTGTTAATCTTTCTAGCCACTCGAATCATGCAACAGTTCGACGTGGCCATAGTTGGCCTTGGTGCCCTAGGGAGCGCGGCAGCATGGCAAGCATCTTTGAAGGGCTCAAAGGTAATTGGATTCGAGCAATTTGAATTGGGACATGTACGTGGGGCATCCCACGACACTTCACGCATAGTCAGAACCTCGTACGATGCGCCTGAGTACGTGGCACTAGCAAAGGCCGCCTACAGGGATTGGGCACATCTCGAGAAAGCAGCGGGGATCAAACTAGTGACCATAACGGGCGGCGTGGTGTTTCTTCCAAAGGACGGCGCTACCTCGGCCAAAGACTTCACCCAGAGCCTGGACGCCAATAACGTTCCATATGAGCTTCTCAACGCTCAACAGGTTAATAAACGTTGGCCTCAGTTTAACGTTGGCAACAACATCGACACCGTCTACACTGCCGACACTGGTATTGCCCATGCCTCCAAGTCGGTATCAGCTATGCAGTCGATGGCGCGAGCTCAGGGTGCGGTTTTAAAGGAGCTCACTCAAGTGCAGCGAATTACACCACAACCAGCGGGCAAGGGCGTCATTCTTGAGACTTCCAGAGGCCAGTTCCAGGCCAGCAAAGTAATCCTCGCATCAGATGCCTGGACCAACAAGCTTCTTGCGCCACTAGGAGCAGAAATTCCTTTGACTGTCATGCAAGAGCAGGTAACTTACTATAAGCCATCAGATCCGGCAAACTTTGAAGACGACAAATTCCCAGTGTGGATCACGATCGACGAAAAGAACTACTATGGCTTCCCAAGCTTCGGCGAGCCCACCATCAAAGCGGCCCGCGACCGTTCAGAAAACCTGATGACACCAGAGCAACGTACCTACGTTCACTCGCCAAAACTACTCAACGAATTGACTTCATTTGTGGACGACTTGATACCTGATGCGGGACGTGAGACACTTCGCACGGTAACTTGTCAGTACGCCATTACCCCAGACCGTGAGTTCATCATCAGCCCACTGAAGAAGCACCCCGACGTGATCGTGGCGCTTGGTGCAGGACATGCCTTCAAGTTCGCTCCAGCCATTGGTCGTGTGGCAGCGGAGTTGGCGATAGACGGAAGGACTAAGGAAGATATCACGAGGTTCGGTATTCGAGACGCGGCCGCACCCCTCCAGAGCAAGCTGTGATCCCACAAACATACCCTTACAAGTAGATTCTCAATACCCGACTCAGTATGTTCAAACCTATGCTCTCACTCAATAAGGCTTGCAGTATGGCACGTGGCAACGGCTGTGACCCTCGAGCCAAGCCGAGTAACAGTCGAGTATGTGCCAATCAAGCTTCAAGTTATCCTTGCGACCCGAGCTTGCCGGCGTCCAGCGTACACGCGAACCCTAGACAAGCAAAATTCTGATCGATAATCGCTCAGGAGTCCGGATACCGCCACAGGAAGCTACTCCACAGTAGGCCGAACCTGGTGGCAGAGTGTCGCAAGACATTCTAAAACAGATGAGGGGGGAAGGCTAGGAGGGGTTTCATTTCTGGTTTATAGGAGTTCTGGAACACGCCAGGCTGACCGCCCCGACAATCTGACAGGTGGTAGGGTTGAGACCTTGGCTAATCTAATACCTGTTTTTGTAGTCCCACCAACTTCTAGCCCATCCGCACTTCATGCTGCCACTCGGCCTTCTCGTCTCTCATCTATCAGACATGGCTTCGCACAATGCCTCGAGCAGAACACATCGTGAGCCACACCACTGGCGCAAGATGAGCTCGTGGAAAATGCAAGGTGCTCAAAAAGCCCAATTTAGTCCATGGTCAGGGTTGTTCTAGCCTGGGGTGCGACAATTAGGCGTGTTTCGATCGTGATAACCGAGGTTTGCGCCCCTGCGAAGAACGGTTCGAAGCGAGCATTTTACCCTTGTGGTAGCATCGGTGACGATCCATCAACGCCGCACCTAGCTTCTTAGTCAAGACTCTCAAACATCAACAGCTTCAACACAACTCTACGGTGCCGTCGTTGTGCAAGGCGCTCCCTACCAGCAACCTTTTGAGTGCTTGCACTTAGGAATGTATCATGTTTCCGAGCGGTTTCTGGTCTCAGTCACGAGCCTTTCTATTTGCAGGTAGGAATGGGCTGCTGAAACTGGCCAGTGATGTCCCTTGCTCGCGCACGAAACGGCCACCTCCATCGTGATATATATATGGTCTTGGTATGTGCATCGTCGAACCCCTCAGACAGTTCGCACCTTGGGGAATCTTTGTCTTTACGTTTTACACTTTCGTTCCATTCATTCTTTTCACAGGGGCTGTGCCTCGCATTCATTCATTTCTCTACACGAGGCTGCGCCTCCTGCTATTCGTTCTTGATTCAACCAAATCTACTTACATCAATCATGCATTTCACTGCTCTTGCTGTCCTCGCGCTAGGCGCCGCAAGCTTCCTTGAAGCAGCGGCCACGCCTCATCATCATCACCCTTTCGTTGCACGGCAAAACGCAGGGTTCCGGAATGGAACCCGGCAAAACCAAGGTCAACGAAACGGCGGTCAGCAAAATGGCGGCCAGCAAAACGGAGGCCAACAAAACGGAGGCCAGCAAAACGGAGGCCAGCAAAACGGAGGCCAGCAAAACGGAGGCCAGCAGAACGGAGGCCAGCAGAACGGAGGACAGGCCAACTGCTTGAACGCCAATGCCCTACAACTATCTTCTACTTTGACAGGACAAGAAGATGGGACGGAGGGCATCAAGGCCAATCAAGCACGATCTGCAACGTGAGTAAAGTGACATTACTTCCCTACCATAACTAGTTCAGACCTAACCTTTCTATCAGGGATTCAGCCAACTTCATCAACTTCTGCTCCGGTTCTACCTTGACCAACGGCACCCAAGTCACTGGAGGATCATGCAACGGCATTCCCATGGGCAAAATTCCGTCCACGTCGAACATGATCTCAGCCATCATCCTTGAACCACAGTTTGGCCAAACAGTTCCTGCTGGGACCACCTTCAAAATCAGAGTCCAGACACAGGGACTCGATGCCGGTTCTTTCACCAACCCAACCGTGACCTACTACCAAGCGCCGCAGGATCTCAATAACAACGGCCAGATCATTGGGCACTGTCACGTCACGCTTCAAGATCTTGGAACTTCTCTCAACCCTACCACCGCTCCAGACCCATCAAAGTTCTCTTTCTTCAAAGGTATCGATGACGCCGGGAACGGCCAGGGTCTATTGGAAGCAGAAGTCACTGGCGGTCTAGTTGCGGGCTTTTATCGAGTCTGTACGCTGATTGGCGCAAGCAATCATCAGCCAGGTACGTTTGTTCAAAGACCTTACAATGTTCGATGCTGACATCAGTCTGTCCACAGTCCTCATGCCGGTTGCTCAGCGTGGCGCCCAGGATGATTGCACCAAGTTTGAAGTCGTTGATGGAGGAAACAACGGTGGAAACAACGGCGGCAACAACGGCGGCAACAACGGCGGCGGCGACAACGGTGGCAACGACGGTGGCAACGACGGTGGGAACAATGGTGGGAACAATGGTGGGAACAACGGTGGAGACAACGGCGGCAATAACGGCGGCAATAACGGTGGCAACGGAAACGGAATCGTTCAGGTCGTTTCCGGCACCCTGGGCGGAGCGCCCCCGACCATTGAGAGCTCTGGCGACACCGCACGACCATTCGCCGTCAACGGAAACACCTTTGTCAACGAAGCCGCTGCCGTTCAACGAGCCTGTGATATCCAGTTCAACGCATGTGCGGATGGTGTCAACCGCGGCCAGATCTCTGGAAGCTCCGTCAATGATTGCCAGACGCAGAGGAATGGCTGCAGGGCTGCATAGGCACCTCGAACGGTCCTCATGCGAAGAAGGCTGGACTCGGGAATTGCCAGTGCTGCAGGTTGATTACTTCAGGCTCTTTTTGTATTACCAGACTATTTTCATGTGAGAACGAGTTACGCATGAATGCCTCGATCAAGATTTGAGAATTGAGGCTCTTGTAGCTGGCAGTGTAGAGCAGATGATCCAGGTCTGAAACTTGCATTCTTCGCACCGTAGGCCTGGATGTTCTACAGATCACTTTAGACGGGGTCCGCGCCAATCTTGACTGCCCCTCTTTGCCCCCTTCACGCCCGTCCGATCTTGTCATATCACCTAGTGGTGGGCTGGCCCGAGCCCTTGCAAAAATCGGATCCGGGTCGATAAGGCTGCCAAGCAGCGCGCACTGATCTTACCATGAAACATGACATGCATATCTTGAAACCGCTACATCTCGACATGTCGATATGACGAGGCGCAGAGTCATTCCATCGTGGATAGCAGATCAGTGACGACAGAGTAGATGTGGTAGTTGTTTGGAAAGACATGTAGGGACGGTAGCATGGCCTCAATCCACAATAAAGATCGAGCGTAAGGGGGTGATTGCCGGCACTGTGGCCGGGGCAGGCGCTCGAAGGTCCAGGGAGAGAGTCCCCAGAAGCTAAGCTCAAGCATGCCCCCGATGCAAAGATTCGCGAGACAAGCACCACATATCCACAAGGGAGAGGCCCCTAGCCGACAATACCAATGGCATCCTATACGTAGGTCGCTGGCAAGTGCACGATAAGTTACGTCGTTCCAGGCGCCAAGAGCGCTTAAAAGAGGCGTTCGTAAGGCCCGAAAGCGGCCCAGCCCACGTTTCATGGCAGGGATGGTCCACGTGCAAAGGTACCTGCGTAGCCATTTTTACGGCGGTTTTCCATGTCAGTCCGCCCCCTCGTAAAGGCAAAGAATCGGGCCCGTCACCTTATCAGCCAGCTCCTTAATTTCACATTGGCAGCCCCTTGAGGAAGCTGCAAGAAAGTCTTCAAATATGAAGAGCCGCCGACGTGCGCAGTACAGGAGGATGCAGCGCCTTGCAAAAAGACTGTTGAGCCAGTTCACCGGCTCGTGACTCTCGTTTCTTGAATTCTTGCGGACCGGTTCTGCAATGTCGTTCTTTACCTCACTTTGGAGCCTAGCGCTCTTCACACTCTTTTCTCTATCGTCTTGCGCGCCTTTGCAAACTCGAGAAGCTATGCCGCGACAGTTAGGGTCCGATAAGCTCGTCTTTGCTCATTTTATGATGGGCATTGTCTCCAATCGCGAAAGCAGTGCTGATTATGATGCCGACATGGCACGTGCGAAAGCGGCTGGGATTGATGCCTTTGCCCTCAACATTGGGACGGACGATTACACCGACAAGCAGTTGGGATTCGCATACGAGTCCGCAGCTACACACGACATGAAAGTGTTTATCTCGTTCGATTTCAACTACTGGTCCACAGCTGAGGGCGCCCAGGTTGGTCAAAAGATTGCACAGTACGCCGATCATCCAGGACAGCTGAAAGTCGACGGCAAGGTCTTCGCGTCTAGCTTTGTTGGTGACGGTCTCGACGTTGCAGCCGTTCGTTCTGGAGCTGGTCAAGAGATCTACTTCGCACCCAACTTCCGCCCCGGCTTCGGTACAGATCTCCGTCCCGTTGATGCTGCGCTAAGCTGGATGGCCTGGGATAGTGACGGCAACAACAGGGCCCCCACCGCCGGCAGAAACGTTACTGTCCCGGATGCTGATGAGGTTTACAAATCTTCTCTTGGTTCAAACGACTACATAGCTCCTGTGTCGCCCTGGTTCTTCACCCACTTCGGCGCCAGTTCGGGATATCCGAAGAACTGGGTGTTTCCATCCGATTTGTTATGGTTCGAACGCTGGAACGACATTCTTACACTGAACGCTCGCTTTTTGGAGATTCTCACCTGGAACGACTATGGCGAGTCACATTACATCGGCCCCTTGTCATCCAAGCACACGGACGATGGAAGCTCGGCATGGACTAATGACATGCCCCATGATGGTTGGCTGGACATGGCCAAGCCATTCATTGCAGCGTGGAAGTCGGGTTCCAACGATCTTGCTTCCAACATCGAATCTGAGCAATTGATCTATTGGTATCGAACGACATCGAAGACACAACCATGCAACGATGCCTTGGGCCAACCTGACGGCGCAGATCATATGGCCGACTCGGTCTTCGTTGTCACTTTACTGAAGTCCGATGCAGAGGTGACGATCAGTTCTGGCGACAACTCACAGACCTTCCAGGCAAAAGCAGGAGCGTTTGCCTTCACTGTGCCTATGGGCCTGGGGAAGCAGACTTTCTCGGTGGCACGTAACGGTGCGAGTGTGGATGGACTGAGCGGTGCTTCGTCTCGGGATATCGTTGACTACCACGAGGGGGATATCTACAACTTCAATGCCTACGTTGGCACCTTGCCTGCAGCTAACGGACAAACATGGCAGGACACGAACATGTCTACAATGTTGGGTTGAGGTCTAGCAGAAACAGTCTGTTGATCATTGTGGTCCAAGAATTACAAGATAGACATGTTGTCCAAGGCCCAATTGATAAGTCTCGAAGGTCATCTGAGATCAGCTGAATACTGCACAATGCCAAGCACCTTGGTGCAGTCGCACGTCCAAGGTGCACACCATGTTTCCGTTACTCGCAATGCTTATCTGGGGGAAGAAACCCAAGCAATTTTCAAGCAGTCCGCTAGATGATTATTGATTAGAATCCTAGAAACCCGAGACTCTTTCACTGCTTGAGATAACAAAAAAACGTAGCGGTGGGGTGCGGTTGCAAACAGATCTGTAATCAAATCCGCAGAGGTGCGATACCAGGAGCATATGCTTAAAACACGGTCGATTACTGAGCAATAGCAAAGGGTTCCCTCACCAGCCGTTCTCCAAGTGTCATTCATGCAGCGACGCTGAGAAGGGTTGCAGCCACGCCGACCCGACCGGACGAGCAATGAAGTCTGAATACTACTACAAGTATTCAATGCTGGGTTGCCAAGAATATGCAACTAGTTCATCCTGGCTTACCCATGACTGCTGATCGAAGGAGTTCGCTGGAGCGGTATCTGCTCGAGTCTCATTGTCAATGCACAACAGTTTAGTAAGTTGCGGGTTCACAACTTCTGTGTCTGCAACAACTTGTTTGAACAACGCTCTCAAGGAAAAGAATATAAAAGCGTGTACACCTTTCTGTCTGACCTGGTCCTCGGTTCCCAGCCAACGGCTGCAAACTTATCGGAAATACGTGACACAGAGTGTGTGAGATCGCCTTCGCTCGCTCCAAGTCCTCAAGTATCCACTCTCACCAGCAACTTTCCCGTCGTTACCCTCCCCTCCAGATCCACATGTGCCTGCCTAACATCCTTCAGGTCGTAGATCTTATGGATATTCGCGCGCAGAGAACCTTTCTTCAGGTGTCCAAACAGCAATCCGGCATAGTACTCCAGCTCCTCTCTCGTCACGATATACTGGAACACCACCGCCCGGGTGATCTTCGTGACCTTCTTACCGAGCCGCTGAATGTCCAGTGGAGGTGGCGGGCCAGACGCACTACCGAAAAAGATGACGGAGCCTTTGCGTTTCACGACCTCGAGCGAGCCGTCCCAGGTCGTCTTGCCGACGCCGTCGTATCTGATTACCCTGGAATTAGTCTGAGTATAGTGTGAAGGAAGGGGGGACGACGTTACACGCAGCTCACACCCTCAGGCGCAATCTTCTGCACCTCGGCCACCCAATCCGGGTTATCCCTATAGTTGACCATGTGCGCCGCGCCATTCGCCCTGGCCGTCTCGCACTTTTCCGCCGTCGACGCCGTGCCGATGACGGTGGCGCCGGCGGCCTTCCCCAGCTGACACAGCAACAGCCCTACGCCACCAGCAGCGGCATGCACGAGGATCGTGTCGCCTTTCTTGACCTCGTAGGACTCCTTAGTCAGAGCCAACGCGGTGATGCCCATCAGATAGCTACCCAGAGCATCTTCCACGGAGATTCCTTCGGGGACCTTGACGAGTTTCTCGGCTGGCACGGCGCAATATGTCGAGTATGTGCCTAAAACAATGGATTACTCTCGGGCAAAACTTGTGGGGTGCGCAGTACCTACTCTGGTGCATCCAGATCACCGTGTCGCCCTCTTTCAGCGCCTGGGGGTTGGAGGTACCGATAGATGCTACCTGGCCCACTCCCTCGTAGCCGAGGACCAGTGGGAGCTGAGGGGCTGGGTAGAGGCCGGAGCGGAAGTATGTGTCGATGTAGTTGACTCCGCTGTATTTAGTCTGCACGAGGACTTCGCCATCCTTTAGTTTTGGAACAGGAAAGTCTTCGGCGTAACGTAACGCATCTGGCCCTCCGGGCTTGTCGATGACGACGGCTTTCATGGACGATGGTGGCGTAGAAGCCATATTTGGAACAGACTGGTACGTGAAACTAGATGGGCGACTAGCACGAAGGTGTTTGACGGATAGGTTGAAGCTGAAATATACTAGAGAGCTGTGAGATTTAGGACCCAAGTCTTATGCTAGAACTGAGTCGCCTAGCCCCTGTCGAATAATGTCTGTCGAATAATGTGACGTGTAAAGAAACTTCGCCAAAATGATGTTGCATGCTTTGAGTTTGTGTCGTCTTCCCTGTCGGCGTCAACCTCGGCTTTGATCTGCGATATGACGAATCGATGTTTGGAGTGCTTGCGCCCGACATCGGTGTACATATGACTTTCATTGCTACATTTCATTGACGTTGGAAGGAAACTTGAATGGCTGATGTCGTCGCGAGCGTATTCATCGAAGATGGGCCAGACGCCGCCCACGACTCCGTTCCCGGCTAAAGAGGCTTCAGACCTCCTGATCAAACACTGGCAAGATGGAACGACATTCAAAGGTCTGCCGACGCGCTTGAAACCTCTCACCATCGCCCAAGGCTTCGAGATTCAGGAGCACGTTCTTCGCCTGACGTCGTCGCCCTTGTGGGGCTGGAAGATCGCGGCCACGTCTCTTGCGGGTCAGAAGCACATCAACGTCGACCGGCCATTAGCCGGTCGAATACTGAAGGAACGGGTGACACCATATGGCGAGAAGGTGTCTTTGGGCGCCAATCGCATGACCGTTGCCGAGCTGGAGTTTGCGTTTCGGGTTGGCCGGGACATCGTGCCCAGGTCTAGCGGGCAGTGGCAAGTGGATGAAGTCATGGACATGGTTGACGGGTTGTTTCTGGGCAGCGAGATGCCTGATTCGCGCTATGAGGATTTCACTAGTGTGGGAGCGGCTTCCCTGCTCGCGGATAACGCGTGTGGAGATCGGTATGTTCTGGGGCCTGAAGTCAAGGATTGGAGAGCACGAGACTTGGTGTCGCATGTAGTGAAAGGTTGGCTTGGAGGTCGAGAGGGTGAAGTCACTGAAGGAAAAGGTGGCAATGTTCTGGGAGATCCAAAGGTTGCGATGACTTGGATTGCGAATGAGCTAGGGAATTTTGGGGTCACTATTAGGAAAGGGGAATACGTTACGACGGGGACTTGTATAGTTCCTATCACAGTTAGACCTGGTGATAAGGTAATTGGGGACTATGCGGATCTTGGTAGGTTAGAGATCGAGTTTGTAGAGTAGTTCACAGCCTTGCGGGAAACATGCTAGGCACGAAACGATTGTTGTTCAAAGAAGCATTCAAGTGTGCCGACTGCCCTACTGTTCTCCTTCCCGAATAGAACAGTCTTGGCATAGTTTTATATCTGCGATTTTCGCACGCAAATGCCGCCTTACCAGAGGACTAAATCATACTTTGACGTGCACATCGTAAACAGGTACCGACTTGATTTGGTTAAGTCGAGGATATGGAATGATGCTGTCTCATAGGTGCACTGGTACACACGCCATAGGAAGATCTGGAATCCTCAAGGCCTAGTATCATCTTTGACGTTCCACTCGTTAATAGGGCTTGTAGGTTGTCTGACGTGACGTTTGTAGATCACGCAGAACTGTTTCTACCGATATCATCCATACAGCCGTTCAATAGGACGAGTCCCAGGTCGGTGGGTACATGTCACGTAACATGTGCTCACGGAGGCCCTCAGTCAAGAGGTCAAGCCTGGACTATATCCTTCGAGACCCTCACTTCACTCCACTTCTTACTTTCAAGCCGCCTTCTCGACCTCCGTAACGTGCTCGCCGCCCTTCCCAGTAGCCCCAACCTCGACCTTCTCCACCTGTGCCTCCCGATCCATGACCATCGCCACCTCTTCCAAACTCGGCCCTTTGGTTTCGGGATACAGGAAGAAGATCACAGTTGTCTCAATTGCCAGCCATATGACGTAGACCAAGTAGAATCTCCACTGTATACCCTCCAGGCCGAGGGGGTTGACAAATTGGTTGAACGCACTGCCCGCCCGACTGAAGAGCTGCATGATCGCCACACCCTTACTCCGATGCATGAAAGGGAACACCTCGGTGATGTAGCAGTAAGCTAGAGGCATCATGAGATTGTAGAACGCATAGTAGACGAAGATGAGAGCCACAACAGCTGTGCCCGCGCTGTGGTTGGAGTTGTCTTTGGCGTAAGTGGCGCTCGCGCCCGTCCAGCACGCGAAGATGAGACACATGCCACCGTACGCTGTCAGGAACTGCTTGCGGCGCGGCATAACGTGTTGCACGAAACTGCCCGAGACACCTGTGACGAGGTTCCAGCACATGAGGCCCAGGTTCAGTTGATTCTGAGTACGTCGCTCGGTGATGCCGATAGAGGCAAGGACTCGGGCGAGATAGTAGGACACGAGGCCGTTGCCAGCCCACTGAGCGAAGAGGCCAACGCAAGCAGCAATGAGGACACGGCGGCGGTTGACCGGGTTGGTGACGAGCTCTTTCCATGGAGACTTGGAGGCTAATTGCTCTCGGCGGATGGTCTCTCGGATCTGGTGGAACTCGGCAGCCACAAACGGCGAAGAGGAGTCGCCCTCGGCGTGGTACTTGGTGAGGATGGCAAGTGCTTCTTCGTGGCGGTCGCGGGATATCAGGAAACGAGGCGACTCGGGGACGAACCTGTAGTAGATCTGTTAGCTGGCGAGTCGGAGGGAATTGACCAGAACACCATACCAGATGAAGATGAGTTGAAGTGTCGAAGGCAGGATCTGGAAGAGCGTTGGGAGGCGCCAAGACCAATGATCTGGTCGTTCAAAGGTGCCCAAGGTGACGCCGGCTGCGAGTATGGCTCCGACGTACCACGACTCATTGAATAAACCAGTGATGACGGCGCGTTCGTGAGGATACGAGAGTTCGGCGATCAATTGGGAAGCGCCGGAAATGGCGTATGGAATACCCAGGCCCATAATGAGGCGAGAAGCGATTAGCATGCCGACTAAGCGCAAATATCAGCAAGCCCGTCGGATGTACAATGTGTGTGACGTAAGTAGGGACTTACCATTGATAGCAGCGGTCTGAATAATGACGCCAATAGAGATGAAGAGGGAACCAAGGACGACGCAGGCTTTGCGTCCAAAGCGATCGTTGATGTATGGGATCAATGGAATGCCAGCAACAGCACCAATGTTGAACGATGCAGTTACAATACCAAGTGTAGCCCCACTGGGGTAGTCGAAATGACTCAGCCAAGGGTCCACAGCTTGTAAACCATTCAAGACACTTCCATCATAGCCCGATGTCATCTCAACTCCCAACGCAGCGGGAACGAGGAAGAAGTAGAGTGTTCGCAGGTTCGGTTTCTTGTACCATGGCGTGTTGTCTTCCGCCAGCAAGCGTTGAATCTCGGAGTCCTGTGCCACCTCGCGGGCGTCCACATCCTTGGAAGCGACAGCTTTCGACATTGTGCCGGTATGTGATGGGCAGTGGAGGTACGGTCCAGGAAGCAAAAGTCCTTGAACTCCTCCAAGTCTCGAGGCATCCGCGCCTCTTAAGACACGAGGACGGTCATCCACGGATGCCGTCGCCGACAAAGCCGTTGATCGCGGCTCCGAAATGGATGGTCTGCGATTTTGATATTAACCGTAGCGTTGCCATCATGCCACGAGGAAAGACCGACAATAACCACTTCAGGCAACCAGCCGCGGCGATCCACCGGCACAACCACTGGGATGTAAGAAAGAAATGATGGTGGAGAAGCCCCCGCACTGGTACCCCCTTATCTTCCCCAAATCTCCAAGTTGTCTCTGCAGTGTTGACTGGCACTGATTGGCATTCCGCAGCGATTGAACGCCGAAGTTCGCATGTAGAACCCGTAAGTTTACGCCATTAGTGCTGCAAATTTAGGCAGAGGATGGAATTGAGGCAGAATGTTCTGTCCGGTGGGATCGTTGACATTGGTGGAGGCAATAGAGCCGCAAGGAGCTCACGAGTCCGGGAGCGATCATGTTCTTCTATTTTAGCGACCGTTTGCATTAGATCAACCTACCTGATCCGCGCTGTCGGATCCGACAGCTCGGTTGCCGGCTGTTGACATCCCTCCGGATTCATGTTCATGATTGACTTTGTAAAGGGTACAGAGTAGATGTTGAGTAGATAGAAGTGCTGAGATATGCGGCACGAGCTTGGATTGCTTGACTTTCCAACCCTGGTCCGCCAATATTCAGCCAAGGCCGGTCCCAGGGCCGAGAGTCGGCCGTTCTATCTAGGAGCTCGCAACGACTGCGGCATGATCAGACATAATCTTGTTCAGGCCGTCCCGCTTGACACACTGATCAAGGGAGAAGCTCTTGGCGAGTTCCTCCAAATCCTCCTTTGACTTGCCTCGGAATAGCTCGGCGTAGTCCGGCGTGAAGGACTCGGCTAAATACATCTGCAGCAGAACCCTTTCCACGTGTTTGCGCGTATCCCATGTGGAAGGATAAATGGTTGTAGCGCGGGGAGAGACACGGTCAATGAAGCTGATGACTGGATCAACGACTTCTGCCACCTCTTTGGATGGGTACTTCCCCCATGAGTCGAGCTGGTATTGTTTTTTCTTCTCGAGGATTGGTTGAATCAGCTTGTTGTAAGCCGAATCGGGCGAGGTGTGTACCATGCCTTGCAGCCCGACATCCTTATAGAGCCAGATATGCCAAGGAATTTGATGCTCGTCGTAGATCTTCAGTTGCTCACCAAGCAGATTGTATCTGTCCTGGTTAATGTCCTCTGCATCTTGGTCCCATCCTTTGATAGCGTAAAGTGGTCCAAATTCTCCATTCCATATGGCCAGACCGTGCTTGCGTTGGAACTCTGACTTCCGAGAAAACTGTTTGCGTAGCCTCTCCTTCTGCTCATCGGTACCTTTGTATCGATCACCAGTTGGGAAGCCCATGAAGGAATAGTCGTGAAGGGAATAGACACTGTTTGGCAGGATGGTGTTCTCATTGAAGCCTTTCCATTCAGCGGCAAACGTGTTCCCATCAAGCCAAAGGATATGGTCAGGATCTATGGCTCTGATGGCCTTGTCAAGACGAGCGTAGAATGCCGGCAAACGAACCTGCTGTGGGTCGGCCGGTTCATTGATAGGGTTGTAGCCCGCGACCCATGGGTTGCCCTTGTAGTGTTTGGCCAGCTCCTCCCAGAGCCACACGGTGCGGTCTTGAAAGTCTTTGTGCTCCCAGAAGATTGGATGATTGGTCCTGTTGTCAGCGTGCCAGCCTGGGCTCTGGCCTCCAGGTAGCGTGTGCATGTCGAGGATGCTATAGATGCCTTCTTTGGCGCAGAGGTCGACCACACGGTCCAGATGCTTGAATCCGCTTTCCTTGAGAACTCTCGGACTCATATCATCCTCAAAATGGCGATAGTTGAACGGTATGCGGATACAGTTGAGTCCGAGTGACTTGTAGAACTTGGCATCGGCCTCGGTGAAGAACCAATGAAGCAAACGGTCAAAGAAATAATCGTACTTTTCCTGACCAAGTACTTCGAGCATGGCCTCTCTCATATTGCACTCGTGGCCTGGGAAACCTGTGATGAAGTTCTCCATGTTCATCCATCCACCCAAGCCTGCCCCTCGAAGGATGACTCGTTTGCCATCTTGGTCGACAACGTCGGTACCTTTGACTTTTAGAATTCCAGTCGCCATTTCTGCTGTTGGGTCTCTGAGAATACCGATACTGCCGTTAGCATCAGCAATATCTGGGAACTGGCACGGTTCATAATATGGCATCTACGTAGGGCGACAGAGTCCCACTCCTACGCCAAGACTGGTCTCACGGCGGCATTCAGGCTAATTGCATTTGGGGAACAAGTCGGGGATGGAGAGAAAAGCGGAAAAGTTTTGAGCTCTCAAAGTGTGCTCAGTTCGGCGTTCTCGTGACAAGAAGTCTTCTTTTCCTGGACGTTGTGTCTTGACATTGAGCTTCGGGGGCTTGTCCCTCGTGCTGGGATGGGAAGCAAGGGGTTGATGGAGGGGTCGAAGGATTTCTAGCCGGGATATTGTTCCGGGTAGGAGACACCCGCGTGGGCCCCCTTTCCGGGGCTCCGGGGAGGGGTGGCCTTACTTAAGGAACGGGGTCAGACCTCACTCTTCACAGCTTGTTCGTTACCTCCTCTAAACGTGGCCCTTTGACCTCATCCTGTTCGCTCCTATGCTCGTCAACATTTTGCCCGTTCGGATTTGATTGCATAGATCCGACGGCCAAGAGTCTTGGGAGGGGCAGCAGGATGGTGGCGCAGTCGACTCCGCCACAGACTATTCCGCCATCACAGTTTTACGGGATCCCTTGGTACTGCAAAGTGCTGAGCCGGTGAGTTTGGTAAGTTCTTGATCGGCCACCGCCACTTGCCGTTCGAGCAGAGGCTCTCGGTTCAGCGCACTGAGGGGTACCATCCCTGTGTCTAGCATGTGACAAGGCGCACGACGGCATGCTTGCTCGATTGCCACGACTTTGATGGGGTGTGTTGCGCAAGCCCGAGCGCACAAGCTCTTTCTTGTCCCTTGGCAAGACTCTCCGCACCCTGCTACTGCTTCGCCCCGTGTCGCCGATGGATGACTCTCGGCGGCCAGAGCCAATTATGACGTGTGCGCGCCATGGCTAACAAAGCTGGTGCCCGCCCGCCATCGACCCCTCCAGACTGCTGCGCCATATAATATTTTCTGCGCAAAAAGCGCGAATTCATCTACCCCTAGCGTATGCCCAGCCTTGATGTGGCGGATCGTGAATCGTTGACCGCTTCCCACTTTTCCTGCGATCTTTTGAGAAATACCAAATCCCCCTTCTGTCTCCGGCATTAACCTTCGGCTGTGCCCTTTTTATATAAATAGGGACCGCTTCAGCCCACTACTTGGCTTGCCTCTTTCTTCTCTGACTTTTCGTCCTTCTCAGACAGCAGACGCAATGTCACTCACCCTATTTGTCATCTACAACAACAGCACCTCTTTCCTAGGGAAACTTGGATACAACTTTCGCCGCATGAGCGCGACCGCTGAGAGTGGTTCTGCCTGTGCTGCCTCCGACCTCACTCACGGCGGCGACGATGAACAAGAAAAGCCTGAATGGATTGAGACCAAAAAGCACATTCCTGCCACCATCGAACAGGTTCACTACGACAAAGCCCCAGCTGACGTATGCCAATCCTTTCCCGTTGATCTTGCCGCTCTTCACTAATCACGGCCACAGCTCAAGAAGTACGTCGAGAAGAATCACTACGAGTACCCCTGCATCGTCGGCAAAGGGCCCGATGGCCGCTATCATATGCTCTTGACCGATTCAGATCTTGGCGAGGTGTCCCACGACTACCAAAAGTTCATGAAGGTCCTCCGGGCCAACGTCAAGTCAAACGGTCTTCCTTGGGACGAATCAAAGCCGGCTGCTGTCGCGGCCTGAGCACTCCGACGTCAAGCTGCAATTTGGACGAACGGAACACGCTTACTGAAGTTCCCCGCGCGTGGAGCTGACTCTAGCGGGAGCTCATTCTTTTTCGACATACCCTGATCATGGGGCTACGAATAGGCGTCGGTCAATTTAAGCAGATGCTAGGCTCGGTTGAGCCAATTTCTATCGCTAGACACTTCATTGTTTCGTGCTGCTGCCGCTTCACTGATCTGCCAGTTCTTGGCAAAGATCCGTCCCTCCCGTCTTCGCCCCTCTCCACTCAGGACGTGGCCGTGCCCCAACTTTCCGCTACCGCTTACCCCATAGTTTCTTTCAGGTACGACAAATTGCTACTAGCTCACTATCGCGACAAGTCTTACAGACGCACCTTGAAGTCTCTATGCTCTCTTACACGTTCATCACAAAGGAGTCGACGTCGAGCTGATACCATGGTTGAGCCGTTGCCACAACAAGATGCCTCGCGTGAGAATCAGATTCAGTACCAAATTCAAAGATTGACGTAAACTTATATTAGTGTCTTCTGAAAGAGCATTGAGGATGCCTGATCAAACTACCGACAAAAGTTCCCAGTCGTGGCCTTCCCGATTCGAAGTTGAGCCTCAGCGCCAAACCTGCGCAGGCTACTGGTGTGCTGACTTCTAAGTTCCCGTTTCACCTTAGGCATCGTCTCATGTTATCACAGTCTTGCTCTCTCGTTGCCTCGTGCACCGCATTTGTCGACCTGTCGAGTCTTTGACCAGGTGCTCCAGCTGGGAAAGTCCCGGAATTGTTGCTGGTCAGGTCTAACCCACACTATCTTCAACTTGAATGCAGCCTGATATGGACTTCCGCCGAAACGTTGTCCCCGACAGCACAAAAGGGCATCGAGCGCCACCGGAGATCTTGGATACTCCCGAAGTTGTCGTCCGAAAGGTATCACACCGTGGCAGAGGCACAGGCGATCGGGTCAAGCTATCATGCGAACACTTAGTATGTATCTGCTTCACACCATGTCACAAAAGCTTCATGAATCCTTACAACCACCGCCCTATGCGTTCCTGTCCCACACATGGGGCGAGGAGGAAGTTTCTTATCGTGGTATCAACAGCGGAAAGGGTGTATTTAGGAAGTGTTGGCATAAAATCACAAAATGCTGTGAGATAGCTGCTCGGCATGGCTACGACTATGTCTGGATCGATACCTGCTGCATATAGGAATGTCACCCCTACTGAGAATGCACTGCAAAAGAGGGTGCTCCTGCCGCCGTCAATGCATGGCACAGTGACCTATATTCTGGCCCCCAGTCCGTAGCACTGTTTTGGAAACCTGCCGCTGTCACACCTAAAATCTTCCCTTCGCACCACCTACGCATGGATTTATGCAGTAGCATTCTGGGTATGCTCGCATCTACACCCAATAAGAGTTACCACAAGCTATGAGTCCTCGGCTATAAGATACAGTTGCAGTAGTTTGCAATATCATTCTTGCGTTTGAGCCATGCGCTGCAACAATGCGTAATTCAATTTGCGTCATCATGTGAGGTAGCCTGGTCGCTATTAAGGCCTAGCTGAAGTCCTGAGTGGCTAATGACTTCGAGGTGGTAGCCATCCATTGCTGTCCATGGATCTTTGTGACGCCAACGAAGCTATACACCCACCCGGGTTTCCAAGGGTTAAAAATCCCGGCAATGATGGGGTCCGCATTACCGAAGCATGATCAGAAGCTAAACAACTCCCCATAGATGTTCCCCCTAAGGCTAACGACTAGTTACAAAGCCCGAAATACACGAAGAAGTCTGTACAACGCTGACCGAGTGTAGAGAGAAGACGCCAATGAGCCTCACCAGCATGGTCCTTCCAGTGCTTGAGGTGGTGCAGAAGATTGCGTATGCCTGCCATTAAGCCCGCCCCTAGAGAAGCCCATTTTCCAGCCCTCGATACTCAGCTACACTTTCCGCCAAAGTTTCAAGACAAGCTTACTGCCTGACTTAATGAAACTGTTTGCCTATCTTGGCAAGGCTCTACTAAGACTGTTAAGTGGTGTATGGGACAGAGTGTCAGTTTCTCTCATTCATTATCTCTTCAAGTAGTGCATACATGGGAAATTAAGCCCTTTCTCATATTGTAAGGACAACATCACCAATCTCTCCTCGGATTGTCCTTCTGCCTGCCCTGCCTAGGAGTGTCAGAGACTGTGGTAGCACATGCTCATTCATATAAGTTTCACTGACTTGTAGACTCCAAATCTGGACCATCTCTATGTACATGCGTATCATCCGCGACTGATATAGGTGCCCCTGCCAAGTCTGACCACCCTTAGTATCTTGGAATTGACCCACGAAAAAGGGCTAGGTGATCAAGAAAGGGCGCTACAAGGCGCTAGCAAGGCCACTACGCCCCGAGAAAAGGTGGTCCCCGCGTGCAAAGGGCACTACAGATTGCAAATATTCCAGTAGACCGAACAATCAAGCTTTTCTAGTGACACCACGACATCGTTGCTTAAACCGACTCCAGACACTCATGGCATCATGCCTGGCTGCGAAAGACTTCGTCAAGCATCATGTCGCACAGCAAGATGCCAATTGTCCAGTGTCTCACGTACTGCTTGATCCCATGTGACGATTGTCGCACCCACGCAGACTTCGACTCGATGACGAATGAAACAATTGCACAACCAGCACTGAAGCAACCCGACCTCGGAGAACAATGCGTCTACATCTTTTGCAGAGTACGAATTTGTGTGAAGACTCTTGACTCGATGTGCTGAACCGGAAGGCGAACCGCAAACTCATGACTAGCTTGGGAATGCGCGTTGTAAAGAGACGAGAGATGCATTGTTCCATTACACTTGAAGAAGATTGACTGGCACGCTGACAAAACCGAGACCATAAATAACAGTGTTTGATTAGGGTTGTGGAACACGGCTTCATGCTGTGACTATGTACAATGCAAGGCGAGAACTTCTCACTTCAGGCCTTGTTCAAAACCTTATTCAACCAAGCAAAGACGACTCTGCCGAACTCCTGAGCTGCACCGGTCTGACAATGATATCCAGCTGATCCTGTGAACATATGCAACTCGGCTCGATCGCCCAAAGCATCCTTCACCTGTTGCGACTGACCTCGGTTGGCGCTCTCAAACTCTCCATCCGCTAACCAGACCGGCCCCTGGATCTTGTCCGTCAGCCCTCTGAGAGTATACTTCCTGGTCTCTTGCAAAAAGTCAAAAGGGGACTCGATCTTGAACGCCCAGCAGCCATGCTCAATTCCCCATTTCAGCTCTGTCGGCGCTTCTGGGTCACGCAGCAATTCATGTACGATCGTGTCGAACTCTTCCTTCTCGCCAGATTCGAGAAGCTCGAGCAGTTCCTCAGGCAGGCCCCCGGTGAATACTTCAAACATATCCCAGACACCACCATTGAGGATGAGTGCTGTTATGCGGTCCTCGAACGCAGCGGCCCTTGCCTCCAGATATCCTCCCAGCGAGTGACCGTACAATACCAATTGCGCCGGGTCCACATAATCAGCGAGTTCCGAAAGCGCATAATCCACCACGGGAGTAACCACGCGCTCCCACTCCGGGAAAAATCCAGCATCTTGGTCTCTGCGAACCTTTGGTTGGCCTGGACCTTCGAATGTCAAGACATTGTACCCTCGGGCGAGTGCTGGACCTGCGAATGTGTGATACAAGTCTTCCTGGGCAGCATCAAACCCCTGACCCATTAATATCGTTGGTCGACGCTCAGTGCTGTTCTGAGTATACCAGATGCCTTCGACAGTGAAAGAATCTGTCGGGATTTGTACTCGTCGCGCCGGATGTGGTAGCGCGGCTATGGCTTTGTCGAAGGCTTCTTCCTGCTCAGCCCAATATGCGTTGATCCGCGGGTCGTTCCAGTCACCGCGGTTGTACGTGTCCGCTCGACGAAAGTAATTGGCAGTCGAAAACCAGGTACCTCTAAGCTGGACGTCGCTGTACCCAATCTCGGGATCCAATGCACGCGTCTTCGTTTCATTCGCAAGATCGAACCAGGTCAGGGTGAAGCTTTCGCGATCCCCAGGAATGATTTTCTTGGCAGCTGCGAGAACAGGACTGACGTCTGCTCCCTCGCTGTAAATCTGACCGAAGGTAGAGAGAATGTCGAAGTTGAAAGTTGTATCTTCACTGAGTGCTAGTGTAGGTTCATCCTCCTGAGCCCTTGTGAGGCATAATGCGCCCAGGATGGCGACAGCGTTGAGGGTAAAGGATTTCATGATGGAACAGTTCTGGCGAGATGATGGTACTCTGGTCAGCTGCGAACGAAGACATGATTTATATGTTATGTTCCCATCCGTCCATCACGGAGCTATTCCAGAAGAGTGTATACTCATGCGACGGCACCCCGCCCCGACAGCACTCTCCGATCACTTGGCATTACCCCATATCTTTTTCACATCGAGCATTTTCTTTGCGACGAAGTCTTGGTGTAGATCTTAGTCAAGGCAACCATGACGTCAGCCTCTTCGCTACGACTCGAATTATTAGAACCACTCGCAAGAATCCTTCCTCTTTGGTCCGCTCAGCAATATCTTTGGCCACTATGGTAAGCCGAGGCGTCTCCAAGGGCTGCGTTACCTGCAGGCAGCATCATATCAAGTGTGATGAAAACAAGCCTCGGATGCAAAGAATGGCTGCGCCCCGGACGCGAATGCGCGGGCTATGGCAAGAAAAGCCGCCCCATTACGGTTTCAAGATGGGACTATTCGATGGCTGAAGAAACCGCCGAGACAACGAGAGCTAAAAAGAGAAACGACAAATATAGAGAGTGACTCAATTGACTCGACCCAGAATCAGTGTCCGATATTGTGATCTTGCCGTCAACAACGCGTCGTCAGCAGGATCTCGCAATCTCGTCCGATATCTCCAATCTTGCCGTCACCAGCGCCTCGCCAGCGGGATCTTGCAATCTCCTTCTTCCTCAATTACCTCACCATAGCCGGTCGGAGCTTGGAATCAACACGAAGCTTTCTAGAGTATCTTTGCCCAGTTCTGGTCATTGAGGGCGACAACTCTGTTCTCGCTGCCACGGCTAACGCCGCCGCCGCTAGATTATGGGCACGGTTAAGGCAGGACAGCATATCTGAATAGGAGCAGCAACAACAACTGTCGTATCGAGCTGTGGTGCGCTTGCAAAGAGCAACTAATGGGACAGACCAGCACTCACATGATGCAACCGTGTTGGTGGCCCTGGTACTGTAGCTGCATAATGCCTTATCGGCTCTCTTCTTTCAGCAAAAGGCTACTTGAAGGACACCAAACTCCTAGCCAATCTCCTACATCACAAAGTCTCTCTTAGTAGGAGGCAAGGGAGAGCCTTACCATCTACCGAACTTGACTGGCTCCATTCCCGAGTCATTCCTGCTTTGCCCAACTCACCGAGCTGCCTTCTTGATCTCATCGGAGTTTCGGTCACAAGAATTCAGCAAGCGTCCAGGGACCTTCATTCGGCAGACTCAAACATGCGTTCTGCTCAGCTGCTTGGCGAGATCAGTGCTGTGGAAGCTCAGCTAGATATATGGCTCGAGGTCGTTCCCCAACATTGATATCCCGGGCCCTTTCAAGGTGGAGCAAGCATCGAACGGCGCCTGTATATGTATCGCGGTGCCTGCGACATCTACCCAAGCGTCCAACCAGTGACTATTTGGAATGCATGGCGTAAATATCGACTCATCTCTTGCAGCATCAAGGCACAGCTTGGTATGACCCGAAGTGACCATCAGTGGAACGACCATCAAGTTAAGAATCTCATCGATGCCATCTATCAAAGTGTTCCATTCTACCTCGGCAATCTTGACTGTCCTATATCGCTGTCATCAATTGATGACGCACTACTAAAATTCCCGAGCTACCATGACCTGCCACAGACGAGTCACGAGTTTCAGGAATATCAAGCAAGCGACCATTACGTCTCCAAGGCCGATGATGCCCGGCATCTTCAGATACAGCTCCCCTTTCACATTATGAATGTTTGATGCATCTTATTGGGCTGATTGCTGGCAACGAGACAATTTCCTCTGAGCAGAAGGAGTGGATCTCGAAGCAGCTCCTCCGATCGCTGTACTTGCTGCGTGTGATACCGCGGGACCCAATTGGCAAGGATTCGTCATCCGAAATGACTGGAACGAGAATGTCGAATGCAGTCTCTTTGGTCAGCTCGTTGAAGCAAAGGCTGTGGACGGTGCATGTTCTATGAGAGAACTCTTGAGCGGCGGAACGATTTTGTCGAACTTGCTACTCTACATCTTTCAAGATGCTGCCCTTGTTCACTCTCGCATCTGCCAATGGGATGTTTCGCCCACACGACTCCTTGAAAGCATACCTGAATCCATGTTCTCCTGCTGGCTCCGTACGATTCGTTTGCTCCCGGAAACATCCTTTCGCCTCGGTTTTACATGCCACACCCGCCCATGTGCACGAGTCCAGCATTCAGAGTCACTGAACCCGCGATTCCCAAGATTGCCTCTCTTCTTAACGCATTCTTGGAACTTGATGTGATTGACAAAGTCGACTGGGCAACTATGTAGGCTCGTGGGGTCGTAGAAAAACAGCGGATAAGGTAGACATGCTTTCGGTTGGGTTTTGAGGCAAGGGTGATTCAGGATTGCAGAAATCTATTTTCGTGGGACATTCTTCTTGCATGATCTCAAGAGCATCGGGATTGATGATAGACTTAAAAAACGGAATGATGGGGAGTACAGCAGCAAAAGTAACAGGTTCTGGAGTATCGAGAAGTTGAAACAGACTTTCTTGGTGGTAGACCTTCTAGGTCGTTTCGATCTGGCCAGGCCTGACTCGGCTGCAAGAGGGTCTTCAACATGCTGCCGAATGAGTTCCAGAGTCTGAGGTGAGAGGCGCGACGTACCTGAGTAATCGAGCCAGCGATATCGCGAGGTAGCGCATCATGTTTCCGTCGCCATGCGCCGGAGAAAACGGTCCAGTACTTGCGTACTATTTCAGCGCAGGCGGCAATATGGTCGACGTTGTCAGTCTCCCCTTTACTATCGATAGATTTTCCCATATACGATCTCGCTGTTCAGTGCGGTGCGTCGTTCATTGGCTTTGTCAATGAGTCGACAAAGCTCACCTGTCGGATCTCGAATGCCTTCTCGGATGGCTCGTCGCGGGTGCAACGTAATACTGCGCTCATCTGGCACATCCATCGGATTACTTCGCGCATATTACAACAGACGACCAGCGTCAGTTGTGATAAATGGGTAGTTTGAATCACACGAGTGTTGGAAACACTATGTTTATACCGGTATACATGGCGGTGGCCTCAATGCACACCCCACACGGGCTGGACAGTGGGTTCCAACCAGAGCAACCATTCTGTCTCAGTCCAAGAAATGTCGGAATAATGCTCCTACAGAGTTTCCCCTGGCTTCAATCGTTATACCTTCCCACCCTCCAACAAACGCTTCATCTCGACGCCAAAGAAGCCCGGATGTGGCACGACCAACGCTCCCGCCTCACTCAGCGCCTTCGCCTTCGCCTCAGCCCCCTGATCCCCAGCGGCCAGCAACGCGCCCGCATGCCCCATCGTTTTACCTTCGGGCGCCGTCCGTCCCGCGACCATCGCCACAATCGGTTTCGGATTCTTCGTGCGCTCTCTATACTGCCTGATCGACTCGGCCGCATGGAACTCAGCCATGCCTCCAATCTCACCAATCAGAATGACCCCCTCCGTCCCCTCATGTTCGTAAAACAGCTCCAGCCCATCCCGCAACGTCGTGCCGGGAAGCAAGTCGCCACCACAGCCCACCACGATACTCTGCCCGAGCCCCTCCGCGCTCGTCGCTCCGACGGCCTCATAACTCAGCGTCCCGCTCTTCGACACGATCCCCACCTTCCCCCGCCGAAACTGCTGGTACGGCATGATGCCAATGCGACACTCCTCCGGCGCGATGATGCCGGGACAATTCGGCCCCACGAGGCGCGACTTGCTCTGCGTGCGCAGCAGCTGTTGCACCCGCAGCATGTCGTGCACGGGGATATGCTCCGCCACCGCCACGACGAGGGGCACCTCGGCGGCAATGGCTTCCTCGATGGCCTTGCCGGCGCGCTGGGCGGGGACGAAGACCGCGGTGGCGTCGGGTTTCACGGACGCCATGGCTTCGGAGACGGTGTTGAAGACGGGAAGGTCGAGGTGTGTGGTTCCGCCCTTTTTGGGGGCGACGCCGCCGACGACGTTGGTGCCGTAGGCGATGGTGTCGCGGGCGTTGGCGGTGGCCTGTGCGGGAGTATGGCGTGAGTAGACGAGACAAATCTCTGAGGAAGACAGATATTGCAACAAAGAGGTCCCGAGGGGTACTTACCGCGCGGCCGGTGAAGCCTTGATATATCACTTTAGTGTTGCGGTTGATGGCGAGATTGAGGATGTTGTCTGCTCCCGTTGCCTGCGAGCTCAATCGTCTCTTTGAAGGCAGGATTTGGCCACGAGAGCATACTGCCCGTGGGGCGGACAGTAGTGTCCTTGCCCACATAGTGAGCGTCTGTTATGATCCTAGGATGCTGGGGAGCAGCCTGATCTCGGTCCAAAAGGACAAATCCTGACGAAGGGTAGCTAGCCCTATACTAGTCCAACAACTGGAACTACACAGCCGCTGCTTTGGGTAGATGTGAGAGTGCCAAGCCCGTATACACAGGACTTATGAAAAGAATGTCGTCGAGTAGAAGGCTCATAGTCCAGAGCTGAGCTTTGCCAAAGATCCTCCCTCCATGAGCACCTCCGTTATAACGACCTTGAGCCCCGACCGCTCGGCAACACGCCAGCATCTTAGTAAGGCGCAAGACCAGCCCTCGTGTCGGGTAATCTCGCCCGAACGTAGGTTCGTGTCAGAGTGCGGGGTGCGAGATCGCTTTCGTGCCTCCAATGGCGTTAGGAAACTCTATTCTGGGTACTTCTCACCCGTCCTCGACCTCACGAAAGAAACGTCGCTTCGGAATGTGCTTAGAAGTCTGCTTCCGATCTCGCTACGACCCTGCCCGGACGTCCTACGGTGTCTGTTGCGAGAGCTTGGATTCCTGGATGACGCGATAAAGTCAGGCGAGTGTTGTGCTGGCAGGGGCTGACCGGAGAGAGGGGATAAAATACGCATGACATTTACTCTTCGGTGGCAGCTCTCCACGAACGGACACTCTCATCGAGGGCAGTAGAGCAACTGGAGAGACCGTGATGAACATCTTCCGGAGTAGTCGGGGCCAGCGAGTGGTTAGCCGTATAGTCGGCAAACTGCAACGGAGATATTTGAGCATCCATGAATATCAATCGCAAGGCCTGCTGAGAGAGGTGAGTCGGAATGGACACATACCCCAAACATCCGTGCTAAGCAGCGAGTGTAGGCTGGAGTGCTCGTGCCACGAGGTTACCTCGCTCGAACCAACACAGAAGCGGGTCAGCATGCTGAGAGCCTAGGTATGCAAACCCCGAGGTACCAGTCGGGAGTATTGCGGGAACTGACACCGAGACAGGTGGACCTTGCGTGCTCAAGTCACAAATTCTGGCTGGCGGCCGGGGCAAAGGCCACTTCATCGATGGCATACAAGGCGGCATCCAGGTCGCCAACAGGCACGCTGACAGCACACCACACCACTGCAAGCAACACCAGCTAACGTCATTCCAGCTCAATACAAGCCGAATCCCTCGCCTCTCGCATGCTCAACCACCACCTCGTCACCAAGCAAACCAAACCCACCGGCATCCTCGTCGACAAGATCTACGTCGCCGAAAAGGTCGCGTACACGCATGAATACTACCTCTCCCTGACCATCGACCGTGAAGCCGGCTGTCCCGCCCTGATCGTCTCGCGCGCGGGCGGCACGGACATCGAAGCCGCCGCGACGCAGGACCCCAACAGCGTGGCGACGCTGCGCCTCAACTTCCTAGAGGAAAGCATCAGCGACGACGTCATCCTCGCCGTGGTGCGCACGCTGCAGATCGACTCGGCCGAGGTGTCGCGGCTGCGCAAGCTGCTGGACAAACTGTTTGAGCTGTTCAAGGCCAAGGACGCAACGTTGATCGAGATCAACCCGCTCGTGCGCACGCCCGAGGGGAGGTTTCTGTGCCTCGATGCCAAATTCTCGTTTGACAATGCCGCGGCGCCCAGGCAGCGGGAGCTGTTCAAGCTGGAGGAAACGGGGGCGCGGGATGCCGACGAGATCGAGGCCGAGAAGTCCGGCCTCGTGTATATCCGGCTGGATGGGAATATTGGAAACGTGGTCAACGGTGCGGGGCTGGCGATGGCGACCAACGACGCCATCTCGTACTACGGCGGAGCAAGCGCGAATTTCCTCGATGCCGGCGGCCAGGCGACCAAGGAGACCATGGTGGATGCGTTTCGCATCATCCTGCGGGATGAGCGCGTCAAGGTCATCTTGGTGAACATCTATGGCGGCAAGTCTCCTCTCCGTGTATCTCGCATCCTCCTTGGGTAGCAGCAAACTCTTCATTGCAATCCATTTTGCGAAGATGACGCTAAAATGAAACTCACAGGTATCATCCGCTGCGATATGATCGCCGAGTCCATCATCGCAGCCGCCGACAAGCTCGGCCCACTGCGCGTGCCCATCGTGGTCAGGCTGCAGGGCACGAACGCGGAGCAGGGGCAGAAAATGGTTCGTATACAACCCACACTCTCCCTTTCCCCCCTGATCATGGCAGCCTTGCTGACACATCGGTGTTGCAGATCGCCGAATGTGACCTGAATATCGAGGCCGCGGCGGGGTTTGGCGATGCTGCGAAGCGCGCTACGGAGCTGGCAGCTAATGCATCCTGAAGGACAGAGGGGGTTCGTGGAGTCTTGTGCTATTATCATGAGTCATGGTTAGTAGACGCTTGTAGCGATGGCTGCGGGATCAAAGTTGGTTCTAACATGGCGGTAGTTCGGGGCGCCGGGAGACTACACGTGTCAGGGAATCGTACGCAGCCGTCTTGATGTTTGCAGGTGTCTATCAGTTGGTGATCTGAAACTCCAAAGGCAGTCAATACTATCTCTCGTGGTCAGCTCGTTGGGTTCTGGCAGGCATGATAGCGGCTGACAGTGGCAGGAGATGACGAGGTGGGTATTCGAGGGTCACTCCCACTCCCGAGATCATGCAGAGACGGAGTGAGGAGATAAGAAGCAGCATTGGGACATCATTTCGTTCCGTGTCAAACCTTCCGAACCTACTCCTGCTTATCCATAACCACATCTAACCACGCTGTAATCGACGAGAGGTGAGTGTGTATATATTCCTCACCGATTAACTTTTCGTTGCCCAGCTCGCTATCGCGCGAGGCAACCATCATAACGCCGTTGAATTATTGCCCGGATGGAGCTCCGAGCTCGACTAAAGCCACTCGGCTGTGTAACATACATGTCGCGGTCGTGAACTCGTCGCAGAAGCAGAATCGCTCCCAAATCAGAACGCCATGCGACGAAGCAGAGGGGTATTGTTGCTCGAGAAGCGCGATTAGTGGTAGCTGTACAGAACGCATCACAAGCGCTCGCAGAGGTTGTATCAAAGATCAAGCAATACCGCCGGCCATTCCCTGTACCTGTTAGAAGCATTCTCAAGCACGAGGACAAGTCACTTACAAGGAAAATGGCTTGCACTGCCAACTGCACTCCCCATAGGCCTACTTGCTTGAACCTTCGCATTCTAGCTTGCTCGTCTTGCACATCTCGCGCAAACGCATCGTAGACCTCAGCCGATAGATCAGCCATCAGGCCTGAATCAAAGACCGTCCAGCTTCCATCGAAGTCTGACGCTCGCTTGACCAGGCGGCAGTTGATGGGTATAAATGTTCGCCGCGAGTTGATATAGGCCACTATTGGACGAATGAGAGCGCTGTTAATGTAGCTGAGATCACGTGTGAAGAGTGGCACAGAAGCTCGGACGTCGTTCAGATGGACTCGGAGATCCATGACCAGATAGCGTGAATTTGTTTCGGGGGATGCCATCTCTGTGGAAGCCAGCGCCGATGGCGTGTCACCAGTGGTGGACATGAGCTTCGGCTCAAGATGCTTGCGGGATGTCAATGTGGCTTCCATACGATCATAAAAGTCCGACATGAGCTTCAAAGCCGATTCATCGTCGTCATTGGGGATCATAATGTCGGCGACGATATCGACATTGCCCTCCTGGATCCATCCGAAGGGTCCATCGACGCCACGATTCAGGTGATCGATGTTCAAGGCATCTAAACGTACGCGTGACTGCTTCTTCCAGGGCTCGTTGCCATTTTCGCCGGGATCATCGAGTGCAGCTCCAGTAAAGGTGTGATGCTGGCGAGGGTGGATGGTAAAGATTGAGCCGTCAAACTCTCCAGTCATGTTATTGGCGCACAAGAAGTCATAGAAGAGCCATTGCTTACGTAACCGCGGTAAATCGGCATTGTAGAGACTCACGTTGAAGGGTCGAAATTTGTTGGGTTGATGGACTGATAGGAGCAGATCTTCGACCTTGAATGATTCGATCTCGAAGTCTCCGGGGCTGTGCTGGTGCAGGTAAGATTTCGGATCGATATATTCCCCACCCCAGAAGACATGGGTGCGATCGATCACCCCACGAACGTGCTTGACTTCGACGTTTTGGAGTGGGCCTCTGGAGTTCCACCATTTGCCGAAAGACAACGTAACGTTGACTTCGCCAATGTTGACATCGAACTGAGTGTAGTTCTGGTCCTCGGGTGGAATTGGCTCCTCTAGGCTTGCATTTGCAGCAGCCTCTTCGGGTGAACCCTTTGTGACACTCGCCTTCTGCGAGCCCGGTCTTCGCGACACAAAGACGTTCTTGAATGTGATGACACCGTCACTCCACTTGGGGACAATGGCCGACTCAAAGACAACTTTGACGCCGGAAGACTTTGTGAGATAATTGCCAACCCAGCCAGCCAGCGTCTCCTGTGCAAAGACAGTGTTGATGGCTAGGATGGCTAGAGAGACAAATGTTGTAGTACCAACGATGATCCAAACCACATGTCCAAGCAAGATCCACGAGAAGAAACCGAAGATCTCATCCATGTTGAAAGGTCTCACGCTCTTGATCGTCAACCACTTGAAGCGAACCTTTAACCTTGACCAAAAGCCGGTCGCCGCAGCAAGAAGCTCTTCTTTGGTTGGTCGGTGGAATTGCGGCATGTGCAGCCTATCGTAGAAGTGCTCGTGGGATTGTTTTGGCGCATCAGTCTTTGGCGGTATGGCAGATTCAGGGTTGCTGTCTGATTGCTGAGCTCGCGCCGGGGTATCATCGCGTTTTGGGTCGCTCGTCCTTCTTGTCGATGTATGGAATGCTCTCTTTGGGATTTTGGTCAGGATTCTAGATTTGGCAGCGCTCGCTGGCTGTGGTTGAGGCTCGGAAGGATCGAGCGATGATAAGTAGAGAGAGATTGGAGTGTGCTCTGGCTTTTGGCGGCTATGGCTCTCGGACATGCCAACTGCGTCATGAGACGGCGACACATTTTGCGCAGATTTGGAGGACCGCGACTTCTCCTTAGATTCAAGGAAGAGAGCTTGGGCAGATGCGCTTCTGTAGGACGAAAAGGAGCGGGTCGATATCCGACGAGGGACATGATATCTGAAGGTAGGGTCTAGTCGTACAGAGGGCTGGCGTGAGGAGAATTCTCGAGCCGCTCGGATGGCAGTTTTCGAGACATCACACGTGCCTCGCGACAAACTGGTCGTCATCTTGCCGGGTTCATGTTGTGTATAAAGCTTGGACACGATGCCGTCAACAAGCAGTGCACGCTGTTTGAAGGAAAGTATGATGGACAGTCGTGATGGAAGTGGCTGGTGAATGCCCAGCGGAGTTGCCAGAAGCATGTGGATTACGCAGTCGATGCACGAATCGTAGAACACGTGATATTGAAATTGCCAAGACATTGACGGAGTCAACCTCTCGCACTCTGTCTCTTATATCGCACAAGACATCCAGGAGTAAAGACGCCGACAAGACTGCAACATTGTTGCGGATGATCTGATGACTATCTGCACTCCCCATACTGTTGCGCACATTCAGTTTGTTGTGGCTCGAATGCTGCTGCCTGTCACTCGTCTCGCTTTGCCCCTGACCCTGCCAGCCTTGGATATGGACATCCCTGTCACGACACGCTCACTTCGTCGCGCTGCGCTTGATCATGTTTGGCTGCTGCATCTCAGGGTTCCGCTCTTGCCAGCTAGACTCGCGCCAAAGGTTCATGTCCTAATTACTCGGTCACCGTAGGCCGCAGCCAAGCGACCATATCTGAACGACACATAACAGCTTAGCATTACTATTCCCTTAATTCTCCTAGCCTTTTCACATTGCGTCAACTGGCAAACAGGACCCGTCAACAGGGCGGTAATCTCAACAAAAAATCCAGATCTCTTCTACATGACCAGGAGCCTCTCTGTGTGACAACACCCGGGCAACATGCTCAACGGATCTAAGCTTGGTCTAGTATGATCGAAGTATGTGGCTGTTGTAGAGGAGCGAATCATTGTTCCTATCATGATGGCTTGCAGTCAGCGGTTAGACGTAGCACCCGAAGCCCGGTAAGGGCGACGAGCGCTCCATCACGCCTCGAGCCATGCTACCGACCATGTGCCAGCACCCGTACCTGCTTAATGTTGCATCATCTCCATACCATGGACTAACGAGCAGTGTCCAGCATGAGTATGCTGTACATGCTTACCAGCAGCACGGGATAGATCGCCAGCAAACACTGGGTGCAATTACTGATTCCCTGTCCCTTCCGAGCCGCTATCGCTCACTGCGAGGTTAGCGACCCAGGAATAACCACCACCTCTACGTGCACCTGCCAGCCATCGCATATTGTGAACGTCTAGCCCAACCTGCAAGTCAGGCAGTAAAACTACAGTGACCGCCCCCGTGCTCCACATCCGAGATCCGGGCCAATCGTCGCCCACAAAGATCGCATTCACTGCCTGACAAAGCTTGGCACGCAACAGACCAACTCCGAGTTCTCAGTTCCGAGGAGGACATCCCCGACTTGCGCAGCGTACCCATTTCTACATATACTCCCAATTGCACTCGTCACCCGCCTTCACGAGCAGAACCTACAACTCTCACCATGACGCCCAAGATTCAATCCCTCGACATCGGCAACAGCGCCGCCGCCTACTACGCCGCCGCCACTACCACCACCACCAGCAGCGCCTCCAACGGCACACAAACAATCCACATCTCCGGCCAACCAGGCAGCACCGCCTCCGGCCTCGTCCCGGCCGACTACGCATCGCAGATCCACCTCGCGCTCCTCAACCTCCACAAGATCATCCTCGCCGCCCACGCCTCCATCACCGACATCGCCAAGCTGACCCTCTACATCGTGGACTACGACCCCTCGCAGCGCCTGCACTCTCGCCCGCTGCAGAAGTTCCTCAACGGCCACCGCCCCGCCGTGACGCTCGTGCCCGTGCCCCGCCTCGCCGTCGACGGCTGGCTCTTCGAGATCGATGCCGTGCTGGCCCGTGATACCATCAGTCTACCACCCCCCGCTGCACCATCGTCGACCTTCGCAGCCGCCGAGTCCGTCGACGTCGTCATCATCGGCGCCGGCCTCGCGGGCCTGACCGCCGCGCGCGACGTCCTCTCCGCGGGACTCTCCTGCGTGGTGCTGGAGGCGCGCGACCGCGTAGGCGGGCGCACGTACAGCCACGCGCTGCCGGGCGGCGGGGTGGTGGATCTCGGCGCCGCGTGGATCAACGACTCGAACCAGAGCAGGATGATCGCGCTGGCGAGGGCGTTGGGGCTGGAGCTGATCGAGCAGAACACGGCGGGCGATGTCGTGCTGCAGCATTGGGATGGGAGCATCAAGCCGTTTGCGTATGGGGAGCTGCCTCCGGTATGTATGCTTACTGTGCATTTCACTCGAACGAGGACCAGAAAAGGCTAACGGCCAACCAACTACACAGTTCCCAGAAGATATCAAGACCCACTTGGCCGCGATCCGCGACATGTGCGAAGCCGACTGCCAGCAGATCTCCGCCGCCTCACCGCAGTCCTCCCACGCGAGCCTCGACTCCCTAACCTTCACCGCCTACCTCCGCACCCGCCACGCCAGCGACGAAGCCATCGCCACCGCCCGCGTGTGGACGCGCGCCATGCTCGGCCGCGAGCCCGAAGACATCTCGGCCCTCTTCTTCCTCAACTACTGCAAGTGCGGCGGCGGGCTGATGCAGATGCGCTCCGACCGCGCCGGCGGGGGCCAGCACCTGCGCGTCCGCCAGGGCACGCAGGCGTTCGCGACGGGCCTCGCTGCAAGTCTGCCTCCGGGGGTGCTGCGCCTGAACGCGCCCGTGGAGGCCGTGACGCAGTATACCGCGCAGGATGTGTCGGTGAGGGCGCTGGGCCGGACGATTCGGGCGAGGAAGGTCGTGTCCGCTGTGCCGCTGCCGGTGTTGAAGCACGTGCGGTTCTCGCCGCCGTTGCCGGTGGCGAAGAGGCTGTTGGTGGAAAGCTATAGCTATGGATACTATCAGAAGGTCATGGGCGTTTTCAAGGCGCCGTTTTGGGTTGAGAAGGGGTTCTGTGGTTTGGCGCAGAGCTTTGTGGGGCCAGCAGGGGTGATTAGGGACACTAGTGTGCCTGTAGAAGGCAAGTGGGTGCTTACTTTCTTTATCGCCGGTGAGGCGGGCAAGGCTTGGTCGCTGTTGCCGAAGAAGGAGGGAGAGAAGAAGTTGCTGGAGCAGGCGGCTGCGCTGTGGTGTGGTGGCGACATGGAAGAGGTACGCAGGAGCTTCATCGAGTTCGTGGGCTTCGAGTGGCTGGACGAAAAGTGGAATGGATATGGGTGTCCAAGTCCGAGCTTCGCGCCTGGCGTGCTAGAAACTGTCGGCCATGCACTCGCAGAACAAGTGGGTGATGTTCACTTTGTTGGGACTGAAACGAGTGATGTCTGGAAAGGCTATATGGAGGGCGCAGTGAGGAGTGGTGAACGCGGTGCGGCAGAAGTGGTGGAGGGCTTGAAGCGCGTTGTGGCAAAGCTGTAGTTTGACAGAGGCGGTTTGGGGATAGAGAAGCAGTAGATTTCAGTGAAGTCTCGCTGGGCTATCGTGAAGTCAACCTGGCCGGAAGAGGCGATCCTGCAGTAAAAGTTTGCAAATCGTGCGAATCTAGTGGTCGACGTTACGAATGGTGAATTGGCAAAAGCATTATGAAATATATTAACACCTAGGATAAGCACCAAGACCATCAATTTCTTCGTGAGAGCCATCATCGACGTCCAAAATCTTTCACTGAAAGCCATTACTATTTTGTTGCACCCCTGGAATCGTACTGCGTCACTCATGCAACCATAATATCCCACTCGCTCATACCAAGGAACCCCCCCAGCTTGTTCCGAATCGTATCCTTGAGCTCCTGCGCCGCTGCATCCACCAGGCTGGCAACCACATCCCTCTTGACGCAGCCCGCTTCAAGATTACCTCTGAAGGCTCCCTTGATCCACTGAATGGCGCTGGGGATGCCAGTGACCAGGAGCGCCGCGTGCTCGGCACCCACGTCTCTGATGTATTCCACCTGACCACCCGCATTGCAGTATTCATCATACAGCTGATCGGTGTCCTCGACGGCCGAGATCTGGTCCTGCACACCCTTATACATGAAGACGGGGATTTGAGGAGCTCGCTGACCCAGACGATTGGCTTCTTGCACGGCCAATACGGCGGAATTCTCGAAAAAGAAGTCGTCGCCGTCCAAAAAATAGTCATTCAACACATCCTGGCCCAGAAACTGAATCAGATTGGCGCCAAAGCATTGCTGTCTGGCCTTGTTGAAATCTGCGGCTTTTTCGGGCACGAGGTTCGCATCGATGAGAGCGGCGATCTCGGGATACTCATTACCAAGACCGATAATGCCGCCGGGTAATAGGCCGGAGAAAAGGGAATGGTTGATGAGTGGAAGGGAGGAGGTTATGTTGGGAACTGCACCGCCCAGAACGACTCCAATGAGATTGGAAGACAGTTCGGGGGCGTATGTGGGCGCCAGCTCGGCGGCAAAAGAGGAGACCAGTGAACCGCCTGAGTAGCCCCACAGGGCAACCTGAGCTTGTGGCGTAGTGAGTCCAGAAGACAGTGTGGCACGGATACCGTCCAGGACATGTTGTCCTCCGCCTGTGTTGGCCAGGAAAGCGGCATTTGGGCCTTCGTGGTCTGGGATGGTGACGACCCAGCCCTCCGAGAGGGCGGCACCGATGGCGATGATCTCGACCTGAGTCCCTAAAGTACCAGCGAGACCGCCAGAATCAGATGCAAACTGCAAAGCATATGATGGGGCACAGTTGGCGTAGGCCGAATCCTGAGCGACCTGGTATGAAAGAAGCTTGGACTCGTCGGCGTTGAAAGGTGTGAGGACGGTCGCTACCGTAGCCGAGGGATTGCCAAAACTGTCAGTGGAGCGGTAGAGGATCTGTTGTGCGTCGGCCAGGGGGACTGGGATCGCACCCAGTGCTGCGATCAAGGACGGTGGGTTCCTTGTAGCCAAGATGGTGCCAGGTGGGTAGGCCTCGTAGCCGGACTCCGGGGTATAGAACGGATCATCTGTAGGCGGAGTGACCAGTGCGCGGACACGGACGGGAGAGGCATTGGTGAAGGCAAACACCGTTAGCAAAAGAGTGGCTTCGAGTAAGGACCCGAACATGATGAACGAATGGACGCCTTCAAGAGAAAGCAAAAAGAGTGATGACGAGTGTGCTCAGGTATTGACTCGTAGGCAGCTGCCATAGTCTTATAGCTCAGTGTTTCCATCATTTGGCGTAGTGGAACATCCCCGGATACAGGCGGTATACCGTGCACAAGCTTTGTGCGGACAATCTGGGAATGCATGCCAAGGCGATTCGGAAATCAGACAACCATTAGTGCCCTGACGATCACCTGTTGCACTGACTCGAAGCCACGTTATATTCTTTGCGTAGTTTGCTACCTCCAAATGACGTTGGACGCGAGGGCCGCTTGCATGTTGTAGGCGCGGCGAGAATGGGAATAACAGCCTATGATTGGCTGTTGGTAAAGGGGCTCGAGCCGAAGCGCTGGTGTTGTTTCACTCGGAGTCTGGAGTATAGAAACGACTGGCGGCTACCTAGTTCGCATTGTTGTGAGCAGTCGGACAATTACATACTTTGAGGTTCCAGAGAAGGGCAACGCTGACCGTTGTCCGTCTCGTCTGGTCACCAAAGCATTCTGGCTCTGAGAAATTAATGACAAAGGCGGTCGACGAACTCTGGGTATAAGAGGTTACGACCTTGAGCGAACGTCTCTGGCCCCGTGGGGAAGTCCCGAAGTTCACGGTCATGGAAGCAGGCGAGCCCATGTGAAGATTCCAGCACAACCGAGGCGAAACTCCTTTTCAAATACAGTAAAGGCTTCCGGGACGTCTACAGTCGTTCTTTGTGAAGGTCATCAGAGACAAGCGCATTGGACGTCGGACATATGCCTCTTGAAGGCATGGTAAGATGCTCGCTAAGAGCAACGCGACGGATCTGAGGTCTCGCGTCGGCTTAATTTTACCAGAGCTTTCGAGTACGCGCCGAGGGTGTCGCGGTACAGTGCACACGCTAGACCCGTTTCGTGTATATGGTTTTACCTTGACTTTTCATCTCTACATGTCTCTTTACTGGGCGTGATAGTTTCAAGCATACATTGCCGAAGACTGTATGTCTCAATTTACTGTGTGGGATACTCCTGGGCTTCCTGCTTAAAGTTTGAATCGAGAGGCATTGTCGAGAGTAGCCTATACTCACTGGTGACAAGCACCCATCCACTTGACGACCACCTTGAATGTGGTAAATCTGCCATTGATGCCAGCTCTGGATAGTAGTCAGTCGTCATCACCTCCTTCCGATGCTGCCGTATGCCTGTCAGGGTATGTTCATCCCAGTCTGAGCTCCTGCCATGCTCCTGCTGGCTATCAGCAGGATCAATTGCTCTTGCCATACGGTTGGCTCTTCGACTGGAATCTCGATTTATTGATAACCACTTTCATCCCGTCCTTGTTGGCGGACCTGGTTCCGGTTAAGGCCGTATCAGGTGTGTTTAAACTCATTCTCTTGGGACAAAAGCTGCTGGTCATACATTGCAGAGCCATGGAGGTAAACCATCTTCTGCGGCTTCAGGATTGTGAAGGCTAATTTAGTCGATGCTTCGCCGGGAGAATGGGATGAATGCCTGGGTTTACCAAGAACTGACAATCTGTCATGAGACCAGTATCAGGTTACGAGGTCTGACATATACCTCTAGAAGTCGCCCGAAGATGTCGGCACACTCTCACCAACTTCAGCCACTGAAATCCTTTCGCTAGAGTCTACTGCCTGCGAGGGTTGCTCCATGCTCCGAAGCCGGGAGGCCAAAAGCTTTTGGTCATTGCCATGCCAGCTAAGAATCGATGGTCATTGCCCTGGCAGTCTCGGAGTGGAAGGTGATATCGTGAGGGTGCAACGAGAGTCCATGCGATAAGTTTGCTCAGATCATGAGTAGGTAAGCAAGGCTGTGGGGGTGGTGGTGTGAAGGACAGGGTTCCCAGCTCTTGTGGGAACCGGGGGCAGCTTAGGTGGGCCCTAGAGCTCTCTCTAGCGAATCGGAGCTGCTTTGGGGGGAAGCACCCATCAGCAATCGCAGCTCTTGATATCAGCTTCATCATTCTGCCTCGTCTACCGTCACGCGAGTTTTCGCCCATGCCCTAATCGATTGGTGCATCAGCCGGACCTGCATTACGATGTGCAGCTCGCCATGGCCCGAGCTCTTTGACGGTAGGCCATGTGAGATAGCCAGAGTAACCCAAGGGGCTGGCTACTACGGTAGTATCCTGCTTGTACCCCTCCATCTTTCGTCACACCGATGCATGCACCGCACCACTGCACCGTGCAATTAGGGTCGCAAGCAGGACCCTTGGATGCCATCGCGACGGTGACACCTCTTGGAGATTGTTTCCCCGCGTTTCCCGAATATTTCTTTTGTTTATCATCTGCCGCACGCTGGTCGCTGACCGCGGGTTCTGTCACTTTGGTCGCGGGCAAGATGTTGAACCTGTTGCGCTGCGTTGGCACCGTTCTGTGTGTGCTGACGACTATTGCTGATGCCGTCTCCGTCAATCCGCTGCCAGCCCCGCAGAACATTACCTGGGGCAGCTCGGGTCCAATAACTTTCAACCAAGGCATTCAACTTAACACACCAGCTAACGACCTCATCGCACAGGCATGGCAACGCGCATATCAAGCAATCACCACCCTACAATGGGTTCCTGCGGCTATCGAGGCTCCCATAGCGACATTTGAGCCCTTCCCAAGTGCTACCGCCTCCTCGTCTCGAATGCGCCGGAACTCCGGCTGCTCTCAGGTCTACGTCTCGGTCGACGACAACGAAGCCGACCTGCAGTACGATGTTGATGAGTCCTACAGCTTGAATGTAACTTCCTCCACGATTTCTATCCATGCTGCCACTGTCTGGGGCGCCATGCATGCGTTCACCACATTGCAACAACTCGTCATCTCGGATGGCAATGGCGGCCTCATCATCGAGCAGCCGGTCATCATTGTGGATGAGCCAAACTATCCCCACCGAGGCATCATGCTGGACACCGGCCGCAATTTTCTGAGCGTTAAGAAGATCTTTGAACAGCTGGATGGCATGGCCCTAGCCAAGCTTAATGTCCTGCACTGGCACCTGGTCGACACACAATCATGGCCAATTCAGCTAGATGTCTACCCACAAATGACTAGGTAAGGCTCCATAAATTTGAGTTGGCACAGTATCATTTGGTCAAGCAGATCTGAGAACTGTCTTGGATCGCGCATGACATTGGATGGCACAGTGTTGATTAGCCCGACTCCGATGTGTGGCCCGAGGTGCATGGCAGCATCTGGAGCCATGGCTATCATCATGCCCAACTCGTATCTCAGAGGACCCCGGCTGACTTTTCCAATAGTGCGTATATCACCTGACCAAACACCGTCCTATGTCGCAGGCCGAGCCTCCTCCCTCCTTTGAATGTCAATTGAAGCTAATCGGATCTTCCAACCAGTCGATGCCTATTCTGCACGCGAGCAATACAGTCATGCAGACGTCCAGAGCATCATCGCTTACGCACGCGCCCGTGCTATTCGAGTCATCCCCGAAGTCGATACTCCAGGTCATGCAGAAAGTGGCTGGGTCCAGGTCGATCCCAGCATCATAGCATGCGGCAACAGCTGGTGGTCTAATGACGTCTGGGAGCTTCATACTGCGTTGCAACCAAACCCAGGACAGCTAGATATCCTCAACCCCAACACCTATGACGTGCTGACTGGAGTCTACACCGAATTGATAAGTCTGTTTCCAGACAATGTGTACCACGTTGGTGGTGATGAGATCCAGATTGGATGCTACAACTTCAGTGAGCCGATCACGGAGTGGCTTGAGGACAACACTACACGCACTTACAACGATCTCGTGCAGTACTGGGTCGACCACGCTTTTCCCATCTATCGAGACAAGCCCGACCGAAAGCTCATGATGTGGGAAGACATCATTATCGCACCTGAGCATGCCACCGATCTCCCGCCGGAGAACATCATTCTACAATCCTGGAACGGCGATCTCGTGAACATCAAAAACCTCACTTCCCGCGGCTACGATGTTGTGGTGTCTTCTAGCAATTTCTTCTACTTGGACTGCGGCAATGGAGGCTACGTGGGCAATGACCGTGAGTCGTGCCCCGATCTTGGCTCGAAACGGTCTTGCCATTCTTCTCTGATCAACTACTAACGGAATCTAGCGCGTTACAATGAACTTGTCAACCCCAACAGCTCGGTGCCAAGCTTCAACTGGGGAGGACTGGGTGGCTCGGTTTGTCTCTCTGCATGAACTCATATTGGGATGACTGGAGGGGCTTTGTGGGACGTCTTGGACATGTGTCTATGCACCCCACACTCGCGGCTCCCGTTGTTCCTCCATTTCCATCAAACATACCCTATTTGTCCCAAAGCACGTCTAACCAGAACGCAGTGGTGTGCACCGTACAAAACATGGCAGCGCATCTACGACTACGACTTCACCTTCAACCTGACCGACGAAGAAGCATCCCATGTCATCGGCGGTGAAGCACCGCTATGGAGTGAACAGATTGACGACACGATCGTTAGCCAGAAAGTCTGGCCGCGAGCTGCTGCACTGGCAGAGTTGCTGTGGTCCGGCAACCGAGACCCCGAGACAGGCGACAAGCGGACGACACAGCTGACGCAGAGGATCAACAACTTCCGAGAATATCTGGTAGCGAGCGGTGTTCAGGCTCAGATCCTTCAGCCCAGGTGAGTCGAAGCCGAGTGATGTTTGTTGGGCGTTGTGCTAACTCACAGCTGGTATTGTTACACCCACCCGCATGCCTGTGATCTGTACTACAATCAGACGGCCTTGAATGATTATGCAGTCAATCAGCCGGCTTGAGGAGAGTGAGATCCTGACGCTTGATACCTCTATGATGAGTACCTCGATCCTGGACTCGAAGGTTCTCTATGAAGGGTGCATGCAGCAAGAAGAATGACATGTCGCTACTACACGAAGATGCCATGATGAAATAGCTAAGAGGCAGCGTTCTACAGCAACCTCTAATAGTAATGCGAATACCCTTTGATTGTCACGTGTATTCAGGGCATTTGGACCATATTTGGGATGCACCTCATCAATGCCAGCCTCGCAGCCTCGGTTGAGATCGGCGCCGCGGTTATGCCAGTTTGTTCAAGATTCGGCGTGCCCGAGACGACAACACGGCGCTCTGCTTGCCATACGAAATACGCTGCATTCCAGGCTGTAGTCGAGTAGCGAAATTGGACCACTTCCATACTCAGACAGCGAAATCCCTACCTGCATATGCTCCCCATGTGAAGAAATCCTGGGCTTGGCTCGCGTCACCGTGGATTTCGGCTCACGTGTTATCGATAAGGCCCTGCATCCGACATTTCGGGGCCTTCGATTTGCTGGCTAAACTGCTGGGTGGAAACGGGTCTGCGAGGCTTCGGTCATGCGGCCCATCCAGCTCAACAACTTTTTGCGACGCGTTGCTTCTGTGATACGACCGGCGCCCAACGCCCATATATGAACCCCTCGTGACCCCAGACTTGATGCTTCTGATCCCTCGTAACATCGTTTCTCTCATTCGCCAGTCACCAAGAGCAGTCCGTCCGTCAGCCTGTCGTCTCCTCCATTCCACACCCACCATGGATGGCATCAAGTCCAAGATGTCGGGACTTTCGCCCTTTTCAAAGAAACACAAGGTCACCGTCGTGGGCTCAGGTAACTGGTGCGCACATCTGACCCTGATATTCTTGCTCCAGCTAACCTCAACAGGGGCTCGACCATCTCCAAAGTCGTAGCAGAAAACACGGCCGCCTACCCAGATGTATTCGAGAAGAACGTTCAGATGTGGGTGTACGAGGAGCAGGTAGAGCTCAAGAAGGATTCAAAGCATTACAAGGAAGGCGACACACTATCCAGCGGTCCCCAGCCCCTCACCAAACTCATCAACGAACTCCACGAGAACGTAAAATACCTACCCGGCATACCCCTCCCCCACAATGTCGTTGCGAACCCCTCGATTCAGGACGCCGTCAAAGATTCGACAATACTCATTTTCAACCTACCTCACCAGTTTATTGTCGGGCTCTGCAAACAGATGCAAGGCCATATCCCACCTTACGCTCGTGGCATCTCGTGTATCAAGGGCGTGAACGTCGAAGAATCCACAATTTCCCTCTTCTCAGAGACCATCGGGCATCAGCTCGGCATCTACTGCGGTGCCCTCTCGGGTGCCAACATTGCCAATGAAGTCGCATTGGAGAAATACTCCGAGACCACAATCGCCTACGACCCTCCTCCAATGGACTCACAGAACCCCACACCTGCCACGTCCAGAGGACCCAGTCCTTCCGCCTCCCACGCCGACCTTACCCAACTCGAACACAAAGACGTCCATGGCAAGCCTCTGAAAGCCAAGCTCAAGCCACTCCCTTCTGAGTACAAGCCGATCGACCACGAGCTGATGAAGAGGCTCTTCCACCGACCTTACTTTCACGTACGAGTCATCTCAGATGTTGCCGGCGTCTCGTTAGGTGGTGCATTGAAGAACGTGATCGCCGTTGCAGCCGGCTGGGTCGACGGTCTCGGCTGGGGTGACAATGCCAAAGCGGCCATCATGCGCGTGGGCCTGCTGGAGATGGTTGAATTTGGCAAGCGCTTCTTTGGCAAGACAGTCAAGACAGGCACCTTTACTGAAGAGTCGGCCGGCGTTGCGGATCTCATCACCACCTGCAACGGTGGTCGGCACGTGCGCTGCGCGCGCATGAGCATCAAAGAGGGGAAGCCGATTGAGGAGATTGAGGCCCGCGAACTCAATGGTCAGAAGCTCCAAGGCACAAGCACGGCATACGAGGTCAACACTTTCTTGAAGAGCCAGGGTATGGAGAACGACTTCCCATTATTCACGGCGGTATACAGCATCTTGGAGGGCAAAGCCAAGGCGGAGGATATTCCACAGTTGATCGTGGCAGAGAGCGGTTGAGTGGGACTGGCCTTGCGCTATGTGTGATATGCTATGCATTCGTGGGGTGAGTATTGCATTGGTCCGAGGCATGGCGTAGGTGATGGTTTGGGTTGTTGTGCCATGATACCCAGCGAAGAGTGATAGAACACGCGCCGGATTATGATGGTGGGGTCCGTCGTGGGGTGAAAATTCGGGGCTCGGAAAACTATCATAGCGGTTATGACCAAAGCGAAATACGAGCGATTCACTTGCACTACATTGAGCCAGAGCGCGTTTGATCATCAGCTTTTCTATGAATCTCTTTTGCTATGCTGTGCTCAACTGGTTCGACTATTCCTTGATTGAGACGTAGCTAAGCCCACTACAACACCGCCTGCTTTGATCCCGCGACTAGGCGGTCTCGACAACGCCGCTCGCGCGACGCCCGCCCGCATCGTGCGAGCGAAACCTACTAGCAACGGCGCGTCCCTCCCAGCGTACGTTGTTGAAATCTACGAAACCCCCGGCCGACGACTTTTCTCCCCCTCGACCAGCAGCACCATGCAGCCCACAGACACTTCCCCTGCCACCAACGGCGCCACTCAGCACATGCACACGAACGGCGACCACGGCAACCACCACGAACCACCCCTCTCTGCACCATCCCGACTGATCCCTCCGGACCCCCTAACAAGCCGGTATTCCCGCCAACTCCTCCTCCCCCCGCTCCACGGCCTCGCGGGCCAACGGCTCCTGTCCTCCTCCCGCGTCCTGCTCGTCGGTCTCGGCGGCCTCGGCTGCCCCGCGGCGTTGTACCTGGCGGCCGCGGGCGTCGGCACCTTGGGATTCGTCGACGCCGACGTGGTGGAGGAGTCGAATCTGCACCGCCAGATCCTGCATGCCGAGGACAGGGTGGGGATGCTGAAGGTGGAGAGCGCGAGGGAGGGGGTGAGGGCTGTTAATTCGGCGGTGGAGGTTAGGTGTTGGGGGGAGAGGGTTGGGGGGAGGAGGGTGGTGGAGATTTTGGAGGGGGGCGGGGGTGGAGATGGGCGACGGGACGGTGAGGCGGAGGGGAAGGGGAGGTGGGATTTGGTGCTGGATTGTAGTGATAATCCGGCGACGAGGTATGCGGTTAGTGATGCGGCGGTGTTGGTGGGCGTGCCGGTGGTGAGTGGGGCGGCGCAGAGGGGGGAGGGGCAACTGATGGTGTTGAATTGGAGGTGGGGAGAGGAGAAAGGAGGGCAAAAAAGGGGGCCGTGTTATCGCTGTGTGTTCCCCCGGCCGCCGGATCCGGAGATGGTCAAGGGGTGTAGTGAGATTGGGGTGTTGGGCACGGCGGTGGGGGTCGTGGGCGTCTTGATGGCGCAGGAGGCGATCAAGTTGCTGGTTAATGGAGGGAGGGTCGTGGATGGGGGAGGGAGGGAGGGGAAGGGGGAGATGTTGCTGTTCAATGCTTTTGGGGGTGGATTGAAAGGGATGTGGAGGGGGGTTGGGTTGAGGGGAAGGAGGGAAACGTGCGTGAGTTGTGGGGTGGAGGAAGTGGTGAGGAAGAGTGGCGGCAAGAAGATCACAAGAGACGAAGTTTTAAGCGGGATATTGGACTATGAGACCTTTTGTGGAAAGGTGGAGGATGTGAGGGTCTTGAGGCCGGATGAGAGGGTCACAGCGAAACAATTTCTGGAGGTCAGTCACGGTCAAGAACGAGTCATTGATGTCAGGGAGGATATTGAGATTGAGCTGGGAAGCCGGTTGCCGGGAACGGTGAACATCCCATTCTCAAAGATAATGAGGGATGCTGAAGAGGCATTCCAGGGCGTGGAGTGGCAGGATGAGGCGGAAACGGGAAAGGGGGACGAGAAGGTGTATTTTGTCTGCCATAGAGGCAACGATAGCCAGATCGCCGCCAGGCGATTGAAAGAACTTGATGAGCAGCTGGGTAGAAAGCGAGGCTGGATTGGCGATGTGCAGGGCGGGTTTCTGGCCATGGAGCGGCTACAGAGTGGTTCTCATTGAGACGATGTTTCTATTCATTATGATACCCCATCTAGAGTTCAATGTTTGAGAAAAGTCCTCGAACCCTAGACAGATGATTACCTGAGCCGAACGGGTGCATGTGTTGGTGGTCACTCTCCTCTCCTGGGTTTCAAGAGGATTCCCTTCACAGGGTATAGATGAAATCCGGTCGCTTGTCGCCGAGCTTATCGATCTCTTCCTCGGTCTTGCCCTCCACCCAGACATTTCGCTCACCGTTGCGCCGTTTGGCGTTTTCTCTGCGGAGCAGCAGGTGTTGGACGATGCTGCCTCCAAGAAGCCACGCAGTTTCGTAGGCAAGGACCACGGCGTGGCCGGGCTTGAAGCGTGGTTTGTCTTCGGTTCTGTATATGTTGCTGGAGACGATTCCGTTCAGATTGCCCCAACCAATCACAAATCCGAGCGAGATACCTATCCCAACGTTAGCCAAGCACTCACAATACAGTCCACTTTCTTCTTACCTCGCTTGTAGACGCCTTCGACATTGTTGGCCGTCCAGCTGTTGAGATGAGGTTAGCAAGTGACTTGTGCAAGGCAATCGGTACCTGATTGACTTACGAGATGGTGTTAGGAATGCAAGGATAGATTCCCATGGCGCCCAGGAAGGTGCCAGCATATTGGATGTGCGGGTCACCACTACCAAGAAGCATGGCGAAGCCGGTGATTCCGAAAAAGGACATGGCCATGTTGCAATAGCCTGGAAAATGTCAGACGTTGACATATAACATAAAGGTGAACTTACCTCGCTGGCCCGTACGATCCGCGATGAAGCCAACGGCAATGGTCACAACTGCAGCTACAGCGTATGGTGGTACACTAAGAAGTTGAGCATGAGTGTTCTTGTAACCCATCTGTTGAATGATGGTGGGTATGAAGAGTGAGAAGGCATAGAGAGCGCCATCGCAACCCATGTAGCTAGACATATTAGCTTTTTGAGTACCGCTCAAGAGAACGGCGGACTTACATTACCATGCCGGTGTAGGTCTTCCAATCTTTCAGGCTAGCCCACAGATAAGCCAGTTTAAACTGCTCGTGCTCTGCAGAAGACTGTTTGTCGAGCTTCAGGCGTCTAATGACTCGTCTGCGATCGTCTTCGGTTAAAAAGGTCGCCTCATCGGGGAAATCGTGAACCATCCAGAACGAGATGACTGCGATGACAATAGTGGCGAGGCCTTCCAAGATGAAGATCCAAGCCCATCCAGGCTTTCCACCGACGCCATCCATGTTGGCAATAGCGGCGGCAAGAAGACCACCAAATGATCCTGCTAATGCGGCGGCGGAGAAGAAGATGGCGGCGCGGATTCCGAACTCTCTACGGCGATACCAGCAACTAAGGTACTGTTCCAAGTCAGCTCATCCCACGGTCGGCGTGAGGGTGTTCCCACATAGTTGACTCCCGGGAAGAGTCCGGCCTCGGTCAAGCCCAGAAACCATCGTACAGTCAAGAGCCCGCCGTAGTCGTGCACAAGACCCATGGTGGTCATGCATATGCCCCACAGGATCATGGTCACCGGTAAGAAGATAGAAGGCCGGAAGTATTTCAGCAAGATCTGGGTCAACGGCTCACTCAGTGAGTAAGAGATAAAGAAGATGGTGAGCGTGTTATTGTACTCGTTGTTGGACATCTTCAGATCTTCCTGAAGACCTTCGATTTTGGCATTTCCAATGTTGGTACGGTCTGCGAGGCATGAGAACAGATCATCACGAATGGAGACACGAGCTCACCAAGGAATGAGATCAAATAGAGTAAGCAGAGCCATGGAATGAGGCGGATATCGAGCTTCCAGAGAAGCCTGCGATCGATCTTCTGCCGCTCTTCTTCGCTCAGGCCCGCATCTGGATCTGGAACCTCCTCATCCAATGCAGCTCTTGGGTCCTTCTCCACGTGTTTCTCGTGATCAGAAGGGGAGCGGTCGCTGTTAGAGTCGCGTTGGGCCACGGGTTTCTCCATGTTTGTTGCAATGTGTGGGTTAGGAAGTGGCAGAACAAGGCAAGATTGTGTCCAAACTAGGTGGTCACAACGGGCAGGCGGGAAAACAGCTGCTTATGTGCCAGACCTAGGGGATCTCCAAGAATCATCATCATCATGTGGGCGTCGCTAGCGGCACATATCGGACGTCGCTTCACCGGGCGATCGGCTTGTCATTTCGAACAGTGATTACCAGCACGCCGACCGGCTCATGAGCGAAACGACCATGTGGGTGCATAGCACCCCTGGTTCCAGCAAAGTCCCCGCCACTCAGCATGCGGACAGAACGTGGCGGGCGGAATCTGGCATGGTCCTTGGAGGTTGAACTACCGCAAAGAGGAAGGTGTGCATCGATAAGAAGCGGGATGGCCATTCAACGTCGACAAACAGCTTTCTCCTCACGGAGAGGCCCCTGTCGCCAAGGCCCGGGAGATCAAGAGTCCCAAGCTTCGGGCGCAAGCTTTACCGAGGTGCCGCCAATGACGTGAAATAAGAGTTTGGCCTCTACTGGGCGCCCAGACCGCCTCGATGTTCTGTCTTCACTGCCATTATACAAGCTGTCTTCCGTTTGACGGCTGCACTTGGAACTCACCGGCAATACCGAGCGAAGCGTAGTCGAAAAGGAGTTCGAGCGTCGTGACATGCAGCTCCGAGCAGTCCTTGAAGTGATGTCCATGGTGTCGATTCGCTCCTGAATGGAATTTGAATAGACGCAGCAAGGCGGAACAAAGCCCTGGTACGCACAAGGATAGGGAAGTGATGTGGTGTTGTCTGCTGCGGACGTGGAGAGCAGCATCTCGAGGCCACTCATCGATGTCGTAAGCGACAGGAGGTAGGAGGGGCACAAGTACGACGCGTGCCTTCGATCGGTCCTGGAGACCATGGTCTTTTGCGAGGACCATGAGCTTTGCGGTCCTGACAGGCATGCAACAGTGAAGGAGCAATGCAGCTGTAAGTATTACGGTCAGGCACAGTCCCTAGTGGTGCCTTCCACGTGTGAATTGTTGCCAGACTTCTTCCATTCCCACCTTCACCCACTTGCCACTATTGTCTTCATCACCACCATTGACGGTTTTGGCATTGCTTCTCTTGCATCTCATTGTTCTCTGGATTTCTTGTCATCATAATGGGGTTTCACGCCCAGCCTAAATACCCTTCCATGGAGAGACAGGACCTCACCCAGGGTCAGCTTGGAAGCTTCAAGTTCACCCCAGTCGACGTTCAGACCAATACCCGTGGCGACACTCCCCTCTTTCTGCAAGCTCAGTCTCTTCTTAGAGCCCGCGTTGGTGAACAGGGAGGTTTTGAGTTCATCACCGAGGACTACCAGAACAATTTTGCATCGCTTGCATCACAGCAATCGCTCGGCGGAACAGTCCAGAACTTCTCCCCTCGCCTCAGCCCAGGTTTTTCTTCTGCTACCACTTGTCGACCTGCTACTCCTCCTTCGGATCCCGGTTACTTCAATAGACATATCAAGCCCGACCTTGAGGACTCGCGCCTGAAACTCGGTCCAGCTGCCTTCAGATCCGCTGTCAACGGCAACAGTCCTGAGAAGAACTTCAGTCAGTCTCGACCTCGAGCTGAGGTAGGTCACCTAGCCTCCGGACTTCACTTGTCCCCATTCAGAGAGCTCTACTTATCATTGCGTCTTCCACAGTCAAACCTGACAAGCTTCTACCTTCCATCCGTTCCGCAACAACCCTTCTGGACCATGGACCCTACCGTCCAAGCCTTCGAGCCCTCCTCCGAGGCTACTGTACCTACCATTGCCCTTGACTACTCCACAATTGTTCGCTGTCTCGTCTCCGAACAGGAGTCCCACGAGAGAGTGCAAAAGAGCCTTGAGCAAGCCCAGCTTCACATCAAGAAGTTGGAAGGCCAGCTTGAGAAGGCCAAGGCCAGAGAGATTGAATTGACTCTCACTCTCAAGTCTCTAAACGGCATCATCGACCGCCTCGAGAGTCGGCTTGATGTCATCGGTGAGAAGTCTGCAGAGCCTACCACTGGCGGCGATAACAATGGAGAGGGGGACATCATGACCGAGCGCCAAGACAAGAACACTGCGGCCTTGCCTATCACAACCAGCCTGACTGACGACTCCGCCCAGTCGATCACTACTGGAAAGACTGTCTCGGAGGCTGAGGCCGACTCTTCGGTCGATAGCAGCTCTATGATCAAGCAGCTCACCCCTAACGTCGATCACAACGACGCCTTCAACCTTGACCTCCTCCTGAAGCACAAGCGTGGCACTATCCCCAAATGGCAGACTAGAGCTCTGCGCAAGCACTTCGATATCGACAGTATCTCTGAAGACTCAGTTGACAAGTCTGCCGAAGAGTCCTTCAACCCCGACGAGTTGGTAGGCATCAGTCCCCCCAAGGCCAGTGGCATTCGTGATCGCACCAACGACGTCGACATGGCTACCACCACCAAAGCTACTCCAACCAAGAAGGAGCAAGTTACCACTCCTATCCAAGGCATATCCAACGATGACAATAAGACTGCGACTCCTACCAAGTACTCGCCTGCCAAGCTCTATGTAAGTCTATTCTCTCTGGCTCATCATCGAGCATACTAACTTTTACCAGACTGCTGACGATCCCCTCCTTCAGCTGGTACGACTTCTATAGCCACCCCTTGCTACCTTGTCTACAATGACTAACTTCGCTAGCCTGAGTCCTTCTTGTCAAAGTATCAGAAAGCTAAAAAACAGCCAGCTACTCTTGATTCTGCTGATGAGACTCCGTTCAAAACCGAGTTCCTCCGTAACAACATCGGTAAGCCATCTCTTTCCTCCGTCGCGACCATGCATAGCCTCAATGCCCGCGCTCCGAAAGTCGTCGATCCCACTGCACCCTACGAGCTCTCTATCAAATGGCAAATCAACAAAGAGAGTCCACTCTACGAGGAGGAAGAGATTGACAGAGCTATCAAATGGCAGCCTGCTGATGCCCGCTATGGTATCTTTTGGAAACATCCTGTTCGATATCTCGACCACAGCAGCAAGAACCTCTTCCGGACTGTCATGATCGACTACATTCCCAAGACTGCGACCTACAACGATGTCCTTGGCCAGATCTCTGGCGGTTCTCTCGAGAAGATTGAGATGGTTCCAGCCATCGGTAATGTGACGGATTACCAAACTGCTCGTGTCGTTTTCAACTTCGAGATCGGCGCTAGCACTACGGCCAACTTTGCTCGCGACCACGGCATGAAGATCAAAGACCAGCCCCTCCGTGTTTGGCAAGTTCTGACACAGACTTATCCCAAGAATATGGCTCTAGACCGCGATATCTTTGACAACGGGTTCACTCGAATCCTGCTCATCAACAATGCCAGCCAAGAAGCCCTTGCCATGATCCCGACCAAGCTTCAACACTTTCAGCGATCAATCGTCGACTTTGGAGAAACCTTCGACAGATATCCAATGGTCGAGTTCACCAGCGTGGCCGTAGCCATTCAAGCAATGGAAGTCCTCGTTGCCGACCCAAACTTCTCGGGTGCAGAATTCGACTTCGACGAGGATCCCTGTGGTGAGCCATATCCGTTCGCGCATTGAGGCATGCATTTGGTTCATGCTATGTACAAAAGCGATGTTTGTTTTGCTTTCTGATGTCTGGTGTGGCGCTAACATGGAAATTCTAGGCCGTTTCGGTCATGATGACGCTGCCATGAAAGACTGGTAGAGACCAGCTCCGACACGGCAATTACATCAGACGGGAGCCTTGATCGTCGCTGAAAAGTATTACAGACGAACAAGGAGAAAATCAGAAAGCAAATGGGCCAGCTTCGAACTGGCGAGATCATGGCGTAGCAAGTGCATGCTTTCGCAGAACGAAAGCGAGATTCAACGATGGTGTCGGCGGATAGCCACGAACGTTCCTGTAACGAAGGTCTGATGAGCCTGACCGATACCACGGAGAGCAACCCGGAAATGCAGCAGACAGTCATAATGATAAGTTTAAACTGTCGCATTGTCATGTGCATGGCAGTCTAATGCTGCCTGTTGGTTCTTCATTCTTCGTTGCTGAACCAAACTTCTCCGAAGCATGATTGCCAGACGTGTCTGATGCATCATGTCGCTAACGAACGCTGACTGAAACACCCTCTTAGGCGGCTGGCTCCCTGCGCAACTATCTCAACTGCTCCTGGCCACCATCAGACGGAGTCAAGACCACCAATGCGCAGCTCTCAACCAAAGTGAAACAACGTCTCGCCCTTCTTTCCCTTTCCCTTCCCCTTACCCTTCCCAGCAGTCTTTTTCCCTCCATCCGCATCATCTCCATCCACGCCGCCGCCCAGAGCTTCACTGACCGCCGCCGCAGCCTGTGCCGGGGTCGGATTCGCCCCGCCATTACCCCACGCATTGACGGGCGTCTGCACGCCAGAGTTCCTGCCGCTTCCGCCGCGGGAGCTCGTCAGGGCGGGGCCGTAGGCGCGGGTGTTGAAGCCGGAGATCATGGTGTTTAGAGGCTTAGATGCGGTGGGGAGGGAGGGGAAGAGGTCTTGGGTGCGTGCGGGGGGCTTTTGTGGGCGGGCTCCGCCGCCGGCGGCGCGGGAGGCTGATGTGCTGATGGAAGGGGTGATTGTGCGTGAGGTTGTGTTGGAGGAGGGGGCGCCGGCCCACGCGATGCTGGTGGATGGTGCGCGACGGGCGGAGCCGCTGGAGGCTGGGAGGGAGGGGAAGGCCTCGCCTCCACCGGTCAGGCCAGGGACTGCGCGGCCGTTGACCCCCGTGGGAGGGGTGAGGATGTTTCCCCAGCTGGCTTGTCGCGCGGCGTTGGATCGGCCGGACTGAGCCGTACTGCTCTTCAATTTCAACACTCGTCGCCCACTGCCTACATTGGCACCCATGCTCTCGTCAGCGGCCGGCGCCGCGCCCGATGGCAAAGGCAGGGATGGATAATCTTCGTTGATGCTGCGCCAACTGTTCCATGCGGCGAGGAGATCGGTCCGCTTGGTTCCATCCTCATAGAGATCGGCGAGCTCTCGGATGAGGATGCCAAGGTCGGCTGGACGGCTGGGAAACAGAGCGAAGAATGCATCAAGCAGGTCGTTGGCGGTAGTGGCGTTGGTGCGGTAGGAAGATATGTGGGAGCGGAACTGCGCAAGCTTGCCTTGGTCGTGCTCCAGGAGGTTGGCGGCGCGTTCGGTGACAGCGTTATGACGGAGCGCGCGGGCACGATCAGCAGGGTTGAGAGTCAGATTGTCGAGAGCGGGTGGGGAAGCTTGAGAAGGCGGCGACGGTTGGCGGCGAGGCTGTTGTGAAGCTTGAGACCCTGGGGCAGTGGGCTGTGTAAGTTGTCCGCCAAAGGTTCGGGTCGTCGTAGACTGAGCACTCTGAATGGCCATTTGTCGCTGATAGGCAAGCTCGGCTCGCGACAACGGCTGGGCGCTAGACATGGGCAAGGGTTCAGAGTTGGGATCTCGACCTCTACCACCGCCTCTCCGTGGTCGTTCGGGTTGATAAGGCGTGCGTACATCGAAACTAGAAAGATTCACGACCCGCTGGTCTCGTCTGACGTCTTTCGATAGACTGCCAGCGTGCTCCGCTAGCTGATGGGCTTTGAGATCGATCTCCGATTCGAATACGTTGGTTTTATTAGCTTGGCATTCCGCGTCCAAACAGACGTAGTGTTTCGTGGCGAAATGCTTCTCAAGTTCCTGGTAATTTAGGTAGTATTCGGGACTCCGGCCGGCATTTTGGCGATCACAGATGTGGCATCTTTCATGCTTCTCACGGCAATGCGTGTACAGCTCATCGTCGCCGTAGAATCTCTCTTTGCAGAAGCCACATTCAGGGTGTCCCTTAAAGCCGGACTGGTCAACGGCACCGGGGTTGTCGTCGCCTTTCTGCTCGTGTCTCCGCAACTCGCCAAAGGCAAACATCTCGTGCTCGTGAGCAAAGACTTTCTTGTGACGCACACACAGGTCGCACATCAGCTTTCCATGCTTCCCTTTGACGTGGCGTTGAAGATGTGGCCAGCCTTGACATGCCATATCGCAGGTCTTGTCCGGACAATTGTACCGCAGCAACAGAATGGTATCCTCAAGAATGGAGGGTTTCTCAAACTTGATGCCGAGGTTCTCGTCAATCTTTGCAAACTCATGATCCTTGAAGTCTTGAAACACCCTGTCGGTACTGTCTGTAAACACGACAAAGGGCGCTTCTGTTCGGCAGTGTGCACATGCTCGAGTTTTGTAAAGGGCTCTCATGCGCAGCGCACAGATATGGCAGGTCTGGTGGTTACATGGTCCTATTGCGGTGTGATCGATCGGACTGGCGCAGATGAAGCATACTTCAGCGTCGTCTGCGGGATTGTCGGTCTGCGGGTTCTCAGCTGGGCCACTGTCGCCGCCTTGGGTAGTCGGGGCAGCTCCGGTCAGGCGGGTACCGAAGCTGCCTGGCGGCCTGCTATGGCTGTGATCGGGTAGTGCTTCTAATTGACCGGCAGTTGTAGTTGTCGTGCTATCTCTTGGATACACGCCTCTTGCTCGGCCTCGGTTGCCTCGTTGACCGCGTTGGTTCCTCCCTCGACCTCGACCACGACCCCGAGGGGATGTCGGAGCTTCTGTAGAGTCCATGTTTGAGTAAATGTTATTTTGCCTTTGTGGAGACACTGCGTCTGTCATCAAAGCTTTGGGGAGAGAATTTGTTCGCCGAGTGTGTGCTATATATTTTGGCGACGTCTCGGTAGTTCGAAGGAGGGTGGCGTCCCACGAGCTCAAGATTTCGGTGCACCTAGTATGTGTGGGATCAGTCGAGAATTACAATGAGGTTGTTAGAGCTCTATCTGGCAAAAAGCGCCATACACTTTGTATGTATCAAGGGCTCGCTCCGGTGCTTTGGTGGGGGTTCATTCGGGCAGTTGGAATTTCGATAATGACGTCTCCACGCCAAAGTTCCCCGGCCTTGGCACGGTGGATCATCAGGTACACGATGGTGAGTCAGATCCTCTTAGTTGCCACACAGGTGAGATCTGAAAGAGTCATATTCTTTGGGAACTTGTATATTCTCAGGGATCTACTCCAGTGAGTGGTATCGTACTAAAAGGGTTTCGACGGTTGGTAAGCTGGCGAGTGGCAAACTAATATGCCCTAGTCCATGGCTATATCAATCGATACCCGCACGAGAGAGAGAGAGAGAGAGGGTCAATGCAGAGCCTATACGCACACACAAGCAGTTGGGATGCCTTTTCAGTACTAGACTGGATGTGCCTTGTGTTGGACCAAGGCTTCGGCGCCATTGCGGATTCTGAGCACGATATACTGCTTTCTGCAGCTTAGCCCTAGTGGATGCGCTGTGCGTTTATGAGGACGAACTCCCCAAGGCGTGTCCTGGACTGTGCACGGAGAAACCGACAGCTGATTTGGGTGCTCGGTAGCCAATTTAGTCGTCCACTTCCTCGAAGCGACCTTCCTCTTTAGCCTGCTCGACTGGGTTTTTCACATCCACAACCCCTGTGGCTTTGAGCCTTTCGAAGAGCACATATAACCGCTCGGCCTCGCGCTCCTTCTCTTCTTGCGTCATTTCTGGCATTTCCACATCAGGCTCTTTGTCCAAGCGCTGCCCTGTAACCGGATTCACTGGAACTTCTCCCTCGGTTGAAGATGATTGTTGAGCATTCTCCGGTATTGGTATCTTGTGCGTCATTAAGTAGCCCGCAGCGTAACCATAACCGACGTTCTTCACGAATGTGTGAGCATCCTTGTCTGATAGCTCAAAAAGCAGAGATGACACCGCCTCGGGCAAATGAACAAGCCCCGGAGCTGTCGTCAATTTGAGAAGGCGCGACGCCAGAGTTCCAGACTGGCCGAGAGGCAGACTACGTTCGTTGTCCTTTGGTAACAGCTCGGCCTTTAGCTTTTGCCTGATGTTGTTGCTGGCAAACGCATTCATCCTGCGTAGTATAGTCAAAAGCGAGATTAATTGCGTGTCAAGTGTGTTTTGTGGATAAGATTTCAAGCTCTGATCCAAGATCTCCACAAACTTATTTATGCTCGACTCCAGAATAGTATCATTCGAGAACCACTGCCTGCCGTCGGTCGTTTCTGTCTTCTCGTCGATCTCCAGACAAGCAAGAGCATTCAGGAGGTATGTAATCGGTGGCTGCAATGGAGGCGACGGGATTTTCGCTGTGCTGAGTATTTGAAACAATGGACGCATGGCTGGCATAAATTCATTGACCTGCTGTGGAGCAAAGCTGACCAGGTTGAACAGCAATTTCAGTGTCTCTGAAAGGGCCATTGATGTTATTCCTGCGCCAACAAGGGGTTCGCCTGCTGTGATATGGCGCTCAAAGTGGACCTGCATCTTTGAGGGCAACTCGCCTTCGACAACGAATTTCGGGACATTAGCGGACGCATTGTAGGTCATCAGAAACAGCATTCGCGAAGCCAGGAATTCGTCATCATCATCTGAATTTGAGAGGAGCTCGGCAGCCTTGGGTATGAATCCACACGCATCGAATGCATCCTGCGTCGAAGGGATGAGTATCAGGGCGTTCGCCAAGCAGCGTAATGCCTCACGAGCAACGTCTCTCGTGTACTTTCCGAAGCCGAAATGGCCTAGAATCTTCACAGCAGACTCGTCGTAGAGATTCTTGACATTATTGACATCGCGGCCAAGCACCTTTAATTGGCCGAAGATGTCCTTACGCTGAACGTCATTGAGGTCATTTTGCTGGATGTCCTGTGCTAAGAGGTCCAATCCATGTTTGACTGCAGCAGAGCCACCGAGGTCGGCCGATGTTTGCATCACCGCCGCTGTGCTTCGTGGATGGTAAAGTCACCGTGTTGGAAATTCGGAAGCGAGGGAAGGTGGACGTTGAGGCGTAACTTCCACCATTCCGGCTCCAGCCGCTGCTTGGCATGTGGCCAGGATCGCGCGGAAGTGGAATTACGTGACTCCGTCAATTAAGGACGCGTTGGAGAACGCGCTTGCTGGCGTCGCGTTCGTCGGATCCAGTCCGCCCTTCACATTATTGCAGTGTCTACTTGCTTACCGTCGCGCACCTTTCGGGCTCGATTGCTTCCAAGATCTTGTGTTTTGAAGCATGCAGGCTCATGTTTGATGTACTGAGCAACAGTATGAGCGTTTCGTAAACGTCCGTCGCCATGTCTGTTCCAGACATCCTTCCTCCATCCCCGCCTACGACGTCCTCTAGAAAGCAGCGGCTCCCTTTCTTTCCTATACCGCCCACAAGTACACCAGACGACTCCCCTGCATCACAACCGCCGTCTAGTCTAGGCTCGAGGAAGAAAGTTGGCTTTTCGCCCTGGACAGATATCCACGAATCTACCGAAGTCGTGAACCCAACTGACAAGATTCCTGTACGACCACTACTACCTTCACGCGATTGCTCAACATCAAACAAGTCTATTCTGAAAGCAAACGATCAAGGACTGGCCGTGCCGTCCTCGCATGATGGTCCGGGAGATGAGAAGCAGTCTTTGAACGAGATCATGGAATCTATCCTGCACCAACTTGCCAGAAATGATAGCACAGAGTGTGTTGACGCCTACCAAACGCTGGCTGCTGCAGTCAAAGCTTATGATGAGCTGCCTGAACAGCTTGTGCTCCGGAACAAGCTTCAATCAATCACCAAGTCAATCAAGTTGCACCTTTCCGCACTCGACCAACCTGAGCCGCAGCCTTGCGATATCAACCTAGTCACCTCAGCCCTGAAAGTTCTTGTGATCCTGGTCTGGAACAGCGACTTTGCTCCATATCTGAGTGATGACTTCAGGCTCTACGTTCTGGACCGTGCCATAAGTACTGTGGTTGAGCACAAGGCTCCCAAGTCTGTCCTGGTGCACTATCTACATTTGTTGGCCATGCAAGACTTCCGCCAGGGAATACTCACATCATCGAGAGCATCGCGTCTCATCGATGGTCTGGCTGTCTTATCTGAACACGTGAAGGGCAATGGTGTTGTGTCGGAACGTCTGTTAGTATATGGCAGACTCCTGGACCAGGCGAAACCGGTCATGAAGCTACGAGCAGGATTTTGGATCGAACACGTTCTCTCTGCAATGACATCGGCGATTCAGGACACAAGGACAAAAGCGCGAGAATTGGGCATGAAAGTCTTTCGAGCATTCCCTGCATCCGATTCAATTGCCATCCCGGTCCGAGCTGTGCTAGATGATGTGCAGAACGACAACAACAAGAAAGGCTACGCTATGTGCAAGAAACTTGAGAAAATGATTGCCACCAAAGAGACAGCCGAGCATGTACCACAGATCTGGGCTGTTGTTATCCTCTTATGCTATTCGGAGAGTCGGCCCATCGATTCCTGGTCTGGTTTGAAAGAATGGCTCATGGTTATTCAACGGTGTTTCAATTCTAGCGACAGCAACCTACGACTACAGGCGAATCTGGCTTGGCACCGGTTTGTGTATGCTGCTCGGCCACACGCAGCTACCGACGGCCTAATGGCAATGCTGTCGAAGCCAATCGTGGCGCAGCTTGAACGTCACTCTTCTGACAAGCACACCAAATCAGCCCATGCCGCTGCCGTTTCGAGCTATTGCAACCTCCTTTACTACGCTTTTAGACCAGCCACGTCACCAGCACGACTTACTAAAGCTTGGAATGAGTACATCGTCAAAGTCATGAGGTCCTCATTCTTCGAAAAACACCCTGCAAACGCTGACATTGCATGCCGCATCCTGATGGCTCTTCTCTGGAACGTCAAGGCTGGGACGAAAGTATGGAACGAGAAGAGGGCCCACGAGAACCGGTCAATCGAGCCGGACGAGCTTCCGACCATCGACAACAAATGGATCAGAGGTCATGCTGGCAATATCGTTGACATCTTTGAGTTACTCTTCCGATACAGCTCGTGGGGCTTCGCTGAGTCGTCAGAGCAGGCGTACGTCTCAAGAGCATGGCGGCATCTCGTGAAGTCGGTGCGAAGCGGAAGCAACAAGGAGATCAAGATGAGCAACGAGACTCGGATTTCTGTGCTAGCTATTCTGAGGTTTATCGACTCATTGGCTAGTATCGAAGACCACGAATCCGGATTGCCAAGCAATGTACTGGCCAACATAACGACGACAGCTATCGCCGAGCTCGGCACATCACACGTGCTCGAGGCTCTTGACACCGATCGAATTGAAGCAACACCATGGATCCTTGGTGCTGTTTACGACCAGCTAAGGCAAAAACTTCAGACAAGCTCATCGCCTTCGAAACAGCACACCGAGGCTTTCGCAAAACTAGTCGATCTGTTGGGGAAGCGCCTTGTTGGAGCTTACAATACCGAGCAAGTCAACCAAGCAGAAGTTGAAGACTTGGTTGCTTTGACTAGTCGAACAATCTCAACGCCGGCTGAACCAGAGATTGTTCTAGCAAAGCTACAGGCTGGGCTGTCATTCTGGTTGAAAGACCAGCGAAACTTGCTATCGTCTTCCTGTCTCGGCCGCCTGGCTGAAGCATTTGCTCGCGCCATGAGTAAAGTCCGCCAAGAATCAATCAGAGACTTGGACGTCTTGTTCGCTTCCGCCTTCGCCTCCGTGCACGCTACAGTCGTGTCTTTTGCAGCCACAGCCTGGAATTCGACATTCGGCGAATGTGAGGACATGCACCTCGGCCCACTTCTGCTCGAAGCATTTCAACGACTTCAGCCCCATCTCGAGCTCAAGCTGTCTCCCGAAGTCCTGGCGGATCTGGGCGATGAAGTCCACAGCACACTGGCCTACAACACTCAGAATGTGGGAGAAGCACATCCCACCTCGGTCGAACAGGAAAGTCGCTTCCCAGATGATAGTGACCTGGATGTCGATGTAGCTGCTTCTGCGGATCAAGATGGCGACACGAGAGATGCGGTGCAGGATGTTCAGGAAGTCGAAGATGAGGTTTCAGATGTCGGAAAAACATCTACAAGCACACGCAGACGCCGGCACAACGACTCGCAGACCGAGTTCGTCACTGTCGATTCCTCCCCTGTGGCGGCAGATTCAGAGTCTCAATTCCTGACCGATCGGCAAAAGGAGGTTCGCGATCGCCAGCGCAGTGAGCCTGCTGTCGTCTTTCCCGACTTGCGCTCAAGTCCCCGACCTGTTAGCCGAGCTTCATCTGAGTCACGAGGTTGTGGATTCGCTCGCAAAGCAGCCACAATGGTTGAGAGGCCTTCTACCCCCGTACCAGACGCTGCTGATGAGGCTGAGGCCCAGCCTTCACCTACACCAAAATCCCGGTATGTGCGCAATGTAGCAGATGTCGATATCCCATCTTCTCCTCCATCACTTCACGGAGCACCAGACAAATTACCTGGTGTTCATTCCGCAGCCCTACAAGCACTGCCACCAACAGCCTCTGCGGGAGCTGGGGAGGACGACGTGACGATCGATGAGGAGCAGCCTCTTGAGCAAGAGCACCTCCCCGAGTCTTCCGATGAAGCAAAGGTCGAAGAGAGCAATATCGAACAAGAAGAGCCCATAGTGGATGCAGATGAGCTTGCTCAGGATTTTGCTCAAGATAGTACAGCTGATGCTGAGCAAAGCCTCACAGCTGACAAACAAGTCATTGAAGCTGAAGGAGAGGGATCTAGTGCTGGGCAAACACTCCCACGAGCACTTCCCGCGGACTCAGTCGTGGAGACCGTTTTCCGGCAAAATAATACCCAAGACGAACCTTCTCACAAGGTATCAGCAGCTCCGGGTGCAGCTGAATGGGCGGGCACCCCCTCAGAAGAGCATGTCATTGGATCCGAAGCATCCCACCTTTCTCATGCACCGTCTACACCTATACGAGCTTCAAGCAAAATCGGTAGCGATGAGCTCGAGCAGCTAAGCGCCTCCCAGCTGTCGCACGATCTCGACTGGTCAGTGGTGCTGGATGGCTTAGACCAAACACCGGCGTCCGTTGTGCCAATCGAACAGCCTGCTGTCGAGGTCCCGTCTTTACCGGCGAAGTCGCAGGCTGCTCCGACGAGAGTAAGTGGCAGGAAGCGCAAAGCAGCCGGTGCACTGTGGAGTCGCAACAAGAAGACAAAGAAATCGACTCGCGTCGCTCAGCAGTCTACGGAGAGCCAGGAGCCCATCGTCAAACGTGAGGATGAGGAGGAGCTCTACGATGTGATTGAGGTGGTCACAAGCTCAGACCCCCCTGCTCCGAGCTCACCTCCAGGAGATGTGGAACCCGAGGTGTTCGTGGATGCACCCGAGTCACAGGTAACTACACCGAAGCAGAAGAAGAAGCGTGGGCGCCCAAGGAAGAACGAGAAGGCGGCGCGGTCTGTACTTGGTCTCGAGCGTGGCAGCAGCATCTCGTCCGGCAGCCAGCGGTCGAGGAGGTCTATCTATTCGCATGAGCCATCCACTGAGCCCCAAGTAATTGAGCCACCCACGGAAGACATCAACATGGATGAGGCAGAGATGACCATTGCGCATAGCACAGCGCTACAGGAAGAAGTAAGCACGGTCGACGAAACTGTCGAGCAGGACGAAGCGCTTGTGGCCCAACAAACTCGCGATTCGGTGTCAGAGCGCAAAGAGATGGCACCGACCATGGTAGACCAGCAGGTGCAGACACCAATCGACGTGATATCGTCACTAGAGCACATTCTGCAGCAAGTCAAGACCGCCCAGCCAGGAACGGTGGATCTGAGGGCGGTGGACGAGCTGTGCTTCCAGATTCGCTATCAGGCTCAAGTGAAGAGTATGCAGTGAACATGGAAATTTGGTAAAGGAGCAGAAAAGGGTCAGGGGAGGAAGAAAGAGAATGCAGGACAGGCTTCCAATTGGGGGGGAAGCGAATAAGAGAATAGAAACCCTGAAATGAAGATATGACAGATCAACACATTGATCCATTACCAACTATCACATCTTGCCTTTGAATTCACTATACATACGGATCGGTCGTCTAAAAGACAAACAGTCTTCCGCGTTCCGTGGTCTTTAGCCGTCTTTGACTCGTGCCAATTTCAGGCGAATATAATTTACTCGTTGAGCCCTTGCTGATGGCTTTGTTTGCCGACCCCTCGCACTTGCCAATGTGGGCTGAGTGGCTGCGTAATACTTGCTTTCATTGGAGCGCATATGCGCTTTTAGTGTCGTTGCTGTCTTCTCGTGTCCTAACTTGCTCTTTCCACGCGGAGTCGTTCGGGCGTCAGTGCTGCTGCGGGTCATTCGGGAGTGGCATCCTGCCGCAACGGGCTTGGGTGGTCCGGACCAAGCTCGATTGCCCGCTCTCGGTCTGCGGTGGATCACTGGCGGTATGAGCCCGGGACTGCGGACGGTTCTGTTCAGATTCAAGAATGAATGGATAAAAGGCGGGTCTCGGTCCATCGTCGTCCCCAACATGCTGAATCTTTAGGCTTCCTTAGGCCTCCCCATCTGTTTTACCTCATATGCGATCGTCTGGTCAGGATGTTTGTCGTTGTTTGTAAGCCAGATCTTCAGCCGCTGGCCACCCTCGTCGTGACCATGGCCGCCAACAAGCCCTTCCGCAAGCGCATGGCACTCTCGGCCTCAGCCTCTCCAGCCGCGTCCCGTAAGTTCAACGCCTCACGCAGCTCCCGCGCGTTCAGCAGAGTTCTGCCAGCGAAGCTCTTTCGCCCCAGGCCCTCACCCTCGGCCTCGAACTGCTTGGTGAGCTTGTCGCGCGCCTGCACGACGGCGAGCGCGGGGTTGGTGCCTGGCCGGCTGGTGGGGAAGATGGACTGGCCCGTTGGTGACTGTTGGAGTTTAGGCGGTTGAGAGGAGGTGGGGAAGGCGGAAGATGGAGAGGCGGAGGAGGAGGAAGGCGAGGGTGGTTGGGGAACGCGGCGTGCGGTGCCGGCGCGGGCAAGGGACGCGGCGAAGTGGGGGTCGCGAGCGTCCAGCTCAACGACTTCGGAGCGAGAAGACGAAGGAGGCAACTGGGAAGGTGAGGGATGTACTTGTGCGGCTGCTGTGGTGGTTGAGGCTTCAGGCTGAGGTGATGCTTGTGAGGGCTTGGACACGGCGGAGGAGACGGCGCTGGGATACTGCCGTTTGGCGGCGCCGGCGGCGCGGGAGGCGACTTTCGAGGAAGAATTGCCCATCGTTGGTGGTTGTCTTGATCGTACTGTTGGTAAGGTCGTGAGGGATACAGGCTGTAGCTTGGTGCAGGACAATGCAGGTGGAAGCAGTCCAACGAAATGATGATACCACGACTCCGGGTAAAGCTCACAAAAAGTTACAGGGACCGTTTCCGACAATCTAAGCTCCGGTGGAGCGCGCAGGCGGGTTGACGTCAACGCATGGAATGTTTTAATACCGTTTCGACCGTTTCGACCGTTTCGAGATGTTTCAACGAGGGCACTGCTTTGACTGCCCTCCGCTCACCTACAACATATTTCCAGCCTGGCCTTCTGCACTTGCACCAGCTCCACCTCTTCGTCGACGATTCTTAACTTCTGCACGCACTCAAGACTGACTTTCTGTGCCATCAAAACTCCAATACATCGACTATGGATCGCAAGAACAAACCCTCCCCGCTCCCCACCTCCCCCTCCCTACCGCAACCCACCATCGACCTCACCGACAATGTCTTGACCGCCCACCTGCCTTCCGGAGATTCCGTGACCGTTCACCTCTACGGTGCGACGGTGACTTCCTGGAAGACCGCTAATGGCGCCGAAAAGCTCTTCCTCTCCACTGCCGCTGCGCTCGACGGCTCCAAGCCCATCCGTGGTGGCATTCCGCTCGTCTTCCCCGTCTTCGGTCCACCTCCCAAAGACCACACCACCTCCAAGCTGCCGCAGCATGGTTTCGCGCGGAACAACTACTGGGAGTTCCTAGGCAAGAGTTCCACTGAGAGCACGGACCGCAAGGCCGACGATAGCGTCAAGCTGGATTTCGGATTGAGCAGTGGCATGTTGGATGAGGCTACAAAGGCGAAATGGCCATTTGAGTTTGGCCTGGTGTACTCGGTTACACTAGGCAAGGGCAAGCTGGAGTGTGGCTTACATGTGCAGAACAAGGGCAGTGAGGCGTTTGAGTTCCAGTGTTTGTTCCACACGTATCTGGCGATCAAGGTAACTAACCTATGCATTTCGCTACTTGAGGCAAGACGAACACTAACGGGTAACAGGATATCAAGAAGACCACCATCTCTGGCCTCGAGTCGGCGCAGTATATCGACAAAGTCCGCAACGCACAGACCTTCACTGAGGAGTCTAACGCCATCACCTGCACTGGCGAGACAGATCGTGTCTACACCCCGAAGGATGATAGCCCACTCACGGTCACAGAGGGCGGGAAGTCTTCGTTCGTGGTCACGAGAGATGCGCTGCCCAATGTCACAGTCTGGAACGGATGGGAGGACAAGATTAAAGGTATGGGTGACTTCGAGCCCAAGGATGGTTGGTTGCGGTACCTGTGCATTGAGCCCGGTTCTGTCAACAGCTGGACCAAGCTCGAAGGTGGCGATGCCTGGGAGGGGAGCGCGACTTTCGAGTCCAAGTTGTGAGTTGTCGATGGTCCCACCTCCAATCGAGTGTGGCGTGAGGCGGCTGAGTACGGATTCGAGATATCCAACAGCCAGGGAGAAAAGACTTTCTGCACCGAGAGGGTGCGTGCTCTAGCGGAAGATGCGTGCCTCGAGGCGACAGAGGCACCCGAGACAGACTCTGGAACGGTTTTGTTGCGGCAATAGAGCTGACAGCAAGCCGTTGACGAGCCGCTAGTCGTATGGAGCAACGCAGGCAAACAACGAAGCAAGCGAGCGAGCATACAAGCAGATGAAAATCAGATAGACCTCGAGCGATCGGTACAGGTTTTTTTTTTAGAGAAACCAAAAATCAAAAAGCGGAACGACCACGTCAGGTCAGAGCGAAGTTGTTTCATTACCGTCTCTCATCTCCTTGTCGCGTTTCTATCTCGCGGATGCATTTCAGGATTATTGTAGGTGCATCTATCTCCTCCTGTGGCGGACCTCAAAATGCACGGGGCCCATCGAAACGCACATCCCTATGAAACCGACACGCAGCAGTCTACGATGCCGGTGCCTCATCTCATTCCAATCGCCTTCCCCTTCAAATCCCCCCGTTCCGCATCCCCTCCTCCCCTGTCCCCCTCCGTCCCGCCTCCCCTGCACTACCACCACCACCACCACCAACACCCAGACCCCCAGCAACCCTCTCCGCCCTCATGACCTCATACCTTCGCCACAATTCAATGCTCGTGGCAATGAGGATCGGACACGCCACGATAAAGCCCGTCCAGCGCCGTGAGAGGCGGCGGAACTCGCGGTTCTTTTTCAACTCGGCGAGGGGGGTTTCGGTGGGTTTTAGGGGGGTGGGGCGCTCGTAGGGTTTGGGTTTGGGCTTGGGTTTTGCGGGTAGGGCGGCGGCGGCTTGGGGGGCCGGTGTGGATGATGGTTGAGGGGGGCGGAGGCGGGAGGGCTTGGGTTGTGGGGTGCTGGGTACGGTCGTGGGGGTCGTGGCAGCTGAGGCTGCTGGCGGCGTGGGGGGTGCGGGTGGTGTGGTTTGCGGTGGTGGTGGGAAGTTGGGTGCCGTCGTGGTGGACTTGGGCTGGGAAGCGGCCGTGCTAGATCCTTCCGTTGAGACTTGTGGCGTAGAAGTAGTAGAAGAAGAAGCCGCTGGTTCAGGGGAGGTTGAGGTCGAAACATCAGGCTCACTATCGGTCCTCGCCCGCAGCGCGGCAAAGCTCTTCGCGCCGTACGCCTGGATGCGCGAGCGGATCGCGATCTGCTCTTTCGCTACAGCCTGGCCATCTATGACTGGTGCCGCCGGATCCGCTCGAGTGGCGGTGCGCTGCTCATCTCGTAGCCGCTTTGCTGCCGCGGCGCGAGCTTTGGGCGTGTGTGGTGCGGGGGTCTCGTTTTGGCGTAGGGTTTTCTCCTCTTCGATTGTGATGGTGCTGCCGCCGGCGGGACCGGGTTCGGGCTCGTTGAAGAAGGAGGAGAGAAAGGATGATTTGCTCGCGATGGGTTCTGTCGATGAAGGCTCTGGGGCAGTTGCAGAGGATTCATCCGATGATTTAGGGGTCCCAGCTGCTTCGGCTGATATGCTCTGTGAGTTTGGCGGCGCCGACTTCGGCGCCGTTGACGACTTGGTCGTTTTCGCAGCGGTTGTTGAGGAAGACGCCACTTTGCCGTCTGATGCCGCACGGCTCTGCGTCGGGTTGGCGATAGGCTCCGGCGCGGCTTTCCTGGATTTCGACGTGCTAGATTTGGTCTCTGTCAACGATGTCGTCGGAGAAAGTGACGCTTTAGTTGATGACTTGGTGGTTGCCGTCGTGGTCTTGGCGCGCTTCGTACTTGACGGGCTTGATGTCGCTACCACTGTCTTGCTCTCGCCATCCTCAACTGCCTTCTTCACCGTCCTCGTCGTCTTTCTCGTAGCTGTCGTTGTGGTGTCACCTGCGGGGACTGAAGCTTTGGCCGCCGTCTTGGTGCTCGTGGTGGCTTTGCGCACAGTTGTCTTCTCTGGCACGGACGCGCTCGCGGTAGGCTCAGATACCAAGACCAGGGGCTCTTCCTCCACGACCTTCTTTGGCCTGCCCGGGCGCTTTTTGATTGTCTCTGCCATTGTTTGCGCCCTTCAGATTCCAGTGATGTCGTGCTCAAGGTCGAATTAGGCTTCTCGAATAAATTTGGACGCGTTCCAACGCGTTTTGGTTTTCTTTGCACAGCGAAGCAATTTCGCAGCCACCCCTGAGCCCCACAGGCCGCGACTCCACTCCCCAGGGGGTGCCCTGTTCACTGTATCACGGCTGCCTGGTGGCCTACAGATTGCCTTGTAGATGCAACTACTGGAACACAATTGTGAGCATGTTGTCTAACCATTATTAGAAACTCCGTTCCCTTGCTTTTCTTTTGCCCACCTTAAATATGCTGCCCGAAATCTATTCGTTGCGTAGGCCGGACCAATACGATACAGGTTGCCTTCATTACCTGCTAGCAGAAACGACCCTAGGGCTTGGACTGTTCCTGTGCACTCTTCCGCCGCCTTGTCTGTACCTCCTTGAGCTCCTTCCCACCAGTCTTCTTGTCGTCGATCTTGCTCGTCTTGTGTTCCTTCTCGGATCTCTCATCCTCGTTCCAGGCGTCATTGTTGCTTGACCTTGACGGTGTTGTGACTCGGACACGACCAGCCGCATTCCGGCTCAGAGTAGCAGTATAGCTATCGCCGATGATTTGTTGAAGGCGGTCGTCGCTGTCGTCTTGCAACATGTTGCCCGAAAATGTGGGCGAATGGGCATGCGGATGGCTCCACCCCGAAGGCTGAGCACGGGACTGATAGACTTGCACCAGCTTTTTGATTTGGTCGTACTCCATATATGGGGTGACAGTAATGCCCATTTCCTGTGCTACACGCCGGGTGCGCTCGAGAGCCTGGTCAGCCCACCTTGCTCGCTCTTCGGAAGACGACGCAGACGATGCAGCGTGAGACTCACTGGCACGCCCAGAAGACGAACCCGCCCGTGTAGCAGGTGCAGCAGTGCTATGATTGGAAGTCCGATCCAGTGCGTCGCCAGAGGCCACAGGTGAAGAAGACCGACGAATAGAAGTCCGAAGGTCTTGTGCAGTTTCATCCGAAGCCACTCGCCCTGGAATGACTTTGTAGAGCAGTGAGGCCACGCGAGCTTGCGCTGCAGACATGCTCGAGTTGACGGCCGGCATGACCATTGGAAGCTCGATGTTCTCCGGCCACGCAGCGAGGATGTCTTCGTTTTGGCGCTCATGTGGCTCACGTGGTTGTAGCACTTTGGCAGACTGTCGGTCCTGAGGTGCGTTTTCTTCGCTGGCTGATACTGGAGTCGTGGCTGCATGACTGTGGCTAGAATCGGTGCAAACACAGTACGAAGAACCTCTCTTACGCAGTACGACATGCTCCAAGTCAAAATTGCCATCCGTTCCGGCAGCATCCTCTTGGTCAGATTCAGTCGTGCTCATCGTCATGCGTTGGTATGCCTGTGTCCGAGAACGGGGCGAAAGACAGTGAAGTTGGCAGCCCACCGCTGGGCCAACCATGCTCACGCTGGGGGTATAGTGCGATGAAGCTCCACCATACATAGTGTTCTGTAGCATATCGGGATTGGCTGACTCTGTCGCTTGCCTTAATCTTCCATTAGCTTTGGCGTCAACCTTAGCCTGGGCACGACGAGATAGCTTCGCCGGTATCGAAAGAACTGTCAACTTTGTGGACCGCTGATGGATAGCGTTGCTAGTCTTGTTGGCTTGCTGGGAGTCGTCGCGCACGATTTGGGCACCGGCACCGTAGTGCTTCGCAGGAAGCGGCATTGTTTCAGATGCCGGTGAGATTGCCTCGCTGTCATGTTCGGCAATGACAGAGTGCCGCAGTTTAGATGGTTGTTTGAGTTTCGACACAGGCACTTTCACTTTCAGTGTTACTCTCATGGATTTCTGTGGTCGCTCCTCTTCAGGTGGTGAAGCAGATCTTTTACGAGACTGACTCTCCCGTGCTTGGTTGGGGTTGCTAGTAGATCGTCTGCTCGTGCGTCTAGTCGTGCTGGGGCTGGACAGAGCTGGAGATTCGACCGAAGTAGTGTCTGGAGGGTCGATACTCTCGAGCTTTCTGGCGGGCTGTCTGAACCTCAGACGGATGTTGCGGTCGGTGGACGTGGGCAGACCTGAGTTCATGCCATCACTAGCACTGTCATTCGTCGTACTTGGAGCCATTGCTTGATTTGACGACTCGGTGTTGTCGGGTATTTTGCTGTCATGGGCCGCTGACGCTGCGGCTTCCGCAACATTAGCATCGAGGTTCTTGACTCTCGAAGATCGACGAGGAGACTCGAAGGTAGAAGGAGTCGTCTTGTTGGCGTCCTGAATGGCAGACCGGCTCCGTCCATCGCTACGTCTTGGCGTGCTGATGGGCGGCTCTGACTTTTGCACGGGTTCTGCAGGAACGGAGCTGGCGTCGTCCGAGTCAATCAGCTTCGTGTTACGGCGGACTTGCTTCCTGGACGGCTGCAGCATGATTGGCACAGCTTCTGGTGTCGGACTGGCCTCGGAAGGCGTAATCGATGTCCGCGTATTCAGGATTTCCTCCCTGGTGCGCCGACGACGACGAGTGGTCGACGTAGACTCGCCCATCTCAAGTGCTCGCTGAGTGGGCTTACGATCCCGGCGAGGCCCACGCTTGCCGACTCCTATCGCAGAGACTGGATCGTCAATCTCCGGCACTGCCGCGTTGCTGCCTTCCCCGTAGCCCGCAGAGATACTGGATTGATCGGTAGAGACGGTGGAAGGTGGAGTATGGTCTTGCCCTGGAGCCGGGGCAGCATCGGACAGCGGACTGACGGGTGTCAGGTTGGACGAGTCGACACTTGGATCGGGGCTCTGAGACATGGAAGCGTCGTGACGTGGGTTCGCCATGTCCGAGGCGTAGAATTTGGTAGCAGTGAGGGCTTCGAGTTTGGCTGTAGGTTTGCGGGCTCGAGCAGAGGATCGTCTGTTGGCTGGATCTAGCGATGACTCGCTTATTGGCCTGAGTCGAGGCATTCTGGAAGGTGCGTTATAGGTTGATGTTGGTGTCTGAGTGTTAGACCGCTCTTGTAGGATATGTCATCCGGTGCGATGCTCTCAGAGCGAGGAACAAGAATGATCAACTAGATAGATACGATACAGATTGAGATCAAACCTGATGCGGAATGATGGGCCAGCACCCTCAGCCAAGATAGAAAGGGTCAATGATGTTCAAAGGCTGACGACTGTGCAACCGAATGTCGTTCTGGGGTGGGTAAATGTTGGTCTACCGAGCTCGGTTCTAGTCAGCTGGAAGACTGAGATCCGAGCGCAAACGATCGGAGGACGATGATTCAAGACCAGCAAGAGCCCGAAGGGTAGTGAAGGACCATGAGGTAGCAAACAGAGAGGGAAGACGTGGGTGAGGAAGTGCTGGACTTCGCAAAATAAGTGTCCCTGCCCGTTTTGGGTTTAGTGGGTGCCCTGCCAGTACCATGACTCGCCCTCTTAGAAGGGGTCATACCCAACGTATGCATCTGATGGCCTCACGGGCATGAGTCTGAGTGCTTTAGGCCATATAAAAGACATCGCTGTCTTGTAGGACTCTGTAAATGACCATTATACGTCCTGCTGCTGTCAGTAAAACCCTGGGTGAAGCGGCCGCCTCATGGAACATCCGGGCAAGCGACGTAGGCTCCTTTCGTACCGCGCGACCTGTAGCACCTAACAGCCATGCACACGGACCATTTGCTCTCGCCATGCGACTATGCGCACTTCTCTGTGCTTTCGAACGGACTTGGATGCTCCATGATTAGTAGATTCTATACGTACCAGAGTCCAAGCCTACGGCAACTTCGCGCGCGGCCAGCTGGCGGAGGCGGACAGAGTTATCACGGGTACTCAAAGTGCTTAGACATTGCTTTTTGATGAAACAGAAGAGCTGGCTTCGCGGTCGGGATCTCCGTGGAACGTGAAGATCTACGAGAATCATGTCTATGGACTGTTGGCGTTCTTCAAATCTGGCGCCTACCGATCTTTCGCAGCCACGGAAAGCTTTTCTGGTCCGTCATGATACAGCAGACTGCACCACGGCCATACTGCACATACAAGTCGATTCGTGAGCTAAAGCTAAAGGACCCAGACACAATCTGCATCACCTGCAGGCAAGTCTTCCGCCACTATGTGGACGGAGCCCTAATGACTCAGCAGCCTATACGTGCGGCGACGACTTATATTCGACCTATGACTCGCCTAATCAGAAGCGATGTTGAACAACAGAAAGTGAAAGCGAGAGATATTGATATACCAGACGCCTCCGTCTAGGAGTTGGCCTTCAGGGATACGAATATGCCTCGTCGGCGGTAGCCCTCTGCCACAACCGCACAGGCCCACAGAAGGCATGTATTGACTATCGCAGCTAGATCGGTATACAAGACTCAAAGCCAATCTCGTAAGAGGCCACGCAGTCATCGTTGATCCCTGAGCTTTAGACATGTTCGCAGCTTGGCTCGCCTGACAACTTCAATAGCGGCTGAATCCGAGATCAGGCATTGGCTTGACAATTGACGGGCTCCAAGCGGATGCTATGAGCTTGAGAGCTCCAGGCAGTGCTTGAAGATGGGTATTCCAAGTCTCAAGAGTGCAGAAGCGACGTACCTAAAGTTACAGAGTCAATTCGGCTGGCTGACGTTAAGAACCTGCTATTCAGATCAACCAGGGATCCAGAACAAAAATCATCGAGTATGACGGTTTCGTGTGCTCAATAGCTAGCATCGTCGTTAGGTGATTCCGCTAGGCAATCTATCATTGCTATTGCTCTTCAGTTGTATATTTGAACGACCTCTACGTCTGCAGGAGCGAGCAAACAGGGGTGCTCCTGCACAAGGCTGCGCTAAAAAGAGCAATCCTTGGCGATATTCGCCTAACCTTCCGTTTCCAGAACAGTATGTTGGAACAGCGTGTGCTCATCCGTACAGGGACAACTCGCGACTGTCTCTCGAGCATTCACCCTTTTCGAATAAAATGCGTGTGCCGACCGTGTTGTACCAGGGTCTTGGCCTTCTCCTGGCCTGTCAATCAGCTCTTGCAGCCAGCACCGCATGGACCTTCACCGATGCTACCCTTACTGTTCAGGGCAAAGGCAGTGGAGTGGGGAGCGGGTTGAAAGAGAAGTACGCAGACGGCTTCGACGGGATGCTCGCAATACTGACAAGTCAGGTTACAACCTAGCAAGCCTCTCTCCAGTCCGGTGTCTCTTGGAGCAGGTGACAGTCTCAAAATCATCTTGACCGCGCAAGAGGGCAAGAGTGCGAAACGTCCACACCAAGCCTCTCTCCTTCTGCAAAACCCGGCGACGAATCTCGATGTCTCGTACCCGTTCAGCGTCAAAGAGTCTGGTAAAGGCAAAATCGAGCTGGTGAGCCACAACCTGATGGACATGGAGGACGCAATCTGACCTCATGCAGTCTCACAAAGACCTACCCACTCAGTTCCTCCGTAGCAGCTCGCCTCTCTCCGCTTCCGTGGTCATTGCTTCCTTCGGCAGCTCCGAGGCCTACAAATCCGAGGCCTTTCCTTTGATAATTCAGCTTGACGCCAACACCCCTGCTGCAACAACTGAAAAGCCTCTCCGCTACGGCAAGCAACCAGAGATCCACCACATTTTCCGATCAGATCCCAAGAGCCCAAACATTGTCTTAGTGGCCTTCTTCACTATCGCAGCTGTTGCTACTCTTCCTGTTCTCCTCGGTCTCGTAAGTCTAACCGTTTCACTATCCGGCAACTGTCTGACGTCCAATAGTGGCTTCAGGTTGGCGGCAACGTTGCCCATCTGTCCAAGGCGCTGTCAGACGCTCCAGTATCCCATGGCCTCTTCTTCGGCTCGGTTGTTGCCATCGAGGGCATCTTCTTCCTCTACTACACAGTGTGGAACCTCTTCCAAACGTTGCCCGTACTGGCCGTAGTAGGGGTTGTCGCCTACATCAGCGGCAGCAGAGCTTTGACCGAGGTCCAGGAGCGCCGCCTTGCTGGACTGAGGTGAGCGGGTGAACTACACAGCCCAGGTTTTAGAAAAGGCCAAGAGATGACAGAACATTGTACAAATATGGTACGGGCAGCATGTGATCCTTTGTGGGGGCAGGAGTCTAGAATTGGTCACAAAAGCAACTTTTTGGACAGAGCAAAAGCGGTCCACCACCCACGGACTTTTTGCGCAAAGAGAGCTGAGTCACTGTAAGCGATTCGCGAGTGCTTCCGACGATAAATTACTGAAGACGAGGTTGCGAGCATTTCCTTGAGAGGCCGTGGTTTGCAGTGTCGTGCTGGGTCGCGTTGGGATCGACCTTGACACCTTGGGAACGAAGTCCATTTTCAAACGATCAACGCTACTGATAGGTGCATCTGCACGAGTCCGAAACGTCTCCTCAGACGAAATAGCAGTCTCTCGCAGCAGGGTCCGTCCACCAGGCTGGCTATTATGGTTGCAAGCCCGGAAAAGCAAAACTCGAGCTTTATCATATCTACATTCTCTTAGATCTTCTGGCTGCTCTATCTATGCTGTCATCTTCACCCGCCCTACCTGCCCCTAGCTGGCCCCACCTACCCCTAAACTTGCTCATTCTCCCATAATCTCCCTTGCGATCCTACTCCTCCTCCTGATCTTCTCCCCATGAAACACCAACACCCACGGCACCAGCGTCAGCAATGCGCCCACCCCGCCCAACAGACTCGCCGCGCCCGGGAAGCCCAGGCCCTGAAACATCTGCACCGTGAACAGCGGGAAGACGGCGGCGCCGACGTTCCGACAGAAGCTCTGGCCCGCGAGCGCGCTCGACGCGTACCGGTGGTACACGTCGGCCAGGTAGTTGAAGACGGCGAGGTAGATGGAGAAGATGCCGACCTGGGCGACGCCCAGGGCGATGACGGGGCTGGCCCAGTGCACGCTCGAGAAGGAGGTCCAGCCGAACCAGAAGAGGCCGATGGGCAGCAGCGCGCTCTCCAGACAGGCAAAGTAGAGTCTCCCTTCGGGCTTTTGGAGCAGGTCCGGGAAGTAGGCGCGGGCGACGCGTTCTTGGTAGATGGAGAGGAGGGCGCCGACGATGGCGCCGATGGCGATGGCGAGGAAGACGAGGCCGTTGGCTTGGGCGTCGAAGTTGTGGCGCGCGGTGAAGACCACGGGAATGACGGCGAAGGTCATGTATAGCACGGCCCAGGCGAAGGCGGCCCACATAGAGAAGAAGAAGACGACGGGCTCGGTCGAGAGGAGCTTGAAGGGCGTGGTGAGCGAGAGGTAGATCATGCGGCTGATGGTGGCGCGCTGCTCGTCGGCGAGGCAGCGGTAGCGGAGGCGCTTCGCTGGGTTGGAGGAGGGGGAGGTGGTGGTGGTGTTGTCGGCATTTTGTGGTGGGAGATAGCCAGAGTTTTCGAGAGCGGCGAAGTAGTCGTTGAGCACTTTTGCACGGCGGGACAGGAGCACACTGCCGCGGGTCTCGCGGAAGAACAGCGTCATGATGATGACCAGTACACCGATGCTGGCGATTTGGTGGTAGAAGACCCAGCGGTATGAGGCCCGGTCGATGATGAAGCCGCAGAGGAAAGGCCCAAAGCCGGTTCCGGCCAAGGCGCCGCCCGAGTAGACTGCCATAGGGGTATTGCGGTCCTCGGCGTGGTAGATGTCGCTGAGGACGCCGCCGATGATGGTGGAAAATGTGGAGGCGGCGGCCCCGACGAAGAATCGAGCGACCAGCATGCCGGCGAAAGTGTCCGCGAAGGCACAACCGATCTGCGCGGCGAGAAGGACAAAGCCGGAAGCCAGGAAGACGGGTTTGCGGCCGTTGATCTCACTGAATGGAGCGAGAAACATGGGCGCAATGCCAAAGCCGGCGGCCCAACAGGTCACACCGGTGTTGAATGCAACGAGGGAGAGTCCCCATTTCTCGCGCATCGGTTCGGAAGCAATGGAGTAGGAGCCCGCACTGTAGGCGGCGCACCAGGTGGAGGCGGTGCAGAGGAACAGAATGGTGTTCTTGTGGGCTCTGGACCAGCCGAAAGGATTGTCATACTTTTTGAGATTTGGTGGTTGAGGACCGTCTGGATATGGCGATGTCAGAGCATACGGCGGGAGTTCTGTCGTGAAGTTGAGGTATTCGTAATGGATGTCATCAGTGTCGGTGTCAAGTTCGGCTTGACGGCTGGGCGCGTGCTTCTCGAGGCTCTTGACCGGTATAGCTTCATCATTGGACGTGGTAGAATTGATGCTCTCATTGTCTGTGCCGTATGAAGCCATTGGTGGCGGGCGAGGCGAGCCAGGCGTCCCGGTTGCCTTTTCACTGGGCAACATGGCTGCTGAGCTGTCGGACCATATATTGTAGAGCCGTTTCCTTAGCGACTTGCCATGTCCGACTGTGTCTAATGAGGTCTATGGTCCAAGAACCGTGCATTGAATACTGAAGCAAAATGACGGGAGCACTTTTCGAGTCAGAGACGTTGCCGCTGATCACACGGGCACTTGTCCGGTGTCATGGAAAAGTTTTATCCACGTATTAATAACACAAGGGCGTATAACTCCGGCAAGTCACCTGTGGGTTGGTCTGCCTCTCTACGGCAAGGTTAACATGTCCATGTCAGCGTATGGAGCGCCCCCAGGTTGGTTGAATGACGCATGGAGATCGTTTTTGGCCATCCCGGTTTAACATCCGAGGTCGAAGCGAGCGGAAGCTGGCCACGGCATGCTCGGCAAGGCAAAGGCTCGGCATAACGGAAGCGCGAGCGCTGTCGATCACATCTATCTTTCCCACCTACAGAGCAAGCACAATGCGATGAGCTGCCATATTCATTATGGACAATTGCGGTGCAGGGCGAATCCGGGTGCTCGTGGCCGCTTCAGTGGCTGGTGGGCCGACAAGCCTTACAACAGGTATGCGACTTGAGGCGAGAACGGCCCTGGTTGCGAGGCTCCGAGCGCTCTGTCGACGCTTCCGATGACAAAAGCCCCGCATGAAGAGATGAAGCCGGTCAAAGCTCAAAGACAAATTGGATCCCATCGAGAGCAATGAACCTGAAGCAGGCAGCGATGGTCGGATGGGTTTTTACCAGGCAAGTGTCCTGCCCCGAGTAATTCACCTTCATTAGGTACACAGCCGCTTCATCTTCTTGGCGCACAAAAACATTAACCCCTTAACTACACCTCCCGTCACCTCACGGACGCACGGCAGACTGAAAAGCAAAAATGATGGTCCATCAGCTAGCTAGCTTATAGCATCTAGTGGTTTCGATCCACTGGCCTCCGGGTTATGAGCCCGGCGATCTTCCGCTGATCTAAGATGCTGGACTGCTACTAGCGCTTTGCTCACAGGAACAGAGTGATTTGTGGTCGATTGTTGGCTTCAGATCTGGCAGAGTGATACTTGAATCAACTAGGGGACATTGGTGTGACACACGAGGGTGAAGTGACGGCGGGTGAAGGTGGGACACCTAGGGTTGAGGGCCTGTGAGTCATATAGACAGTGGGTATCCGACCACCAGAACACCGAGAGGCTCACCCGGTCTGGTTACACACTGTGGATCAAGTTGCAGTTCGCAAAATAGATTACATTCACAAGCTGGGGGACGTTGAGAGTACGGGGAAACGTTGCTACTGGAAGTCCTGGGGTATCATGGCATCGTAAAGACTCGTCTCTACATGTCTAATGCTTCCACAACCGAACCGCCTTGTCCTTGCCACCACTGACTACGCATTTGCCATCCTGGCTCCAGTCCAGAGCAAAGACTTCATCCTTATGACCGGGTAGGTCTTCTTTGAGTTTTCCCGTTTTTACATCCCACACTTTGACTGTAGTATCCTTCGACGCACTTGCCAGCAGCCTCGAGTCGGCCGACCACGCGACCATGTATACAGCTCCAACGTGTCCTCGAAGTGTCACAATGAACTTGCCATCTCGTGCATTCCACAGCTTGACACTATTGTCGAATGATGCCGAGGCGATGTACAACCCATCTGGTGAAAATGAGACATTCAGAACTTGCTTCTGGTGGCCTGTCAGTCTCGCAAGCGGCTTCACAGCAGCGTTTGAATTCGGGTCAATGGCCGATGGGTCCCACAAGAAGATGGTATTGTCGTCCGACGCAGATATGAGTCGCTCCGTGACTTTACCTTCCTGTCTGGCGCCGTCTTCGTATCTCTTCTTCGCCTTTGCAACGCGTTCTTCAGCGCTATCTGGCACTTTTCCTGTATGGTCGTGATAAGACGTGCGAAGCGTGAAGTCTGTTGATAAAGCCAGGTGGTTGACCCAATGCGCATGCGATGTCAGCGTATGCAAGCAATTCCAGGATCTCGTGTTCCAGATCTTGATGGTTTTATCCTGTGAAGCCGTGTAAATCCGATTGATTCCGCCCCACCGAACGCAAGTCACTGAACTTTTGTGGCCCGACAATGTTTGCTCGACCCGTCGAAGAGGCACGTCCCAGACCCTGACTGTCCCGTCCTTCGACGCCGATGCTAGCCGGGGCTTTCCTGCCGCTTGATGATGATATGGCTCCCATCCAAGACTCGTGATCCATTTTGCGTGACCTTTTAGTGGCCCACCTAAGGCTTCCCCGGATTTGGGATCCCACAGCCTTACAGTGTTGTCCATACTCCCCGTCGCTAAAAGCTTTCCGTCTGGAGACCATGACACCACTAAAACCCAGCTTGTGTGTCCTTTGAGAGTATGGAGTGGTGTTCCCGTATCACAGTCCCATATTCGAGCCGTGTTGTCACCGCTGCCAGTCGCTACCCTAGAGCCACCCTCAGGCGAAAAAGAAGTCGCGAGTATGGCCTCACCATGTCCCGAGATCGTGGCCGAGCATCTTGAGACAGCCCGAACCCGGAACACGGCTTGAGGAGTGTACTGAAGCACGATATGGTCTTCCGTCGACTTGTACCCCGGTTTGAGGACAGACGCATACAAGTCTGACTGTATGTCTAACACATCTCCCTCGGCATCGCCAGCGTTGTCGTTTCTGAAGAAGAATCGATACGGTAATGTCTCGCCTGTCTCATTGCCTTGTAATGTGTTCAGGAGGGTCTCTAGATTCCTGACTGTGGCATCTTTGACCGGTATCGACACCGCAGGTCCGGTGGACTTGCCAGTGCTCTGATCGATGAATTGTACTCGGACATTGCCCAGGTCTTCTGGAATTCGTGACTCTTCGGCAGTTCTTTCTGCTTTTTCGATCGCTGCAAGCTTCTGACGCTTGCTCGGAGGTGGAGCGACAGTCGCCATATCGGTGGATAGGGTCTTGCTGACCCTTTGGTTGCTAGCGGCAGTCCCAATGGTGTTGACTCAAGCCGCAGAAAAAACGTTGGAGGGACGCAGGCAGTGATGCGGGGATCTGCAGCGCCAACGGAGATCATTTCCGGGCGCCGCTTGGCATTTCCCAAGCATCTGGAATCATAAGGTCCCTCTTTGAGCGCGTCCTTGGACATTAAGGCATCATTTCACGGTGTGCACCATGCCGCAGAAGGCTCCGGCTCCCTCCACGAGTACAGAAGCGTCGAATTCTCACAAGTCTGGTATGAGGCCTCGGACTACAACATCACGCCCACGAACCGGTAGGTCAAGACCGAGGACCGCGGCGACCTCAACTGGCTATGGCGAGAATGATATCGTCTGTGCCATCAGCGAATCTCGTGGCCTCTCACCAACTATCGGTCTTTCTTTCGTCAATCTCACTACCTCTGAGGCTGTCCTCTGTCAGTTCACTGATACCCAGACATATGCTCGGACCTGTCACAAGATCCATGTCTTCAATCCCTCTGATATTTTGTACATGTCCGCTGCCACCGAGTCCAATCTTGTTGCAATCATCGCAGAGAATCTCAAGGTCGAAGAGAATGGCATGCTCCTAACAGAAATGAACCGCAAGTACTGGGTCGAAGGCTCGGGTCACGAGTACATCCAGCGACTCGCATTCCCAGATGATCTAGAGTCTTTGAAAGTCTCAGCTGGAGGAAACTTCTTCGCAACGTGTTGCTTTGCTGCAGTATGTCCCCTACCTATCTCGGTTCCCATTGACCAGCTTCCAGGCTATGAACTACGCGGAGCTAGCCATGAATGTCACATTCGCCCCTCAGACCCTGCGCATCCGTTTCGAGTCTTCCGAGGGTTCTATGATGATAGATCTTTCCACCATCTCCTCACTGGAATTGATACAGAACCTGCAAGATGCGAAGTCGAGAGACTCTTTGTTCGGCCTGATGAACCAGACATTGACAAAGATGGGTGCTCGGATGCTTCGCAGCAGCATTCTTCAGCCCTCTACAGATGCTCGCAAGATTGTTGAACGATATGACGCAATTGGAGAGCTAGTAAGCAGGGAAGAGATGTTCTTTGCAGTCCGAGAAGCGCTCGCTGGTTTCGTCGACACCGATAGATGTCTCTCGGCCCTCGTACGTCTCCCTACCCAAGTCAACTTCGAATACATGGAGCAGTCAGCGAACAATGTGCTCATGCTCAAAACATTTGTCGAGTCCATCAGGTCAGTATGGCAAGCTCTAATCGGCGCGGCAAGCATCGAGCTAAAGAAGATCCGTGAGCTCTGCGCACCAGAGAATTATACATAAGTCGAGGAGCTGATCAAGTACGCGATTAACGACGATGTGGCATATGCTCATCAGGCCACTGAACTCCGCAACCAGCGAGTTTACGCTATTCGGGTCGGGGTCAATGGTTTCCTCGATGTTGCTCGTACGACATACAAAGAGATCAATCAAGATGTCGTCGATATGACAGCGGAGCTCAGCGAAGGGCACAACCTCGGCTTGGATGTCAAATTTGACACAGCGAGACAATTCTACCTGCGTGTTCCTGCTTCTGAGTTCGATGATCGGGCAATGCCTGATGTTTTTGTAAACGTGGTTCGCCGCAAGCAGTACATGGAATGCCAGACCCTCGACCTGATGAAGATGAATCAGAAGATCAAAGACGCTCATAGCGAAGTCATCAGCATGTCTGATAAGTCCATCCAAGAGCTCATTGACAACATTCGCACCCGAATCCACTCTCTTTTCAAGATCTCGGAAGCCATTGCACTCCTAGACATGCTAGCAGCTTTTGCTCACCTCACAAGTGTCTACGACTATGTCAAACCCGAGGTCACCGGCGCCCTCGCTATCAAGGCTGGACGACATCCAATCCGTGAGAAGATACAGTCTGCCACCCACAAACTCATCCCGAACGACGTATATGCCACAGAGCAGAATCGATTCCAGATCATCACTGGGTGCAACATGTCCGGAAAGAGTACCTACATCCGCTCCATCGCCCTCATGGCGGTGATGTTGCAGGCTGGCTGCTACGCACCGGCCTCATACGCGTCCTTCCCAATTTTTCACCAGCTCTTCGCCCGCGTGTCGACTGATTCGGCTGTGGAAGCCAATGTTTCAACATTTGCCGCCGAGATGCGGGACACTGCCCATATCCTACGCAACATTGAGCCTCGCAGCCTCGTCATCATCGACGAACTTGGTCGCGGCACATCCACGACCGATGGTCTCGCCATCGCAATCGCAATCGCCGAGGCTCTGATCGAGAGTAAAGCCTTTGTCTGGTTCGTCACCCATTTCCGAGATCTCCCTCGCATCCTGGCCGAGCGTGCTGGCGTCGTCAATTTACACTTGTCAGTCAACTTCTCCGTCGATGAGAACGACCCTGCGAAAACGAAAATGAAGATGACGTATAAGATCTCAGACGGACCCATCCCGGCAGAAAACCAATTCTACGGGCTCGCGCTGGCCAAAACGATCCAGTTACCCCAGAGAGTCGTCGAGGTGGCGACGCAGGTGAGCGAGGCGTTGAACAACAGGAATCAGGAGAGAAAGAGCAGCACAAAGGCATTGGCGGTAGCGAGGAAGAGGCGGCTGGTTCTCTCTTTGAGAGAGCAGCTGCTGCAAGCGAGGGAGAGTGCGATGAAGGGCGAAGAGTTGAGACGCTGGCTGAAGGCGTTGCAGGACGAATTCGTAGTCAGGCTTCAGGCCATTGAGTGGGAGGCCGAGGACAGCGACATGCCGCGAGGCGATCCAGAACTGGCATCTCAGGTAAGTCCCCGCGCACGTTATTCGGCATCCTCCGCGCCGCTAGAGCAGACGGCGGCGGCCGCGTCGGGACTGGATGCGACGCGGGAAAATATGGAAGATCTCAAGAGCGAGGTATTCGAAACCGAGTCGGTCTCAGACGCCACTGCTAATGCTCAACTCCACCAAGATATGAGGAACGTCGTTCGCGTCAAGCACGAGAGGCTCGAAGAGAGGCAGCATGACATGGCTCGCCAGCGGCCGCGGGAGCCAATACCGTGGGGCGGTAGCGGCGATACTGGATCTGATGCTATTGTCATTGATTCGGACGACGGGGGAGCTTGATGTAGACGTTGGCGGTAGACCTTCGCAGACTAATTTTACCTGGCGGGCCCCAAGGCCACGCGCGATGAGGGCGAGACGGGAGGATCGTGACGCTGGGCAAGGAGAAGCTAAGCGAGGTGTATGAGTTCTGTTTCTGTGCGGCTGCTCCGATTGATGTATAGCCTACATGCATATCGGCGAACACGCGAGGCCGTCAAATGGCTCGAATATGCGGTCCGTACTCGGGACTTCATCATCAATGGTACGTTCGATTGACACTGTATGCAAGATGTAGATGCATACACAGATACAGATGCAGGCAGATCGTCACTCAACTAACTCATGTCGCATTACACATGTCATTATAGCCGCCCTCTGCGCTCCTCTCTCGTTTCAGTCACCATTGGGACTCGCCCCCTTGGCATGAATACCTCTGACGCAATGCTCCCCTGCGAATCTATCTCTGTCATTTGTTAGGCGTGTGCCAGCCGTAGCTCTTCGAATGCTTGTGCAGTACAAATGGCTGTACCGTGGTACAACACCACCCCAACCACAGAGATCCAATGTGTTGCTGTTCTCCGGGCGCTTAACGGCTCTGAGATTCGAGTGTAATGCCAATCGCCAGATTGGATACCGTATAAGGTTGTGTAAATAGGAGACCTCCTTGTACACTTACTGATGTCAAGGCGGATCCGGCGACTCACTTGGTTCTACAAGCGTGGGGTTTCCTGGACGTTGGAAACTCGCTGGGCTCGATGCTCGGTCGGGTTGTGAAGATAGCGTATCTCGTGATGCTGCGAGGTCCTCAACATTGCGCTCGATATCCGTATCATCAATGTCAGTCATCGACCTCGTCTCTCCGCGACCATCGTCCTCCTCCACAGCATCGGAGCTCACTGTCGCAGCAGACTTCGTGGCCGCTTCCTTTACCGAGGAGTCGAGTCCGCTCTGCGCCGCCAATCTCTGCGCCGCCTCTCTCTTCTGCTGGATCTCCATCTCTTCTTGCTTTCGCACATCGTCTTCCTCTCGTCGCAATTCCTGCATCGAAGGGAAAGGGTCCATAACTTCGACGGATGGCGATGTTGGGTTTGGACTCGTAAAGTTCCGACTTCTTTGCGACCGTGAACGCTTACTAGGCGTACTGTGATTCGAGCTTCTGGCCGATTTCGTAGATGCTGTTCGATTTGTCGACCGTCGAGACACTTTTTGTTTCCCCGAAGCAAGACCTGTCTTGCCGCTGCTCTCCTCCGAATTGGTCATGCGTCGCGATAGCATAACCGCAAACTCGTCGTCCAGGGGCACGGCATCCTCTTCTTCGTCACTAAGGATGAGGTCGCCACGAGAGGACAGCGAATTGGTGGTTGCCCGCGAATTCTGAGTACTACTCCGTTGTCGCATATGACCTTTCTTGCTTGGGTCGGACACGGTACCATAGCCGTCATCCTCGAGGAGTGGTTGGGACTCTGCTGCTGAGCGGTGGACGCTCGGGTGCTCTTGGAGATTGGCGGCAGAGGGCCGGTACTTCAACACGCGCGCACCAATTTTAAAGGGTAGGCGCTCGAGGAAGCCAAGGTAGGACGAGCCAGGGATGAGAGTGGGGTCCTCTTCGGCGTCTGAAGGTTGCATTGGACCAGGGCGTCGTCGATTCTTTGAGCCGTAGCTCATGCCGCGTTGTCGTTTCGGTTGCTCCCCACGGCCAGCCAGAAGACTATCTAGCTCGTCGTTGCCCCAGGCTTGGGAGCCGACATTGATATCTTCATCCTCATTCCAGTCATCGTAGAAGTCAAAGAAGTATTCGGCTTGTCCACGCGACCGTGCTCTACCTCGCCGTCGGCGGACACTGTCTTCGCGATTGGGAAAGCATGGCGCCGTGCAGTCTTGGAGACACCCCTTGAAACCTGCTAAGCAGGGGTCAATGTAGAGTTGTGTAAAGGTGTAGATATTCTCTTGCGCTGCTTGATTTGCATGCTCGAAGTTGTGGGATAGGGTGTTCAAGGTCTGCCGCAGCTCCGGATTCATAGTGATGGCATGAGGTACGCACGTGTGTCAGGATAGGCTTATCTGGCGGTTGGCAGGATTGCGGGCGCCATCAGTAAAAGAGGCTGCGATCGCAGATGTATCACTGGTCTTATGTTCAAAGAAGGCAGTAGCGAGAGCGACAGTGAGGCTGGCGGATGTTCTGTCGTTTCAGTTGCGGCGGCCGACTCGGAGTCGTCATATTCCCGCGACTTCCCCGAGGCTGGTAAGGTGGAGTCCAGCTCGGATCACGTGCGGCGGAGGTGAGACTTGGCACAACGCCCCATTCACGCGCTTAAATCCAACGTCGCCGAACTTTGCCTTTTCCTTCACTTTGCCCGTGGCTCAGCATGGTTCACTACATACGGTTTTTGAGTCCGCCGCAGGCATTAACGGTTCAGAAGAGGACAATCACTGTGTCTGCCGTGATTGCCGTGACCACAGACCTAGGAGATTCGTACCTTGTCGAAGATGCTGACTTGATTGTTCGCGTTGTCGAGGCTCAGACTAATCAAGTGATATCCGAGCAGAATGTTACCTGGAAAGCCTTCTCCAGAGCTCTCAAGGCGAACGTCCAATGCAGTGGGAAGTATAGCGGTCGGTCCGTATGTGTACACGTCACAACCCTGACCACGCAGAGCAGCCTAGATTCCAAGAAAATTCCTTCAATTCTCGATGTCTGGAGCAGCACCTTTGCGCTCAGCGACAGGACCCGTTCAGAACCGATAGTCGCTCGAAAACTGCCATTGTCGAACGGCTCCCGACTACAGGTTTGGGAGGAAACTGGTGACTCCATTGCTCGTCATGTGTGGGATGCGAGTTTGGGCTTTCTCATGTACTTCGAATTGGTATTGCCATCGGAGCCTTCCGACAATGCTTCTTACCTGCAAACTTTGGTTCAGTCTTCCAAGTCGAAACCCCTCCAGGTACTTGAGCTTGGCACCGGCTGCGGCACCGTCGGGATCGCGTTTGCTCAATTGCTGGAGAGCAGTGTGGTGCTCACCGATCTCGAAGATGCCATGGTTATCCTCAGGGCCAATGTCAAAATCGCCAAACCGACAGCATCCTCCACCCTTCGGGATGAAGTCTTCGACTGGGGCGCCGAGCTGGATGATAGTTTCAGTTCCAAATACGATCTTATCCTCGTATCTGATTGCATCTATAATCCAGACAGCAGCGTGCATTTGGTGAAGACTCTCCGCTTCTTGACAAGGTGTGCTCGGAAGGCGCTTATATTGGTTGGCTTCAAACGTCGGCACGATGGAGACGATGTCTTCTTTGAGCACATGAATGAGTCACGCTTCGAAGTACTCGAGCGGCACGATATCCATCTACCTCATCTTGCGAGTGACTATGATGCCTATGCTCCGATCATCGAATTCCACGTCTTTCGGGCCTCCCCTTGACACGCGAACGGCTGGGCTTTATACCTCCAAACACCAGCAACGGCAACAGGCACTTCCCTGCCAAATGTTATGCACAGCCACGAAATGCCACCCGATCCATCTGCGGTGCCTAGAACCAAGGCAATCGCAAGGCTGAAATTTTGGTTGTTGGCGGCCAATCAGAAGACGTCATTCAGGCTTGGCATCTGATCGCTTCGATGACACTGTTCCCCGATTTTTCATGGCGGGACACCCAAAATTCTGAACCCCGGGGCAAATAAATACCGCGTCGCACTTATCTCAACTCTTTTTACCAGCTATTCACCGCTTGTTCGTCTATCGAACTATCATCGTCTACATTACCATCAAATTCGCCTTTGGACAATCCAAGGGCACCATTCACAACGGCCACTACATCATTTGCTCTACGTTTTCAAACTGCATCTGCTAGCAAGCACCGACACATTCTCAACACTCGTCCACCTCCTGCTGAGCACGACCACATCAAGGCCACTTTCGTCGTTTGAGTTGCAGCCTGAACCCCTTCAGACGTCCAAATCCTCTCAGCTGCCGCATAGGACAACACTCGAGATTCTTCCTCTCGCCGGGGAAGAGTCGCTGAGGCAAGGTCCCCAACGTTGCATCGGGACAGACCTAAAACCTCCCTAACACCCGCCTGTTCAAGTCCCGTCTACTCTTACCTGCGTTAGCAAGGTTATGGCACCTTCTGCCATTACAGAGTACCCGGTTACAACTACTACTACTATCGATCAAAAGATCAATTTTATTGATACTCATCATGGCGACGATGAAACCAATGCAACAGGCCTTGCCTCAAAGGCTCTCGTCCAGAAGGTTCTGAAGGAGCAAATCGCTCGTATTGACACTGATACATGTGAACCCGGCGAGGAGGATGCCTTTTACGTGGCTGACCTTGGAGAGGTCTATCGCCAGCACCTCCGATGGAAACTGAACCTCGCCAGAGTCAAACCATTCTATGGTAAGTCTGCTTGGGAACTGTACTCCGGGCGTTGCTAACATGCATAGCTGTCAAATGTAACCCTGACAGGGAGGTGTTGCGGTTGCTTGCGAATATGGGCACCGGGTTCGATTGTGCGTCCAAGGCTGAGATCGACTTGGTGCTGAGTCTTGGCATCGATCCTGGCCGCATCATTTACGCGCAACCATGCAAGACCAAGTCCTATCTCCGCCACGCGGCCAGAGTTGGCGTCAAACAGATGACTTTCGACAATGGTGACGAATTGCTCAAGATCAAGGCCTGCTACCCGGACGCTGAGCTGGTGCTCCGTATCTTGACCGATGACTCAGCAAGCCTGTGCCGGCTGAGCGCCAAGTACGGAGCCAGTGTCGAAGATGCTAGCGAGCTGCTCCGCTTGGCCAACGACCTTGATCTCAACGTTGTAGGCGTGAGCTTCCACGTCGGCTCCGGTGCCAGCGATCCTAGCTCCTTCCGCAAGTCTGTTCAGGATGCGCGCGAAGTCTTCGATATGGCTGGCGAGCTCGGATTTGACATGAAACTACTCGATGTTGGGGGCGGATTCGTTGACGAGACATTCGAGTTGTTCGCTGGCGCGCTTACTGATGCTCTGGAAGAGTACTTTCCAGGCGATGTACGCATCATCGGTGAGCCTGGACGCTACTACGCCTCCAACGCCTTCACACTGGCTGCGAACGTCATTGCACGCCGCGAAGTCATGGGTGAGACGCTCGACGAGCGCTCATACATGCTGTACCTCAATGATGGGGTTTACGGCAACTTCAGCAACATTATCTTCGACCACCAACATCCTATTCCACAGGTGTTGCAAGCCTCGTCTGCGACCACTAAGCTCACCGAGTACTCGATTTGGGGCCCGACATGCGACGGCATTGATGTGATTGCTGACCGTTATACTCTTCCTGGAATCGTTGATGTGGGAGACTGGCTGTTCTTCGAGAACATGGGAGCCTATACCAAGTGCTCAGCCACGCGGTTCAACGGCTTCACAGATGCTCACGAAGTGATCTACATCTCTAGCGAGCCTGGTGCTTCAGCCTTGCTCGGATATTGAGACATTTCAATAGCTTCATTGGCTCGGTCGGAGTGGAGAGACGAGATGGAGGGATGGATGTCTCCTAGTAGTTATCGCACACTCCTTGGCTGCTCAGCAATGAGCCAGCTCGATAGATGCTCACACGAGCAAACGAACATAATCCATTCATCCCTTGAATTTGCAACCTCAGCGATTGACAAGGATCTAGACTGCGGCGCCGTGCTGCATGGCAATGTCTGTAGTCATACTAGCCAGGTACCGTTCGTAAGTAGTGTGGGGGCCTTTCAGGTGTAGATCTCGGCACGCGACAGGCGTAACCCACCTGTTGCGTCACTCGTGCAGCTCCTTCAGCTGGCTTCGCGCTTCTTGCACCCAAATTCTTCGTTAACCTGGTAAACGAACGACACGTTTGCTCGTTACGAGTCACTTTGTCTGAGCCAATTACAGGGTTTATGTTGCTTGGCCCTATCACTGGGTGTCACTTTCCTCAGTTTCAGCTCACTCTTGCACAACTTGACAGCAATAGAACCCCACCTGCTTGATCTCTGCCTCGTCCTCATCTTACATATTTGCCCCGCCATAACTTGATCGTGATCTTGATCTTTCTTCCTTCTCTATCTTGTGCAACCCTGATTAAATCAAATCGGAGCATCCCAATCTTGTCCTCAGACCTCCATCGGCCAGCAATGGACAAACTCAACGAGACCCTTTCGTCCTTCACCGGCGGCAGCAACAACAACAATCAGCAGCCGCAGCAGCAGTCCGGCGGCGAGCAGAAGCAAGAAGGCGGCGGCAGCTTCCTCGGCGGCATAGGTGACAAGATCAACACCGCTGCCGGTGGCGGGCGTGAGAGCGAGAAGAACGAGGACATGCTCGACAAAGGTACCATCCTCACCACGGGGAATCTGTCTTCATCTAGCTGACTTTGTCCCTTTCAGGTATCGACTATGTTCAAGAGAACGTTCTCGGTCAAGGCCCGCAAGACAACGAGAGCGCCATTGAGCAAGCCAAGGATGAACAAATCGCAAACTTCGTGCGTGACAAGTACAAGTCAACCACTGGCAGCGACTTCCCGATCAAGGACAAATGAACGAGACTTGGCTGAGCGGCTGACTCGACGCTTCGCTGTGCCGTGCAGAACATCCTGTGATATGGTAGATGGTTGCCTTACAAATTTGAGGCAAGCAAGCATCTCATACTGATCAGTACACGATAGAGCTAGAGCTCCAATCCAGATCCTGCCAGAAGTGCAGTCCGATTCTATCATTGATCCAGTTCTCGCTAAAATGCCTATGCGCTCCTACAACAGTGCCTTGAGCACCTCGCCCCCACCTCTCGCTTCCAGTCCCATGAATCGCACAACCTGACCCAAATGATCCACGCCCCAAAACCCCTCCTTCTCCCCCTTCCCGTTCTCACACGCAAACCACGGTAACCCAAAGACGCCCTGTCCCTCCGCCATCTTGGTATTGTCTCCCAACCTCCCCTTCGCAACATCCCCATTCCAGCCTTCCCGAACCCCCTCAAAGACCTCCTTCGGCAGCGCCTTCTCCAACGCCGCCAGAAACCCGTGCTCGCCGTCCGGCTGTGCAACCTTGACATTCGACTCCGGCAGGCCCCAGAACTGGTGGAACACGGCGTCCAGCGCGGTCGGCAGGTGCGTCGGGTGCTTCGCGTGCAGGTACGCGAGCGCGCGGTCGGGCTTGAGCATGTTGACGGGGAACCCGGGAGGTTGGGGCCCGCACATGGGAATCCCAAAGATGCGGGCCCAGCGGTGGCGCTCCACCTCGATCCACTTGTCCTTGTTCTTGACGGAGATGGGGGTGATGTTGCCCGTGGCCTTCATGAGGCCGCCCAGGAGGATGGGGACGGGTTCGACGGTGATGTCTTTGAAGGCGGCGCTGTGGCGGAGGATGTAGTAGCCCATGTAGGCGAAGGGGCTTACCACGTCTACGTAGATGGTGATTTTGCCGGGCATCTTGTTGGGGTGAGGGTGGTGATTATGTCCTCGGGGTATTGGGCTGTGGCGCTGTGTAGCCGGCTTTTAGGAATGGTGAGGACTTCTTCAGAGATCTAGGTCTTTGAAGCGATTTGAGCCACTTCGAGTGATTCTCACTTTTAGGTCTCCTCCTGACCACAGTATAACAGCTGAAAGACCCGACGTGAGGAGAAGCATTGCTGAACCTATTCCTCCAAGACGTAGCATCCATCAGCCGAGGGATCTGGCAGCGTAGGGTTAGGGTTTTGACACTTGGGCCTCAGTGATTTCGGTCAAGTCCCCGTTCCGAGGTTCTCACGACGTACATATGCTGGTCGTACTTCTATCATTCCTGCATGGCGCGGTTGGAGCACAAGTTCCTCGCGCAAAACCAGTAAATAATTTGTCCACACGACCTTGCTCATCTTGCCATCAGTCGCCGCGCGTCAGCCGTTGTCCTTGATCGTGGTTCATCCCAAGGACGCTCGCGTTAACCAGACGATCAACAGGCAGCACCATACTGGCTCTGGCTGGCAGAAGTGTCGAAAAGGGAGTCCTGGTCCAAGGAGACGTGGTACCCAAGCGAAATCACGCCTTATCAGGTTGCACTGTCCAGCGGTTGGCTCACTCCACAACGACCTAATCGACCAGGTTTTGATCAGCTGGCTTGGCCCGTAAGTAATAACCGCAACCCAGAAGTGGCCGGCAAGTTTCGCCGGTACAGGAACTGAGGGCATAAAGCTCCAATTGGTATCGAGGCTGTCTTGTCATAATCATCTTGACGTGCCCTTCTTGGCTCGCAAAATCGTTAACATGGCGGGACCGACACGTGAACAGCGCATTTCTGGGATAAGAGACCCCGGCTACTTATTATACTTGGCTGTCAAGTGTGAGTTCGCACACTTGGTCAACACACCGTCACACTGACTCAGGGCAGCTTTTGTTCTTGTCTGCTTAGAAACAATACTTCGCCGAAACCGCCAGATCACGGAGATTAAAGACGAGGCGTTCTCGCGCTTTTGGAGGTTGATCAACCGTAGGCGAACGTCCCTGTGAGGTGACATGCAACGATTCTGACCGAGAATAGCACCCAAGGACCCCAATGAGCCGCTCGTGGGGTCTCAAACGCTGATACCTCCTCTTCTTGCCACCGCTGCAGGCGATGTGCTCGAGCTGGGTCCAGGGAGTGGAGAACAGATCCAATACTTCAAGCCCGCCACTCAAGTGCGCAGAATATACGGGGCCGAGCCAGTCCTGCCTTTGCACGATGACATCCAAGCCAATGCCCGTCGTCATGGACTAGGTGACAGATACTTTGTCGTGACAGCGGGTGCTGAGAAAGCAACCTTGATTCCCGGCCTGGCCAAAGCTGGCCTGCTGGAGAAAAAGTCCCCAGGGAGTGGCGTGTTCGACACAGTCGTATGCGTCCGGGTTCTATGCAGTGTGCAAGACCTACACGAGACGGCCGGCACGGTCTATCAGCTGCTCAAGCCAGGTGGCAAGCTCCTGATATGTGAGCACACTGTGAACCCCTGGACGACCAGCAAAGGGAGTTACATCGCGCGAGCTTTTCAATTCATTTATTCGGCTTTGGGTTGGACGTTCTTCGTCGGAAATTGCCATATAACACGAGACATACGGCGTGCTGTGACCGAAGCCGCTGTTCCATATGGCGGATGGGCTAGGGTCGACCTCACTGATCATTTCGGCTGGTCGGTCCTGCCGTATGTTTCGGGTACCCTGGTGAAGCGCGGTTAAAGACGTACCGCCTTCTTCCCTTGACCCGGACCAGTTATACCTACACCAACTATATACAACAGGGCTTCAATTCAAATACTCTACTACGGCCGCAACTCTCTCTACGGGACAGTACGGCAAGGATTAGAAAACGCTCAAACAAGGCTGTAGTCGAGAAAGGGCTCGATCAGTTCCCTTGAGCTCGTGTGGCTACGAGCCTGCCGAGGCTCTACGTCATAGCCGCCCGTTGATTATTCCACGATGTTTCCGCGTCCCATTGGCCAGACCTCCTGATACTAGGCCAGATGCGTGAGCACGAACCGAGGTCTTGCCAAGCCTCAACCACCCCCTTCGATTCCCACGCCGCCCCATATGCAACTCGCATCACTCTTCCATACTAGGACTATCAACGCTGGCTTTGGGACAGATGTGCATCTCTGTCTGCCACACTCGCTCCTCATTCTCGATTTGGGCCACAAAAACCGACAAAAAGGTAGCGCCACACCTTCTATTCGCTTAGACAGCTGGGAGAACCTCACGCGACTATCAGCGATCGTTTCGGAATTCAGCGTAACCTGTCCACGTGGAACGTTTAGCTTGTGTATCAAGAAGCACCTTAGACCTTGCTGTCTTCCCTGCAGATTTATGTTGGGCTGTTCCAAGGAGGTCAGTGGCCCGCCAGAAGCGCTGCAGCCATTCGAATCGTACCGGGATCTGCCACGTACCTTGCCCTTGCAGTGGGAAACGCTACTAACAGAAGGCCGCAAACGCTGCCGACAATGCTGGTGGACCCTTCTCGGCAATTGCTACAGCTAGAATCGGAAAAGGCTCCTGACACTTTGATAGGTCCTTGACCATCCTTCCTCCAGCTCGGCCAGGCTGAGTTGAGAGCAGGTGTTATTGGTTCTCCTGTCTGCAGACGGCTGCATAACGTCGATGACCAATCCCAGTGCGATATACAGTGACAAGATTATATCAGCGCCATGATTCGGCTTCAGCCCGGCCATTGGATGGGATTTCCACTTCTTGTCTCATGCACACCTATCGCGTTGGCTTTTTACCGGACAAATGTGGGATCTTGTGCGTATTGGCATCGTCCTGTCTGAGCTTGGGTAGCTTGTTCCCCCAGTCTCCACCCTATGGGCAAACTTTACGGCATGGACGGAAGTTCAAAGGGCTTATCTTGATGGACAGAGTGATTTCCCTGCGCGATTCACTAAAGCTACAGCCAGAACTTCCGCTTTGACGAGAGCTCTCGTATCGGTCCATCTGCGGGCTTGAGCTTGGCCTCCGAGGCTTCATTTTCTCTTCTAAGCCAGCTTGGGGCAGCTGCCAGTTAGATGAGCTGTTCGCCGACCTCCACTGGCGTGACTATACTTCTGGTAGACAGAGCCAAACTGCTTGTAACAATCACCTATGCATGAAGCTGACTTGCGCGATTTATAAAACCACGACTCATCCAGGCTTTTCGGCGGCTGCTGGATCGACACAGACAGCTCCTTACGCCACAACGTTGTCTCCAGATTCACATGGAAGACAAGGTCCCAATGGATGGACGCAGCAACCAATCCCGTCGTCGAGTTTCTGGCCAAGGACTATCCATGCAAGGCAAAATTTGTCCGGCAGCGGGTAACAGCGGCTTCATGAAAGCACCCTTTGCATTCCCTGGACAAGACAGTCCTATCATGGAAGGTGATTTGGGTCTAGACGGTTCGATGTTCTTCAGTCAGCCTACCCTCTGGGACACGGCTTCAAGATGCTCTCCAGCCTCGGAACCGGCATTCATGCAGCTTCCAAGTTCCCAAGCATCTAGCAATGGCAGTCCTACTACGAACAAGGAACTCCGATTCACATCGCCCATGTCTATCGAACACTTTCCGCGGCGGTCGTCCACCTCTGCGCGGCCCGATAAGGACACGCAAGTGGTCGAACAGAGGCATCAGGTAGCCAATACACTGCTACCTCACCACATGTTTCTCGTGCTAACAGATCCGTAGCGACGGAAGGCGCAAAATCGGACGGCACAGCGCGCTTACCGTGACCGAGAGAAGCACCGACTGCAAGCGGCTCTGCAACGCGTCAGAGACGTGGAGCGGGAATTGCAGGGAGCCCTGTCGGCGCAAAAGCATTTTCAGACTCTCTATGAATCAGCTTGTGAAGAGTATGAGAAACTGTGGAACGAGATGGTGGGCTCGGGTCCAGCATCAAATTCGTCGTCCTTGTCAATGGAGCCTTCGGTTGACATGAGTGAGTGGCCTTTCGACTGGATACAGGGAGACCATGCTTTCGGCGCCGTTGGGCCTGCGGGTTTGGCCAGCACCAATGCTAGCACTAATGCTAGCACTGTAGAAGAGGTACCGGGCGGGCTCGGATAGATCTACTCGGACCACAGCTTGTGATTTGATCGGAGCTGGCGAAGTCACATAGGACACTCGTAGAGTAGGCATTCAATCGGCATGTTATCTCGTTCCTGGCGTCGGACCTTAGAAATTGCAAATGCTAGAGTGACGATAGGGTAGATAGATACCTAGGTACCCCCTGATGCCCGTTGGCCGCACGTACGGGCAGATGTATTGCCGAGATCCGACGGGAATTCGGCTATGACAGCAACACAACCTGGAACTTACAACTCTTGTCACTATCTTCTACACCTTATCTTCGTGGCTATTGTTGAATGTAGGGGCCTCGGCTCGGTGAATTTTCAGTAGAGAACAGCAGTGGAGGGTTCGCTCGTCCAACTAATCCGGTTCAGCACTGACCAAACGGTGGCGTCGCAGGCTACCATCGTTCACCGAAAGCACAAATATACAGTGACTACACCAACGGGGCCCGCAGAATGCGCACAGCTCCAATGATAGATCGTTCAAGCCTTGCAAACAGCGATGCTCCACCCTACCAATTACATGAGCGGCTTGCCGTTCGAAGTCAAGGCGAACATTTGCCTTCAGCTCGCTGACATTCTCGACAGCGATGCTCCGGCGAGATGGAAGTCACTAACGACACTACGACTAACATGTCCGCACTGGCAAGAACCACCTATGCAATTCCAGTTTCACGCCATCAAAACTGGCATATGGGGTCCCTGTGGGCTGCGATCGCTCTATCAGCTGAGCAACAATCATGCCATCGCTAGGCACGTTCGACGATTGCTATTTCTCAACTATACCTAGGCGTAACACTGATAAAAAGGGGTTTAAGGCAGGCTCTAGCCCCGCCCCCCCCACAAAAACAAATCTCTGGTCTATCTCTGGTCTATCCTTCCATAGTCGGCCGGCTGAACACCTTATTTCCTCCTCCGTTCTCGAGACATCCCTCGGACCTCCGGAACGCCCGCTAAACGCCCAAAAGTGGAAGAAGTCGTTACATTCTGACAGTCAGACGGATGATAGGACCAGGGCGATCTGGGTTCCATTCCATGGTTGCTGAGGCCCCCTATTATCGACAAAATCACTAAGTTTCCATCATCAGCATGGCATATGGGGTTTTCATCCAAACGAGTGTGTTGGTGCCCAGTTGCAGCGTGTGTGTCTGGTGTGTGATGTGTATGTGATGTGTGATGTACAAGAGGGAGCCAGCGGCAACGGAGATCAAAAGACAAAAGTGCTCGAAACCAGCGAGCACTTCCTCCCAGCACTACCAGTCCGTCTCTGGCTTTGCCTTTGCTCGGTGCTTCCCACCACGGTGCAGGTGTAGGGTGCAACGTCAACAGCAAGAAACCCCTCATCTAACGAACGGAACATTCTCAATGAATGACATAACGACAGGTCCCATTCGTTACTTCTCCTTTCTTTGTCGGTGTTCCCACCTATCAGACTCTTTGACAGTGTAACCCACATCCTCACCGTGTGTAACAAGCACACCCGCAGTCAGAACCTCACACCCAACATACTCAAAAAGAGAGACTTCCACAACCAGATCGACATCATGTGGTCAAAGTCATAACGAATCGTCACGCCAGGCATTCAGGCTAGGCCTGACCTGGCCCAGCCCATCAAGGCCAAACCCCTTCTCAGATCAGGTGTGGGAAGAGGTCACATCCAGCCCGTCTTAGGTCTGGGGCTTTCCTGACCAGTAACGACCCTGCCCTCCTCCTCGTCCTTCTGAAAAGCCTTGGATATCCGGTTCCGCCGTAGCGCCGCCTGGTAGTAAGGGTTGTCCCACTGAATGGCGGTCTTGCGCCGCGAGGCCAGTTCCTTCTCGTCGCCCAGAGTCGTGCCACTAGTGGCGGCGACACTGTCGGTGGAATCGTCAAGTCCGAGTTGGACGCTTTCCCACTGCTGGGTACGACGACGGTAGTCTTCGATGGCGTGCAGATCCAAGTCAGCCGTATTGTAGCTGCGCGAGAAGCGGTTGCTAACGTATGCGGAGCCCCGGCGCGAGGGCGTTGAGTTGTTGGGGAGGGGATTGTTCTCCGACAGGACCTGTGGTGTTGTTAGCTTATGCTCAAGATGGACGAGGTGGGTCTGAGAGCTTACCTTGACTTCAACTGGGCCATCCTCGTCCTGCACGGGCTGCACGCCCCTCCAGCTGTAGAAGGCGTTGAGCACTGGGATTGACAGACCATGCCACACGATGGAGAAGAACACCAGCCAGTACACGACTGGGAACATGACTCTAATTAGTGTGCGTTCTTCTTCGGTCTGCGCTTCCTCCAACTCTGGGAACAGGTGGCGGGCGTGCTCGACATAGAAGACGGCTCCGATGCCAATGGGCCCAAAGTAGCCCATGAACAAAGCCTCCTTCCAGTCCTTGATGCAGGACGGCATGAGCTTGTATGTGGCGAAGATGGCTGGCAGACGGCGGAACAAGATCACCATGATTCCAAGACCGACCAGACGAGGCACCGTCAATCCGGTGCCATCAGGGTCCTGAAAATCTCGCCATGGGATAATCATGCCAATGTATGCGAAACCGCCCAGATTGAGGATCACGTCAATAGTGCCATTGACCTCGTCGTGTTTGCGTTCGCATTCCCGGAGAAACTCGCCGTCCCAGTTGAGGATGCTTCCTGCCACGAAGCAGGCCAGGAGGTCATCAGTGCCGAGCATACCGCAAGTACCAATGGTGAAGAGACCGATGGCGGTGGGGACGAGGAGATATGACTCAACATCAATCCACTTTCTGGATCCTTGTTAGCGAACCTAATGAGGGAGCACAGGAGCAGTACTCACTTCTTGGTTGCGAAACGTGTAGCGAACAACATGATCGTGCCCACAACAGCACCATAGGCGATAGACATCAGCACGAAGTACAACCAAGTCTCGATACCCCAATTTTTGAGCGCTTCGCCAATACCACCACCAAGACGGCCGAGATCGCTAGAGTCGCTGTCGCCAGCACGAGCTACGAGGGAGCCAAGCGAGCGCACTAGACGCTCTGGCACCCCGCCGCTCTCCTCGAATGCTTCCACCTCTGCGTCGACTTGATCACTCTCCGCATGTCGAATGAGGTATGTGGCGAGCATGAGGAACGGGAACCCGAATCCATCATTGGCACCCGCTTCTGCAGAAATGATTTCACGCAAGTTGCGTCGAACAAACTTGTCCGCAAATGGACCCTTAGCCACAGCTTGCGACAGCACCGGGTCGGTAGAGGTGACCAGAGAGCCAATGGCCAGGCCGGCAAGGAGGGTGATGTTCGGGACAAGGGCCATCATGCAGGCCGCCGTGCACAGCCACATCAGCGTCATGACCACGATCAAGATAATGAACATCTCCTTCCAGCGATAGCGAACAAACTGGGCAGGCAGTTGGTAGCCGGCCATCACGAGTTGCACGCCAATGACCACGCGGGTCAGGCCCAAGGTGATGTCGGGGACCTGCCCAATGATGGCGGATCCCCATTTTCGAGAGTCGAGCCAATTGATTGCCAAAGGACCCATGATGGCACCGAAAACGAACGCCGGGACTGTCAAGTAAGGTCAGTACACGATGGACACAGTAGACAAGTCACATACGAGCTTCACCAAGATACCAATGATTCTTAAACTTGACCGAGATGAAGCCGAAGGCGGCAATGAAGAAGCCAAAAATGGCGATGACGGTGTTGAGTTGGCTCACATCCAGGTGAATTGCCATGTTGACGGTATTTTGGACTTGTCTGTATGCTCGAGACGGATCGATGAAGACGTCTGAGTAATGTCGACAAGGCAGAACAATCAGGCTTGCAGCGGCACTCGGTGTGATCGTTCAGTGTCGACGAGTTGTCAGGGGGCGTCCGGCCAGCGGACGTTGAGGTAAGTCAAACGACTTTCTAGTGGTAGCTGCAACGATGTTGAAAGACCATGCCAGGCTTGTGATTCTGCTGTGCCTTGAGGGTAAAGATTGAATATCAAGAGCTCGACCTGCAAACTGCGGAAGCCAGAAAAGGTGGATGGACTTCTATTATCATTGCTCGGCCAAGAGCCCGCCGGACCAGGTTTTGATAGCTTCTCCACCAAGAAGCAATGCTGAAGCGGCTTGGCCTGACGAAAGTCGTTTGACAACATAGCGATATACGTATGCCGTCTATCGCTCGATGGCGAATGGCTATCACTGATTCATCGGGATCAGCATGTTTGAGACCTGCGCACGGTCGACAGCAAGAGCGCCCGCTCCTGTCTGATCCAAACCTTCTGGCAACGTCCTATTCGGCTGCATCGTTGGCGCACAACTTCCACGGTGCAGGGGCGCGATCAACGGGGTGACGCAACGGACGGTCTTGGAAAAAATGGTATGAAAATGCCTCATCCAAGCTTCTCTGCTGCGGGCTCGACCGAGCGGAGGGCTGGTGATGCTAAGGAAAGCTTCACAGCAAGGGCAGTGTGATCGTGTGGTTTCAATGGGGGCGCAAACGACAGGGAGTGGCCGGCGCCACCACGATAAGCCACAAAGCGACGTGACGCGCAGCTCCCGGGCGGCTTTCGTTCAGGAACTGGAACAGAAAAGGGTCTTGGATCGGCGTCAATATTGATTTGGCCAGCTTGTCAGCATTGCTGTTCACCCCGACTTGGACGCGCAGCCAAGGGCGAAAACGAAACGGTAGTGAGGAGAGGTCAAGATTGCTTGACGGTTCGCCGAGAGGAGAGTTATGGCCAGACGAAGGGGCTCAGGACGAAGCAGGCAAATGGTAAGAGGATGGCCAAGTGACCGCCAATACTCTGTCATCCGCCTTCCGAGGGAAGAACCGTCGTGCCCAGTCTGATGCCAACCCTTGGCCCGGCAAGAGATCTTGTGTTCCGCTCTGCGAGGAGGGCTCGGCGGAAAGCTTGACGCTCCAGATCTCCAGGGGGCAAGGCTGGGCGGAATGCATCTTGCGCGATTCGTTCCTTAGCAGATCAGCAGGTACGAGATTGTTGGGGATCGAGTCGACATTCCGGATGCTTTGGTGTCCATACTACGGACAGGATTGATCAATTTCCTACAGAATAGGGTGATAAAAGAGCACCGCGGTGGAAATGATGAGCCAGTGGAAATCTTGGCGCGCTGCCGACGACCCGGGTCCGAGACCGGAGCCTGACAGCTCTCCTGACGGACGGCGTTTCATGCCATCCCTCAAGCGCAGCCGTCTTTTCGTCAAATGCGACACGCCCTGAACTCATCTCCTCGACCTCATATGGCACGCTTGAGCGAACAACATCGCTCTAATCGCAGCGACACGGTGCCGGATCTAAGTCCCGTGTCGATGTCAAGGAGACCCGATTGACCGCCGAGCGCTTTGCTGGGGCTTGTCCTGACGCGTCCCAACATGGGATTTGGTTTTAGCGGATGGGCGATACCGTGGCACCGACACTGAGGCTCTGAAGGTGTTGATCATAACACTTCACTGGCCGAGATCATCGCCCAGGCAAAATATTTGGGTTCACGAAGCGCTGCTTGTCACGTCGGCGACAGATCCGGGCATCCAATTTTGCTAAAGTATTGCTCGTGGCCTTGGCAGATGACGAACGATGTACTTGTGGCCGTCCAGTGGGCGGTTGGCGGAGGTAGGTTTCGTGTGCCTTTGCCTTCAGTCTCATCAAGGGTCTTCATGGGATCCTGTGCCAGCATCGATTCCGACCCTTCTTCATGCTCGTTTCGTCTTGTTGACGTGGGCGATGAGTGCGTCGTCACACGCTGCATTTCTTGCGTTGCGTCGGTTCATACGAAGTGACCACTGTTGGGCGAAGGAATGAATCTCTGAAAATCGTGTCTCAGCACTCTGCTTCTACTCACGGACTTCTTGACTGCGAGTGGTACGACTGATTTCAAGTGACACAAGCGAGAGCTGCTGCAGCTGACCGTGGGTTTGACAACTAGATACGATTCTATCGCGCCTGCCGTTTCGACAACCTCGACGGGGAGCTTCCTCTTTCCACACCGAGCTTGACTTTTCCGCACCTTCCTGCTTGTCGGCAGCCTTCAAACGAGTACCTGCCCAATCCCGTCCCCTGAACTCACTGCCATACTGCCAGGAACCTCCGATGTCAGCTTCCTGATAAGATTGTCATATCTGCTTTTCGTGGCACGCTGCCGCGAGTGGTCTTCACCTTCCGTCGTCCGCGCAATGACAGATATCCGCAGTACGAATGGAGCGTGAGCTCGAAGACGACATTGAGCTTTTCGTGTCCTCGGGGCTACATGTTAAAGTGAGCCAAGCTCTTTGTGACCGTCGCCGTTCAGAAAGTCTGCCGTTTCGCGGCTCAGCGCAGACTCGACGACCCTGCGCAACAGCTCCGCGAGCTCGCAAGTAGTCCCCGCCCCCATTCAAACAAGTCGCCAGTCGCCCACAAACGATTCTCACATCTCTACAAGAACATCTTCTCTTTCTACAGGTCACCCAAATGCGCTACTCTAACCCCTGTGAGGTCTTGTGAACGTTTATCTCGACAGTAAATCCTGCCTTGCAGTGAACTCTGAGAACAAGCTAGTCATGATCCAACCAGGCTGCACCTCAACTTCAGCTAGACAAGCGAAAGTTGTCACAGCTCTTCGTGGCTGTCATTCATCATGCTAGGAGCAGATACTCGAGAGTGGCCCATAGGATGATCACTCAGTCGTCAGGATGACATCACATTGGCAAGCAATGAACATGCTACAGAGACTGCTTTGCTTGGGCGAATGTCACAGTCCTACACTGGTACACGCGCATATCCCACCCGGCTCTTCCTTCAGTAAGCTGAAACAACACATTTGTCAATGCTTGCAAGGCGAGTCGCTGAGTATTGCAGCGAGTTGTTGGGCTTGGTACATCGCATTGTTTGGTCTTGCTGAAAGTAACGGATCGTACCCATGGAATAGTCCCCCTGTACCTTGAGTACTCCCGGGACTGTCTTCCCTAGCAATGGGACATCACTCTCAATCTCATACCCACCTCCCTTCCATTAGTTTCACAAATAGTCTTGAGTTCCTGGCTCTTGGGAGGGACCCCAGTATTGTCAGCCAGATCGGCATTTTCACCTGTACAATATTCAGGAGGGCACCCGCTCTTGTTAGCCAGATTGGTAGTCTCAGTTTTGTATGATTCGGGAGACCTCCCACTTTCGTCGGCTGAACCGACAGTCTCGATTCTATGGGACTCTGGAGGCTTCCCCACAATATTAGCACTATTCTGAAGTCTTCAACATGCAAGAACGGGATTCAGGATCGTGTCTCAAGCCGCCGTATCACGGCAATGTAAGCAGCCACTTGAGCTAATGAGGTGTGGATCAGACGGCCAAAGTCCAGATCGTAGATGTCAACCCTAGTGAAGGAGGAGCCCAGAAGCACCAGCTGTATGTAGTACCTCACCTCGCCAAGCTTCGTATTCGAGAGTGGGGGTCTCCATCGAGTCCCGCTTCTGGGAATCAAAATTTTTGTTCTTATATTGAAAACCGCGAATTCCTTTTCAACAATCCAACACAAGTTGAGTGGTTATAGCTCAGCTGGGAGAGCGTTAGACTGAAGTCAAACTCAGTCATTCTATCTAAAGGCCCTGCGTAAGTGCCTCTGGACACTGTGAGTACGAGAGCACTCGTTCTAACAGAACCTTCATAGGTTCGATCCGCAGTAACCACAACGTCCAGCTTATCGCTTCTTTTTGCCTTTTCAACGAGCTCAGACGGAGCTGTTTTGGTAGAGATAATGGAACAAGAAGATCTCAGGCAGTGAATTTTTTTCTTCTCGCTGTGCGGCCAGGCGCCAAGATTTCAACATCGTCGAGCGATTGGATCCACTTTGCTCGGTTGTTCCAGTGGGTTCGTGTTACTGGATCTATTTCAACCTCACCTGAGCTTGCATTGGATAGATGAAAGTCGGATGAGGTCTGCATCATCCAGAGACATCCGACGTATGCTGTTCACCTCCAGCATCAAATTCCAGCCCACCGTCAGGTCACTGTGACTGATCAAATCAGATCCAGCGCTTCCCGTCGACGTCATTATTGCAGCGCTCGACGAGTCTTCCTCGATTCAGCAACATAAACACGTTCGCGCATATCCCGTCATTACATAGACTGAACCCTTACCGCGCTGGTTTTCACGAACTGGGACCAACATCACCAGACCATTGTCTCCCCATAACGCTAAGCGCCGTCTTCTTCTGACGACCGATTTCACCCCCACCACCGTACCTGCTGGAGGGTGACGAAGAGACGCGGCTCTCGTTATATCGTTGCAGCCACGACCTGACCTCTGTTGAGTCCTCACACCATCTCCATCTCACAGCAGGCACACCAGACACCCCACCCCACCGCCGTTCTTCCTCCATCTCACCATCATGGCACCCATCCCCATAACAATAGTGACCGGCTTCCTCGGCTCAGGCAAGACCACCCTAATCCTCAACCTCCTCCCCCAACTACCTCCCTCGTACCGCATTGCGCTCCTCAAAAATGAATTTGGTGATCTCGCCGTGGACAGCCAACTGGCCTCCCAACGCTCCATCTCCGGGGTCCGCGAACTCCTCAACGGCTGCATCTGCTGCAACCTAGTCGGCCAACTAGGCGATGCTCTCTTCCAACTCCGCGACACCGTCGATCCCGCACGCATCATCATCGAAACCTCCGGCAGCGCCTTCCCCGCCACGCTCGCGATGGAGGTCAACCGGGTCTCGAATGAAAACCCCGGCACCTTTGTGCTCGACGGCGTCATCAGCGTGATCGACGTGGAGAACTGGCGGGGGTACGACGACACGAGCCCGACGGCGCGCATGCAGGCGCGCTACACGGACCTGATCATCTTCAACAAGCACGAGCTGGTCGACGAGCGCAAGTTCGACGACGCCCTCGACCGCGTCGGCGACCTCGACGTCCAGACCGCCTGGGTCAAGTCCGTCAAAGGCTGGGTCGACAAGGAAGTCATTCTGGGCATCGACGGCGCCATGATCCGCAGCGAAGGGCTGCGCGAGGCCATCGAGAAGGAGCGCGAGGAGGGCCTGCGCGGCGAGCACCACCATCATCAGGACGAGGTCGAGGTGCTGAGCGTCCTGCTCAAGGCCGACGACGGCAGGCCCCATGGCATCAGCCTCGACGACTTTGAGGAGCTGCTGCTGAGCGCGCCCAAGGACGAGGTGTACCGGATCAAGGGGTTGGTTGCGTCCAAGACGCCGCCGCCAGACAGCACGGGCGATCGAAGGACGAGTCTGGACGGTGATGGGAAGGGCCTGTATGTGCTGAACTGGGCGTTTGGGAGGTGGACGTACACGGCGTTGAGCTCGAGTCAGTTCAGCGTGCTGGACGACGCGAGTGCGAGACTGACGTTCATTCTGGCCAGGGGAGAGAGCAATCGCTGGATGAAGAAGCTGCAGAAAGGCGACCTACTGAAGCTGGATGGCGATGTGAAAGCAATGGTGACCGTTGAGAAGGTCGGCGGTGGGGAGCACGCTCACTACAAAGAAATGTAGACACGAGCGAGAGCACTGTACCACAATATAGAATGGAGCAGGCAGTAAAAGTCTTGGCGAACCGTTAGGTATCGCAACGACTTGAGCTAATAGCTAGACCTCTGCACGATCCGCTACCTCTTCACCACTACTCTCGTGTTTCCCGGGTCGTAGATCCTCCTTCTCCATCTCAGCTTCCCAATCATCCACAATCTCCTCCTTGGACTTGAACATGTTCTCATTTTCCATCTTCTTCTTCTTAGCTTCAGCCACCCTGCTTCCCAGGACAGTGTAGACGTTTCTCTGCCCCACAGCTTTCGTGGTGGGCGCGACGGCAGGTTTTCTTCCAGCTGCTGCAACTTGGGACCAGCCGCCTGCACTTGCAGCAGTTGACTTTGTCTGCACGTCAAGAATTCTAGGCTCGAAGCTCGAAGTGTCAAGACGGGCTTGCAACACGTTGGCTGCAAGATCGGCCGCTATAATGGCAGTCGATAGAGTAGGCTGGATCGCATTGAGGTCAAGCTTGCTCTGTGGTAGCAGCGCGACCTCATCGCCAAGAAAGTGAATATCCATCTGCGAAACCGGCATTGCCTTTTTGATGATTGGCCGTAATTCGTCTTCAGTCAAGGCGAATTTCAAGCCTCTGACCACAAAACCATTATAGATCGGATCCTTCTTCTCAACCACCGAGGAAGCCACTGGTGCAGAGATGTTGAGCTGACCACGACGAATACGGGCTGCTTGTGCAAGCGTCTTCATAGGAGCAGACACAAAGCGAGGGGTCTTGAACAGCATTATGTGACGGTGCGGCTCGGGATCGAGAGACTCGGTATCGAGGGCAAAGTCTTCAGCCAAGTTGTGCAAGAATTGGCGCTGTCGTGGTTTCATAGGGGGAAAGCGATATCTCTTCTCCTCATCGTCGGCAGCAAAGAGACGAATGATCTCCTCCTGCTTGTGCGCCCAAGCCACGTCATCCAGATACGCCGTCAATGTCGCTGTAGAGTATGGGACATGTTCGTCCATGTGATCTTCGGAAATGTGCAAGGCTTGGGCAAGATTCCGGTTTCGCTCCAATCGTGCACACTCATCATCACACTTGAGCGAGGTCTGGCGGCCGGGTGGATCTAGGACGCCCGCTCGAGCATTGCATCTCACCTCCTCCTTCTTTCGCTGGCAGTCACAGGTTATTATGACTTTGAACGGACAAGGCTTGTCCTCTTTACAGGCGGATGGAGCGTGGCATGGCTTATCGCATGGATGCTCACAAGTCTTTTTTGGCTTGCCACACTCCTGCTGGCAATGCTCATGTGCATCCTCGCATCCGCCAGATTTGTGGCAGGTCTTACGGCAGGTATGAGAACCGCACTTCAGTAGCTTTCCACAAACAAGACCGCAAAGGCCATCGGCGCGCCAGCAAGGCTGATTCTTGAGCATCTTCTTCCCACAGAGACACTTCTTTTCCGTCAAGAATGGACACTTTGGGCAGCTTTCATCGTCCATATGGCAGTTGTGAGAGACGGCGGGATGCCCACAAATGGTTGGACGTCGACAGGGAAACGTGCATGGAGGTGATGAGGTACCACAAGGTAGAGGCGCCTGCAGCACGGTTCGACCGCAATTGCATGCGATATCTTCGAAAATGGCTTCTTTGCAACTGGTACAAGGACCCTTGTGACAAAGTTCGACGCAAACGTGGTTGCCACACTTCAGAGGCCGGCCACATTCGCGTGTACAGATGTGCTCTGGTTCAATGTTCCCCTCAAGTCGTGGAACAGCCGCACCGAGAGGGCGCATTTTGCGTTTGGATGCTAGTCGTTCAGCAGCCTTGCGTTCACCTGTACAGCATCTCTCGCCGCATTCATGACGCCCGCAATTCAGTGTTGCCTTGCAGACCCGCATGCACTGGGGAGGCTCTTCGGTGCCTTGGTGACAGATGGTCTTGAATGAGTTCCGAGCGCACCGGCAGCTTATATCAACTTTCTTGGAGCATGGAAGACAATCGCCGCCTGGATGACATGTCTGGGTACAAGCATGGCCACAAGGTAGCAACTTGCCGCATGGTTGCTCACAACTGGGTATAGGGTCCATGCAAGACTCTCGGTCTTTGACTCCAAGATCGATTAACGCAGACTTGCCGCAAGCGCAGTGCGTGATGAGATCCGGAGACCGTGGGCAGTGAGGCTTTTCCTCCTTCTGCGGGTGACACCACTCTTCACATCGATGCTCACCGCAATCGTAGAGTTGATTGCAGGCTTGGCCACAATCAAATACTCCGATCCAGTTGTAACTCTGTATCTCCTCGCCCTGGTCCGAGCATGGCATTGTCTTTTCGACTTTGCCACAGTAGCACTTCGCATCGACCTGGGCCGGACATGCACCACAAACTCCGGCATGACAGGGTCTTTCGCAGATATGCTCACCACATGGCAAGAGATCGCCACAGATTGCTCCACAGCTCCAACCAATGTCATAGTTGGTTTCAACACATCTCCGCTGGGTTTCCTCCTTCCCGCAAAAGCAAACCTGTTTGGGACCCGCAGCCGAGCATGGTGGGCAAGGTCCAGCGTGACAGATCAAGTCACAAGGATGGGGACATGTTTTGGGAAATTTCCTCTCACGCCCGCAGGTTTGGCCGCACGAGTGCGGAGGAAGGCCACCAATACTCTTAGGATCAAATTCTTTCTCACACCAGCAGCTGTAATTGGATGGCATAGCTGTGGTTGGGAGGTTGCAGCCTGGACAGCGCCATTGTTTGCCATCGGCAGCTTCCGAGTCTGAACCGGTGGTCTTGACTGCAGAAGCATCATTCTTAGACCATTTCTTTATGCAGCCAATGTGGAACACAGTCCAGCACTGGTGGCAGGACCAGACTTTGGAGCTCCGCTGAACTTCGTTACTGCAAATTGCACATTCGTAGATGCCCTTGTTGATATCTTCATGCGTCCTCGTGGCAATATCAGGTGCGGTCGAGCGGGATATTGAACCCTTCCGCTGGCTTTTCTTGTGTGGGGTGGAACGATTTGCTGGGTGTTTCGGTGGTCTCGAAGTTTGGGACGAGGCGACAGAAGCGGATCGAGGAGGTAGCGAAGCAGGAAGGAATTCTGGGGCACCAGCATCAAGCTGCGGTTGTGTAAGTCGACCACCGAACGGCCTTGCCGTCGGTTGCGGAGCAGGGTTGGCGGTCTGATCTGGAGGCTGGGTCTGCGTTGGGTTCTGAGGTCTGGCAGAGCCTTGGTTCCTATTCCCACGCCCACGTCTCCTGTTACGAGAGGGACGACTCTGTTGCGGTGCTGTTGACTGTAGAGCTTGAGGTTGCTCCATGGTGGCGTTGTACTTGTATGGAGAGGGTGACAGGTCTCAGATATCGCTGAAGGCCCAGGTGTAGGAGTAAGAAAAGGGGAGCACTAAAAAATGCGGCTCCTGAACTGATGGAAAGCAGATGCAAGACTTGACTTGAGGCAGAAGCAAAATGACAGGAACGAAATACTAGACAAACAACTCGCGTGAATTCGTCGTTTGCCTCAACGCGGTCTGAGTCACTCAGATTTCATCAATGACTGGCAGACGACGTCATTGGTTCAATTCGGCCGAACTAGCGACAGCCTCGCACAGCCTTGCGGCTCAGTTCACGCCTTGGCGCGCGGCTTGACGAAAAGGGAAGTCCGCATTTACTGCCTGTTCAACTGCGACTCGAGTGGGACCCCTGATATGTCCGCCAGTCTCATCTTCCCTGCTCAACCTGAATGTCTGCAAGCGGAGGATGAGAGATAATACATAGCAATACCACCTCGTCTCGCAAGAGGTCGTGTCGGTGTGACTGTAGTTTTATTCGGGCATTAACCTATGTTTGAAACTGAGGTTGAGGGCATGGAAAACACTGACACGATCTTGAGCTCCTACAATGATTCCGAACCTCTCAGACCTAATACGACTAGCGGTCCGACATCCTACTGTAAATGCCATGGCGGCAGTATGTACTATCTCAGAAAGCACGAGGTTCGATCATGAAGACCGGCACTGCCCAAAAGAGCTGATTGACGCGGCGTGGCTTGCCATAGTTTACACTGCAGGGTATAAATATGAAACTATTCCCAACCTCGGGTACTCCAGTTGTTGAAAAACTTCCTTGTTCCTTACCCCATACTACTGACTGGCGGTAGAAGCAAAGATCTGCTGTCAGCGTTTTTAATCGGGGAACATTTCTCCACTCATTTTCCTTTTCCCCACTACCACAGTACAACATGGCAGCTCCAGCACGTATACTGCCTCGCCTGGTGGCTAGAACATCTTCCAAACATGACCTTCGATTTCGTGGGACCAGCGTCGCCAAAGCTCTACAGTCTCACCGTGCATTCTCTACCACCACTCGCTTCTCCCACCCCTCAGCAGGCACCGCCACTCAACCCGAATTCCCCAAGCTCACGACCCGCACAACCGCTGCACTACCGGAATTCGACCTCACAAACCACACCATCCTAGTATCAGGCGCCGCTCGAGGTCTCGGCCTCTCCATGGCCGAAGCTCTGCTCGAAGCCGGCGCCAAGGTCTACGCTCTCGATCGCCTCCCATCCGATGCCCAATCTCCAGACTTTGCCAAGATCCAGGACCGCGCCTCCCGCCTACTCAACACATCCCTACATTATCGGCAGATTGACGTGCGCGACGCGCCCGCCCTCAACAAGACCATCGCCGACATTGCTGAGCAAGACGGCCGCCTCGACGGCCTGATAGCCGCCGCGGGCATCCAGCAGGAAACCCCCGCGCTGGAGTACACGGCTGAAGACGCTCTGCGAATGATGGACGTCAACGTCGTCGGCGCCTTCATGACGGCCCAAGCCGTTGCCAAGCAAATGGTACGTCTCAAGGCAGGCGGTGGCGGCACTATGGCCTTCATCGCCTCCATGTCTGGCACTATTGCTAACCGCGACCTACACTGCGCCGCCTACAACGCCAGCAAGGCTGCGGTCGTGCAGCTAGCACGCAACCTAGCCAGTGAATGGGGTAGACACGGCATCCGAGTCAACACCATTTCGCCAGGCTACATTGTTACGCAGATGGTGGAGGACCTGTTCAAGACACACCCGGAGAGGCGAGAGGTGTGGGCGGGTCAGAACATGTTGGGGCGCGTGAGTTTGCCGGAGGACTACCGGGCAGCAGCAGTGTTTTTGATGGGCAAGGGGAGTCGGTTCATGACAGCCACGGATCTGCGAATCGATGGAGGCCATAGTGCATGGTAAGCTGAGTTTTGGGAGCAAGCCAGCCACTTGGGTATATGTACTTTCGTCTCTCAGCAAACGGCGAGTCCAGCCACTGATGGACCGGCCATCAACTTTGGATGAATATAATCGAAGACCACATAAAGAACCCCAGGACGAACTTCAACGACATTGAGTCAACCCGGGTCAGCCCATCAAAACAATTAAAAACCTTCTTCAGAGACAGACTGGCGAACTTCGAGCATCAGAAAAGGGCCGGGAAGCTCGCCAAGTGTGTGTGAGAGTACGAGAGTGGTGATGCCGGAAGCCGAATCCGGGTCTGACGCCACAGCCGTGACCTCATCCCACAGTACAGCCACATTAAGGGGCTGTGCGGGATGTTTTAAAGGCATCGTTGACACCGAAGTATCTGTTTTATATATTAATTTGACGGCACTCTGTCGCCAAAGGAAGGCGCCGCCACAGCAATGGCGCGACAGGATGAGATATCCAAATCTATTGTCGCCGCCATCCTCACAGCCGATCGTGCCGACAAGCGCGGTCTATTGAGACGAGTTCTCTATTTCGTCTCGTGTTTCTTTACACTTTTCCGCATTCGCCTTATTCGCATCCGCAATGAGGTCTTCCAGCGTCTTCGGTCTACGTGGTCGTTGGACGAGGATGGCTACGACCATAGCTTCTCGGGCGAAGAGCCGCTCAAGGCCACCGGCGATATGGGCTACTCAGGCTCCAGTTTCTTTCACACATCCGACGGCGCCTTCATCGTAAAGTCAGTGCCTCGACGCTTCGAGCACTCCTTTTTCAGAGACGATCTGCTGGATCCTTACGCCAACTACATGACACAGAACCCAACAAGCCTTTTGATTCGTATCACCGATTTCCTCGGCTGGCCCCACGTGTCACTGGGGGGGATTCTCGGTCTGGTTCCAAACTATCACATCGTCATGGAAAATCTGCTCACCGGCCAAGATGAAGCCAAAGCTTCCGGCGGAGGCGATTGGGAAACCTGGGACCTCAAGCCGACCTCCTACTTTTTCCCCGAACGGGACATTGCCGGCGGCAGACTCACCTCCGAGGCCACAAAATCCAAGCTTGCAGATCGCTTCGACGACAAAATCGCCATCACCAAGGACGAAACCGACTCGCTCATCAGACAACTCGAAAGAGACACAACTCTCTTGGCTGACAACAAAGCGGTCGACTATTCCCTGTTCCTGATCCGCATCCCACTCTCACAGCCCCAGAACCCTTTCGCCGATGACCCGGAAGTCGACAACGCTCCTCAACCGCCGGACTACCCTCCCTTTGCACCGCCTGCGCCACCAAGCTGGCGCACGGGCATCCGTTCCGCCGATGGCAAGTACGTCTTCCGCGCGGCGGTGCTGGATTTCTTTTGGGCCAAGCACAAAGTTCAACCAAAGCTGTTCACGCTACTGATTCGTGCTTGGAATCTCATCGACCGCCAGGGGCCCATGAGCATCACGACGACGCCAGAAGAGTATAGAGAACGGTTTCTGCAGATGTGCCGTGAGATAGTGAACGTCACTGTGGATGGTGAGTCTCGCGTTGGCGTAGGATATGGGACATTTTGAGCGTTCTGCGCCTGTTTCTGAGCTTTGAGATACCCCTAGAGTAGTCAGGTCGTAACGGAATATTCCTGGAATCACGATTATCCTTTGCACGTCCAGTGTCCATCGACAAGGCCTCAGTGAGCAAAAATAGGGTGCACAGCGTGAAGGGCCGCGCCAAGCCCAGCCCTCCCATCTCGGCCTTTTTGCTTCTCCGCAGTTTTTGAGCCCCAGCAACCTGGGAAAAAAAGTTGTCCACCGCAATTCGACTCACCTTCAGCACCACCACTTTCCGACCACCACATCCTACGAAACCAGCGCGGCCGCCTGCGTGATCAAGTCTCTATGAACTAGCAAGACAGTTCCCTTACTTTTGCTTCATTCCCCCGAATACGCGAAGATGGGGCTCGCCGCGCCCCGCCAACGCCGGCGCATCGCGGCCGACCCCCGCAATCTGACCTGGTCGAACAACGCCTCCGGCACCTCCTTCGGCCACAAGATCATGACCTCGCAAGGCTGGGCGGAAGGCCAATCCCTCGGCTCCAAGTCATCGGTGCACCACGCGGCGCACGCGCGCGACGAGAACGCCGCGCGCCTGGCGGCGGCGCGCGTGGGCGTCGTTTTCAAGGACGATACGCTGGGCCTGGGCGCGAAACTGAAGAGTAAAGATGTGGAGGGGCAGAGGACGGGCATGGATGCGTTCATGGGATTGTTGGGCAGGTTGAATGCGAAGGGGGAGAAGGAGGTGGAGGCGGTGGAGAGGAAGCAGGAGGAGAAGAAGTTGGAGAGGTATGCGCTGGGGAGGTGGGGTGGGATGGTGTTCGTGCCTGGTGGGGTGTTGGTGGGGGGCGACGAGTATTCGGGGAAGAAGCAGGCTAGGGAGGCGGAGGAGAAGAAGAGGAGGGCTGAGGAGGCGGAAGGAAGTGCGGATGCTGGTGAGGGTGGGGAGACTAGCGAGGATCGGGCTCGGAGAAGGGATGAGAAGAAGAAACGCAAAGAAGAGAGGCGGGCTAGGAGAGAGGCGAAGGCTGCCCGGCGAGCGGAGAAAGCTGCCAAGAAGTCGCAGACCACCCTTCAAGCTACGTCCGCGGACGAAGAGGAAGCCTCCCGTTCGACGTCCCGTTCGACGTCGGTCTCGAAGCGCAGATCCAAACCCGCGCCCGACGAGCCTGTTTCGTCCGCGTCCTCCGACAGCGAGGAAGTCACAGCAAAGGCTGTCAAGAAGTCGAAGAAGCGGCAACACTCGGAAACATCGACACCTGTGTTGTCGGACACGACACCTGCCCCGTTCCCCAGACCGACTGTGCGAAGCGGGCGACAGATATTACGAGGCAGGAACATTGAGGCGAAGAGGCGCGCGTTCCAGGATGCGAAGGGCTTAGATGGCATTTTTATGAGAGCGGCCGGATGATAGACTGGTTTCCACAGCACAGCGGTCGAAATCGTGCATAGCTGGGCGTTACATGGGTCACTTGCTGGGAATGGAAGACAGGGTACTGTCTAGACCAAAAGATATCTTGCAGAATTACATTAAGCATTTGTCCATCTACACGCTATAACCGCTATCATGACATGACTGTTTCGCTCAAACCCAGTCCAACCAAGAAAAGCACGTCGCCTTGCCCCTTACCGTGGATGTACCTCGACCTCATCCTGATCTTCGAACCCCACCTCCTGCACGCTCATCTTCTCGTCCAATCTATCCCCGTCGAACACCAGCCAGCATGTCTTGGTCTTGTCAATGTTCCTCTGACTTTGAAACGCCCTCATGATTTTGCCCACCCCAGTATTTGGGCGCACTCTGAGTGGCATCGGTTCCACGTCCTTGCACTTCAAAAGCAAAATAATGCCTTCCTTCTTCTTCGGCTCCTCTGGGACTTGCTCTTGCTGCTCGTCGTCACCATATCTTTCATGGTCCACGCCCTGCTTCGCCGCGTCTCTCGCCTTGCGCTGCTCTTCCAATATTTCTTCCGTCACAGCTTCCACCTGAATGCGTCCGTGACTGGGGTCTTCATCAGACCAGCTCGGAATATCCTGCTCGCGCTTCAAGATGTTGATGAGCGATGCCATGGTGGATGAATTATACAGCTTGGTGCCCCGCCAAGTAAAGAAGATCTGCTTCGCAAAAGATGACTCGACTTTGTTGCGGACGCACCAGTAGTCCTTGACAGGCTGCAGGGGTTGCGATGTGTGTCTGTTGACAACCAGGTCTTTGGTTCCTGGGATGTGAGACCTAATGAGGATGGCGATGTTCGATTCTAGAACCTTGGTTTGCGAAGCGGAAGGTAATTCATAGCTCCCATTCTTGGTAGAGACCGGGGAGCGAGAGGCTGCAGCTTTTTCGAAAGAGGGAGAGCGAGCTTTGTTAGCTACACGTGTTGGTGAGATGGATTTGGTGACGCCAGCACGTTCGAGTGCTTGCTGGCGAGCTTTACGCTGGAGTTCCCGAATGAAGGGGTCTTCGTCCTCGTCTTCAGGGGGCGGAGCGGATTTGGTGGTTCTGTTTGATTTTGGCGACCGTGAAAGATCCCTATCCTGGCTTGTGACCTGTCCCGTATTCCGACTACCTGCATCTCCGTCCTCGTCGCTCTCTTCGAGGCTGATCACTGTCCGTTTGGGTTTTGACTTGGCTTTGTGCTGACGCGGCGATATATCTAGACCAACCGACAGTTTGACGTCCTCGTGCGGTGCACTTCGAGTCACTCTTTTCGTAGTGCCGTGACTTGTGGGACTGTGCTTTGCACTGGAGGAACTCTGGAGACTGGCATCACTATCGTCAGGCTCGTCAAGCAAATCCTTTGACACCCTTCTCTTCTTGGGAGCAGGTTCCTCAATCTGCTTTTCAGCAATTACCGCTGCTTTTTTCGCTTCTTTCTCGGCCTTTGCTTTTCTTCTGGCCTCACGTTCTTCACGCTTCTTCGTCTCTTCAGCGATAATGTCCTCGTATACTCGATGCTGACCAAAGATTGGCGTGTCGCGACTGGTGGCCGCCGGTTTTGAAGCGACGGCCCACGACGGCCTGTTGAATAATGATGGCTTCGGGGTGCTCATGGGTGGCTCTCTGGGTGGTCGTGGGAAACGAGACGATCAAACGCAACAGGCGGCGGTGTGGGGTGATGTTCGTGCACTGATCGAAAACGCGGTACGCGTGGGAAAAGGTGATCTCCTACCCCGCATCGACCGCCTGGGGCTTAATTGAGTTCGGAGGGCTTCCGGTCAAAGCCTTGCGCATTCCAGCGCCTCAGCCTTGTGTCCCAATTCAAGATTTCTGTGTCGCAGCTTGTCCTTCCCACGTCCTTGCTACCAGAGTTGATACAGTGTTGCCGAACGAAAGCTGCAGAAAAATGGCCGACCAAGCCACTGGAGAGTCGAAAGACCCTGCCAGCTTCCTTTCCTCGATCATCGGCGTCCCTGTCACGGTCAAGCTTAATTCAGGTGTTGTCTACAAGGGCGAGCTACAATCTGTTGATGGTTATATGAACATCGCACTGGAAAAATGCCAGGAGTTCGTCAATGGAAAGCTGCGGGGGACATACGGCGATGCATTCGTTCGTGGTAACAATGGTGCGATATGTGTCCATTGCGACTGTTTCTTGTACTGACCATTTTGATTAGTCCTCTACATCTCCAGCGAGTGAGCCCTTTACGGACGACTCATTCTCTGATCTTCTCTGGCAACCCATCAAAGGCCGCATCGATGCTGTCCGTAAAGCTCGCGACTACTTAAAAGATCGGCGGGTACCTATTCGCGGCTTCCAAGTGGTGCGCTCGGGATATGGCTCGTCCAATACATAACGGTCCGGCCATAAACGGGGTATTTACCGTCCACGGAGCTTGAGTCTTTTTCCAGCGCATCATCAAACTTCTTCTTCATCTGTTGCAGCTCGGCTCCTTCCAGGATAGCTATCTGGCTCAGTGTTCTCAATCTGCTCCAGATGTCATCTGCCGACAGCCAGGTTTCGAAGTCGATAGCGGCTTCTCCGATTGGCAATGAAAAAAGAGGGTCGGCGAAGTGAAGTGTAAGAGGGTTCGAACTAGTCTGCTCATCAAAGACTTTCCGCCATTGCTCATGTCGAAAACGAGGTTGATCGTCTTCAAGAGACCACACAACGTCTCGCATCGTGGAACCCCAACCCGCATGGATGTCCCACGCTTTTGGGGCATTGTCTGACGGGATGAGTAAGGTGGAGAGGTAGGAATTGGTCTCGTACAGTCATCGATATTCCAAATCAATCCCAATACCCCAGCCGGGCGAAGAACTCGGGCGATCTCCTTCAATGCATTCATGTTTGCAAACCTTGAATTAACCATTAGTGAACAAGCTCTCGGCGGTACTGTCCTTAGCGCACCAGTGAAAGGACTGATGGAAGACATGTCAGCGTGCAACCACCAAATCAAAGACAGGCATCTTACCTGCGCCACTAAGACTGCAGCAAATGTGCCATCCGAAATGTGCTCGAGGTCTTCTGCACTTCCGTCGACGACCGTGACCCTATGCAGCTTCTTGTCTGACAGCTGTTGGCGCATATCATCGTGTGGCTCAACTGCAACGATCTCGTACTCCTCTGGCCTAGCGGATAACGCTTCTGTGAACTTGCCAGTTCCGGCTGCCAGGTCTAGAATCTTTGCACCCTGAACACCTGCTAGATCGAGCTTCCCGAGGAGCAGATCGACGGCTTCTGCGCGGTACGTTGGTCGACCAGCGTCATATGCTGCCGCCGCCGCAAAGCCAGTTTGGGCTTCCGGTCTAATACGAGCAGATGTCATATTGCCAAGGCCCTCCCTTGAACGGAAGAACTGAGTGTTGTGATGCGGTGAGGATATTGGTCAATGTATCATAGGATCGGATCGGATCGGATCTGCCTCAGATTCGCATAGGGTCCTTAAGGATCGGGGTGAGCATTGCAGGTGGCTTGGATTGGCGGTGGAAGAGAGGTGGGGATTGTTACCGAGTTTGCCTTGCCCCGCGCGGCTGCCTCTACCAAACCAATGGCGCGACTGCCTTGTCCAAAATTTTAGCATTTGACTCGAAGAAATTTTAAAGAGAGTTCCAGGCATCGAGCCCGTACACGTATCTACGATATTTCATCTCTCGTTCACGGAGTCGCGATCACCACACCAACGAATCCACTTCATTTCACGTCTAATACTTGCACCACCCTTTCGCGGGTGCCAGTATGGTGTTAGAAGCCATTCGCTTCGCCCGACGGAAAGACTCCCGGGAGCCTTCTGCCAGCCTTGAAATCCTTGACCAACTCCTGCTACCGCATCGGACGAGTTATTTCAGGATATCGACATGCGAAGACGCCCATCATGCCATCAAGCAGATGCAAGTTCGGGGCGCCCCTGCAATTGCTATTGTTGCGGCACTTGCACTCGCGACCGAGTTGACTCAGGCAGACTCAGAGAGTGTTCAGATTCCCGATTCGGTGGAGCGGACTGCAGATCTTATTGGCACACGCTTAGACTATCTCAAAACGAGTAGGCCTACAGCGGTGAACCTCAGCGATGCAGTGGGCAAGCTGAAGAAAGTGGCTGATCAGGCGGCGACGGCCGCTAACGCGACCCCCGCCTCGGTCGTTGAAGCTTACGTCAATGCTGCAGAACGCATGCTGGTGGACGACGTTTCCGATAACAAAGCCATCGGGGAGCATGGGGCTGCATGGATCGAGCACAATACGACGGCAGGAGTTCAACGGAGTAAAGATCCGAAGCAGGGGCTGCAGGTCCTGACTCACTGCAATACCGGGTATGCCACGCCCAGATTCGGAAGGATATCGGAACTGACTCGAACCATAGGTCTTTGGCTACAGCAGGATATGGAACAGCCCTGGGTGTGATACGTTCACTCCGATCAAGAGACATGCTCACACATGCATATTGTTCGGAAACAAGACCTTACAACCAAGGGTCGCGCCTGACTGCTTACGAGCTGGTCCACGACCAGATACCAGCAACGTTGATCACTGACTCGATGGCTGCATCGCTGCTTGCCCGCGAGGGCACGAGTTTGGCCGCCATAGTGGTTGGCGCGGATCGAGTAGCAGCCAATGGTGACACCGCTAATAAGATCGGAACGTACTCCCTTGCAGTGCTTGCCCGCCATCATGGTGTCAAGTTTCTCGTCGCAGCTCCACGAACAACCATCGACCTGTCAACACCATCGGGTGATCAGATAGTCATCGAGCAACGCGCCGCTGACGAGGTGACTAAGATCAAGGGTCCACGCATCAGTGCAGTCGGCCAGATACTTATTGATGAAGAGCCGGCAACTATCAACGTCGCCGCCACTGGCATTGATGTCTGGAATCCAGCATTTGACATCACGCCGGCGGCTTTGATAGATGGGGTTATAACCGAATGTGGTGTCGTTGAAAAGAGTGATGGGCGGTTCGACTTCCAAAGCCTCTTTACCGGTCATTGAAGGCGTTGTTTTTGACCGTCGGGCAAGCGAGGAAACCGATGTTACCAGAAATCTAGGATCAGGATAATTGCCATGCACCCTGAAATTCTCCACCGCACTCGCGTCTGCTGAGGCGGTCGAATCACGAGCTGCTCCGGTCCTTCTTAGATGCAGAGGACTGGACGGAGCTCTGTTGTTGGGCGGCGGAGGCGGCTTCGTCTTCACGAGCATTTTGTTCCACGCTCGCGAGGAGCTGCTCAATTCGGCTTTCAATATCATCCAACCGAGATTCGAGAGCTGTCGCAGTCTGTTCACCCCTAGTCCGCGACCCTTGTTAACAGGGGACCTGGGTCCATGTGGCAGAGTCATACCTTGCTAGCTCCTGAAAAGCCTAGTGATGAAGGTCAGAAACACTTGATTGGGGTTTTGGACTCTTAACACAGCCTACCTTTGCCAGCTCGGAATTGAACTGCTGAGGAGTTTCGATCTGCTGGTTGTCCTGCTCTCGTTCCTGTGACCCGGCATCGGCATGGCTTGATTCGTCCTGACTTTGTGCCATAGCTGAAACCTTGACAGAATGGCAGTGCGGAGCTGTCAGGCGCACACCAGTCAGTGACACGGGTATCCGAAGATTTCGCTGTAAGTGCGGTTGGATCTACGTTGCAGCTGACTCCGTCGCGGTGGGCCCTTTGCGAGTCCCGGATAAGTTATGATTTGGGTTTGGGTTGGGAAAAAGGTCGCAAGAGGACAAGTAGCGTGCACAGAGAGTGCGTCGGCATTCGCGGTCTTGGCACGGTACTAAGATTCGGGGCCATTGTCAAAACGCTGTCGGCGAAGGTGCGACTACTGTAGTCCCTCAGCAACGGCTATTGCTCGTTGGTAGAAACAAAGTTATTAAGTTCGGTCCCGATGCCCGCGTTACACGTACTACTTGTACTGCTCGGAATTTACCGTGCTGATTGCCTAGACTGTGCCTGAAACCGAGAGTAGTGTCTCACGCATGTGAGGGAAAACTCTTGATCAAGGCGGTGAACCGGTACGTGGCGCGCGAAAGGCTATGACACAATAAGGCAGGCCTTGCCGTTCAATGGCTTTTTTGGAATTGGCTGCGCCTATGCAGCGCGTCTTTGTGCCTTCAGCCTTCTCTGCTAAATCGCATCAGCACTCCATTATGATTGTGACAGGCCCGAGGAGGCCATCAAGCATTACCGTCTCGCCTAACGGGGGCCGCAGTGGATTCATACTACGGTGCCGCGAAGTTACCGGTAAGGCCATGGCCAGAAACCGCCTAGGGCACGCAGAAAATACGAGTGGCCGAATACGCCCGAAATAATGGCTGCAGCAGCCGTGCAGCGGCCGCCGGGGCCCGGTGGTCTAACGCCTGACGCTGTCTCTGGAAGACGTGTGTGCGATACCAGGCTGTAGTGTCACGATTCGATTCCGGGGATGAATCCGTCTACCGCATGACAGAATGAGACCCTGCGGCGGACCCCTTGGCTTTGAGGGCTCCGAGATCGAGATTTTGCTCGTCCATCGTCCTGTGCCTGGGAAACTCTAGGCACGGGGGAGGTCACCGGCATCGAGCAGAATTACCGCAATCTCAACTACAAGCGCATCAGAGTTGGATCTTCTCCGCTTTTCCCATATTGGATGTGCACCAACATGTACGTAGCAGGTTGAGTTCTCCGATCTACCTTTGACCAAAACCCGCAGTCGGCTGCCCAGAAACCAAGTTGCTGGATTCATCAGATCTTCGATTCACTTTGTCGCCGCGCCCTGGGAGAAAAGTCTGCACGGTACCCGGAGAAGCAACGGAGCTAGCGAAGGACCGTTCTTCACGCAAATTGCTGCGGTCTATCGCCACAGCTCTGGCGCTGTGGTCCTCTATGTACGCTATAGTGCGGCTATAAATCATACGGGACTATTCTGACATCAACCTGCATGGGTACAGTGCCGAAAGAAGGCGACTACGCAGGTACCGGTGTCGTGGGCGCTTAAACCCAGGCGGCTGTGTAAGGGGGGGCACGTGCAGTAATCATTACATACGATACCCACGCGCCAGTCGCGACCCAAGTAGCACCCACCGTACTGGAGTAGCTCCCTTGCATGCTATTCCTGGCTTGAATATTGCCTGCTCCTCTCTTCGGAGCCGTTTTCTTACATTTCTTTCCTCTTTCTTCAGAACTTCTGGGCGACCGGTAGCAACGCCCAATCCTCCCCCGTTTTTTATCCTCTTCTTTTCAGTACACTGGCGCTTGCCGCCCATCTTTACCTCGCCTAATTCCACGATCAAGCGATCATCCGATCAATCGCTGCAACCTTTCGGCCCGTATGTGAACCACCCTCCATCATCCAGAATCAATTTTCATTCGATGATTGCATCTAACCATCGCCTCCTCGCCCAGACCCTGCAGCTCCATTGGTCACTCCGTCATCCCGAGCAGCCGATTTTCATCCGGCATATCTAAACACCAATCCACTCAATGTCATAGAGCCGCGCTTCAGCTGCCCCACGCTTCCCTTCCAGAAACTTGCTGATACTGGCGCGATCCTGACCCCGCCTCAAGCATTTTCTCTGTACGGTCAAAATATTTCTGTTGCTGGTCGAGGTTGCATCTATCGACTACCGACTTGGAGCAAGCACCCTGAGAAGCTTTCTCGAGCAGCTTTTGCTCTCTTTCCCCTTTCAGCCACAGTTCCTCGGTCAACTCCCATCAGACCCTTGGAACCCCCCATCCAGCAAGATACGTCAAGGCCATCCGCTTTCGACTGTTAACCCGTCACCATTTTGATCTATTGCGTGAGAGGTGCTTTTAGGCCCTAAGCTGCCGCTATAGCAGACACGCAAGCATCACTTGATCGCGAACATACAGACGGCAAGCTCGTCTTTCAATCTATGCAGTCATTGTCAGGCCTCGATACTGGACAGAGTCCCGGAGCATAACCAAGTCACACCCTGCTCAACCGCTTAGTCTATCAATGATTGCCCGGCTGCGTGCATGAATGACAGATCTCGGATCACATCTAGAGCGCTTGGGCCTGGAGCACTACCTCGATGCCTTCCTGAGCGAGGGATTTGAGTCGTGGGATACGGTCCTGGACATCCAGGAAAGCGACTTGTACGTCACCCCCATAAATGGCCGATGCGCAGACTGACGTCAATCTAGCGAATCTCTGAACATCAAACTCGGTCATCGAAGGGTAGGTCCATCTCCCTCTTCGTACAAGCCACCAGCTAACCTGCTTCTAGAAGCTTCAGCGGGCCATCGCAGAGTATCGAGGTATACCCTACGAGCGCTTGTATGGCGGCGTGGCTTATGATGCGGCGCCTGAAAGTGCTCGGCCAGCCGAGGCATCACAACTTGGCGGTAGTGTCGCTTCGGGTCCCGGAGTCGAGGCCAAGAGGAAGTATCGTAGACATCCCAAGGCGGATGAGAATGCGCCGGAGCGCCCTCCATCTGCCTATGTGATCTTCTCAAACAAGGTCCGGGAGGAGATCAAGGACCGAAACCTATCCTTCACTCAGATTGCAAAGCTCGTTGGCGACCGATGGCAGAAACTGGAGGCCAAGGGCAAGGAACCTTACGAGTCTCAGGCCAACGCTGCTAAGGAGCGTTTTAACATCCAGCTCTCAGCTTACAAAAAGACTGATGCGTATAAAGATTACATGCAGTACTTGGTCGACTTCAAGGCGAAACATGGCGCCGGTGGAGCGCCTTCAGAACCGAAGAAACCTAAGCTTGAGACTCAAGAGTCCAGTACGGGGAGCATGTCGGGCAAGTCAGGCGACGTTATGGCCGATGCGCTCCAGACAACGCATGGCCATAGACGTGGCGGATCAACGGGGTCTATTGGCTCGATGCCTGTGGCGGTAGCACCCACATCGCCGGCACGAGCTGCCCAGGGCTATACGCTCGCTGCTGCAAGTCAGCAATATGTTCCAAGCGCATCGCTTCCCTCGCGCAATGCACCAGCTGGACGAGGTGGAACGCCTCCGGGCACGGGTCGGGATCTTCGCTGGCGAGGACCTCCGGGACCCCTGGGCCAATTGTCCAACCAGAGCTCGGTCTCCGAGGGCTCATCGGCCGTACGCAGTGAGTCAGACCCATTGCTGCGGACCGGGTCTCTGTCCTTGGGTACTCCTCCATCCGCAACGCCACCACTAGCGACGCAATCTGATCAAGGATCTTCGCATGATGTGACCCGGCCCCGTTTTCCTGGACCACCTGCATCGCTACCTAGCTACGGTAGCAGTAACTATTCAGGGACCATGCCGTCACCGGCCGCGTCCGAGAGCAGTTGGCGCAGCCGACCGTCTGATCTGCGGGGCTATATGGACATCAGCCCAGGGTCAATGCAGCCACCTCCGTATCAGCCGACGACCCCGGCCGGCACGGCCATTAGCACGATCAAGCTACCGCCTCTCACCGGACCTGACCGATCGGCCGACTTTCAGGGCCGGACATTACCACTATCTCGAACCTCGCCTACGCAGCAGTCTGGGTTCCTGCCGACAAGTCGATATTCGGAATCATCGAGCGGTTTTGGCCTTCCTGCACAGCCGCGCCTCACACGACAAGACTCGGGTCCGGAGCAACCATTGGAGAGGTCGGAGAACGATGCAGCCACAACGCTTGCCGGCCTGGCGTCGGTGAGTTCCAGTGACACTACTCCTCGGGGTCCTTCAACGGGCCAACCGCCGGACCATCGTCAGTGGCCATTTCGGTGAATAGATAGATTCGGGTTTTTTGGTGGGGGTTTTTTTTTGAGTATGGGATCTTCACGAATCATGATGTTGGGAAACCATACTGCTTTTCAGATACATTTGCAAGCGAAACAGACACACTGGCTGTTCACGGTGTTGTGAGCGGTTTTGGTCCACACGGCAAGAATGCTCAGTGTGTAAGGCCAACGTGTACTTTAGGCGACCAGATTGTGTCTATAGCCTGCAATTATAAACAATAGCTGCGTCGTTGCAAAGGCCCGATTGACAAAGATCATTCTTCGTACGAACAGCTCGCCTATAAACTGAACAACTTCTTTTGGTCCTACACTCGATGCTGCGAGATCTGCTACTGTGCTTGGGAAACTGATGGGTGCTTGAACATCCTGGCCCGGAGATGACATACCGTTCCCAGAAGCCAACTCCGAGACGACCTGCCACTCGGTGCCCTGCATCCATGCCGAGGTGTTGCGGCGGCGGCGATCATCCGGTCAACTGTCCAGCGATCCAATGCAGTTCGTGCGGTGATAGTCTCTGTGATTCGTCTATGTATCTATCGGAGCACCACCCCGCGAACAAGAAGGTGCCATTGGGCATGATTGGACTGGAAGCGTAACAGCGATCTCCATCGGAGGCGTTTCACCCCAGATCACGGGCTACAGGGCTGCGGCGAATGAGACGCGCGAGATGCGAGATCGACAACGGGCAGAATCGACAGTGCCCGGCGCCACCCTGCACAACACCTTTAGCTCCTTTTCAAACTTCTCCTGACTTTCAAGTTGCCTTGCGACAATCCCCGTGCCTGTAGCCAACCACGACGACGAGCCTCGTTTCTTGCAGCCACCTTATCTCGGCTGCACGCCAAGGCAGGCTTAAAGGTGCTTCGCCTTCGGGCTAGGGACATCAAGCCTTTCTCGTCGACTCAACACCGGGTGGCCCTGGTCGTCGTCTCGAGGCACAAATTGGCATTTTAATTGGCATTCTCTGGGCTGAGGCTTCTATATTGACCACTGATACCTCGTACATACGTACCCCTGGCCATGGCAATTGCCATCATGATGATAACTTTGTTTCGAAAGTTCCTCCACCAGGGAAAGTAGCTCCTGCAGCAAGGCGATGCACATCATCACCAATGCTGCAGCCAGGCTGCTTCTGCGGTCTCGTTCGCTGGCGTTATGTTGGCCCATCGTTGCATCCGTGGGGGCATGTGTTCATTTCGCTGTTGCCGAACGCCCCCCTCTTCCCGGTCCCGTGCATGTATCCTAGACCTTGAGGGCCCGAGGGAGGTGAGCGAAAGAGGATAGAGGAAGAACCTGTTTGCTCGGCTGTGCGGCATACGACGAGTTTTGAGGAAGCAGTACTTCTAGGATATAAAACTGGTATGTTGCCAGAGTCTCTTTCAACTTCACGCTTTATCATTCCAGCAGCAGTCTTAGCAGCAGTCGTTCGTTCATTATCATTCAGCAGACCCAGTCCACTCATTTGCGCGCGAGTCGCTCATTATTATTCCCTACCCACACTCCCTCACGTACTGCCAACCCAAAGTCATCCATTGAAGAGACATCAACATGCCGTCCATCACCTCCCTCATCGCCGCCTCCGCCCTGGCCGGCGCCGTGCTCGCCGCCCCAACCGGCCGCCAGCCCACCAAGCGCGGCTTCACCATCAACCAAAAGATCGCCAAGCCCTTCCAAGCCCCCGCCGTGCAGCTGCGCCGTGTGTACGAGAAATACAACGTCGCTGTCCCCGCGGACGTCTCCAAGGCGGCACAGGACGACGGCAGCGTCGCCGCCAACCCGGAAGACGGCGATGTCGAGTATCTCAGCCCCGTCGAGATCGGTGGCCAGACCGTCAATTTGGATTTCGACACGGGATCGGCCGATCTGTGGGTGTTCTCGACCGAGTTGCCCAAGGCGCAGCAGAGTGGCCACGAGCTGTACGATCCTAAGAAGTCGAAGACGGCCAAGGAGCTGTCGGGGGCGAGCTGGCAGATTTCGTATGGTGATGGCAGTGGGGCGTCCGGAAATGTTTACACGGATACCGGTTAGTATTCCACCTTTCTGTCGGCACCTTCGTCGCCAGCTAATGTATGGTCAGTCAATGTGGGCGGTACGGAAGTCACCGGTCAGGCTGTGGAGCTTGCCTCCAAGATCTCTCAGCAGTTTCAGCAGGACGAGAACAATGATGGTCTGCTTGGCCTTGCCTTCAGCAAGATTAATACAGGTGAGTGGTCTTCTCTTGCGTCCCCATATTGGCGTATACTGATAGCCGAGCAGTTCAGCCCACGCAGCAAAAGACCTTCTTCGACACCGCCATTGATCAGGGCGTCCTCTCGCAGAATCTCTTCACCGTCGACCTCAAGAAGGGCGCGCCGGGCACTTATGACTTTGGCTTCATTGATGACAGCAAGCACACCGGCGAGATCCACTACACCGATATCGACAGCTCGCAGGGCTTCTGGGAATTCAGTAGGTCTTTCCAACAATCCACCTTGGCCACCGGCAGCGCTAACAGTCCAACCAGCCGGAACTGGCTATGGCGTTGGCAACGGTAGCTTCCAGCAGCAAAGCATCGACGCCATCGCCGACACGGGCACCACACTGATCCTCATCGAGGACGACATCGTCGAGGCCTACTACAAGGAGGTCAGTGGCGCAGAGTACGACAGCCAACAGGGTGGTTACACCTTTAGCTGTGACGCAGAGCTGCCGGACTTCTTCCTGGGCATCGGCGATTACCAGGCCAAGGTGCCCGGGTCATTCATCAATTTGGCGCCTGTGGACAATTCTGGCCAGAGTAAGCGTTCTCCCTGGAGATTTGCGTGGACGATTCCTGTTGACGCGTTTGCAGCTTGCTTTGGTGGCATTCAATCGAGCCAGGGTATTGGACAGAGTGAGTCTTCCTGCTCACGCCGAACGGAGATCGAGGTACTGACTGGTTCTAGGTATCTATGGCGATGTCTTCTTGAAGGCCATCTTCGCCGTCTTTGACAACGACAACATGCAGTTCGGCGTTGCGGAGAAGAGCTTGTAGTGCTTGTGCCCGAGAAGTGCCATTCAACAGGGGCCCGACCAAAATTGACGAGTAGCTGCCCGGGCACACAGCAGAGACTTCTAAGTGTGAACTCCTGTGAGGCCCGGGTAGCCTACTCGCCAAATTTGTCAGCCCTCGTGCTATTGAAACCTGAAAGCACAATCATCGTATCAGATGCCAGCAGGTTTGACATAGAAGATGGGAAGAAGTGTGTTCATCGGTTACAGGCGTCTAGCTGGAAACACAACAGATGGCCGAGCCAGGAGCTCGAGAGATACATTTGGATGTTCACCACAGCGGATGCTCGCTGATGATACTAACGAGACATGAAGCATCCATATCAGCATGTATACCATGTTCCCATCACATATGAAAGCGAGTTTCTCGTAATAAAGCAGGTAACTAACTGGTCATGGAGTTGGCTTGGCATCCCGGCAGTCGTACGGACGTCGCTTGTCGCTGATCTTGGCAGCAACAGCGATCGGCGGCCGCATAACTACGTCAGAGGCGACCACCTGCGCCAACCTTCTCGTTGACTTCCACTGCTCTTCATTGATCAAGTAGCCTAGTAAATGTGTGCTATAATACTGATGGGTTACTGACACAGCCCTTCCGAGTCCAATCAGCTCATGCTATCCAGTAAACACAGCGATTTCGCCTCATTCCGTGTTAGGACCTAATCTCTGGACTCTGCGAAGCACTACCCACCACCCGCCGCAGGTGCGCCCAATACGATGGCGTCTACCACCGTGAGCAAGCCGCTCAACTCCGAGCCTGCCGACCCTCAAGAGCGCAAGAAGCATAGTTTGCCTGCAAAGTCGTTCGCCGATTCGGTTCAGGGGACCGCTGCTGGCGGCGGCGAGTCGCAACCTCACTCCCCGATCAAATCGTATGCGAGCTCGGCGACAGCCGTGGACGACAAGGAGCAGTTGGACGACGACAAGCTTGTCTATGAGAAACACAGGAGTAGCACTGGGACTGACATCTTGACGACCGTCAAGCCTGACGACAAGTATGAGCAGTCGTTGAAGCAGAATGGAGCCACTACGCAGCGAGAGAAGAGCAAGAATGGACGCACAAAGAAGCAGGACACGACGGAGCAGGCTCTAGCCAGTGGTCGGAAGGCAGGTGCTGGCTGGCAACGATCTGCGTATGATTCTTTGAGTTTGACCCGTGCTTGTGAACTGACAAAGGTTGCAGTATACGCTGGGCGCCCCTCAGCGTCCCGCTTCAGCGGCGGTTACAGACGACAGCGGTACTCATCCACTCCGTTTCGATCGCATTGTTTCTGTCAACCTTCTTATTTCTCTGCGCCATCCCGCTAACATGGCCCATCCTGGTTCCATATCTGGTCTATAGCTTCATTTGGTGCGACCAGGCCACGTCCGGTACCCTCACTCGTCGTTCGCAACGTTTGCGCCGCTCTAAGATCTGGTCCGCCTTCGCCTCGTACTTTCCGGCCCGTCTGCACCGCACCGTCAAGCTCGAGCCTCACAGGAAGTACATCTTCGGATATCACCCCCATGGCATCATCAGTCACGGAGCCTTCGCCGCCTTCGCTACAGAGGCCCTAGGCTTCACCGACCTGTTCCCTGGCATCACAAACACATTGCTAACACTGGACTCCAACTTTCGTATCCCCCTTTACCGCGACTATGCTCTAGCCATGGGACTGGCGTCCGTCTCCAAAGAGTCCATCGAGAATCTTCTGTCCAAAGGCGGTGTCAACGGCGAAGGTATGGGCAGGGCTGTCACCATCGTCGTGGGTGGAGCAAGGGAATCCTTGAACGCTGAGCCGCACAGCCTCCGCCTCGTGCTCAATAGCCGTAAGGGGTTCGTTAAGCTCGCGATCCGTCAGGGTGCGGATCTCGTTCCCGTGCTAGCGTTCGGAGAGAATGATCTCTATGAACAGATCGATAGTGAGGCCCACCCATGGATCCACAAGACGCAAATGCTGGTCAAGAAGATGGCGGGTTTCACAGTACCTTTGTTTCATGCTAGAGGGATTTTCAACTATGATGTTGGTATGATGCCGTATAGGAAAGCCGTCAACATTGTGGTGGGCCGGCCCATCCAGGTCGTCCAGCAGGGACAGCATGATGGTCGGGTTCAGGAAGATTATCTGGACGAGGTACATGCGAACTATGTGGAGGAGTTGAGGAGATTGTGGGAAGAGCACAAGGATACGTTTGCGAGTAAGTTCTTGACTCACATGTCTGCTGTAATCAGCTAACGTCTTATAGAGGATCGTGTGACTGAGCTGGAGCTCGTCGAGTAGATGGATGACAATGTCTTGGGAAGTGTAAATTGGTGTACAGTACTAGATGGCGTTGCCGCTCCCCGTGGCCTGGACAGGATTCCAGCCAACATGCAAATTGGCCAACGATTGTATTTTATAGGGTCCAGAAACGACGAGAACGGCCACAGCATGGTTTATTGTGCTATTACAGTTGGCACGGTCTATATGGATTGATCAGGGAAAGCCTTCCATTCATTGGGGCACCGCCTCTGCAGGAGGGCGCTACATGCAAGGACATGCGTCCGTTAACAACCAAAAGCCTGCAGCTGTTGTGGCTTCGAGAGTAAAGGACGGCGTTCTGCCACCAGCCCAGCAATGACCTGAGCTTGAGACTGTTATCATTCAGACAACTCCGAGAAGCGCTGCTGCGTCCTTGAATCCAGCTCTACGATGCTGGGAGCGAAGAATATCTTCCGCTCGACATTCACCTGTACCTAACCTTCACCTCACCTTCACCTTACTTTGCCCAAGACGCGTTGATGCGCGTTGATGTCTTGCCACCTGACTTCTGCCAACACATCTCGTCGTGCTCCCATCGCATTCCGGTTCTCGTACGCGACTCCGTCCGTTGAAGACTTTAAGTCACTTTCTCCAGAAGAACGCCATAAGCCTGCAACATGGCGGATGCAGAATTGATAGCTGAGATGGCTCAAGCCGTAAGTTCCAGTTCATCTTGCCGCCACAGTGCCCGTAGATTTGCCGTCGAAAATAGAACCAACCAATCCACTAACGATCCCAATCTCAGTCCGAAGTCCGCAAAAACGATAAACGCCAACTGGTTGAGACCACCTACCGTTCTCAGCTTGAGGCGCTCCTCGCTGAAGTCGATGGGCTTAGAGATGGTGGCGACGACAAACGCTCGTAAGTTTCGGGCTCCTCTCTATCTCCAAACCGTCGCAGGCCTTGCCGGCACTACATCAATAGTAACATAATCAGAGCTCTCCTTTTCCGAAAGCAACAGATCATCCTCCTCCGCAATCTTATTCGCCGCAAGGGCAAGCTTGAGATCGAGATCTTGAAGCACGCTTACGAGCTGTCCGCCGCCCACGATGCCTGTAGAGAGGAGATGAACGCCGCCATCGTGGGACGCATGGTCGATATCAACGATGCCATGAAGGAGATACGGGGTACAGCTGGGAATGAGTCGGATCAAGCCATGGTCGACGGACCCGCAGACGTGGGAAAAGAGGCCGCGAAGAAGCAGAACAGCGAGGATGGCGATGTGAAGGCTACGGCTACCAAGGCGCATGAGTGGATTGTGGAGGTGCCAAATGATGGACAGGTGGAGAGGGCGGTGCGCATGGCGAGATTAGGAAAGCGAGTTTGAGTTGGGCGTGCGAAGTGCTCGCTACATGCTGAGCTCAGCGGACCTACCCAGGTGTCGTCTGTTGACGAGTCGGACATCTTCCGGTGCCCACGTACAGAGGTCTTGCGAAGATGCTTGACACAGATACGCGGATAAAGACCAACCTTACACAGTTCCGAACAGCGGAGTTCTGTAGCCGTCGTGCTCAAGTACATTGCATTCAGCTCGTCTTTCATTGATGATCGTAGACACGTGTTGAGGGCAGATTCAGAAGCTACTGTAGACGTGTTGGAGAGGTATTTTGCCAAGACTGCGTGTTCCTCGGTCTGAGCCCCGGACTTGCTCCTGCCCGTGGCGCTGTTGCCCAATCACAGCCGTCTCATTTCAATCGTCGACGCACTTGACCTGCTGTGGCGATCCTCCTTCACCTTCCACCTTTATACCTCTCAACGTCGCCGCGCTGCGAATCTCCTCTCCTTACTCGGCTCAGTGTCGACACAAGCAGCTCCGGAAGCTAGCTACTCAAAAACAACCGACGCCATGGCCGCTCTGCGCACGGCGACTCGCCTTGCGGCGCCATACCGAGCTGCTGCCCTTCGCCCGTCCTTCGCGGCAAGATCCTATGCCACCGTCACCGAATCGGTCGAGACTGGCGGCAAGAGCACTTTCGCACCACCCTCGCAGACTTCGACGGTAGAGGAACCCAAGAAGGATCCCGAGGCCAAAATCAAGACCTTCCACATCTATCGGTGGAATCCCGACGAGCCCACCTCGAAGCCTCGCATGCAATCCTACACTCTCGATCTGAACAAGACCGGTCCCATGATGCTCGATGCGCTCATCAGAATCAAGAATGAAGTCGACCCGACCCTAACTTTCCGACGAAGCTGCCGTGAGGGTATTTGCGGTAGCTGTGCCATGAATATTGATGGCGTCAACACCTTGGCTTGTCTTTGTATGTGACAACGCGGATCTAGATGAAGGTCGAGACTGATGAATTACAGGCCGGATACCTACCGAGACCACCAAAGAGTCGCGCATCTATCCCCTTCCCCACACCTACGTCGTCAAAGACCTGGTGCCCGACTTGACTCAGTTCTACAAGCAATACAAGTCGATCAAGCCTTACCTTCAGCGAGATGATCCCTCACCAGACGTACGTCAGGGTTCTGTCCTCCCTCACCGATCTCTTTACTAATAGTGCTTTAGGGCAAAGAATACCGGCAATCGCCAGCAGACCGCAAAAAGCTTGACGGTCTATACGAGTGCATTCTATGCGCGTGCTGCTCGACATCGTGCCCTTCATACTGGTGGAACTCCGACCAATACCTCGGTCCCGCCATGTTGCTCCAGTCTTACCGTTGGCTCGCCGATTCCCGCGATCAGCGTACGGCGGAGCGAAAGGAAGCTCTTGACAACAGCATGAGCTTGTATAGATGTCACACCATTCTCAACTGCTCAAGGACTTGCCCTAAGGGTCTGAACCCTGCAAAGGCTATCGCTGAGATCAAGAAGAGCATGGCGTTTGCTTAAGTTACAGAATTTTCGGTCCTGTCGGTTTTCAGCCATGGTCAGCGAGGCATCCAACGCACATTCTGGTGCGTGTGGCTGCACTGCGTGTATATAACGTCAAATGATATGACTTGAAGCAGAACCGCATTTAAGTCCATGAAGTTGTCACCGAAGATGATAGGCCCCCATATCCCTTGTCAGTCGTCAACGTAGTTGCTCTTTACGAGCAGCTAGAGGCTAGTCTCCAGGCAGCCTCAGGCACCACAGGCACCACAGGCACCTGGGCCGCTTAAGACTCATCAAGTCAGCCAACATTGGCCATAACATAAGCAACAGCCCATGCTACTCTGCCGTCATATGCGTCCTAATCCGGGAAAGCGAGTTTTCTGCTTTACGCCCTGACCAATCCCAGCGCGACGAGCCATTTTGTCCTCCAGGATCGCCGACCCCACCTTGAAGAGTACTCGAGGTGTGCCGCCGACGTATATCTCTCCGTTAGGCCCAGAACCCTTTCGGAGCCCATCCATCTCAGCAGCAAAGCCAACATGACGGTCACAGCAACAGTAGTGATGGAATCAGGCGGTGTGGAAAAGCAAAAAAGGACGAGGAAGACACACCATAAAGGTGAGTACTAGTTGGGGGTTTCACTCCCCGCGACATTGGAAGGCGTTTTCCGTTATTGACGTTTTCCCGCAGTACGGACAGGATGTACGACGTGCAAGATAAGGTCGGTGTGACAGTCTATGAAAGGAAATTCACTTACTGACGATGCTGTATCAGGCGGAAAAAGTGCGACGAGACGAAGCCCGCATGTAAACGCTGTACATCGACGGGCCGAAAATGCGACGGATACGACACACAACCACCGCTTCCAGCTGCGAAGCCCGCAACAACTCAGCCCGTCCGAGAGCCGAATTCGCCAGACTCCGGCATCGATGTGGCCTCGAATCATCCCACCAAGTCTGGCACCACGCCCTCCTCTTCCAGTCGCGAAGCGACCCTGCAGTCTGCCGAGCGGGATATGATGCTCAAGCTGTGGCGGCCCCCCAAGTCCGTCTACTTCAGCACCGAGAGCGACTACTACTGCTTTGACTTCTTCCGGAACCGGACTGGCCCCGAGTTCGCGGCGTATTTCGACTCGTCCATCTGGCGCTCCTTCATGATGCGCGCCTGTTTCTTGCACCCGACCGTCCTGCAAGCAGCCGCCGCCGTGGGCGCGGTGCATCGTCGTTTCGAGCTGGGCATCACGTCCCAGGCTTTCACGTTTTGCGCGATCGCGAATCGGCAGTACGCGAAGGCGATGCGCTGTCTGCAGCAGGATATGGCGAGCAAGCATCCGGCGGCGCCGGAAATCAATATGCTCACGCACATGTTGCTGTCCGTGTTTGAATCGTTTCAGGGGAACTATGACAGCGCGCTGCGCCACATGACCAAAGGCCTCAGGCACATTCTGCGCCGCCCCACGCGCACCACGCACTCGGAATCGCACTACAAGGCCGTGGCGGTGGGCTACGCGTCCCTGCACGAACTGACGGACCGGCTCGAGCGCGTGGCGCCCAAGTTCTTCGCCTCGGACACCGTCATCCTGACCGAGCCAGCCATCGACAGCGAGGCCACCCCGATCCCCACGGCCTTCACCTCGCTGCACGAGGCGCGCGACCTCCTCTTCTCGGAGACGGCGTGGATCTACCGCGCCTGGCACGACCTGAGCATGGGCGCCAACTCCGGCTTCGCCGCGCAGCACCGCCAGATCGCGCGCCTGCTGGCCTGGAGCATGGCCTACGCCGAGTACTCCAAGACGGACACGTGCCGCGCGACGCCCTGGGCGCGGCGCGCCGCCCACCTGCTCAAAGCCTACCGCGAGACGCTGTACCTGGTGCTGCTGACGCAGATGGCGTTCCACTCGCCCGACACGGGCGAGGAGATCGTGCCCCTGTGTTTCCCGCCCGAGACGTGCGACTGTCACCGCTCGTGCCGCGACTATGCGGAGAAGAAGAGCGCGCTGAACGCGCACCTCGCGAGGATTCTGGTGCTGACGGAGGCGCTGTTTGACGAGCGGAGCTGGTGGGCCTACGAGGAGCATAGTATCAGTGTGGATAGTGGGATTGGGCCGCCGGTGTTGATGGGCCAGACGAAGTGTAGTAGTACCAAGGTGAGGCATCAGGTGACGGGACTGTTGGATCAGGGGGAGTTGAGGGATCAGGTTTGGGGGAGGCTGGGCGTATATAGCGTGGCGGAGAAGTTGAGCAGTATTGAGGAGCATGCGGTCATTGAGGCGGTGGGGGGGAGGAAGGGGTTGTTGAGGGGGTTGGTGGGCGGTGGGACGTGGGTGAACGATAAGGCGGGAGGGGGAGGGGGGTGGGGAGGGAGAGGGAGTGATGGGGATGCAGCGATGGAGGAGGATTGGTTCAAGGGGCAGCCGAATTGGTGGGTTGGGAGGAAGGGCCTGGGGGAGCCGAAGTGGGTGGATATTACGTGCTTTATGGACGAGGGCAAGTTGTTGGTCAGGCATTGTCGCGAGGATGAGTTGGGCGGGTTGGTTTGGACGCAGGAGTGGGTTTCTTTTACGTGAGGGCTCGTTTTGGGACCGGCATTGGTTTTGCTGGGGATTGATCAGATGATTCAATGCTGGGTTCGGGAGAACAAGACTCTTTCGGGAGTCTGGTCCAGCATTTGAGCGACAGGAAGTAGGGTGCGGCCCGGGATCTGGGTGCGTCTTGCGCCGGTGAAAAAGCTATACGGTGGTGGAAGGACGGAGGGACGGAGGCGTTTCAATGGTCGGTTTTAGAAGGAAGGCCTGGTCCAGGTTCACTGTGGGGGACTATTCGGGCTGGACGAGATACAGTCGACTGGGCAGCTGATGAGGAAACGAGTTGATCTGACGAACTGATGAGCTATGGATTGGGTTCACGGCGGAAAGCACAAGGCATGAGGCAGCAATGCCGAATGACGCGAGTTGGTTCCACAATATAATACAAGACTGGCAATAGAGTATTCTGTTCTCTCCCAACGGAGTCACAATGTCGCTGTCTAATCGTGCCGTGCCAACTGGTGCCGATGTGGCTCTGGTGACAAGGAATTGGAGGAGAAATAGGCGGAAGCCAAGTCTTAGGGCGATAGGGGTCAGAGGAGGGACGCTGTGGTAGAAAGATCTGGCTATTGTTGCTACACCGTTTCCAACCGACCATGAATGCCGTACCTCCTGACCGTTTCACGGATCAGCGGCGCTTTCTCGTCATCGACCGCGTCGACCTGATTATCCTTCGTATCTCCAATAGTTCTCTCGCCGTCTCCGAACATGGGTTTGAAGAAATTGTCGTAGCTCGCCCAGGCCGCTGTGAACAGGACTCGGAACAGACGGCCCAGCCAGGAGGGAAAGGTGCCGTCTGGCTTCGCGAACATTGGGCCGGCCACTCTCATTAACAGAGTGAAGAGGGGCCCCCAGAACGCCATGTAGAGGAGCTGGCCGAACTTCTGCTTGGCGGTCGTGGTGTGGTAGACGCGGATCTGGTGGAGGTAGTCCTGGTACTCGTAGGGGAGCCCGCGCTCCATTGCACCATCCGTGATCAGCTTTAGGTAGCGAGCGCTCGGTTGAGCATACGATGGGTCGGGTCGATGCTGGCCAGCAGGATCGAACAGAGTGTGGGCCTTGAATGGACTGCTGGAGGGCTGCTCTGGGACTCTGTTACGGGGATTCGCGTCCAGCGGGTGGCAGTCGACAAGTACGTCCTGGTAGCCTGCCCCACCGCCCTCGGTGGCAATGATATGTGCGTAGTCTTCGAGAGTAACTTCGTACACCACTCCTACCAATCCCTTTTGCCATCGGTCTTTGTGATACCCACCGTGGTCGATGCTGACCTTCTCTTCTGGCATCCGGTAGCGGACGTTGGCAAAGCAGGGCTCTTGGTAAGCGATGCCCGGAAGATCAAAGGTCATGACAATTTCCGGCACGAGGACATTGATCTGTGATAGCGGCTTAATCTGTCGCTTGCCTAGGAAGGTCTCATCACACAGATTGGACCCATAGGCCAGATAGAGCACCGTTTTATCCTTGTTTGTGCAGCCTTTCGCAACATCGTGGCACAGATCGGTCGTATCAAGGGATGTCTCATGCAAAGAAGCTCGCTGCCTTGTCTGGGAGGTACGAGGCGTCGTCTTGGGGCTAGTTGGTATTGACCGTGAGCGGCGTTTCAATTTGTTGGCTGGAATGGAGGCCCACTCCTGGAGGGATGCAATGGCACAGTGTTTGTCAGGCATGGTTGTCGTGGTACTCGAGCTGTGTTCGTGATTGCAGGCTGCGATGGTGCAATACAGAGGCGACCTCGAGCGGTGACCGCAATATCGAGTCGCAATTCCGAGGGGTCCCCCGGAGATCGGACGATTATTCGGCCGGGGCTTATAAAGCCGCCTCCAGTGCCCGGACTTCTCGGCTCCAACCCCAGTGATTACAGCTGTTGCAACAGTGCCATAGAACTCCTAGTACTGATTAGAGACCCACTGCCCTCTGGTAGGCCCCTATATGTATTAAACGGGCGTTGTAAAAAGAACGACGCACTGCGTATGATGTTTCACGGCCGCCCGGGCCTTTGAGCACATGTTGTGTTGTCCATCACCGTACTCAACCGAACAAGCCAGCCTCCCTCTCCCCTTCGATCCATCGCGACAACTCACCTTCACTCACTTGAGCATTCGACAGCTCGGCGCTGCTGGCTGGACGGCACTCTAGGAAGGAGAAACTTGCGAATTCAACGAGTCAAGCAGCTCATCTATATATCTGTCTCGCCGCTGACGTGAGCATACTTCTTTACTTGTCTTTGCCAGGCGAACCAGCAACGTTCTTTTACCTCTTTAGCCTCCAATGCCGGAATCATGATACTTTGCAGGTCCTCTGGTGAGGCTGCCTCATACTCATCCATGCTTTTCAAAACGTGGGTCTGTTTGGTTGGACAGAAGCTCGTTGGGTCTTCGTACTCATATACCATGAGAAATTTGCCCTCAGACACCATTGCTTCTTGCGTGATGAGCCCCAGGGCGGCGTTCATGTCGACCCCTTTAGGGCATGCAGTCCATGTGTGCGGCACGCCTGGCGGAATGTGAACCAATGTCTTTGGTGGGATGATGTAAAGTTCACCGCACATCTCGACCATTGCAAACCCATTCAGCACAAGGATTCGCTCGACCAACAGCCGTTGTTCGGCATCCGGGTGGGTTGACTTGTTGGGCCCAATGTGCACGTGTCGCGGCAATCGCATTTCGGTCGTAAAGTCGATGAAGCCAAGTTGCCCAGAAAACCCACAAACGCCACTGTCTTCGCTAGGAATCACTCCCGGGCTCAGCTCGTGCAACTCGACTGGAATGTCGTCAAACGGGCGCTTCACATTCGCGCCGTCACCGTGAATAATGACGCCTCCGCAGTCCAGCTTGACGCCATAGTCAAAATCACTCGGAGACATTGTGTCCGACAACACAACTCGACCTCGATGTAGATTCTGGACTACGAGCCGTGGCGATGTTGATTGTTGGAGTGTGATTCAGTGATGGAGTAGTCGCCCACTTCACGTAATCACGCGAGGGCGCTCTTATCCGAGGTGAAGTATCCGATCCCCCTGTTCTGGGACAACTACCTAATGACTGTTCAGCCTGCTGCAGCGCGCTTGATATCAGATTTTCGGCAGACAGTTGCGGTGATATGAAGTACTCGATCCGCTACAATATATTTGGAATCCATCGTGCCTGGAATCTGCAGAGTCAGACGAGATCTGTCCTGCGTCACCACCCCGCGTTTACTGCATGAACTATGATATGACGATCGTCGACCACTGAACCGACAAACGAGTCACGACTAACAACATTCAAGGGACTTTTCCCTGTATCAATCATGACTCCTGTCGTCGCCAAGCACGATCATATAGGTCAGCGCGCTTTACGAGACTCTATTTGAACGCAATCTGCTCAGTGAACGATAAGTCTATGGCCATATTCAGCCTCAATATTCCATGGCAGTCTCAAAATTGCGTATCTCGTAAGGCGGATGTCATTTCTTGAAGACGTATCGAATGGAACCTCGGTCACCTACCGGGCAGTATCAGCTCTCCTGGGACAGATGAAGGCAGATCTGCAGAGATGTAGAGGTGATCCTCGTTTGAGGCTGTGGTCGTTATTCGTCGGTGCACTGAGCGGTGACACTTGGTTCAGAGCCAACTTCAAGGGCCTTGCTACGACAACGGGTATACGGTTGTGAGCAACATGCAAGTCAGTGCTAGACGGGGCTTACTTGCCTCAAGGACCTTCAGTCAGAGCGTTCTTGATCCTTTGGACATGTTTCAGCACGATGGACGAATCGACAGAAAACCCGTCTGACCGAGGATCCTTTATGACTACCGAGCGCAGCGGCAAAGAAGGAGCAGCATGGATCTGGCTTGGCACTAAAGAGGGAGTGAGGTGCGAGTAAGGCGCAAGTAAGGTGCGAGAGAGGCAGGTGTCAGTCCACACTGCAACACGAAAACTCGTCGTCCATGCTTTGCAACTTCAACTTTTCATTTCTGTCAAACCTTTGCCACACTTCAAGCTCCTCTCATCCTTGCCATCGTTGACCACCTGTGACGGGGTGCCGTCGTCGCCAATAGCCAAATGGCATCACCGGTCTCAATCCAGGACTATGAAGATGCCATCAAAGACTTATGTGACCATATCAGAAAAGGCTTCGCATTGACTGACCTCATCGAGTAAGCACTCATCCCAGAGCCAATCGCTCAGATCTAACAGAAGATTCAGCATACCCCAAAACATCTGGCAGCCATTCCGTAAGCCTGCGGTGCCAGCATCAACCACTGCCTTGCGCCCTATTTCCACCTTGTTTGTCGGAAAAAACCAGCATAGGCTCTTGCACTTGTCTCCTGCAACCTTCAGTGGCGTCGCCTCGTTAGCACTGTATGCAAAAGATTCGGGCCCTCATCACCGTCTCATACACGGCTGTATCGATGCAGTCCGCACCTGGAAAGACAACGATTCTGTTCTCGAGGCGTTCAAGCGCTGCAAGGTTAAGAGAATTGATACAAATGACCTCGTGGGACTCAGGAAGAGTCTCATTGAGCACCTAATACCGTCTGTTACCAGAGCTCTCATTGATGATACTATTGGGTCGGAGACAAGGTGGCTGGCGGCTCAGTTCCTCTCGGCCGTCATCAATCGAGACTCGCAGGCTCAAGTCCGCTTAGCCACTCACACAGACTGTTCGAAACTCGGCACCCTCCTCCAAAGCCACAATGATTACGTCTTACGCTTTCTTGTGTCCGATACCGTGCGTGAGCTCCTCTCCAACGGCATCGAAGGCCAGAAGTGCTGGCCCAACGGCACAGCCCCAGCAATAATTGCCTCTTTTCCTGCAGAGACAAGCACCAGCGCTGCTTGGCTTTCTTCCGTGCAAGACTTCTTGTCTGATATGGATAGAGGAACGGCTTTCAGTGGTACTCGCCCACCCGTCTTCAAGGTGACTAGAGCCCAACGCTGGAAAAATAATGAGCCCGATGAGGGTGAAGATTCTGCCAAAGACTGTCTTCTCGTGGTCACGGATCAGATCACTTCGATCGTATCTGCCAACGATCGAGGACTCGTGATTGCTTGTTACCCGATCTGCACCGAAAAAAGAATGGTGGTATCTCTCAGGCCAGCCACAACCACTGGACCTTCGTCCTTAACGATCGACTATCAGGATGAGCAGGGCTTTGAAATAAAGTATGGAACGAGAACCGCTCTGAGTAGCATAAAGTTTGAGCTGTCGTCCATGGATTGCGCTGCTGCAATGGCGCAGGAGCTCGATGTCATTCAGAAGGACGTCGAAAACTGCAAACAGAGTGGCACTCAACACCCGGATGCAGGATCACTCCAAAAAACCTTGCAGCAGAGGCGCTCCATAGCGCTACTTGACCTTTGGGCACCACAAAATGCTATCAATGTTGACAACGACAGACGCATTGATAATCTGAACGAGAATGGTGATACGCAAGCCCTGACACCTCTTCAACACAAATGTCGAGTCATACCTGGCAATGATGGACTTCACCAAATATTGGATGACTTTCTTGCTCCGGCTGTCTCGGAAGATGAGCACCTAGATTCTCCGACTAGCTTTGGGGAACGTCTACGCGCTTTTCAAGAGACCCGATCGAACTCGAAGCTCAACATAGCTGATGCTGAGCCATCTCGTGTCTTGCACTACAACGGTCTCGAAAGTCTGAAGGACGTCAACGTACCGTCATCTAATGTGGCCCAGACGGCTACAGGGGAACCAGACCCAAATCATGAGCGCCCCGATGCTACCTCTACGACCAAGCACAAGCCGACCACAGCTGCGCGGCCGAAGCAACAACCGATGAAAGTGGCGTCTGCTCCGAAGAAGTCCGCGGAAACTGTTTCCCAGATCCCTCGCTTTTCAAGCAAGGTGACGTCGCCGCGCAAAACTGCTGTTCTCAACGTAAGCCCTCGACGCACTCGCCAGAGCAAGGATACTGCTTTCCAATCAACTGCGGGACGGAGTAAGGGCTCTGGTGAAATTCCAGTCTTGCCGAAGCAATCCGAAATAGCTTTCTCGGATGGAACGTCTCAGCCGCCTCGGCTCAAGCGGATTGAGCCAAGAGACCGTGGCCCGAAGTCCGACGTTGACTGGGACGAAGATATCCGTGACTATCACGAGATGGACGTGCTAAACGACGATACCGAGGCTCTGAGGAGACCCCAAACGAGACACGACAAGACTCAGACTGGAAGACCAAGCCAGAAAGCAGGTCCTAGCAATAATTCGCAAGCTACATCGCAACAGCGCTTCAGAAAGCCGTCACGGCCTTCAAAACCTGCACCAGCTCCGCTCAAGAAGCCAAACACCAGGAGTGGCAACGCAAAATCTTCCGTCGGCAAGACGTCGGCCAGCAGCAGACCACGCCGCTCCACCAAGACACAAGCGTACGATGAGTCGGATGAAGATCAGAGCCAAGTCTCCGCCACTGAAGAGAAGCCGTCCAAGGTGACGTATTCCATGCCTTTGTCGCAGTCACAGTCACAGTCACGATCATCTCAAAAGTTCGGCTCTGGACACTCTTCACCCAATAAGCAAGACCCTCATTCACCAATCGACAACTCCAAAGATGAGGCAGAGGAGCCAAACGAGCTCGCTGGTGCCCTGCGCAAGCGGAGCGTTGAAGGCACTGCACAAATGCCTATCGAATTCTCTGACGATTCCCCACCTGCTAGCGGCTCAAAGCTCAAAGCTATACCTTTGCTGAATCGCTTTCCTGGAGAGGAAGGCAGAGAGGCATTGGCAGAGCGAGAATCTACAAATGAGGGCAGTAACGAGGCCGTTGAAGAAGCTTGGGACTCTTACCCCTTAGCGAACGGCAATCTGGACGCGACTGCCAGTTCGGCGTCGATTGACTTCGCTTCAAACTTGTCAAGCTACGTGTTGGATCTTCAAGGTTCCATTGCAGACAAAGAGAACATACCCCCCGCTCCAGGTACGCCGTTTGGAGATCGGCAGAAATTCGTAGTCAGTGTCAACGCCTGGAAATCTGGAAACACAAAGAAACCTGCACAGGTTGCGAGGAGCAACGGACACGCTACGTCTCCTGCTAACAGCTCACGCATTCAAGGAGAGCGCCAGTGTAGCATGCCTGCGCAAATGGCTCAACAGTTGCCAACAGCATCACACGCGGACAAAGCCCACGCACAAGGCGCCCAAAGTGCGGGCACAGGCGTTGTAGGTGCTGCTATCTCGTCAAGCACAAGCCACAGGACTCATAATAATCATGGCCCAAACACAGTAAACGACGTGCGAAAGGCAGACCATCGCGTGACAGAGGCGCCTTGTAAAGTCGACTCTGATGAAGTCGCCGATCAAATGGAACAGGAGCATGCCTCGGGCATCACCGAGCGCAGGGTTGAGGCTCGGAACCACATTCCAAAGCATGCCAACGGTATTACAAAGGCCAGCATGTACGAGCCGCCTAGGTTGCTGACTACGTCCGTAGTGGGCGCCGTTCTAAACAAGTCCGTGGACCAAATGGGCGAAGTGACGGGGAAGAGAACGGATGTAGAGTCCACTGAGGCCGGAGGTACACCATTACTTCCGTTGAAAGCTCACAGAAAGTCCACCTTGTCACGAACAGAAGCAGAAGCTTCGGCGCGAACCCCTGTGATCCATTTCGCTAGAAGCGGTCCTACCAATCAAGGCCGGAGGTCGGGAGATTCTTTCAGAAATGCCCATACAAAAACCCCGACTGCTCCACAGCTAGAAGTGGAGTATTACGGCCTCAAGAGCTACACTGGACGAGAGCTCATCCCAGCTGATGAGACGCCGAATCGTGATGCTGGTCTAGGCCGCAGCGAGCCCCTGGATATCGAGACCGACAGCGGCTTCATCGACAAGGAGGACCAGGTAGATCTGTATGAGGAACATGGAACAGTTAATCCCACTGTGCCATATGACGGCGGTGCTGCACCTCATACTTGTAACGTGGACGAGAGCGAGATTGAGGATCAGTCGTACGGGCGTTTCCCGCTTGCGACACCAGACACCGCTCAAGTCTCAGCACTCGACGCAGAAAAGCGCAGCAAGGACGATGCTGCAGAACTCCCGTCCGGGCCTGCGGTGAGTTCGCCTCCAAGCGACAGCCAGAGTCACAGCTCAGAGCCGAGCGACGGCGAAGCTTCGGCGTATCAGGGCTCTGAAGTATCCGGGTCCTGTTCTGCCGTCAGCAGAAAAGCTCAGCATGGAGAGCAAGAGTACGATGCAATTAGCAAGCGTCAAAAGCCGTCCCTGGAGGACCACACTGGTCTTCCGCTCGAAGCTGACTACGCTCCACCAGTCATTAAAGACGCGGGTCGCACATCCATTGGCATTTCCAATCTTGTGCAGCGTTCCTTCCCCAAAGCAGAGGGTAGTATCACGACTGTCGCTTTCCGAAAGCAGTCGGGCAGGAGTCAGCAGTCTGTGAACAAGATTCCTGCGACCAGTGTTGTCAACGCTTTCCGGCCGCCCAAGGGCAAACTGGAACCGACTTCTGAGCCACGCTCGAGAGTAGTAGTCAAAGCAATGGAAGCTGGGCTTCCTGTCGACACTGGAGCTCCTGCTCCATCTCAGAAAGCTATGCCGCCTCCCCCCAAAAGAAGACTAGGCCCCTACCAGAGAATAGAGTCCACAAAGCTGGAAACCAGGCCGCTAGCTTCAACCCGCGCTGAACGAGCATTCCCTTCTCGGACAGAGCCAATCCCAAAGGCGGTGCCGAGGCATCCGCCGGCTCCCATCCGGGTGAAAGTCAAGGAGACTGACGACGGGTTGGCCCAGGGCAGACCGTATGCACCCATCTCAACTCCCATAGCGTTTCGGTCCCAACTTGAGGAAGATGCCGTACGCATGGAGGAGGATATGGCTCGTCGTGGGACTTCGACTCACGCGGATGACTCTCTGAACGAACGCACATTGGTTAATGACGATTCTTGTCAGGCCGGAGTCTTCTTAGGCGGCAGAGGCTCTTTCTTCCGATCACGCCACGAGCCAGATGATTCCACTAACGACCAGGTTTCTATAACGGGTCACGAGGAAGTGTCAGGCTATGAAGAAGAGCAAGATGTTTGGACGGACGGAGTAAGGATCACACACAAGGGCTTGTTTGATACTATCATGCATATCACAAGGGTATGTTGGCGATCCGCGATTGAAGCCTTGACGCTGATCAATCTCTTGCAGAACGTTCTGTTCCGACTAGGCACCGAGGAGGATGCGGTTAGGTCCAAGCAGAGCGATCTTGAACGTGGAGGCGAGCTTATGATCGAAGAGCTGGGAAAGAACTGGGAAAAGAGAATTGAGCATGAGCAAGCTCGCCTTATCGAAAACCTACGCTACGAACACGCCCGACTCGCGAGCGTCTGCCCGAAGATCCAGAATCCGTTCACTAGTGGAAGGCAAGAGAGGTTGCTCGATAGAGACACGATTCGAGGAATGCAGGGCGGGCTCAATCAGAACATTGAGGCAACTGAGCAGATGGCGGTCGACCTGGCGAAGGCGATGGGAATGCCTCTCGATGATGCCCTTATGAAGGCCGAGAAGCTGCCCTGACGGATCCTGTTAGAGCATGGAGCAAGGCAGATTCGTTTGTGAGTAACTACAGCTTAATCAAGTGTAAGTGACACTCGAGCACCAACAACAATTAGGCAGGGTAGGGGCAGTGGGCTGACAGAGGGAAGTGTTACTGAAGCTGCGCAGTTGTCACTGGGGAAGGCCTCCTGCCAACCAGAAATTATTGTCGCACCTGCTTCACTTCTTTCACACCCTCGACCTCGAATTCTACGCAATTGTCCAGCGAGTTTGAACTTTCATCACCTAACTTTAGCAATCCTCGCTATTCATAGACCATATTGTTTCGCCCAATCCTTATCACCTATCATTCGGAACGCCGTCGTCAGCGTCCACTTCCTCGATCCACCGTGGCGTACGAGATCCACATCTCCCGAGAAATCGCGAGCATCTTCCGTGCACCCGACATGAATCCTCATGAGCCTAGCCAACGGCAGGTTCTACCGCCGACCGACTTGCTCGCCTCGCATCAGCTTCAAGTAGTACTGGATGGCACCGAAGCATATCGTCCTAGTCCCGGGATTCAAGACTCCCACCTGTCGGACCTCTCCATGAAGCAGCTGCATAATACATCCGCTGGGATTCATTTACAAGGCGGACAACAAAATGGGGTTCTCGGCCTACGACGAACTTCAAGTTTCGGCACTATCCAGGGTATACCGGAAAGAAAGCGTCTCGTTCGTTTTGCCTCAACTCGGGACTTACATGGGAACGACGACAAGCCGAGCAAAGCTTTGGTTTCAGATGGGACACCTCGCCTCTTCGAGCCTGCAACAGGTTCTAGCTTTATCAATCCGTTCTCATCCGATTCTGGAGACGACAGCTCACCACGAGGCTCACAGTCGTCTGAAGCGTCCAGCTATCTGAGGCCCAATGCCTTCGCAGGCCATCGAGACACACTAGCACGGATCTCCAGGTGGCCGGACCCGAACAAGAGCGGAGATGATGAGCTTCTCTCGCAACGCTCGAACCCGTCTATTCCATCAAGCCTACATGCGTTTTCAGGACTCCGAGATACCTTTGATCGTACTCATTTCGAAAGGAGGATTACACCATATCTACCGCACTGCATCATCGATAAGATGCTCTGCTATTTGTCGTCTGATGACTACCTCAACCTACGCTTGACATGCAGCCAATAGTGCCTGGCACTACCTCAGCTACGACTTGCTACTGTACGCAGACTACCAAGAGAGATCTTGCAGCTTATTTTCTCGTTTCAAGATCCCGGGGACTTCGATGCTGCCCGTCATATTTGCCGAGAATGGTTCATCGCCAGCTTAGATTTCGGTTTGCTTTGTGGAATGCTCCGGACGATGCAATGCCAGCATTCATGCAAGGCAGACCGACAACGCTCTCGCGAAATTCAAAGCTCTCAACGCCCGAGTCATGAGATCCACATCTACACAGATGATGGTGAGCAGGTCATGATTGCCAGACAGAATCAATCAGAGCAATTGACAAGCAACGAGTGGCTTATGTCAAAGCGTCTTGCCACGGCTACAAAGCTCTCCCCACTTTGGCGTGGCCCGTGGTCTTCATACCTATCGAACGAGGACAACGGTCGCTTCCATGTCGCCGAGCAGATCAATTACCGTCGCGTATTGCTCGGAGCATCTCACAAAGTAGTCAATACTAAGACGTTTACAATGTCGACCTGTGGAAAGTATCTCCTGGTTTGCTCTGGTCACGATATCTTTGTATACCGCATTGGAGAGGGTAGTGAGTCTATGACGGCAATTGTCAGGCTGGCAGCCGATCGAGATGTGCTCAAGGTCAGCATGGACACAAGCTCTGCTAGATATGCGGTGGCTGCTTTATTGGACAATCGCACCGGTCTACTTTGGGACATCGCTGATAGAGCTGAAACGTCCCGAGATGAGTCGCTTCTAAGCCGGGCACTGCTTCTCGGCATCGGCACGGGTTCGCGCAGTCCTAGCACAACCGAAGAAAGCTCTGAGCCCTCATCCTGTGCTCTGCCGCATCGCAGAAGAGGCTTCAACTCAGAAGTGCAAGCACATGATGACTTCTTCGAGATGGCCTGCCCTGATGGGCGACTTCAGAGGCGATCGGCCCACCACACTGCATCCAGTGTGACGATTCACCAGCATCTCTTTGGGGAAGGGATTTCTCTCACCGAGAGTCCCGAAGCCGAGGCTAATGATGCCTCTCTCGATGACAGGCTACCCATACAGGCCCGGCCAACTGCAGTATATCGAGATCTTGGAACCTCCGACGATCCTCCACGGAGCGTTGCCGTCTGTCCGCAGCGCAATTGCGTCGCCTTCGGTAGCAGACTCGGCATCGAGTTGCATTGGGTTGACGCATTGACTGGTAGTGACCTGAGCCGGTGGTTCCCTCTGCATGCACCGAGTGACTACTTGTACTTTCTACCACAGCGAGCAGGCGTCGACTCCAGCAGAAAACTCAGGCTGATCTCCAGTGCCCAAGGTCCGTCAACTCCAACAATCACTCGTAGCGGCAGCATGCCTGCAAGACTTCTTGTTCGAAGGCAAACTCACGACCGCGGCCGTCGACAGTCAATGACGCGTCTATTCTTCGGTAGCTTGCCCTTTCCAGCTGCAGCTGTACTACCCAGTAGCTGGTTGAACTCGGCAGAAATTGACGAAGGAGAGCAGCAGGGCGTCTTGAGGACGGTTGACTGCGACCATTACCAGGCGGTGCCGCTCAGCGATGGCAACCATGTATTGTATACCGATCCCATCAGCGGTCAACTTTGTCTCGGCAGTGATGCACCAATCGGTGCACCAAACAAGCTGGTCAGGAAAGTCCTTTTCATCCCTCCTGACATTACGACTGATGACGATGGCTGGGGGAGCTTGATGGCATGCTACAATGCTGGGCAAGAGCTCCGGTGGGGTGTCCGCGTAGTCTCCGCACATCGCGACGGCCGCATCATCCTTTACAACGTTCCAAGTGACCTTTTCTCCTACCTCCGCCACCTACGCAGCTCCTTGGATGTCTGGGATGAAACGGCGGGTGTCCTCGCCCAAAGCGATCTACTCATGGATAACGTCCTAACAGCACACCCCAATTCACTGGCTGACCCTGATCACGGAAATGAAGCCTCTCGGCCTACAGCTGAGAGCCCCTTTAGGACCATCCAAGTTCAGGGCGTAGTCATTGGACATCTGAACCAAGAAATTGTGGATGACTTGGTAGTCACTACCGCAAATGGAGGTGTCAGAGTATGGATATTCTGCCGCAGTGGGCTAGCAAGGCTTCTTAATCTCTACGTTCCTTCTGGCCACTGCATTAGGTCTCGCTTCGTCAGCACCGACGGTCTGCTATACGATGATCCACAGACCGTGAGATCGACGGACCCAGAACCGTCTGATAAGAGCTCCAAAGGTAAAGAGCGTGCGCACAGTGATGAAGCTAGGAGTGATGCCAACTGGACCTCGACTGACAACGTGTTGCTCTCAGGCTTCGACGGCACATGCGATATTGAGGTTAACACGGTAGGTGGCGTCTGGATCGCCGATGCGCGAGTACACAACATCCTGGACTGGTCTCAGTACGAGGAAGACATACTCGATGCGCTGAGCGCCTACCGCTCCGAGATTGAGATTTGCGGTTCCGGGGTCCAAGATGGCTGGCTTTGCGCTGAGTTTCTCCCAAAGGGGTAGAGGTCGGAGTCATAGGCGTGATGTTAGTAGGCACAGCAACGAAAATTGCCAGTGATGGAGAGAAGATTCGAGGCTAGTATGCCGCTGTGGAAGCTGAAATAAGACTCAAGCTGCTACTATACCACTGGAGGTTTTTCACTTCTAACATGTCTTTGACTTGATGCTGTGGATTTTTATCCTCTATACTCGTGACGACGGGACCTCCATGTGATTCCATTGCGATCACATCCCCAATCACAGCGCTCTGAGTGCGTTATAATCAAGCTATCTACAGCTAGCTGCCCTGACAGGCTCACTTACTTATTGCTTACTCCTGATCCTCCAGCTCCCCATCCAACGCCCTCAGCAACACGCTCCCCAGCCTCTCCGCCGCGTCCGGCTTGGTCGTCAAGCTGCACATGAAGTAGATGACATCTCCCAGCACCCTCGCGTGGATGCCCTCGCCGGTCTTCTCGTCCAGCGTCGTCAGTAGCCGGCTCTGCAGACTGGCGGTCGCGTTGGAGGCGTAGCCGCCGGAGGTGCCTTCGGTAGATTTTAGTGTCAGGGCTAGCACGGTGCCGAGGGACCAGAGGCCTGAGAGGAGGGGGTGGTGGGAGAGTTGGGTGAGGAGGTGGGGTGAGAAGAAGGAGTAGGGCGTGTTGACTGTGGAAGAAGATGGTGAGGGGTTGGCAGTGCTGCTGCTGCTGCTGAGATCCGGAATCGATGGTGCGGCTGCCCATGGGGATCTGTAAGCCTGCCAGTCGGAGTTCCCGCTGGTGTCGAGCCGTTCCATCTCCTTGAGTGCGTGGTTTGCGACGCTGCAGCCGATGGGGTGCGCGGTGTAGCTGTGGCCATGGAGGAGTGCGTCGGTTTTGGAGTCCGAAAGGAAAGCGTTGAAGATGCTGTTGCTGGCGGTGGTCAGGGCGAGTGGAAGAATGCCGCCGGTCAGGAGCTTGGCGTGCACGGAGACGTCGGGTGCTGTGCTGACTGACATGGGTGTGGGTGAGAGCGGATCGGGGCTCAGGAAGGAGGACGAGGATGACCTGCCTAGACGATAGAGGCCGGTAAAAACCTCATCGGCGATGAGCGGCAGTCCGGACCAGTCTGCTGGGTCGGGATTCGAGCTCGGCTGGTACTTGGGATTGATGAGGCTGGGGTTCTCGCGGATTGTGGTGATCAGTGTATGCTGGAATAGCGGATCAACGAAGATCATGCCGCCTGCACCCATGATGATGGGCTCCATGACTAGTGCACCGAAGCGGCGGCCTTGGTCGTGGCAGAGGGAACGGAGAGCTTTAGTGATGAAGTCGCGGTAGAACTTGGCATGAGTTTCGCGTGAGCTGAAGTCGAATAGGGACGCCATGTGCTGGAAATACCAGGTCTTGGTGGAGCCTGGCTCGAGGAACGATGAAGGCACACTGACGTGCCATTTGCCCTTGGAAAGGAGCACTGAGGGTGGATCAAACCAGGTGCCCCAAGGTTGGTACCAGTCAACAGCCTCGTTGAACACTGAAGGCTCGGAAGCATTCATCACACCAATGGTGTCGCCGTGATAGGAACCCTTCAGACCCAAGATCTCGACAGGGCGGCCACCGTCGTTCTTGGTCCAGCCGTAGCGTAGGGAGGTCGCACGCAAAGCCATCTTGACGGCGACTTCCATGCCCGTGCTACCGTTGTCGGTGAAGAAGACACGGGTGAGGCGCGGGCTGCGAAGCGTCTCCAGCAGATTGTAGCAAAGATCGAGGGCAGGCTCATGCACGGCACTGCCAAACATAACATGGCCGTATCGGCCAGCAGCGTGGGCTGCAGTGAGAGACAGCTCAGGATTGCCATGACCAAATCCTTGAGTCCACCATGACGCTGATGCATCAAAGAGAGGTGTGGTGAGTGGTTTGGCCTGAGTGCCCGAGCTGCCTGTATTCAGGCCAGTAGTGCCCACTTGACTGGCGGCAACGGCAGGGTCGGCTTCTTGGTTGTAGACTTCGAAAGTGTCTCCGTAAGCTGAGTCAATGGCAATAATGTTCTGAGGGAGACCGTGCTGACGAAACGGATGCCAAATGATGGAATCGGCATGGGAGGGAAGCGATGTCAGTTTGGAGACCCGGGAGAAGTGCTTCTGGTTTAAGCTCTCCAATAAGGTATTAATACCTGGTGATGTGGAACACTGCTCATAGTATTCGGCCATGGCCTGCTCGTCGTCTTTTGGGGTTTTCCGACGCGGTGGTGGTAGTGGGAGCGCAACGGCCTGAACATCATGCTTGGCGAAATGGTCCTGGAGATAGGCAAAGTTGCCCCATTGAGGATCGTCGAAGAGGAGGAGCGAGTCAACATCGTAGCCTCGAAGGTGCAAAGACTCGAAGGCTGAGATTGTTGTAGCGATGCCACCCAGCTTGTGGTCGCCGATGAGAAGCGTTGGCAACCTCAATGGACGATATAGGTCTGCTTGCAGGCTGCCTGACGGTCCAGGCGATAGGATTCCGCCAGCCGTCTCGAGCAATGCATAACGTGTCCCTTGTTCTAGCTGCTTGTTGAGCTGACGCTTGATCTTGGACACAATGGTGCTGTCGTCTGTGAGAGCCTACGCAGATCAGCTAAAGGGAAGTTGATGCCAAGGCGGGGGGTGCTCACTTTGTCAACCGAATCAATTTTGGCGGCGAGGTGCGGGCTGACAGGCTCAGAAAATTGGGACAAACATTTGGAGACAACGCCAGGGGCGAAGCGAGAGATGTGACGATCATCAGCTTCGTTTAAAGGTCCGGTCGACACCGGCTTCAGGTAGAGGACGCCATTGGAGGGAGCTCGGCGCTGCAAGGCTTTGCAGAGAACAGTCGAGACAATGGTCTTGCCCACGTCGGTGTTGGCCCCGTAGACCTGCCACGCCTTGAGATCGCGCCACAGCATAATCGTTGATACGTCCCTGCTCACACCTCGTTTCTGCCTCCTTCTCTATAGGAGGGAAGCAGGGAAGCTCCGAGGAAGTCATCTTGATGAATTGCGCTAGTCTCGATGAGGATATATCTGCCAAGCATCCCACCATTTTCCTCTGCTCCCTTCTACCCTTCTACCCTTCTACCTTGCCCCTGTGTTCATCTTGAGAGGGGTCGTCGCTGATGCTGGGCCTGCTCTTTGAATCAAGGCTTCTGCAACAAGTTCCTGGCAGCGTTGCTTGCCGTCCACTCATTCCAAGCTTGATACGTGTCAGATCTGAGCTTCCGCTACGATATCGGACTTTGACTGGCGGACGACGTCAGCAGACCAACACCGCAATGAAAACGCCGCTCGAAGACCAGCTCGCGGCTCAGTTAGAGAAACGTCGTCGCATTTCAAAGCTCCGGGTTCTTAAGCCAAGCCCTCCCGGATCGGTCGATTTCTCGTCCAATGATTTTCTCTCGCTCTCGTCCAACGACCAGTTCCGTCACGACTACCTTCAAGCTCTGGCCGACCATAATTTAGGAATTGGCTCCACCGGTTCGAGGTTGCTTGATGGAAATTCAACCTTTGCGGAGCAGCTCGAGTGTGATATCGCGGCCCACCATGGTGCCGAGACAGCATTGCTGACCAATTCGGGCTTCGACGCCAATGTCAGTATCTTCACCTGCTTACCGCAGCCCGGAGACATCATCATCTATGACGAGCTCATACATGCTAGTGTTCACGATGGTATGCGTGCAAGCCGGGCTGAGAAGCGTATATCATTCAAACATAATGATGTGGATCACCTCAAGCAAGTTCTGGAATCTGTCGACGCTAAGACGACATCGAAGAACATCTTTGTGGCCATTGAGACTGTCTACAGCATGGAAGGCGATGTAGCACCGTTGACTGAGATCTGTGCTCTTCTCGACTCCGCGGCACCCAAGGGTAGCGTCCATCTGATCGTTGACGAGGCCCACGCCACTGGCATCTACGGCCGGGGCGGGGCAGGCTTAGTATCACAGTTGGGCCTACAGAGTAAAGTCAGCGTCAGGCTGCACACCTTTGGGAAAGCCTTGGCTTGCAACGGAGCCGTCATCCTGTGCTCAGCAGTCATGCGCCAGTATTTGATCAACTACGCGCGGCCGCTGATCTTTACAACCTTTATGTCGTATCCTTCTCTGGTCGCTATTCGGACTGCTTACGACTGGATGCGAGAGGGCAAGACCGGACTACTGGCGGCGAACCTGAGCGAGCTAATCGAATACCTGTGGATGCGACTCCAAGAAATCAGCCTTCACGCAAGCAATTTGCCAGATCCAAGCAACCTGGTACTGCCCGGAAGCTGCCCAGACTCGCCAATATTCGCTCTTTTCAGCACCGTTCCTCGAGAGCTCGCCAGTCACTGCCAAGCCGCCGGCTTTGTGGTGCGGCCCGTGGTCCCACCTACAGTACCAACCAACACGGAGCGCGTACGCGTGTGTTTGCACGGTGGAAACACGAAGGAGCAGATCGATGCGTTTATTGTTTGCTTGAGACAGTGGATCGAGCTGAAAGCCAGCCCGAGACACGCCCAGGGTACGATCACAATGTCCCCGGTCTTGCAAGAGAGATTGGACGCAAAGCTATGAATTCCCCGAGCTAAACTCTTGATACGTCCAAATGAGGGGACTCATCCCACTGGTCTGTGTGAGAAGACCACGCCGAATCTTGATCCTCAGTCATAGCTCGGATGGAGAGGCGACTCCTTGCCAAGGCCAACAAGGCTCGCCTCCTTTCTGGCTTTCTAGCGCAATTGGCCCGCTCATCATCTTCGGCGCACTATGAACAGGGCAATCACAGCGACAGGGAAAAGACTATCCCGTGCCGTTGTCTTGCATGACTTGAAGTATTCTGTCCAGCTCAGCCAACAGCATTGCCGTCTCAGTCCCACGACGTCGTCCCAGATGCCACGGCAAGTCTGCCTCTCTCGAGTCGCAATACCGTTGCAGAGGAATTGAAGATGCTCGATCCCCTGCTTTGCCTTTGATCAGTCTTCACGGTTTGTACACGAAGCCGTTGTTAATGGGGAGCGGGGGTTGGGCTCACCATGTTCAGAACCTCCGGTCGACGAGGAAGTCCATCCTCCACCAGTGGAAGCAGAGCGCGACGTCGACATGGTGGTGGGTTTTATGCTGCCGTACCCCTGAATACAGAACAATGCTTGCCAGACTCCCAGGCGGTAGCGTAGATGGAAGTCTTTGTGTCCTGCCAAAGGAAACGCCCATAAGCCTGAGATGCAGGCTAAATTTGTGAAGCACAGGAAAGCAGTGAGCAGAGTCAGCGGTGAAATAGCATCACCAGTATGCAGTATTGCAGCACCAGCAACTTCTTTTCAAACATACACGACCCTACACATTGTTATCTCGTCTTTCATACCCTCGAAGATCCCTTTTCTACATTTTGTGGAACCCCCTCCCATTCAAAAGTCTGAACAGCCGCTTCCAGTCAGGTAGTCAGTCACCACAAGAAGCACACCGAGTTGCCCGATCTGGAAAGAACCGCTGCCGCGCAAGTGCCAGTGCCCAGCGGTTCGGTGCCGGGCCATTCACGGTCGAACTTCCCCAAAGTGGAAAAGAGAACGTAATGTGCACTGGCACTGGCACTGGCGCCGGCCACAATACCCCGACACTCGTGCAAATGCGCCAAACACCCAATCTGCTATACGTGGTACTTTATCTTATGGAGACGAGGGCGTGGCCCGTCGCTGTTACCTAGACGTCTTATAAAGTGGTTAGTGGTATGAATGATAGATACAAGAATGGCTGCGGGCATCTGCGGCGAGCGCTGGCACTGACACCGGCACAGGCACCGGTCCCCTGGTATAATGCCCTAACGCTGCTACAAATTTCGGCCTTGGGGGTGATGGTGGCGTGTAGTTGTGGGCCTTGCAGAAGTGGCCCTGCCAGGGAGGGAGTGGCCCATCGCAGACGTGCGCCAGTGCCAGTGCAAAGGGAAAAAATTGTGTCATTGTACAAATACCTGGGACATACGGTGGTGGGGCTGTGCCAGTGCAAGTCGTGGGGGCCACATGGTGTAGCTACAGTGGCTGCATGCGAGGGTGCCAGTGAACGGGAGCGGGGCTTGGCGGGGACGAGGGGTAGCCACTTACACAACCAACGTCGCTGGGGGAAAATGTGCTGCGGTGGGAAGCGGGCGACGATGTGAGGGCTGTAGCGTTGGTGGATGCTCACTGTCGCAAGGGTCATTGAGGAAAGGAGAAGAGGTGTGTTAGTGCCGCCCTAGGTGACGGCTTCTTGGCTGGGTTGGGAGGATATAGTAAGCGAACAGGTGCAGGTCAGTTGATCAAAAGTGTGCATGTATTGTTGTCTGCCGCTATAGGTACATGGGTGATCTAATGGTACAGTGTATGAAATGTAAAGCCAGATCTTCGAACGCCAGGCGAACCAGGATGTTGGTACAGATGGTGGTGGCGTATACCAAGAGGGAAACGAGAGCACCCCTGGAGACACGCGATCTTCTTAGTCAAAGCTCGAGCACTGTCGGTTGAGAGACCAGCTAATATCAGTGCAGAGTTCGATATGAGTGTAGAGGTCGTGAAGCTTGAGTAGACCACAAGGCGTGGACACGGCCTTTGCTGCGAGGTCTACGGTCGACGACACGTCGAAGATAGTCAAAGGGTAGATTTGGCAGACCGCTTCATAACTGCATCGACGCGCAGGAGCTGCTCGGAGAGGCTCCGGTGATGTCTTTTGTGATCCTTGTTGGTGTAGAATGGAGCATCGTGCGTGTCCGCCGCTTCATACTTCTGTTGGCAGTATGATGGCTGTTTTGGCCCATCACAGGATGGTTTGATCCTGGACCCGTTGTCTTGGGCTGATTGTGTCATGGTGGAAGCGGCTAGGTATGAGGAGCAGCCGCGGTGGTGAGGGGGAGGCGGACTGCAGCAGTGCTGGCTTGATACAGACACAGGCTCTTGGACGTAAGTGGTATTGGACTGGCTGCCCGGTTGGATCTGGACCTTCAGTCGGTTTGCGAAGGCAATCGCAGGAGGGAAAGATGTTGGAGGGAGGGTGATTCGGTGAGAGGCCAACGGCCAGCCTATAAGTAACATGTTAGGACTGTTGTGGCCCCCCACCGTGGCCCAATGCCCCGTAGCAGGAAGTGAGGCTTCGCCAGAAGTCCAACACACTGATTGAACCTGAAACAGCGCACGGCCCTGTCACACTGCGCTGGTACTTTTAATCAGTGGCGAAAAGACTTGTGATGAGATTGTCGTCAGACGACAACAGGATTGAGTAGATGAGGAGGATCCACCCGGTGAAGATTGAGCATCATCCGAGCGATCAGCAATTTGCATGATTGAGTCAGAAGTTGTGGTATCTTCAGATTTCGAAAAGTGTATGTGCACGCGCGAGGTCCTGCATAGAATCAGTAGAGGTGGCTCTGCAGCAGGGACTGGCTATGTGGGGAGCGTACAGCTGAGCAATCGTCAATCAGTGTACCCCAGCCTATGGACAAGCACCAGCGACGGAGACCATGACCACCTCCGAAAAGGAGTTGCTTCTTCCCGGGCCGTATGCAATTGGGTGGGTACGAAGCCATGGAATGTTCCTCGGGAGGATTAGAGAATCTTCATGGGTGTGCAAACTCCGACGGATCCTAGCCAGTAATCGGGTCTTGGACATCGGATTGGAGTGCTGACCCCTGTGGGATCCTGCTCATGGTGGCAGAGGAAGGGGGAGAACGCCTTCCTGACTTTCGGTGTTCGAGTTCCTGACCATGCAAACGCTCCCTTCGGGGGGCCAATGTTTCTAACGGAGAGATCTGCCCACGTGGAGGGCAGGGGTGTCGCGCCACTTTTGGCAGGGGTTCCTAGCACTGGTGCCCTGGTGGTGAAGACTTGGAAACGTTAATCACTGCTGAATATGACTAGGCGAGCGCTCGAATGAACCGGCTGACCCAATACCGTGGTATCCCAAAGGAGCACAGAAAGGAAAATGATCACCGCGCGACAGGACAGGGGAGTTGCACCAAGAGAAACGGCACACTGGAAAAAAAAAGCAATTTTCGGGCTTCTGCAAGGCTCGACTCCAGGGGTTGCGCAAGTCGTGGAGATGCCCAGACATAGGCGCTTTAGGTCATCATCCGGCTGAACACCCACGGGGAAGGCAAGGGGTGCGTCAGCCGGCAGGGGTGGTATTCCAAGCAGATATCCACCTGCATGGGTCCCTCGTCACCGCAGCGCCGGCGTCCTGGGAAACGAAGCGGTTGACCGGCCGCCTTCTCCTTTGCAATGCGTAGATAGCGTTCCGGAATATCGGCCTGGGATCCCCGTCCGTCAAGCAACAAAGGGAAAGCTTTAGTGTTGATTGCAATCGCCCCGCCAGGCCGACTGAAACAGTGCTTGGCATTTGTTGATCTTCACGCGGATGCAGTATTGCTTGCTGTTGTGCCACCAACCCGGGTCACGGTGCATGTGCATCCACGGTACGCCCCTCACGTGCATCAGGTGCCTCTTGATAAGGACGCTTCGCTACGAGAAGCTAGCGCGGCCTGAATGCGGCCGTCCCAAGTCTGCCTCGCAAGGGGCTATGTTATGGATGGTTGCACAACTGTAGGTTGTGCTACCCCATCCAGCCACGAAAACAAGCAGAAGACATCGGGCAGCGAGGCGAGCTTCCGCTTCCCACGTATGTATGTAGACATGCATAGAGCCAATCGTGCGTAGCAGATCAGGAGCCACTTCGACAAGTTTGTCCTGTATCAGGCTCGCTGACGTCCAGCGGCAAGTCCCTGTGGCTGCTTGGAGCCTGGGGTCCGGCCGAGCGTTCCACAAACGCCAGGGTTTTTGGCTTCTCGAAGGCTTCTGTATCGAGACACGGCTAAAATTGCCCTCGTCAACGCCCCAGGCCAGGGTCAGGTCGCCATCCTCGTCACACTACAGCTAGGGTGGCTGTCGCTTGGCGGAGCCGGACATGCCAGCGGTACTTGGCTGGAAGAGAGCGAGGCTGCAGAACAGAGATGGCAGGTAAAAATTTTAAATTGCGTCTCAGATCCATGCAGACGAGTTCGCCACGTCATCAGAGCGTAGAGGAGCTCAGCCAGATGGCACGCAATCAGACTTGCCGTGTCGCCTTTCAGCATAGAATGGAGGCTGCTGACGCCTCAAATGCGCTAACTTCGACGCATGCCACTATCCCCAGGATGGGTCCGGTTCCTGAGGAGGCCAGCTGACCTGATGCTCAAACAAACCCTAGTAACCTCGCATGCCGTGAGTCATGGTTGGTAGTCGTGATCCACACGCATGACCTTACCTTGCTAACGGACAGATCCATATCTTCAACCCTGGCAAGAGACCAAACGGAGCCGGGCCCACACATACCCTCGCCTTGTGTAGCGCACCGTCGATGGGGCGGGCCCGAGTCATGAACGTTCGCGCTATGGTGCTCGATTCAACAGAGCTGGGCAAAATCGGTTCCGAGGGTTCTGGGCTTGGTGTAGTGGATGCCGCAGTCCAATCCAGGGCCGAGTGCAGGCCTTGACTTGAGCAGAAATGGCATCAACCAGACGTCGCCTTTGCTTGCAGCTTCTCTTCTTCTTCTGGCGTCTTTGTGCGTAGCTCCAAGGCATGTATACCCCCCTCCCGCTCAAGCTCTTCTTTTAATAGGGCATAGACCATGCGGTGACGTGCAGGTTGCATCTTGGATGCAAACTCGGGCGAGACGATGTTTAGCGCGAAGTGCGTCTCTTTGGAAGTCACGCCTTGCATAGCCTTGTGATGAGAATGTAGGTGCGAATTGTTACGAATCTCGAGAACGGTCGGCTTCAAGGCTTCCGTGACCTGCGACTTCGGTTAGGGCTCGTTCGCAAGCTCCAGGAGCTACGGACTTTGGATCGGATAGCATCCTCCATGGGAGTAGCCGTGGTGCTCGCCATTCTGCGGAACACGGGCGAAACGCTCTTGGAAAGCAGTGTTCGGTTCATGGGCGGACTTGGGTACACAAACAATGGTCTTGACTGGAAAAAGAAGCTGTTGGGATTACCGGGGATATATCAACGGCCGCGGGGATGGACCATTTTCGCCAATCTGGCGCTAAAACGAAATTCCGCTCCGTCGGGGGAGCTGTGGAGCTCAATATCTTCCTGTGCGCCCCGCTGCTCTTCCGCAAGTCAATCTCAACGTCTGTTAGTCTCGGGCTTGTCCATGACGGGGCGGTCAGGGCCTTGACTATGGCTTCGACATGCGTCCTTTCTTCCTTCTTCCCAGTGTGAGGAGGGCTTTTGTGGTAGACAGGGCCAGCTTGAGCATTTCCATAACCAAGAATTCTCCAGTCTTTTTCCGCATGGCCTCCACATTGCCTTCGACGCCGATCTTCAATGCGATCGCAAAGCACGATGCAAAGTCGTTGGCCATAGTTCATAGCAGCTCCAACCGCTCATTTTGCTACGGGAGCTTGCTACACGATGTCGCAGCAGCAAAGGACAACCTAGCCAGTCTGGTCCATGGCAAGTCCCTGCGGGGAGAGCGTGTGGCTTTCCTTGCAGAGAATGGCTATGACTATGTTGGTACGAAAGAATGGCCGAGCATACATAGCGACGTAGACTAACATCCCTGCAGTAACTTTCCTGTCCATCCTCGCGCACGATGCCATTGCTCTGCCTCTCGCCTTTACGCACCCAAGCTCCGAGCTACGCTACATCCTCGAGAACAGTGAGGCAGCACTGTTTCTGTCGACCGAGAAATTTCAAGAAAAGGCAGAAGATGTGCTGAAAGAGCCAATGGATCATAAGCCACGCATGGAGATATTGTCCAAGATTGAGACTGGCGCGACGTCTGCAGAGAACGTCAAGTTTCAGGAAACAGCTCTTGATAATGCCGGCTTCATGCTGTATACTTCAGGGACAACGAACCGGCCAAAAGGCGTTGTTCTATCTATCGACAACATCACCGCACAAGCAAAGTCGTTGATTGAGGCGTGGAAATACTCAGCATCCGACCTGTTGCTGCATGTGCTCCCGCTTCATCATATCCACGGCACTATCAATGCGCTGTTCACACCCCTCATGGCCGGGTCTGCTATCGAGTTTGCATATCCATTCAACGCTGACACAGTCTGGCAAAGGCTAGCAGCTCCCTTCCTTCCCGATGTTCCTTCTGGCAAGGATCCAATTACATTCGTTACGGTCGTTCCTACTATCTACAACAGGCTTCTTGCATCATTTCCCTCCTTGGATGATGGCATGAAGAAGGCGGTCAAAACGGCTATTTCTCCCAAATACATGAGGATCAACATCTCGGGTTCGGCGGCGCTTCCTACGCCGACCAAGACAGCTTGGACCGAATTGAGCGGCGGAAATGTGCTCCTGGAACGCTACGGAATGACCGAGGTGGGCATGGCGCTGTCATGCGGCCTAGACTACGCTGACCGTGTGGACGGAAGCGTGGGATGGCCACTTCCTTCTGTGGAGGCCAGGCTGGTGGACACGGAAAACGCCGAGGTTATCAAAGAAGGAGAGGAAGTGTCTCCTGACGGTCGTCTGAGGGAAGGAGAGATTCAACTTCGAGGGCCAACCATTTTCAAGGAGTATTTCCGCAATCCCAAGGCAACTGCTGAGGAGTTCGTAGAAGCGGAAGACGGCAGAGGGAAATGGTTCAAGACCGGCGATGTGGCTGTGCGTCAGGTCGTGCATGGTGCCGGTCGAAGCGACCAAGCCTGGGCTCAAGGACCAATGTATTTTATTCGCGGCAGGAAGAGTGTCGACATTATCAAGACAGGTGGAGAAAAGGTATCTGCGCTTGAAGTGGAACGTGAGCTGCTGTCACTGCCCGAGGTGGCTGAGGCAGCAGTGGTCGGTGTCGCCTCGGAGCAATGGGGCCAGAAGGTGGCTGCAGTTTTGGTCTTGAGCGAAGCAGGAATGACCGCTGGTAGGGGCGGCAAGCGCTGGTCTGCACTGGACATGCGCAAGGCACTCAAAGACCGTCTGGCCAACTATAAGATCCCACAGGAGCTGAAAGTGGTCGATTCGATACCGCGAAACGCGATGGGCAAGAGTAAGTCACCCTCTTCTACCCATCAACCTCGTCTGCTGGTGCTTACAAGGAGTAGTAAACAAGAAGACCCTGGTCAAGGACATATTCGGATAGCTGCCACTCGCACTGCTTTTTGCGGTTCCTACAAAACACTAGGCGGTCCTCAGGCTTCAGTTGTCCTCCCACTTCCAATCGTCGCTGCTTCCATTGCAGTCCTTGTCGCGTATATCTTTAGTTGTTATCATCATTCTTGTCATAATACTCGTGCTGCTTGCCTGCTCTGCCGAAGTTGTGTTCTGTGTTCGCTTACGCCTTATCGATGAGGCTCAAGCCCCTGTCCCACAACCAAGCCCCCTCTCGGCCCTTTGAGCCAGTCACATACCGCTAATGCAGGCTCCTGCTCTTCGCGCTTCACCTCACAGCTGGGCTCTTCCTATGCAGGTCGGTCGCACGAATGGCGTCGTCTGCCGGACCCCCCCTGGTGAGTAACACAGCCTCGACCCGCAGAACATGAGGCACAGCCTGTTCTCTGGCGCCTCCCAGACGCTGGGCGCATGCAGAGCTGCTCAGCGTGTTCTATCGTTGCTGGCGCAGGTAGGTATGGCATGCTTTTGATGCGTTGATGAAGCTATGATCGATGTGAGAGTCCTCATTCCATCTCCCTGCTTTCCTGGAAGCTATAGAGCAGCCTGATCGTCCTCTGCCCGCCCCGAAATGGCCGGACTGCCACCACAGTCTTCGAATACAAACCTACCGCAAAGAACCGCTCAACAGATCTTTCGGAACGCGGCCGTCCCAATTCCCGAGCAGATCTTTCGTGAAGCAATAGCTCGAGTGCAACGTGAATATAAGGATGCTGTACAGAAGTCACAACACAAGAGCCGCGCGAAGAGAGAGGACGCGCTCCTGAGCAAGTTAGTCGTGGCGCGCGATGCAACGGCCTTACAAGACTTGATTAGGGATGAGCATGAGCAGAGTCGAATCTTCGGTCGAGTCGCAAGAGCCCCATCCTTCGAGAGGTTGCAACCCTGGCTGGCCAGTATTCAGCGTGCTGGAGACTTAGTAGACAAAATCATCTCTTCTACAGGTACGTCTAAACAGCGACCGGGAATTCTATAAGGAACCCGACAGCTTCCTATACTCACAGATATCTTTCTATAGATGCCACCAAAGTCGGCCAGCCTGTGTGGGCGGTGTGCTGCCTCGCCATGACCGTGAGTAAAACTCTACACGATCGGAAAACCAAAGAGGGGCATACTGATCAAGACGGGTGCGTAAGGTGGTGCAAGAAGTGTCTTCGATCCAAGATTCTATCCAAGATTTCACAGAGGAACTCTCGAGAGATCTGAAGGCCTTCGAAAGATACTACATGACGACTCAGCGGCCCCCCGAAGCAGGCACGCCGCTATATGAAACTCTCTGTGATTATTACATCGTCTTGATCCGCTTCGCGCTGATGGCCTCGCCTATGATGACGAGCTCGTGGCACGGTCAGTACAGGGCCAGCGCAGCACGGCACTGCGCCGCGGTCTGACGAAACGACTTCTCTCAAGACACTGACTGATATATAAACACAGGTATGCGGCGACTCATTAGCGGTGAAGGCAAATCCAACATGGACGCTATGCGTCTGAAGCTGGAGAAGACGGCGGCACGCGTGCGTGTTGATGGCACCGCCGAGACCTCGAAGAGATTGGAAGGTGAGTCAAGCCGGGGCCCTGGGCTGTCTCCGGTACGTTAGCAGTCCGTTCAGCTAGCTAAACCTGTGGCTACAGAGACGCTTGAAGCACAGCGACTCAGCTCCATTCAAGGTACGAGACTGCGTGTTTCCCGGGTTGAAGGTCAGTATACTAACACGAACTGCAATCAAGCGCTCACGAGTGGTGGGAGCGGCACTCGACCCACCGCCCGGTTATCGTTGCCAGCAAAGATGCTGAATCCCCAGTTCGCGGGTCGCGATGCGCTTTTGCTTCGAATTCAGAAAACCCTAAACCCCCCAACTATACCCACCGAACCTGCACACCTGTGTTTGTGTGGTATACCGGGTGTCGGTAAGACCCAGACAGCGCTAGCCTTCGCACAAAGCACCGTGTCAACCCAGAGTAGTAGTGCTGCCTCATATGCCCACCAGTTCCTCGTCAACGGCCAGTCGCTGGCCTCTGTACAGAACGATCTCGTCCGACACGCAAAACTCGTCGACGACCCTGCCGCGGCTTCGCTTCGCAAGGAACCGGAGCTGATCGGTTGGTTCATTGCCTGGCTCAAGACTGCAGACCGGTGGCTACTCATCTTGGATGATGTTCATGATACCAGTGCGGTTTATGGTCTCCTGCCCTCCTCGGGGAACGGCCACATCATCTACACGACACGCAGTCCTCAGACGGCGAAACTCCTCTGTGGTGGCACTACCGCCAATGTGATAGAGATGGCTCAAATGCAAGCGGACGAGAGCAGGGAGATGTTGTTGTCCGTCATGAGAGACTCGACGTGCACAGTGTCGCCTGCCGATACCAACACCGCCATCGAAGAGATCTCTGCATTCTGCGGTGGCCTCCCCCTGGCTATGGGACAGCTGGTGCGCAATGCTGACTCCCACGGCCTGCACTGGAGACAAGCGCTGGCCAATGCGAAGCAGAAGCGCAGCTTCCTGGAGCAGAAAAACATCAACGGCTTCTACGCAGGCAACCTTTCCACGGGGGCGATTCTAATCTCAGCCCTCGATCAGCTCAAGAGCAAAGACAGATCTGAGATGGCTGCAGCGCTCTTCCCGGTGCTAGCATATCTGGAACCGTCGTCCATTTCTCATAAGATGCTAGTCGACGGTGGAACTCAATTGAGTGCTTGGTTCACCCGAACAGTCACCTATGACAGAGGCTGCAGCCGAACCGTGGAAGGCGACAGGGCATTGGCTAATGCCCGTCGAAACAGACTTACCGCACAGCAACTTACTGGCGCCCCTGACGCTCCTTGGTATGAACGGCTGAGAAGCGTTCCTAGAGCCAGTGTCCGGCACCGCAACAAGCCTCTGCCGCGTGTAGATCCCCCGGCTGATATCGAGCTCCAAAACCGGTGGCAGCAAGCAACCGCTATCCGTGATGTCTTTGAAAGCGAAGTCCACCTCAACAAAGCCCTCAACTTCCTCGACGACTCCGGTCTCGTCCGCAACATTGGCAACAACACGTTCTGGATCCATGATCTGTTCGCCGAACTCACGAGAGCGTATCTCGAATCTATGAATACGTCAGCTTCGACAGGCGCAACCAACGTAAAACCCCCTTCCACGAGCCACACGGCTCAAACCACACTCCACCTATGTGCCACACTGGTCTACCTCGCTTTCCCCCCTATTCTCCCACGTCACCCTGTGACGACAGAGTGTCTCATGCTCCTACCGCACTTGGAGGTCGTTCTCTCGCACCTCTCCTCCTCTCCACTCTCATCGTCCTCGACGTTGTCATCATCGGCGTCCTCTTCCTCGTCAACCACCATCGAAAGCACCCTAGCTGACGCCACCGTAGGTGCCGAACTCAACTACATCGCCGGCTGCGTGACCGATCTCAAGGAGATGCGGCTCGGCATCAGCCGCGGCGCATGGCCGGGCACACTGGACCAAAGGCGTGCAGCCGCCAGCCTGCCGTACTTCCGCGTCGCGCATGCGGGCTACGCGGCTGCAGCGCAAAGGGTGATCAGCAGGCTACTGCTAGATTACAAGCCGAAGCGGGTGCGGAGGATGGTGAGTGAGGCTGTAAGCTGGGATTTCGATCTCGAGAATTTTGCTCAGACGAGGGGTCAGGGCAGAATGTACTACAGTCCGGTACGGCATGCGTGGGACTGCGAGCGATTCGGCAGCGATCCCGTGCGGCGGAGGGCAGACAGCTTGCTGAAGCTGGGGTTGGTGTGCCGGCTCGCCGGCCATGGGGACGAGGCGGTGAGGTATCTCCGGGCGGCGCAGCAGGACTATACGCTGCTCTTGGGCCAGAGCCACGAACTCACCGAGGAGGCGAGGGTGATGCTGCAGGTGACGTACGAAAAGGCTGGCCAATGGGAGGAGGTGCTTGGCGTAGTGCAAGAGCGATATCGTGTAGTTGCTTTCACAGCCAGGTCTAACGCTGGCTCGGGCTGGAGAGGTCCTTTCTTCGGACGACAATCCATCCCGCAATTCGGCCTGATCGATTGCCATCGGCCACTGCTGGACGCAGCTGCTACTGCGCTGTCGCACCTGGGTCGGCATGAGCAGGCCATTTTGTTCCTGGAGACGCTCTACCAGCTCAACGAGCGGCAATCAGGGAAGCACTCGAAGCACCTCATTCCTGTTGCGAAGTCTTTGGCGGTGGTGCACGGCCGTGCCGCGCAATGGGCGTCTTGTGTATATTGGTGGTGTGTAGTGTTTGGTCTCGTTTTCGGCGCGGTGGACGGTGAAGACGTGGTATATGAGGGAAGCGATGGAGGCGAAAACGAGGACGACAGAGAACTTGAGACAAGGCTTGGAGATGAGGCAAGAGATGCAGATGTGCACAGCCTACTGGAGGAGGAAGGATGGTGGCTGAAGGATGGATACCTAGCCATGCAGAGGGGTATGCCGGAGGAGCTGACGATGTGGGACTTTGCGCTCGGCAAGTGGAGGGAGGAGCTATGTGCGGGAGGCGGGCACCCAGGTACCTCGGAGGATGCTCTAGCTGCTTTGGTGAGCAAGATAGAGAGGGACCTGGCGGTCTGGAAGAGGAGGTTGGATCTCAAGCGTAGAAAGGACAGAGAAAGAGAAGAGAGGGAAATCAGAGAAGTGATGGAGGAGGCTGCATCGAGGGCAGCACGGTCGTGGCCTGCGGACAGAAGTAGTGTAGACGTTGCGGACACCTGAATGAAGGATTTGGGTGATGGTGAAATATCGCGATCGCCATTGGCCACGGGACATGAATGCTGTTGCCTTGCTCGTCGCCTTTTTGATCACACTGGCCCACCATTCTCGGAAACCACACATGCCTGCACAGATAAGAAGACAATGACTCGTAGGGCAGGGGATGATTATTATGATCTATAACCCAGGCTGTACAGTACTCCGAAGGACACACAGTGTCTGGTCAGAAGAAGTTGGTGGTCATGATGACAGACACAAGACAAAAGTCGCCCAGTCGCTCTCTTTCTCCTTTTTGCATCGCTGTGTTGGCCCAAAACAAATGAAAAGCAGCAATCCACGCACGCTCCAGCGGTAGACTTGTAGTGACAAGCTCCGACTCGCGCAGGTGCTACTCAAATTCAGTCCTCTCCTCCCCCCTCTGCTGAGCGCAGCTGATCGCACTGCTCGGCGGCTGCCATCAGGATCGCTTTTGAACATGTATTTTTCCAACACATATCTGCTTCCGCGCTCGCTTTGCGCATTCAAAAGATGGTCAAAAGATGCGAGGTCGGCGAATCACACACCGGACAGCACTCAGTTGTTATTGTTGTTATTGTTGTTGTCAGGCAATCTGGGATCGAAGGTGTTAATTGGTTCTGCAGACGAATCTGTTACCGAGGAACTTTCGCTCGGAAAAGCATGCAAGACTCACAACTTGGGAATGGCAATGCCCAAAACAATGGCAATGATGATGAGAATGACAACTGGACCTGATCAGTATGTGAATGTCATGGTCCACAAAATAAAACTCACCAACGATGCCCAAGCACCACCACTTCTTTCTCCGGGCAGCACGAGCTTTGGTGACGGCACCATCGAGTTCGGTGTTGGCTTTGGCAACATGATCGTTGACTTCCTCGCCTCGTTGCTCGATCTGCTGGACAGCAGGCTCTTGCTGAATAACCTGGGTTTCTAAATCCTGGTACAGCTGCGCAAGCATGATCATGTCTTGTTCGATCTTCTGAATAGCCTGGTGACGGGAGCGCACATTGTTGGAAATGTTTTGGGCTTGACCACGGCGGTCGGAATTAATGAGCTGACGAATGTTAGCGCGAGTGATCGCATTTGATCGGACTTGGACGTACTGCTTGTGAGAAGATTGCCTGATTGCCTGAATCCTCAATTGCTTCTCGGACCTCCGCATCACTGGCATCTGGTCGCACGATGCGGTATTCTCGAGCGCTGCGTTCGTTAAGCTTCTTGCGGTGGTCGCTGTCGGCTTGCTGGAACCGGTTGATCATGGTCTTGATGCGGCGGTCCACCTTTCCCACCTGAGGAGCATTTCGAGGATTGCCTGATTCAGGATCCTGCTTGATCTTCTTGACACGAGCCACTATGGCCCGGTAGGTGTTCATAATGTCAGACGATTGGCTCTCGACTTCCGTCTGGACATTGGAGTTGGTCGCAGCGTCATCTATCGCACGACGGTGCATGAGCTTGAGGCGCTCGAGCTTTTCTTCCAGCTCATCAATTGTTCGATCGATATTTCGACATTCGTTGAGGAGACGATTAGGATCGTTGCCGTTCATGTTGGACATTTCTGATCGCGATTAGCCTAGGAACACTTTTGCTGCATAAGTGCTTACCATAACCGGCGTTCCCTTGCTCGGGGTCCTGGTAGTTGGAGCTCCCTTGTGGTTGCATTGGGGGCCGGCCATAGCCACCCTGTTGGGGATATTGGTTTCCGCCTTGCTGAGCATATGGGTTGCCGCTATCTCCATACGGGTTCCCGTTCTGTCCGTAGGGATTGTAGGAGCCGTACGCCTGCTGGCCGCCTTGGTTGTACTGGATGATGTCAGTGACTGGATTGTATGCGTGCGGATGGCCGTGACGGCGGAGCACAGGCGACGCGACGTCGGCGGAGGACAGAGTGAAGACGGAATGAAGCGCTTCGCGGGTAACATACACTCATGATGGCGACTTCTCAGTGAATTGAAAAGTCAGAGGTGGTGGTAGAATTGAGACCGAACCAACAAAACAGCAACCCCTGGTGAGATCGAATATCGGCGACGAGGAGATGAAACAGTTGAGGTAAAAGACAATACGAAGAGGATGCAGCTTAGGTCATACAGAAGGTATGGAATGAATTTACGGGAAGAAAGGAAGATGTTAAGCAGCGACGGCGATGGCCTTACGTGCGCTGTGGGAGGCTGAGTGATCAAGGATAAATGGGCTCAGCACGTAAACCAGACCAGCACATTGCAGAGGTGGGCGAGAAGGAGTAGGGATGGGCAAGCACAGCCGCCGGCGGCGAAAGGGACTAGCGGAGCCCTTTAGACGGCATTAAGCGGGGCCCGACACGACCAAGGGACTGTTCAGGCTTCAGGCTTCGCTGTTTGGCCTCCAAACTTACGCTAGGTCTGGTAGTAGTCAGATCGTGCCCTGCTCCAGCTTCTAGACGCCGCCCGCCGCTTCGCATCCCTTTGCTGTGGCATTTTCCCACCATCTTCTCTGCTACTTTGCGACACTTGCGCCGATTATGCCGTGACTATGTAAGCGCTTATTTTTGGATGACGGCCACGCGCAGCTCTCGGTGCCAGGCATATGCCTACGTGCAGCCGGCGGCGCCGGTCTGACCTCCTTCTCATCTAAGCCAAGCCTCCAATCAAGCTCATCTCGTTTGTCCGTGGTAGTATCAATCTACCTTATGTACTATTTGTTTTTTCTCCGCAAGACGATCAAGCGAGCGCCATGAGCTCCGGCAGATAGTGCAGCAGGTATAAGTACTTGCAGCAGACCACTCGTAGATCTACTTGGTGCGAGTGGTTCGGTCTTTAGGTTTCGCAACTTAGCCATGGCATCCTCATGGGTACGCCCAATGCTACCTCGGTGACAGCGCCTTGCAGTTCTTCAGCTTGATGACAAAGATTACATTGGAGTATGCACCATACAGCGGCTTTGGAGAAGATTGGACAGACTCATGGTAATCTCTCCGCTCCTTCCTATCTAGCCAGCCAGCGCAGCCGAAAGCGCTTTTGGCGAGTTTTGCACTTTACTTGCAGCGATAGTTCAAGTTTGGCGATTGCCTGCTGCTGTTTCAATTGACGTTTATTGACTTGCGACAAGCCACGCAGCCAAGAAAATCGTGCTGCCCGAAATAAAACTCGCGCTGCGCCATGATTGACGCTGGCGTCCCGCGTGCGGAGTCTTCTGCGCAAGGCTGCAACATTTGCTTTCGTTTCAGCCTGGTCGAACCCTTCAATGGACCATCAGACCGAAAGGCCCGTCGAAAATTCCTCTACCAAATGGCACCATGACCGTTTACGGTCTACCATCTGGATTGCTCAGTCACGCCTTCCCATCCTCGTTCACTGTAGCCTAACTGGTCCTTGACACGCCTCACCGTGCTTGCTTCTCCGGTGTTCTTTCCAGCATTGTCCGAGATCTTGATTGCGGGCTGACCTCCGGCCTTGGAGAGCTTGATGACAATGTTGAGAGGTTTTGACTTTGTTGCTGCATCCGACTTGTGACTGAAATCATTGGTCAGGAACGTGCCGACACCGAAAGATGGTGTGAAGCCATGCTCTTCTGCTACCTGCTTGTACTCGAAGCATAAATCGACGTTGAGGGAGTCTGAGAATACGATCGTCTTCTTTGGCAGTCCATTCGCTTCATAGAAGTTGCTCGCCAGTTTGACGTACTCTTTGGGATCGCCCGAGTCTTGTCGGATGCCGGTAAAAACTTCAGCAAAGGACGGCTGAGCAGCGGCATCTTTGGCGGCATCGTACGCGGCGGAAGACCGTCGACGGACCTGTACTGGCTTTTTGAACGCTTCGAAGAAGTTCGGCGTCCCGAAAGTGTCAGTCAGTGCTACACCTAGGACACCTTTGCCGAAGCACTGATACCAGAAGCGCAGGCCCTGCTCGTTGGCAGTCTGGTAATTGTCCGTGATCGCCGCGATGCCCATATACCACTCATGCGCCACCGTTCCGATCGGGCTGAGGCCGTGTTCCATGGCAAGATAGACGTTGCTCGTTCCTGTCAGCTTGCCAGGTCCGGCGATGTCGTCCGACGCTCGGATGAGACCTTTTATCACCTCATCATGTGTTTGGAAGTCGCGTCGCCGTCGCGTACCGAAGTCAGAGAACATGCAACCGCCTTTGAGGAGCGCATTTCCTTTCTGGTATGCAAGCTCTTCTTGTCCTTCGTGACTCCAGTCAAGGTCAACAAACTTGAAGTATGCCTCGCTTGTCAACGCTAGTAGCGGGATCTCGTAGAGAATTGTCTCAACCCAGAGGCCTGCAACCTTGATGTCAAGATCGCCCCATTCACCATCAACGTTCCGGAATTCAAGCTTGACCTGAGTCCCCGGTTGAAGCCGGAAGTTTCGCAGATAATCGAGGTAGTCTTCGGTGAAGAAAGGACAGTGCTTGCGCAGGAACGAGAGCTCCCGTATGGACAGGCTGATATTCTCCAGTCTTGCGACCTGGTCTTTCAGCCACTCGAAAGCTGTGCGGTTGAGGCGCATGTGAGGCGTTCGGTTAGTAAAGGCATATTCGACCTCTACCGATGGGAAGAATTTGAGGACGGCGCATTGCATCGTCAGCTTGTACAGATCGGTGTCAAGGAGGGAGAAGACGCCCTCCGGCGTGCTTGCAGACGGCATTATGAGGATGGATGTGGCAGTCAAGCAGTTGTAGAGAAGGGAGAGTTAGACGACAGCTTTGGATGTGCAGATGCAGAGGTCGTTTGTGTCAGCATGCCCGTAGATGAAAGGTCATTGTCTCAGCCTTCTAGGAAGCAGCCTGAAGACTTTAAAGTGATTCAATACGGACTGCCTGTCAACGCCTACGACATGCCTCTTCGTCATTCTCCAAACAATTGTGAATGAGCCCCTCCTAGGCGCACCCCGCAATCTGCACTACCCGCCTTTCCATTCTTGGAAGCGAGGCCGCACAGTCTTCACAGCAATCCACTGATGCAAGATTCCCGACCAACTCCATCTCGCTACTGACGTGGCCATTATAGAGTGACGACTAATTTGGTTGCACTGACCCCTTTACTGAGTTCCGTGGCTGCGGCATCAAGTGCCTCCAGACCTCTTCCAACCACCCGGGCTGGCGGTGCGGGCTTCAGTTGGCCAGTCTCTAGGGCCCTGGGCAGGAAGTCGTGATACTGTGTTCTGGTTAGACTTGCTTCCAGACAGAGAGGGGATGGTGTGGGAGACTCGGAGGAGGCAAAGAGCTGTAGATATGATTTCCATATGCCACGAAGGTTTTCTCCGAGTCACCCAATTCGAGCTTGTTTTGAGACTTACTACAGCTTTGCCAATGTATGCGTCCGCATCCTGGTGCACCTTTAAGGCAAAGACTAGGCCGTCGTCAATAGCAAGTAATGGAACTGGTCCTGGAAGTACTCACCCATCGTTGCTGCAACGTGAGGAGCCTCAGCCGTGTTCAATGCGCTTGCGATCTTGCCGCCACCAAGCTGAGACATAACTTGAGCAACAGCTTCAGCACTGTCTTTGCTTCCAGTGCCTGCATTGCACGTTAGCGGTTGAGCTGATGAGCAGTAAAGAAGCATACCATCAAAGGCACCGACCAAATCTTGTCCTTGAAGAGCGGAAACAACATCGGCCACCACGCTGGACTTGTTGTAATCAAACACTTCTTTCGCACCCAGCCCTTTCACGAAGTCGAAGTTCTTTGGGGAAGAGGTGGAGATCACTGTAAGTCCCGAGGCGCTTGCCAGTTGCACCGTTGCCGCGCCCACGCTCCCACTGCCACCCCAAACAAGAATAGTCTTACCCGTCATGTCTGGGCTGTGGGATGGAAGTGGCAAGGCGAGGTGCGCCTTTGAATAGAGGCCTTGTGCGGCCGTTGAGAGCGACAATGGGAGCACGGACGCTGCCTCGTATGAGATGCTATCTGGCAAGGGCGTAGTAGCCTGAGCCTCAACGACGGTGTATTCTTGGAATGCAGAATGTGCAATGTTGCCAGTGCCAATCCGGAGAGCGTGGCCTACAGACAGTGAGAAACATGAGAAGTTAGGGGCGTGGCAGTTCGAGTATACTTCCTCATAAGAGGACTTGCTCTCGATACTGCAACACAAAGCAGGAAAGCAAGTTGGCTGGTGCAGGTTGTCCAGGGTTTGGAGTGACTCACCCAGTACTCGCTGGCCAACCTTGAGGCCCTTGACGTCGGTCCCAACTTCGACAATATCTCCAGCCAAGTCGCAGCCCAGAATGTCGGGCAATTCCCCCGGAAACACCCCTTGGTCGCGCATCATCCAGTCTACAGGATTGATGGCAATAGCCCGATTTCTTACAAGGACTTGGTTCGGCCCAGGGTTGGTGACTGGGGCAGGGCCAACCTGGAGGGACTCTCCCCTCTCGACGAGGAATGCTGCGCGGTTCTCGGACACCATATTGATGATAGAGCTGAAGAAATAATTGTTGATGTGGTTGTTTGACTTTTAAAGAATCTGCGTGAGCCGTTGATAGATGTCAAGATGATAAGTTTTCTACGACAGGAGATGGAAATTCCCAGCTTTTATGCTTTACAGATACTCACCGAGCACAGTATAAAGTGCATACATAGTCATTGGTAATCGATGAACAAAAGCATTGCCATTGTGTATCGGTGGGTCACCGGCACGAACGCGGCGTGATGTCCCCAGACATCAGAGTAGTCATGGTGCTGAGTAGTGCAACAGCATCATGCGGTAAAGAGTTCGAAAGATCCTTTCCAAATCAACAGTCGTCCACGCGATACTTAATGGCTGAATCTTCGCAAAGTAAAAGGCTCCTCTTCAGCCGAGCGAGCCAATAGGATCAGGCTTGTCCGGGACGCATGACCTGCCAAAGCCCGATCTGTATCATATAAGAACGGCACGCACCTGAGCATTAACACCGTGTGCAGGGTGGCCGCCCCCGCAAAGAGACGGCTTGGACCTGGTTTAGCAGCGTGGCTTCGCAGCTGCATTATAAATGCAAGTTGGGTCCAATCACGAGATGTCGTCTCTGTTGCTTTCCAACCCCGTTCCACCTACATCAACGACAGGAAGCGTGTGCCTAGTCAACTATCGCAACCGACAGCATATAGACTATATGTTATTTTGTAAGCACCCCGCAGAGGACTGAGTAAACAATAGTACGGTGTCTGTTTCGCTTGCCCGCAGCACCACGGCGTGCACAGAATTGCCTATCGGAGATGATGCAATGGCTTGCGGGTGGCATTTCTTATCCGTGGCTGCGGTTCGCGCCTGCCGAGCCTGCGCCTCCGCTGGGCCCCCTCCAGCTGCTGCCCCTGCTGCCCCTGCCAAGCCCAGGTGCACTAAAGTCTTGTCAGAGCCAATCATTGCCCAACTCGAAACTCCAATTTCCGTGTCGAGGCTCTCGAGGCCAACCCCGATCAGAAGTCGCGCGTTTCATGCTGCCCGAGTGCCCGTCGTCGCTTCTGTACTGATGCTACTCTTCCACCCCCCTTCGCACCTTCGCCACGCTTTTTCTTCATCCTGCCGCCTGCAGTTGTCACTCATTCTTGCTCGCATACACTCATTGTCCATCGTTGGTGTCGCGCGGTGCTGCGACATAGTCACTCATTATCGCCATTGTTTATCGTTGACTCTTTCGCACGCTCATACCATTCAGCCACCCACATTCCGATCTCCAGTCTTTGCGAGAGGCTCCATAGCACCTCCGACCTCCAGCTAAATCATCCCTTTATTCCATCATCTCTCTGCGACAAACACCAGAAATTCGACACCATGCATTTACTCACAAAGACCCTGCCTTTGCTGGCGCTGGCCGGCTCAGCGCTCGCCCAGACATGGTCCGACTGCAATCCTATGAACGTTACCGACTGCCCACCCAATCCGGCGCTTGGGGTCGACAACTATACCATCGACTTCACCAAGGCCATGATGTCCGACCGTGTGTGGAACGTTACGACCGGCAAGATCCAGTATAATGAAGAGGGCGCCCTCTTCAGAATCGGATCAAAAGGCGAGCAACCACTCGTGAGAACAAACTTTTACATCATGTTTGGCCAGGTCGAGGTTATCATGAAGGCAGCCCATGGTCAGGGTATTGTCTCATCGATCGTGTTGCAATCCGACGATCTTGACGAGGTCGACTGGGAATGGATTGGTGGAAATTCGACCTATGTGCAAACCAACTACTTCGGCAAGGGAAACACTACCTCGTTCGATCGCGATGAGTGGCACCAGATCGATAATCCCGACACACAGTCAGATTTCCACAACTACACCCTCGACTGGTCCGCCGAGAAGCTTGACTTCTATATCGATGAGAAGATCATTCGTACCCTGAAGTACGAAGACGCTAATGGAGGCAAGAACTATCCTCAGACTCCTTCCGATGTTCGCCTTGGTATCTGGCCGGGCGGAGACTCTGAAAGCGAAGGCACTGTCGAATGGGCTGGAGGCAAAGTCGACTACAAGCAAGCTCCTTTCGATATGGTTGTCAAGTCCGTACGTGTTCGTGATGCCACCAATGCCACAGAGTATGTCTGGGGTGATCAGAGTGGCAGCTGGCAGTCCATTCAGGCTCTGACGTAAGTATCTCTGCCAGTCATTGCGAAGTATACTGACAGGTCTTCAGCGAAAAGAAGCCCATCAAACTTGACGGCGAGAATGCCCAATCGACCGTACAATCCGCCTCCCAGCGCTGGAACGGGCTTTCTTCCGGTGCCAAGATCGCAGTCATCGCCTCAGTCTGTGGTGTTGCCGTTTTAGCCCTCTGTGTCTTCATCTTCTGCTGCATCAAGCAGCGCCGTATTGGAAAGCACGAGCGCCTTGTCGAAGACGCCAAATTCGAAAAGAACCAAGCAGAGCTCATGGCCTATCGCGCAGACATGGGTCGTCAGAGGGCTGAGAAGTACGCCCAGGTCCAGGTCAACGCTGTACCATCGGGCTATGGCAACATGGGCGCCACCATGCAGCCCCCACGAACTCCAATGAATGGCGGTGCAAGCCCTCTGTTGGGCGGTGGATACCAACGATACTGAGAGTGACGGTCCAGGCGCGCTGGTGTAGCATAAATGCCAATATCGCACCTTTGACTGCCCACACGCTACGACGTCCCTCGGGATTGTTTCCTACCTGCTCAGTGGTAGTGGTCGACGTACGCATCGCCAAGACATCATTAGACACATGGAGATCCAGAGAGAGAGGAGCCGACCAGCTTGTGGGGACGTCCAGGTCAGGGATCTGAAAGGTATATGGCGAAGGAGTGTAACATATGACCATTGGTTCACGAAAGCGATTGAGATTAGTTTTGATGTTTTGCCGAACTTCAGTTCCATGATGGGTTGATAGTGCCTACGCATCGCTGGCTCCGTGGGTCACCAATACATTACGCCCGACCCATTGCATATGCTCTCGTTCCCGTTGAAAAAGTGATGCTCCCACCTGCTAACGCTCGAAAGCTAAACGACGGTGGTTTACTCACCACCGCAAGATCGGTCTCCTTTCAGCAAGGTCTCAAGAGAGCGTGATTCCCTACCTTACATTCACCTGAAAGATGGCTGACTAGTGGCTCAAAATAAAAATCTGGTATTCACGAGGCAGACTTGTCGCCTCGCCACCCTACGAGACGCACTGGTATCTAGAGAACCAATATTCACGAAAACTCAATTCATTCAATTTGATTCATTTTCGAAGCAAGGTCACGCCTCCAAACGCCATCGCTATTCACTGAGCCATACTTTTTCTCGTCGTACCCACGCACCGCTTCACCGGCTTTCGCCTCCCCTTCACTTGCCTCTTTCCATTCATTCTCATTCCTTCACCGCCTTCTTGCCTTTCTTGGCGCCCCCGAACCTCGCCCACAGCGCCCGGCCCAACGATGACGGCGACGCCGGCTTGCGCTGCTTCTCGACCACCGCCGCCGCCGCAGCAGCAGCAGCAGGAGGAGGTGGGACCACGATGGCAACGCGCGCCACGACTTTGCCCCTCTCGATATCGAGCATTTGCAGCTCGGTGGTTGGTGGCGCGGCGGCGTGAGACGGCTAGGCGGGCGAGGAGGAGGTGATCGGGGTCTTGAGGACGACATTCTTCATGTCGCCGCCGAGATAGAAGCCGGCGTCAATGCAGCCGGCGCGGAAGTCGATGGTCTGCAGCTTGGCGGGGTCGAACCAGCGGAGGTCGTCGACGGCGACGTGTTGGAGGGGGAGGTAGCGGATGTTGGTCATGGGGAGAGCGCCGGCGTGGGTGGCGGCGACTTGGGCGTGCTGGATGCTGAGCGTGTCGAGGTACTCGCCGTCGCCGAAGGTGGGGTGGAGGTTGCCTTTGCCGGCGTCACCGAGGCAGGCGTCGTTGGGGTCGATAGTGCTGCTGGTGTTGGTGTTGGTGATAGTGCTAGTCCAGACCGAGGTCAGAATGTGGAAATTCGATGCAGTATATGTCTGTGAGCTTATCATGATTGCATGCAGCGATGTTCGCGAAGTAGAAAGAAGACCTTGACTGGTGTGGTGGTAGAAAGGATGGACAGTCGAAAAGGGGGCGATGAGCTGTACCAAGTCCGCTGTCTCGGCAATGAGTGACTGGCAGCGGCTTTTGTACGCTATGGCTTTCGTGATCTACGTTTCCCCGCACTGAAGGATGACTATGCACTCCATCTCCACAGGAAAGCATCCGACAATATGCACATGGCCTCACGAACGAGAGTGATATATTTGAAAAAAGATTTCAGGAGTTGCAGCCTCGCGCATCTATATTCTCAGCCTCGTGGGTGGAACCTTTTGTGATGGCGCATGTCGCCACCAGTCTGCCTCTTCGCTTTGCTCGACAGCCCATCCACTACGTCCACAGCAGTTTCGAAGCCGCTAACACGGTTATGAATGTGGTCGCAGACAGTGACGCTTTGGGTAGGAGGCGCTAATGGCACCAATCCGGCGATATCTGCGCATCAGCCGCCATTCTGTTCTGGAGTGTCGGATCTTTCTCGAGAACCCCGCGGACCGTGATCGTTGGCTGCTCAACCCACAAGATCGCGCTCTCGACCGCATATTCGATGCTGTCAAGCCATACGTGCTGCCCAAGCTGCGTGAAGAGAATGAGCGCGTCAAGGGTAAAGGCAAAAAGAAGAAGAGCGTAAAAGATGTTGTACGGCAGGACGACTTCGAAATCTCGATCTTCTTGACTGAAGTTGGTACAAGGCACGCGCTGATTATCAAGAATAAGACCTTCCAACAGCGTGAGCCCATCAAGAGCAATAGTAGCAAGATGCTTGGTGCTGCTGGCGGACCGGTCACTATTCACGAGGAGAGTGATGAGGAAGATGTCAGCATGGGAGACATTCCGGCTGCCATCAATGTTGAAGATGATGGGAGTGGCGAGGACCAGACTACTCGATATCCATCTGGCCGTGATGGCGCCACTGGTTCAGATGATAAAAAGAAAATGGGCTTTACGACAAGCTACGATGGCTTCAACATCTGGGGTCTCGTATTGTGCCTCCTCGTCGAACGCAAAGGCGGCAGCATCAAAAAGCCTCAGAACGTTCCTGCTGGAAACGCCCAAGCCCTCATGGAAGAATGGATATCGACTCAACGCGAGCAGATTGACGATTGATCACGCCATACGCTTGTCGTTTGGCAATTTTCCTCTGCGTGTCACGTCGTACCAAGTCGATACGCTCCATTCGAAACGTGGCCCCGTTCAATGGCCTCTCGCGTGAGCTTTTGGGGCCTGCGACATTTGTTCCCACCCCACAACCGTGGAGCAGCCAATTACTCCAAGAAATTGTTGTTCAGACCTGGGCTGCGGTGCGCGGCTATGCATGCCCCTAATCACAGCTGGATCGAGTTTGAGAGCTACCCGAGTCACGCGATTGTGTGAGACTCGCCGCTGCGCCTCGAATCTCTGGCTTGTTTGCGCAACTTCGGCGTTTCGCTTTAGCGAAGCCACGGCTCTAACGACGATGGTACGGAGTACGGAGTACGCGAGTATTGATAGTAGATGACAGCCGGAGAATAAGGATCATCCCAGCACGTATTCGACTATACTTGCACGATTTCCACGTGGTTTTGCAGTTTCGAGGTTTGGGGCGCTGTGCTGCGGGCCCCTGCAGTAGTGGCCGCCTAGCGCACCACCACTGCTCCCCTCGTCTCTCGCTACCTCTTTCAGCTCCTGGAGTTCAAATGCGGCGAGGGAAAATTGATCAAATTTTGGGTCCACGACGCTGACGTAAAATGGTCGGTCAAGGTCTATAGCAACCCCGCAACAGGTCAGTGTCAGCGAGCAAGATTGCAGTACTTTGTCCAGACCAGAATGGCGGTGAGATATGACATGTACATCCGAGTGAGGGGTGCATGACTTGATCAGATCGTTTTGATCAAGGCGTGACCTGATGAGAACAGCATGCCTTGAAACACTGGAGGATGGCAAACCCTGCGTAAGCCGCATAAGGTCAACATGCCAGCGAGCATCTCTGAATGCCGAGGTGCAAGCCCTTGGCCAACGAGATAAATATGGTACCCGGTGCGGAATATCTCTGGCTGATAAATCGGATGTTGACCTGTGGAGTATCGCGCAGGATGCAGTGGGCGAGCCGGTTGTAACAGCTTCAGGCGGCTGTAACCGTGCCCGTCTCAATTGCCGCCCGTTCTTCGAAGCCGCGGATGGGCGCCTCGCGGCAGCTCCGAAAGTGGACGTGCGAGGCTTCTGCATGCTCTCATCCAAAAAGAATTTTGGCTGCTGGGTTGGCGTTCTCTTCCGCACCTCCGTGGGAGAGGCGGACGGTCTAGAAAACGCCACAGAGCTACAAAGGATGCATGACATGGCCACGTTACGCCCCCCTCCCTCGGTTGGCCCCTGGTTCCTGCAGCCTCATGCCACCCACACATCTGCAAGGTGCTCGTTTTCGGATATGCCTGTAGAGGCCGAACAGTTGGTGGAGAAGGAAAGCTCCGTTGCTTGAGGAACTGCATGGGTCGTGTTACTTTCTCAATCGCGCGCTCTTTCGATTGCGGTGTGCCCCTCGTTCGCTCTCCAAAAATTTAGGCATGACATCAGAAGCGCGAGCTATCACCGTAGGCAGACCGAGGATCAGGGGTAGACCTGAAACGGGCGCATGTGGTGGCAAAACATGAAGATATGCTTTGGAGATGTTCAGATCTACAGGTACGCAGGCACGGGTTGCGAACAATCATTGCCACTTCGCATTAGTGATTGGCAGTTTCACTCAAACGGAACCCTTGCCCTCGGTACCTGAGACTGACGATATTCAGATCGTCAGGTACATCACAAAAAGCTGGCAAATGATGAGATGGCGCTATCGCCTACTATTGACGCCCTTGAGCGGCACACAATACGGAGGTAGCTGAGCGTCCCTACGGCCGCTTGAAAATGTGTTTTTCGTCATCACTTGCCAGGAACACCCAGGGGGAAGTACCGCGATCAGCTGCCCAAAATTATTTGTGAAACCGACTCGCCTGGTCTAAAGCGCGAGATCTTCGATTGTGCGTTCATGGCGGGCTAAAAGTTGGTCAAGCGTAAGACTTTGGCGCAGATAAGCCGAATGGAGAGTCAAAGAAGACGTCGCTAGTTGGTCAGGCCACGAACGCTCGTGCATGAGCGGACGTCGGATAGGTTGGCGAAAACGTGGCCTTCGCAGTCTATACATCATGATAGCTGGAAGAAGGCGGCAGTTCGGAAGCTTGGAAAGTATGGAAGAGTTGCGCCGGCTGCCTTACGAATCACAGCGTCTCCATGCCAGCCGAAGTCAAGTCATGGGACTGCACCTCTGCAGGCCAGGCGCACCAATAGTCACGCATTAAGCGACCACGGCAGAGGTTTGTGCCAGGGCTGCATCCAAGGTGTTCGCATCGAAAGCGTCTTGGGCCGTTTGACTTGTTCGAGAAAACCGGGATGGACTGGACCTCGTGATCACAAAAGACAGCGCACGCTGAGTCACTACTGAAGGCGGTCACAAATAGTGTGCGCTAATCCAGGCACACCGCCCGTTGAGGAGCGAGAGCAACGCTCCACTCAGACATGACTGAATCATGATTGCGAATTCGGCAAAAAGATTGCTGACGTCGCACGAGCCGACCGCAGCGGATGACCATTCCCAGGCACAATTTGAGCAGGTTTCGGATGAGAGATGAGCATGAAATTACGCCGCGATGGGCGTGTGTTCACAAAGCATTCCGTCTGTCTAGCTAGAAGGTTTGCTGGGAAGGGATGGGAATGAGCTGATGAGCCTGCGCCTGAGGAAGGTTACTCGTATGCAGGTCGCCAGGGGGGTGCCTTGTTCAGCGGTCTAGTGAGCAAATCTCCTCCTTTTGCGGGCGGGCGCAAGGTCTCCAGGCGCACCCGGTCAGCTGGGTTCGATGGCGGATCCAGCGACCTTCTAGCGGTCTCGGCTAGGCTTGTTCAGGCACCGCCCTCCTTTTCTCATCCCAAACGCGCCTGAGGCTGTCGCACTTTTTGCAGGCTGCCTCAGCGGTCGGATCCACCAGGAATCAACGGGGCAGGGGGCAGGGTCCATCATAGTGAGATGAGCTTTGCTGTCCTCGTCACCGCGCCTTCCGTGAAAAGTGGAAAATAAATATAGGCCGTCTACCCTCGTCCGGCACACAGCCTGCTTTCTTTTTGCTCTCAAACACCACCGCCTAATTCCACTCTCTAATACAAGCCTGGTCCTCTACCTTTGCCAGCATCGACAACGGTACTTGCCACCAACACCTCCAACATCTACATCACCACTACAACCCTCAGCCTCATCGCCATACCAAACCCAATCACCACAATGCCTTCCGGATCCAAATACCCTCCCTGCCCGGGTCCTCCTCCCAATCGCCCACTCCCAGCACTACCTAAGCGCCGCTCATGAGAGTCACCGCGCGGGAGACCTCAAGATGAGGACGTGCCTCCCACCTAGAATTGAGTCACCAACAGCCGGCTTGGGCGCCTGTGCTGTCCGCTCTATCAAACCTGATAAGGCACATGAGTCGTATTGGATATAAACGCCTCGCAAGATGCCTCGTCAGCGGCCGGAAGTCCGGCGGAAACGAGCAGGTGTCGTGCAGGTTGATGACCTGGCAGCTGGGAATCGTGCATAAAGCGACCCACTCCAGGTCACACCTGCATACAACGTCTGAGTTGGCGATGCCACCTCCCCACGCACACCACACACGTGAGACCATTGGCGCCTTATGGTCGTTTTTGAGTGGTCTCGCAACCGATCAACGACGCTTCCGGCTTTCTATTATTCCGCCACTGCTTCCTAATATCCACCACCACCCTTTCGACCGATCATACTTCTTTCGACCATTCGCATTCCATCAGCCCTGCATGCGCTCACTAATTACCTCTTCTTCATCATGAACTCCCTGGTTTGGTTGTACGCCAACAGGTGAAATCAATTGTACCACCACTCGCTGTACCACAACACAACTTAAGCATTTTAACGTCGGATACCCTTTTACCACAACACGAAGATTGGACCTTCTCTATCGGAGGAAAGCTGGGCTCTACCTCGACGATCTGTGCTCACGCAATGCGTGAAAGCACATCGGAGTTTCTGTATAATAACATTTTTCGTACATACAATATTTCAGACCAACCATTAATGAGACAAATGCCATTGATGATTTCCTCCAGATGCAGATCAGCTTTCCGAGTTTTCCTGTTTCCCATGCCCTTGACATTGCGTGTGTCGCTCATACGACCCCTTGCTTCATACCATACCATGCCATGCCATGCCGTGCCGTGCCATACCACCCACTCACCCACACGCTGCGCCGTATGGAAGCATCCTTATATGGCTATTGTTATCGCGATCTCGATCGCTCAGATAACCCACCCGCCCCCAGGCCTTATTTCATGTCTTGTCTTTCAGCCCCCAAAAAGTCCCACGTGCCAGAAGTCCTCGTAACAGTACGCAAGCGCCCAGCTGGGCGCCTAGTCCTTCCGTCGTGGTGAATAGCACCTTTGGGAGGTACTGTAGCTACTCGCTTGCGACCGCGCGAAGTGCCCAGGGGCGGGCGCTCAACTCAGTACAAGTCTTGGAAATCACGGCGAAACGCCCTGTTGATTTTTTGTGACGTTTCTGTATTGGGGTCGGGCAAGAAGGCGTTACCCGGATGAGGGGGAGAGGGGGGGTGTTTAGGAGGGAGTAATGGGAAAGGGATGGCATATGGGTATGTGTGTGTGTGGTGCGCTGTCAGGGCCTGTCAGGACCTGTCAAGGGCTGTCATCCCAGAGCTGGAACTGGAGCTTTCTGACTGCGCTGTATGTACCTCCGTACTAATGGTGTACAGTGCACTTTTGCAGGCCTCGAAACACGCTGCTGGCATACCCATAAGCGGGTTTCCCATAGGCTGGTGAAGCGATTCAATACTCAATAACTCAATGATCAATAATCAATAATCAATAATCGACAGAGTCTACCTATTTCCCTTGAAGGCCGCGGAAAGTTCAATCCGAGCTTTACCGTGCCGGCTGTGGAATGGTCGACGAGCCCGCATCCCCCCTCCTTCCCCCCCCCCCCCCCCCCCCCCGACTACTCCGTACGGGTACCAGTGGTCCAGTGCTGCAGCGTGCTCCGAGAAATACGAAAGGCCAAAGAATTGATGTCTGTCACTGGATTGGTCCAAAACCCTGTCAGCACTGCAACTTGCGCCCAAAGTTCGGTACACGGCTCAGGCATGCATGCGGGTTGATCAGTGGACAACGCGGAGCTGCAGCCCCAGGCGTAGCGTATAGTGCAGAAGCTTTCTTGGTGTGCTCTTTTGCTTTTCACCTTTCTGCCGTGAGCCAGGAAGGGGAGAGGTAACGGGGCGGGCTGGTTGGCCCCGGAGGGCAAGGTGTGCCGTTGTTCAATACGGAGTAGCAATGATAACGTGCGGCACGCTTGGGGCTAGACTATTTGGACTGTTGTGGGGGAAGTCGGGCTACAGGCAAGGGGGAGAAGCCTATATACGGATACGCTTGAGCCAGCCGCTTTTTGAGTTTTGACCTATAGGCGGATTGATGATTATTATTGCAAACCGACCAGGTCTGTGATTCCCAGGAGAGTTTACGAGCTGCATGCAGTACGGATATCTCCATACTGTGCGCCGCCCTGTATAGGCTTGTGGTGCCGCCGGGCGGCTGAGGGAGCTTTCTTTTTGAGGGGAAGTCACGCATGTATCTAAGGGGTAGTTTGTTGACTTCCAAGTTGAGATGATGGGTCAGGGGGCAGGGATATTGCGAAAATTGTCATCGCTGCCAGTCAAGAAGCGACCCCAGCAAAGGCACAAGGGGGGGCCTGCTACTTCGGTAGCAACCCGATCTACTATCGTAATGGGGGAGCCTAGAATCCGGGGAATGGTCCCCTGAGAACGGACTCGTCGATAACGCGTGGATGACTACAGTGTTCCCGACTTCGAGGTTGCAAATGCGAAGATCCACTTCCCCCAGCTGTGTTTCTGTCTCCGCCCTGTCAGGCTGCGGTGCGAACAAGATGGAAGTGACAGCGGCATCGACCGCAAACACTTCTCCGTCTCTCTCTTTGATCGCTTGTCGGCCCTAAAGAGAGATTCCTGACTACTAGCACAATTTGTCAGGCTGATCAAAGGACTTGTTGTGGTCATGAGACCGGCTGGATGCGAGGCCTGTGTAAGCGGTCGACGCTCTCGGTAATGTCTGAAGAAGTTTGGTGAGTTGTTGAACGCAGAACTCGAGCACGGAATCATTCAGGTGGTGGCCCGCTGGGCATAAGAATGTGTTTAGATGGTTACACAGTAAGGGGTGTTGGAGGACTGCGATTCCCGCCCCTTTTCGTGAAGGATAACCTGGTTCGTGACGATTGTGCGCTAACCCACCCTGTGTAGGCTCGCAACGCTGGTACAGAAACTCGCAACGCTGGTGCAGACACTCGCAAAGCTCTTGTCGAGCATAGCAGATCACACCCCGAAACCTGAATATGAATCCGAGAAGCCTGCCGGTCCATCGAACTATGCCGACCCCTGGGGCAGCCGCGATAGCCGTTGATGGACGGTAAGAGCGGCGTCAAGACGACAATTGTAGCTTACCAGCTTAATGTGATATTATGAAGGGCACTTTTGTGACGCGAGGTTCGCATATTCATACGGCTACAACAGGCAAGCTCTATTGATGACATGCAGTAGGAGCAACCGAATCGAATTACGAGTCTCGTTCCAAAGCTCGGACTTTCAGTATTCTGATTCGCGGAACTCCTGTCGATACTCCACACTCGGGACATCCTCTTGCCCTGTGACAGCACACTTCAGTTTAGCGAAAGAGGTCCTCTAGGTGCATAATAGAAGCTATTGAGACCTGTTTAGCTGTCTCTGCCTGCACCTCTCCACGTGCTTCGAAGTGAAATACTTGTCGAGTCGGTTGAGAATTGGTCTTCCTTTCAGGATATTAGTAGGCTGGCCGAGGCTCAGATTCACGATCGTTCTACATCGTCCAGCCCGACTGTCGCATTTGGTTTGGCTTCTACAAATCCGCCATGGCTTTATACAAGATCCGCGAGTTCTTCTGGCAATCGTTCTTCATCGCCGAGCCACCACTGACCGAGCACAACCTTTGGGACCAAAGCGGGCGTGTATGTATCGTCACTGGAGGGTACACGGGCGTTGGCTTGGAAGTCGCCTCTATACTATATCAGCACAACGCCACGGTGTATATCGCAGGCCGCTCAGAAGACAAAGCAACAAAGGCCATAAACTCAATCGCCGACCAGTTCCCTGCATCTGGCGGCAAGCTCTACTTTCTGAAGGTCGACCTCTCGGATCTTGCTACCATCAAGCCGGCAGTGAAAGAATTCGAGCGACGCGAGTCCAAATTGCACTGGCTCAACAACAATGCGGGGGTCATGCGAGCACCGACCGAATCAAGAGGTGCTCAGGGAATGAACATTCAGTTTCAGACGAACATATATGGTCCCTTTCTCCTCACCAAGCTATTGTCGCCCATCCTAGAGCGGACCGCGGCAAATGAAGAGCCCGGGTCCGTGAGAGCTACCTGGGCTGGAAGCTTGGGAACTATTCTGTGTCCGTTTGAGGGAGGGGTGGAATGGACCGCAGATGAGGCCGAGCTTGCTGGGGAGGGTGATCCAGACAAAGCGTACCATGTCACTAAAGCCGCCAACTACCTCTTGGGTGTAGAATTCGGCAAACGTGTTGGCGACAAGGGCGGTGTCATGCACTTGGTGAGTCAGATGTGCAACGGGCTTGATGGCCATGCATTAACAAGGCACAGACCTACAATCCAGGAAACCTTAAGACGGAGCTCGCACGACACCTGGAGCCAAGCGACCCGGTCCTGCGTGTGGCCAGGTTCCTTGTTTACCCGGCAAGGATGGGTGCCTACACCGAGATTTATGCGGGCTTGTCCAAAGTTCTTAGCCCAAGGGAGAATCAAGGGGGCTGGGTTGTGCCATGGGGCAGGAGTACCGCACCCATGAGGCCAGACATCAAGGCAGAAGTCGAGAAAGAGAAGGGCACGGCTTTCAGATTGTATGAATGGTGTGATAGAATCACGAAGCAATGGCAATGAATGATTTTGAATCAGGTGAAGAAAGATGCCACCATATATAATCTAGACAGCACGGGGAAACCACAAAATTGACGGGCAGGCTCGCCGAACTGATAGCAGATGACACCCAGAAGTCTCTGCTGAGAGCCCGGGCAGCCTGCCTTCTAATTCTGTTGGCTCTCGGTGCTCAGAGAGCCATGGAGCTCGTTGTCGATGCCAGCGTCCTGTGTAGGTATAGCTTGGCATACATGGCGGCCCTGTTGGTGCTGGATGGCTTCTCAAGCCCCATCGGGAAGCCAGTCAGAGCAGCTCTCAAGCAAGTGAGACTCGATCGCCGCCGAGGCTGTTTCGACGTCGAATGTTTCTCCAGTCTTGGGGCGAGCACGGGCCAGCAAAACTCCTTACAGAATTATGGTTCGGGTCGAAATTCCGGGCGGGCAGGCCAACTGGGATTTGGCTTGTTTAGGCACTCGATGACGTCTTCGTCGCAAAAAGAAAAAAACTGGGTGCAAGAACAGATCTACCAGCCTCATCAACGATCTCTCCCCTAGATACGGAGTACCACAAGCTTGTTTTTTGGTTATCAAACGCCTTGATGAGCGAAAACTGGAGCCCACAAGACTCCGATACTTGATCTGCAGCTTCGTTGCCTCGCCGCGGGTTCCCATCAACAAGAGACAAGTGACTTGGCTGATGCGGCACGCGTTCAGCACTATCGACGGCCGCGTGTGCAGTGTCCGCAGAGTTACGGATTTTAATCTCGGGCGGGCTAGCTAAGGAGATTTGGGCTTAGCTGGGGCGTCTTTGCACCAACCGTAGTAGCCCCCAAGCTGACTTGAGCTCCCCACTCTCCACCTGCACGGGCTTGGTTTTGTGCATGTGGGCGGTGATGTTGTCGATGCAGTTTTCCCAGTTCCACGGATGGAACATGCATCATCGCATCGACGCGCCGAGTCGCCGCGCACCTTTTTAGATAGCGCCTTCCACCGTCGCCGAAGCTATCGTCTTTCCTTCCTCGCTCTTTAGAAACTATCGCTAATCTCTCTTATTCCCCCCCTCGCTCGTTCGTTGTCGGGCTATACATAGTTCCCCCACGACGTTGATATGGCGGCGCCCTGCCTTTCCTTGCTGGCTCTTTCGTTGTCGTCGGTCGCTCTCGCGCAGTCCGTTCAACATAATGCCGCCCAGCGACCCGCTGCAGGCGTTTCACGCATAATCAGTCCTTCGTTTGCTGGACTCGGACTCGAGCCCTCGAATCTCTTCTCCTTCACCGGTGAAGAGCAGGAAAATGAGCTCACCAAGAACTTGTTGCAAAACTTGGTCGACTATACTGGCGTTCCGCCTCACATCCGCCTCGGCGGAAATACACAAGATTATTTCAAGTGGGATGAGAACATGAACGATTGGGCCTGGCGGAATAACCCAAATGCCGTTGGCCAGGGTGCGTTCCCAAGCGACCATATGATCATTGGCCCCAGATATTTCGAGGCATTGGACCGTTTCCCTGAAGGAACTCCACTCACATTCGGCCTCAATCTGGCGTACGAGGAGGAAGATTACATCGACCAGATCGTCACCATGGCTACACAAGCCCTCGACAGACTGGAAAATCTCAACGTGGTCTCATTCGAAATTGGCAACGAGCCCGACTTGTACCTCCAGAATGGCTTCCGCACCGGCTCTTGGGGCGGAGATGTATACACGCAGCAGTGGCTCGACCGTGCCCAAGCTGTCTACGATCAGGTCCTCAAGCCACGTCAACTTGGTACCAACTTCTTTGAGCCTGGAGCGACTGCGTCCACTATTGGCACTTCCTTCCAAATCGACAATTTGGTCTCGTTCGACATTGACCGAAATGCTAATGGCACCGACACACCCTTGATTGCACAGTGGAACCAACACGACTATTACCACTACATCGGCGTGTCGACCTACACTCTGACCCAGGACCGTTTCATGGACTTGTCTACTACACGAAACCAATTCCTTGCGTGGGAAGAGGAGATCCAACAGGCTGACGAGACTCCGTTTGCCTACGCTCTTCGTGAAATGGGTATCGTTGGGCCCATTGGATTGGCCGACATCACCGATGTCTTTGGCGCCGCGCTCTGGAACTTGAATTTCTTCCTCTACACTGCCGCACTCAACATCACCATGGTTGGCATGCACATGACTGACAACAGCAATGCCAGTGCTTGGCAGCCTATCGAGTTCTACGGCAACGCACCCCATGTCCGGCCCAACTACTACTCCTTCGCCGCATTTGACCAGATCATTGGTCCTACCTGTCAGGCGCGTGTAGGTGGAGGCGTGTTGGACCAGCCCGGGGATTACCAGGGTCGCTTGGCCATCTACGATGTCTACCAGAACGATGAGCTTGCATCGGTAGTTCTGATCAACTCGAGACCAGCCAACGTCTCCGAGGCCAACAAGGGCAGCATGACCTTCGACCTGTCTTTCGACAGTTCTTTGGGTGGCCAAGAAGTCCATCTAGCTTTCCTCACCAACGATGGTGCCGATGCCAAGAACGGAACCACCTGGAACGGTATCAGCTACGAGGAGAGCGGTGACGGCACGCCGCAGACCGTTGATGACACAGAACACACCATGACGATTGAGAATGATGGCTCGCTCAGTGTTGCCGTCCGCGACACAGAGGCGGTCGTGGTTAACTTCGGTGGTGCGGTTGGCCGGAGAGCCTACAACGCTGAAGCCTGCGGAGATCTCTCGACATCTCGTCCCGAGGCCCTGAATCCAGGTACCAAGACTGGCCAGGGAGCGGCCGCATCGGCTAGCGAATCGAGTGCGGCCTCGTCCAATAACAATAGCGCCAAAGAGAACGGTGTTCTACGCGTTTCAACGATGGTTTTGGCCACATTTGCATCAGCGCTATTCAGCGGGTTTTGTATCTTGTTTGCATAAGAGCGACATTGGTCGATGCATTGCTTTGCATAACGAAATTAGCGATCATGAATTTGTTATATTTAGGCATAGAACATGTCTGGCGTCACGACGGGTCCTGGCTATGGATATACAGGATACGGGAAACATTTGGAACCACAGATTTTCATGTCGATGATGGGCTCACAGCCACACTCTGGACTGATGATGGAGATAGAAAGGTCTGGCTTAGCCAGAGTTAATGACAATCTCAGTCCTCCAAAAAAAATAGACTGCAACTCTCAGTGGAGTGTAGAAGGCGTTGGGAGTTGTACGGAGTACACCAGGCTTGTTGGGCGTGGGGCAGTAAAAGGAAAAAGCTGAAACTGCTGGTCTCGAAGGTGGATTTGAGGCGCGGATGATCGACGGACGATGCCCCCACTAGCTACTTGTAGCATGAATCTTTCTCGTTGCCGTGATTTCGACAAACTCTTGTCGCCTCTGCTGCGCCTCTTCGAGCTCGATAGCGAGCTTCGAGGCCAGTGAGGTCTCTGTTACAGCCTGTGTCTTCTCTTCGCAATCTCCATTGCTACTTGTGAAAATTGAATTGCTGCAGGCAGTCAAATAACAAAGATCACTTGCGTTGAGTAGTTGGTCCTGTACCCCAGATTTACGCGATGGCCGACTCCAACGCCAACGAGCAGTCCTCCCCTCGAGCCCATTACCGTCTCGGCGGCCTTTCTGGCTTCATACCGCTCAACGAGGAGCAAACCACTCTTTCCACACGCGGACAGCGGTTGCCGTCGCTTTTCCAGACCCGGTCATCCACATCCCTCCTCGCGCTTGGCTGGCATAGTGAGCAGCAGCGCCCATCCGCGAAGCGCCGTACCTCCTTCCACTCTACTTCGTCCGCCGACGAAGATGTCGAGCGGGGCGAGGATGACGAGCCCCCCAACAGCGTCGGTTCGCCATTACTGCGACGGGCTACGCACGACACAGATCCCCGTCGGTTCAGCTTGGGCCCGGAGATTCTGAACACGCCTCAGATGCGAAGCATGCGCTTGATCGGGAACAGCAACCCGCGATACCAGTGGCGGCAATATTTCAAGAGCGAGGCACAGCTGAAAGGTATGAAGAAGGCGGTGCGTCAGTACTACGAACGATGCAACTACCTGATCAGCCACTACATCTACATTGATCGGTTGTTGGACTCGAGTCTCCCGCACGACCTTATTCAGGAGTATCAACTCAGACCGATGCTGAAGGGTCAGGAGTGGTCACACGGCATGGAACCTATCGCCGAGGTTCAAGAGCCGTCGTCTGCCACGACACCGAGCGCGAACGGTACTCCCACCACTGCGAGTGGGCCATCCGCCGGAAGTCCGACTGATGCACTGAAGCCCAAGGTCAAACGAACCCCGAAGAACCTGTACAAGCTACCGGATCCAAGCGAGACTAGCCCGTTGCTCAAGAACGAGGAGCTCGAGAGGGTATTCGAGGAAGCGTCAGAGACAGACAAGTTGCTGGGAGAGAACATTGATGTTGAGCTCCTGATCGAGGATGAAAGTGTGGAGAGCGGTGATCCCGTGGTCACACTTGCGCTGTACATCAACTTGGTGGCAAACGCGGTCTTGCTCGCTGCAAAGATTGCCGTCATTGTGCTGACGAGCTCGTTGTCTGTGTTGGCCAGCTTGGTGGATGCCGCGCTTGATTTCCTGTCAACGGCAATTGTGTGGATAACGACGAAGCTCATCAGCCATCAGGATCAGTACGCATACCCGATCGGACGGCGCAGGCTGGAACCTGTGGGCGTCTTGGTGTTTTCGATCATCATGATAACGTCGTTTGTGCAAGTCGGATTGGAGTGCGTGAACCGACTGTTCAGCGGCGATCGAAGCATCGTGGAGCTCAGCATACCGTCAATCGTCATCATGTTCAGTACGGTGGTGATCAAAGGATTCTGCTACTTCTGGTGTCGGCTGGTCAAGAACTCGAGCGTGCAGGCACTTGCGCAAGATGCACTCACCGATGTGGTTTTCAACACCTTCTCGATCATCTTCCCCTTGATTGGATTCTACGCACAGATATGGTGGATGGACGCACTAGGTGGTTTGCTATTGTCCGTGTACGTCATCTTCAACTGGAGCAAGACGAGCTCGGAGCACGTGAGGAACCTGTGCGGAGCAGCAGCCACGGCGGACCAGAGAAACGTGCTTCTGTACTTGACCATGCGGTTCGCAAAGACCATTCGGTACATTCAAGGACTGCAGGCGTATCATACGGGCGACAAGCTGAATGTCGAGGTGGATATTGTGCTTGATGAGAACATGGTAAGTCTGCCCCTTTGAGGAATTCTAGCGAGCCTCTACTGACGTGAAATAGAATCTGAGAGACAGCCACGACCTCGGCGAATCGTTGCAGTATGTGCTGGAGAGTGTGCCGACGGTGGATCGAGCATTTGTGCACGCCGACTATGCCGACTGGAATCTGCCGTCACACATGAACCAGCAGTCTGAGTAGGACCCAGATCGTCTAGATTTTGTATCCATATACCTGTGTCTTTATCTTGGTAGAAGATGTGCGTTCAGCACCGTGACTTGGGCCAGCAGTACTTAAATACATTGTGGAGTGATGGCCACAAGGCTTGGCGCCGCCATACACCTCCACCTCCGCGTTTGTCCTTGACAGCTGAACCTCATGCTGGGTCTCTCCCTCGTTCAATCCCAAGTGTAAACTACTTTGGAGGCGGACTTCGCGTACGGTCACTCCCTGGCGCTCGTTACAAGGTGTTGCATTTCGTTGCGAGGTTCACGTATCGTCGCGCCTGCTTCTCACACCTATGTTGCCGGTGCCTTGCCGCGCGCTCCAGTTATGAGTCTCATGACACCCGAAGCTACCAGGACATTGCAGTCGCCCTCGAGCATTGGCTTCGAAGCGGCTGAAGGACTTTAATCTGGCGATGGCGGATCAGGATGAAAGAGATCTAGATGGCCTCTCAATCATCCCCTACGACAACAACCGCGATGTCGTTTTGTAAGTCTCCGTTCCGCTGATTTTGATATCTACTCCATCTTGACGTGTTCTTCCGCAGACGAAACGCCGATTCCATCGTCTATCTTGACCCAACCACGCAAACATTAGTTCCCCTTCGACGGAGTCGGCATCATGATATTGCACCCCGTAATCAACACGGCGACTGTCCGCATTGTGGAAGACCTTGGCAGACCCCCTCGGCTGAAGCTGCGAACGGGGATGCTGCCGCATCCGACGAGCAGACCTTCATCACCAATGACTATTTCCAGATGCTAGCTCGGAGCTTACCGGGCTCCGAACAACCCTCCGCTCCTCCGTCTCCAAGACGAAGACTCGCTCAGCCAGTCGGCTCCGTGTCCAGCCGCACACGCTTCGGCTCACCACTGTCCAGTCAACCTCGTACGCCACCCAATGCTGAATTCGTCGGGAGCTCTCCTGCTCCTCCCAGTACCACCAATGGCATCTCCGAGACCGCTTTTGCGCCCCATTACTTTGAGAAGTTCTTCAGAGTCGACCGCGAACTCGGCCGGGGTGGCAGAGGCGTTGTGCTTCTCGTGCAGCATCGCCTGGACGGCGTACCATTGGGTCATTTCGCGTGCAAGCGTGTGCCGATAGGAGATGACCATGCATGGCTGGAGAAGGTGCTCATCGAGGTTCAACTCTTGACCCAGCTCTCGCATCAGAATCTCGTCTCGTACCGTCATGTATGGCTCGAGGACTTTCAGGCCAGCGCCTTCAGCCCGAGCGTGCCTTGCGCGTTCATCCTGCAGCAATATTGTAATGGTGGTGACCTGCACAATTACATATGTGGGCCGGCTCAAGCCAAAACATCGACCCAGCAGCTCAAAGAGCGGATCCGCCGTCGGTCAAAAGGCGAGACGGAGATGCTTCGAAGCGCAGAAAACGAGCCCAAGAGACTGCATTTCGACGAGATTTATTCCTTTTTTCGCGACATCACAGCTGGCTTACGCTTCTTGCATCATAACGGGTTTATTCATCGCGATCTGAAGCCCTCCAACTGCTTGCTACACACCGTCGCTGATGAAACTCGGGTCCTGGTTTCTGACTTTGGCGAAGTGCAATACGAAAGCACTGCACGCAAGTCCACAGGGGCGACCGGCACAATCAGCTACTGTGCTCCCGAGGTTCTGCAACGCGTTGCGCCGGATGGGCCTTTTGGGAACTTCACCTTCAAGTCTGATATATTCAGTCTGGGCATGATCCTGCACTTTCTTTGCTTTGCAACTCTGCCTTACATCTCGGCGGATGTGATCTATGAGGAGCGCGAGGATGTTGACAAGCTGCGAGCGGAGATTGTTGGATGGTCTGGGTTCGACGATAGGAAGAAGTTACGTCCAGATCTTCCTGGAGAGCTCTATCCGTTTCTCAAACGACTCCTCAGCATTGATCCAGATCATCGACCGACGGCGGAAGAAATCAACCGTGGCATGAGCACGGGAAAGCTCAGCGACTTAATGCCAGAGCTGGGCCGCAGGAGGGGCAGCGGAGGTCAAGGCCCAGTCGAAGAACTAACTCCTGGGACGCGGATCCAAAAGCTCGACACGCCACAAGAGGGCAACTCTCCCAACCGTGGGGTCGATGACGCGAAAGATCGAGGCGCTCTTCCGACACTCATGCTCAGTCGACCGAAGCGCACCCTGTTCGCGCGCCGGACCAGATCACGAGAGCGTGCCAATCCCTCATCACAACTGACAGAAGAGGTCGCGGTTGACGATCAGGAGGACGAAGGCGACACAAGCCGCGGTCGCAGCCCTTACAGCTCTGATGAGGGACTTGGCGATGGCAGCAGAAGTTCCTTGGACTCTTCCATCGTCCTCCGCCCCAGACAACGGCATGCCGCTGTAGCTTCAGCGGGGCCTGCATCCCCCGTCAACGACCACCTCCCGCCACCATTACCCAGCCCCTCGCCCGAGAGGAAAGCACGACTCCTCCTCCCGCCCGCATCGCCCATACCTCCACCGACCTTGATCGCCCGCGCAAAGGAAGCGCTACAGATCCCCATAACGTCCCCACTGGTCCGTGCCACCATCCTCCTGGCTAAACTGGTCAGTGTGCTACAGCCGTGCGTCAACTCCACCATCGTCGGCCCCAACACAGCGGTCGTCTACCCACTGATCGTGCTGGCCGTGCTGGAGTTCACGCTAGGGAGGCCGCCGGAGATCTGGAAGAGCGGCCTGCTCTGCCTCGTGCATGCGGTCGCACTCGTGGTTGCGATGAGGCAGGGTATGCTCTGCAGGAACAGCGCTTTCACGTGGTCTTGGGAAGAGGGTGAGGCGGAGGGGTGGTCAGGCGGTGGAGAGCCTGGGTGATGTGTTGCAAGCGAGCGGCATACTTCCCTTGACGAAGCGTGGCTGGGTATGGCGTTGATTCTGGCCATGACTGCCACGGAACGTTTAATGATCTGGTTTGGCGTTTGTGGGGAGCATGAAACCGTGCACAGAGTGGGCGATCTCACCATTTCATGAGCGGATGTTCAGGCAGGTTTAATTCTTTTTTTCAAAGCATTCTCAGCCAGTCTGCATGCAAATCCAAGAATCTTACCGGATATCTGGTTCCACAGATTGACGGCGCACTCCCGGAAGGCATATGGACAGTCAGTCAGTTAGTAAGTCAGGCTGGCTGCATATGACCCGATTCTGCGAATTTGGTCAGTGCGGTAGAGCAGTACACACACACAGAGCGCCGCGAGACACCATGATGAGACTAGTCGAACCGTCCGGACCTAGCTGAGTCACCGAAAATGCAACTAGCCAGTGGTATATCCTTCCAGGGAGTTCATATACGAAGGTAGTACCGCCACAACTCCCCATGTGTCGTTTCTGGGTAAGGGTATTCCCTTTCGGCTCTACTCTGCTTACATCTACAAAACACCTCCTCTCCGAAAGTGCTTCCGCTCGAGAACGTGACATCACCACCCGATATGCCAGGCGCCAGGCAATAGAGAGTTCGTTCGTATTCACCCGCGCCGGCTGCAATCATGGCTATGTCAAAGGCTTCTTCAGCGCAAAAAATCGCAGTAGAGAATGTCCACGCGGCCGCGGGCTAGGCAGCGTTCATAAAAGATGCCTCCAAGAAAACTGTCGCGGTGCTGTGGACGAGTCAGGCCCCAGATAGGAACCCGAATGCGAGTTTGTGCGGTGACTGTTCGTGGACTGGACTGCTCGTACCGCACGTGTTTGAACGCCTTACGCGGTGGCGTGGCGTGGCATGGCACCACGACTGTCCTGTGGGCGGCGCGGCGCGGCGCAGCGCGAAATGGATAACAACCCAACCGCTTGGCCTTTTGGTTTCCCTTTTTGTATCTCGAAATGTGGCCCTCCCGAAAAACATCGTGGTTTTTCGGAAGCTGGTCCGTACGTAGGGCTGAAATTCGCAATGGCGATGGTTAGCGAGCAGTGCCCTTAAGCAGCCATGGGACATGCCTGAAAGCGGCGCTTGAAGCGAACCTCGCAGCTTGGCTGCTTAGATAAGGTACACCGTAGTTGCTAGGGGAGGTCTGTCTCCCCCAAAAGGCCTGGCTGAATGGGGTTTGATGCCCGCCAGACAAAACCTCGCCTTGTGACGGCAGCTCGGGGGCCTTACCAGTGGATAGCTTGGGGTGGTTTCAGGTACCTCCGTACTCGCTCGCCCGCTCGCGAGGTCTCGGTCTTTGACTGGCCATCGCGACGCCATTGCTGGGGCTATGCATCCAATCAACAGAGTATCCGACGGCGGTGCAGGCCTGGTGGTTCTAAGTAATGTTCAACCCTGTCCAAGGCTCTTTTCAGGCCTCTGCTGCTCGCTCCTGAAAGGATGTGTCGGAGCTTTGGCTACCGTAGGGATACTCCAGGGGGGCTTGATACGCCCAACACGGCCCCCACGCGGCCTCGCCCACCCCCCTCTACTCCACAAGCCGAGCAAATGTCGCATAACGTAGATTTGCTGCTCTGTCATCGAATGTTGTTCCTCTCCTTAGCTTTTTTACCAGATACACAGGCGTGCTGAGTCGAATCGTGATAGACTACGAAAGCTGAGAGGCGTAGCTCGCGAGTATGCGACACGGGTGATAGCTCGCTCACCTTGACTTCCCCCAATCGACCTCGGACTTTCGCCGTCCAGGTTGCGAAGCGGTGGAAATGGCCGAGAAGATTCTCAACAGAGTAATCATTTGCGTCGATGGTTCAGAATATGACGAGAACGGTACATTGGGTAGGTAGCGCCACCCAACTATTGCCTCCTTCTTGACGCGTACCTAGCTAACAGCCAAGGCTTCGGAAACACCAGCAACGTCTTCAAGCTTCGGAGTTTGGTCGCAACCAACATAAGTTACGATGGCGTCAGCCGCGGCATCAACCAGACAGTCCGGTACTATCAAGCTGGCAGCGACGGCCGGAGCGTCTTCAGGTCGCGCGCCAGTGCCTCTCTCGATCAGCAGGTCAAGGATATCACCAAGGATGTTTGTAACAAGCTCGAAAGCCCCCAGGATGAGGTTTTCTTCTACGGTTTTGGTCGGGGCGCCTACATCGTACGGGCTGTTGCCTGCGTCTTACACTACATGGGTCTGCCGAAACTGACTGGCAACTTCGACGATGCCTACCAGAAAGCTTTAGATCTTGAAAAGGCTCATTCCCTCGATGACAGCCTGAACGGCACCAAACTCCTATCACAACTAAGGGTCTTGTGCACCGATGCTCCCATCATACAGTTTGTTGGCACCTTCGATACGGTCAAGCCTTCGCTCGAGAAACACCAGTACGATATTTCTTATGTCAAGTCGATCCGCAATGTGCGTCACGCATTGGCTTTCAACGAAACACGGGTAGCCCCCGAGATATTTCATCGGCCCGAGTCCGATAGCATGGAGGGCCGCTCCTTCGTACAAGCTTGGTTCATGGGCACCAACCAAGACATGGGCGGCGGCATGCAACAAGATGGTCTGTCCCTCTACCCCTTTCAGTGGATGGTCGTGGAAAGCATCAAGGCCGGCCTCGTAGTACAACCCGACACGAAACACAAGTTTCTCGAGCTGGCTTTTCCTCAGTTCCTGGGCGGTGCGCCCAAGCTCAACGAAGCAGAGAAGAGCCAGTGGCGGCTACGGTATGCCAACGGCATCGAATCCATCATGTACGACCTTCAGACACTGCACTCGGATCGCAAGAACGACTCGACGCATTCCATAAAACATGCCAAGGAGAGCAAGGTCTTCAACACTCAGCGCAAGATATGGAACAACACAAGCAAAGCCCTTCTCGGGTGGACCGACAAGGGTCCTTGGGGTAACGTTATCCACCACTCCATGTACACCATCCTAGACAGAAACCCGAAACTCTACGACCAAGGCCTGTTCAAACTCCGAAAGAAGGAGCTAGCCGACTTCCAAGAGCGTTGTCTTGATGATCAGGGTCAGATGCAGCCGTGGCTGGACGGTCTGCAGTTGCAGGCGAGCGGGGTGAAAGCATTCCGAATCCTGGTTTGCGGTAAGACTGGTGTAGGCAAGTCTACACTCATCAACAAAGTGGTAAGTTGCGTAATCCACACTAAACCATGGGATCGGTGCCTGCGTTAGATCCCCCCTTGGTTCCTGCAAGCGACCTGGCTCGTCCCACTTGCGTAAAGGCCGCGCCTCTTCGTTTTTAGCGAACATGAGACCATGGGCGCTTTAATTGACTACACCCTCGATTGTGATTTTTTCTAATGAGGATATGCAATCTAGTTCGGTGTGGAGATGACAGAGGAGTCAACGTCTTATGCACAAGGCGCTCACGATATCAACACTGCGTTCGAAAGCCCAAATCATCCCGGTCTTCTTATACACGACTCGAGAGGTTGGCAAGCGGGAAGTGATCAGGAACTCGACCTCATCGCGAAGTTCTTGAGGCACCGAGCCTTCCAAAAAGACCCTGCAGAATCGCTACACGTCATCTGGTGAGTTCGGCATTCTGGACTCATGATCCTCCTTACTCAATGAAAACAGGTTCTGCGTCGACTCGGACGTGTCCCGAATAGAAGAGGCCGACAAGCGAACATTTGAAACTATCGCACAGTTCTCGAATCATGTTCCCGTCTTCGTTGTCGGCACCAAGAAAGACAAGCTCGTGGCATACCGCAAGATGGAGTTGCTCGAGGAATACATGAAGAGAACAAATGACTATAAAGAAGCCAGCAGTCTCGCTAACGCCGAAGCCAATAAAGCTGCAGACGACCAGTTTTTGGAGCTCAAAGAGCAGCTCTCACGGATTGAGCATTACAAGGCTGACGGCTACTGTTGTATATCCAAAGGTGAGTGATGTTCATAACGAGGCGGACGCCGGAACTAATCTCATTGGCAGACGATGACACTGGTGTTCGAACGCTTCTCAATCAGACACTGGACTTGATCGCAGACGACCGCGTACGTATCTTCTGCGTAGCCGCGCAAGTCATGGATGTGGAACAGAAGATTGATAGCGCCATCACAGAGTGTATGCGCTTGGGAACCCACGCGATCAGGACTGCGATGGTTCCGCTTCCATTCACCGGCATCATTGGAACTCCAACGGTCAGCCGTAGTAAGTGACTCTTCTTGTACCGCCCACTGGCCAGATTGGATATCCTATAATGTTTTGAAGTCCTCTCTGGACTTTGGTCACATCCTGATATCTGGTCTTGGCACCAAGCCCAGATACATCTTGCGCTCTGGCACACACTATCCACGCCGCCTCCATCAGCTTCGTTCTCTGAACATTGTTACTGACCTACATTTCTCATAGTAATTTGCGAACATGTCCTTCAGAACTTCGGTTTCCCGAAAGCCACGCCAGAGGCTGTCGACGAAATCATGTCAAGAGTTGTCATGGGTAACCTAAAGTCTTTCATGAAGACGAGCCTGGTGCAATTTGGCGCAGTATCAGCCGTTGCAGTCGGTGTTGGTGTCCCAACATTGGGCATTGGCACAATCGTTGGAGGCGCTGGAGCCATTCTAGCTGCGCCGCCAACAGCACGAATGCTGTTCAAATGTGCTTGCGACATGATCCTCATCTTGGAACGATCATTCCGCTATCAGGGCAGATATGTTTCGGTAAAGCAGATTGAGGATGCGGCCGTGTACTACACCACGGCCACTACCAAGACGTTTTCCGGCAAGGAAGTGCTACTCCAGCAGCACGTGCACGACGAAGTCGACCGCCTCATTCCTCTCAAGAAAGTCTCGGTCGGCTTCAGATTCGCACGCCTCAGGTCAGGTCTACAGGACATCATCTACATGAACCGCTTCGAGCAGAAAGTCGGCGCACCCCTGAGCTCCGTGCCCTCGAGCGAAATCTCAACCGCCAACGGCGGCATCCCCGAGCTCGACTCCAAAATGAGCGCCGTCGAACTCGACGCTGCTTCACCCGCCGTCACCTCCCCCCCACCCATACCCGAACTGCCCGGCGACACCAAGAACCCCGTGGAGATGGAGTCGCCGGAGACGCCCGCACCGGCATACAACACGCTCTCGCCGCTCGACGGCAGCGGCACCGGCAGCGGCAGCAGCGAATTCACCATGACGAACCTGTCGTCCATCGACTCGGTCAGCTCGCCCACCATCGCCGACGACATGAGCACGAGCCAGACGCTGATCTCGCCGGATTACGACCACGAGACCGCCAGGCCGAAACGGACCAAGAGCGAGGAGAGTGGGAGTTTGTTTAAGCGGTCGCTGTCGAAATGGAGCTTGAGGAAGGCGAAGACGAATGTATAGACAACCACAAATGCACTGTGAGTGGGTGAGTGGGTGAGTGGGTGAGTGGGTGCTGCTTCTCAACAGTGAAGCGCGGCTTTTTGGTATGGGACACGACATGGATGGGACAAAAGACTTTTGCTGGGTCGGGAATTTCTGGACAGATACCCCTGGCGGCCAGGTAGGAAAGATACAGACAGAGAATATCAAAATATATGAAGGACGGCCTACTCTACATCTGTCTGTCTGTCACTCTTACAAAGCTGCTGGGGAAACGCCAAAAAAAAAAGAAATTTAAGAAAAAAACAATCAACATGCAGGATTCGCTGCTGGTCACCCACGCAACTACTGACTGCACGGCCTATAGGTTCTCTGCGCTGAGCAGACGGGAAGCGGAGCTTTCTATAGCCTGTGGTCGATTGCGGGGGAGATTCTTGAGGAGGTGAGATATATGCTGTGCGCTTTGAATTCGGCGTGATGTGAGTCACATCAGACGTATTTGTGGACGGTGTCGAGCAGGACTGGACGATACGTGTGCATGGGTATTAGTGCGAAATGTTTGGATTGATGGGCTGCTGCTGCTGCTGGGATTCTCTGGGAACGGGGATAATTCAAACTCCAGGCTTAAGAATGCTTTGCTGGATTCATCAACGAGGCCGCGATATCCATGCCATTATCCTCCACAGGTGAGAGCTGTAAAATGGACAGAGAGGTGGACGGAGAATTATCCTTACCCAGTGACTATGGGACGCCGCCTTTCTAGGGATCATCAAAACGTGCGGCTCGTGGGCTGTTTCATGGCCATCAGCTTATAGCGCTCGGCAGTCTTGATCCTGGCCAGCTTGCCCCATTTCAGCAATGGCAGAGGCAGCAACAACACAAGGAATATGATACATGCCGTCAGAACATGGAGGTTCTGGATGCCCATCCCTTCCACCCACGGCGTGAGCACGAATAAAATGACGACTGAGAAGATGTTTCGGCAGAAACTGCGAATGTCAGTAGAGCCGGGGGAGTTCCGAGGGACGAGCATACGTACATGACACCTACTAGAGCATCACCTACGATGTCTTGATAGCAGTCTGTACAGTAGGCAAGGCTGATGTCTGTCGCAACGACGAATCCAAAACCCCAGACTCCGTATCCCACAGCCAATAAGATCCAGTGGACGCCATTAGCTAGTCCGAGACCGAACATCAGTATGCCAGCGGGAATCAGCAGGGCGGCAGGAAGTGCCAGCCATAGACGCATTTCGGGTTCGAAGATGCCCTTGTTTCGCTTTGCAAGCCACAAGACCGACCAATCGTTCAGCCAGCCTCCGACGAAGAAGCCGAAGATTGAGCCAATGAATGGTGGCAGGTTCATGAGACCGACACCATCGGCGCCGAAGTTGTATGGGGGGAGGATGAGGTAGGTTGCTTGGACCGAGGTCATGATGGCGAAGGTTGCCAGAATAAGGCCATAGGTAAGCGCTGTATAGGTCACAGCGGGGAAGGTGAACAAGACAACGACGGGCTGCCAGAAGTGTTGCGAAATTGGGCCTTCGGACTTGGTGACCAACGCGAGTCGCTGTCGGTGGTTCTTCATCGGAATGGACTGATCGATATGTGAGAGTGCCCTCTCCATAGTACCAGCTTCGGCCCCCTTGACGGTATCCTGCTTTGTTGGCTCCTCGCCTTCTAAGCTTGCTCGTCGTGCACCTTGGGTCACGGTGGCTCTCTGCCCTAGCATTGTCGGAATGTACTTTGACTCCTCGAAGAAGAAGAGGACAGCAACGAGGTTGATTCCAAGGAAGATGACACACCACCACCACATCCAGCGCCAGCCCATGGAGTCGACCACGTATCCAGAAGCTACTGGACCCAGAAAGGCTCCAGTTGCTGTGAAGACAAGGTACCAACCATTCATGGTAGCGTGCTGATGCACAAAGAAGATATCGGCGATGGTGATCTGGACGACGGTCTCCGAGATGGCGCCTCCCAGACCGGACAGGATGTTTGCGCCGAGGAAAGTCCCTGCATTGTTGATTTCGGCTTGCCAAATGCAAGAGGCAAACTGAACGGCAACGCTGAAAATGTATAGAGGACGTCGGCCGTACTTGTGGACGAGAGGGATGAAGAAGATGCAGCCAACGGCAAGACCTCCATAATTGACAGCTGCGCCTGCATTGAGCGTATCAATCGAGAAGTTGAATTGCTCTATCAACGGGCCCCAGGCTGTAAACCCGATATCGAGCTGAACGAATGTCCACAGCACATAGTATGAGACTAGACCAAAATTGAGCACCTTGCGCCACTTGGACCAATTCAGAGGGTCATTTGGATCCGAGGTGGGAGGTGGCTGCAGAACGAGCTGGTCGTTGGTCCTGTGGAGGTCTTCGAGGGTGACGGTGCCGGGTGCAAAGACATAGCCGGACTCGTCGGTGGTTGTGGCCATGGCTGTAGAGCGAAGGGCTCCAGATGACAATCAGTGCTGACCAGATTGCCGCATCAATCTCAGGTTGGGGGAGCAGGGCAGGAGGGCAGGCTCCTTTTCATTTCACGACAGCAAAGGATATCAGCGCAACTTTACGGTCTGTCTAGTCGCGATCCCAGCTGCTGGTCGACGTTAGCCGTGGCTAGCATGCGTTATCTCGAAAGTGAGGAGGCGAAGCTTTGATAGCCACGGCTCTCGAGCAGGCTTTCTTTTCTGCCATCTGGGGGAGCACCAGGAGCCTTTGGAGCTTTCCCAATACTGGGCAAGTAGGGCGTAAAACATGCGCGTTCGCCGACGGCCATCGCATCTGCACACTGTGCTGATTGGGCTCAGGTAGGACCGGGCCTGCCTATCAGTGTGGGGGGCTAATGTCGACAAGGTACGACCGGACCATTTTGTTTGGTAGAGGATGCGCGTCTCGGCAGATGCACTCCAGCAGAGGACTTGTCCGACAGTTCAAGATGATCAGAGCGCCAGTATGAAGCCTGCGGATGGACTTTCTGCATTGGGACACGCCAACGTCTCGACCACCATGTCCTGCTTCAGAGTCCGACTTCTCGGCATTCGTATCAACGTCTAGCAAAGATATCGTCAGCGCTTTCACCCCATTCGGAGTTTCTAGAGTCCGCAGGGTTCACGTGTTCCCCTGAAGTGCGCACTGGTCGTCCGAAATAACACTGATGGACACTCGCCCCGTTATAGTAGCATATATATATATTGGGTCCATATGCTGATGTTATAAGGGCCCGCCAGAACTGTACACCACCTACCGATAGTCGAAGGGAGTAGCGCAGCATACCGACGCAGACCTATACTGTATAACCCAACAGCATGGAGGTGCCTGGAGCAACCCTCTCCAAACTCCTACAACAGGTCAACGCCGACCCTCTACTTCCACGGAAAACCCCTACAGAAGCATTCTGGCAGCTTCCAGCACACGAGACGCTCTCAGCGGTCCAGTCTCCTGAGCTGCCACAGCAAGTCGAATACGCCATCATTGGCTCAGGTGTGACAGGCTGTAGCATTGCCCAGAACCTTCTCGAGCACGCCTCCTGTCCCAAGGACTCTCGCGTGTCCGTCTTCGAAGCCAGGACGCTTTGCAGCGGTGCAACGGGCCGCAATGGAGGGGCATTGACCTCCTTCGTCCCCTATGCATTCACGAAACTCACCAAGCAATTCGGTGAAGAGCAAGCCGTGAAGATTGGCAGGTTTGCTTACCGCACACTTGACAAGATGCACGAACTGGGCAAAAGTTCGCCGGAATTCCTGGACGCCAGCGAAGTAAGACGCGTCCGCGACATTGTTGGCTTCGTCGACCAGAAGTCATTCGAAGAAGCCAAGATCTCGTTCAAGAAATACGACGAGATGGTCCCAGAATGCACCCTGAACAGCGAGATTCTCGATGCCGAAGAAGCCCGCGAACGATACAACGTCAAAAACGTCAGCGGCGCCGTTCTCTTCGACTGCGGCGCCTTCTGGCCCTACCGCCTCATTACTCGCATCTGGGCACAACTCCTTATGTCCCACCCCAACCAGCTCACGATCGAAACAACCACACCAGTCACATCCATCACCCACGACGGCTCCACCTCCGCATACCCCTACACCCTCTCAACCCCCCGCGGCTCCGTCAAAGCCGCGCACGTCATTCACGCCACCAACGGCTACACAGGCCACCTCCTCCCCTCGCTGCGCGGCAAACTCCACCCCCTCCGCGGCACCATGTCCACGCAAGTCGCCACGCCGGCCTTCGGCTCCCACGGCACCGCCCGCGCCTGGTCCATCTCCTCCGCCGGCCAACTCAGCGACGACGGCGTCTTCGAGACCGGCCTGTACTATTCCAACCAGAACCCCAAGACCACCGACATCTTCATCGGCGGCGAGAAGGTGCGCATGGACGAGATGTTTGTGGCGGACGACACTGTTGTGCGAGACGAGGCGAGGGAGAATATCGAGACGGTGCTGCCGCGGTATTTTGAGAATGGGTGGGCGGAGGGCCAGAGGCCGGAAGTGCGCAAGGTGTGGAGTGGCATTATGGGGTTTACGAGTGATGGGTTGCCGTTGGTGGGGCGGCTGGCGAGGGAGGTCAGTGGGAGGGACGGCCAGGGCGAGTGGGTCGCGGCGGGTTTCAACGGCTATGGGATGCCGCAGTGCTGGAGTGCGGGCGAGGCGGTGGCGAAGATGATGTTGGGGGATGAAGACGAGGTGAGGACTTGGTTGCCGGAGTGTTATCTGATCACGGAGGAAAGGCTGGCGCGCATGTCTGGAGAGGCGAGCTTGAAGCATTTGATGGGATAGACGTTGGATAGATCGCTGGCCGGTATGGGGCCATGTTGGTCTGTAGTGACAGCAGGACATAACTTTTATCATTAATTGCAATGCTCTAGACCTGCACTCTCTGCGCCACAAATCGTGCAGCACTCGGCCCATCAAGCGCATAGCTGAGATGAGCAGCAAGCACTATCGGCGCGCCCTTGCAAATCAAGTCATCCTCATGGCAGAACGTAATCACATCATCACTCGAAACGCCTTGCACGGGTTGTCCATTGTCCGGGTCGCCGAACAGCGCAACTGCAGCCACCCGTGACGCCACATCAGCCGACACCTGCCTCATGCCCTTGTGGACGAGCTGAGCACCTTGGCTGTCAAAGGCACGTCAGTAATGTCACTCCTGCACACGGCTGGACTCGTGGAGAAAGCCTTACCTGTAGCCGCCCACGACGATCTGCGTGGCAGGACACTTGCTGGCGGCCTGCACCACCAAGCCCGCGAGCGTCTTGCTGCCCGCGTCGCTCCCCCCGAGCAGGTAGCCCGGAATGTCGGCCGGATAGCTGACGCCCTGCACGGCGACGTTGTCGTAGCCGACGATGGCGCCGAGGGCGTTGAAGAAGGGTGGACCGGCGAAGAGACCCACGTTGCCGAGCTCGGTCGTGCCGCGGGCGAAGATCACCGTGATGGCCTTGCAGGGCCCGGAGAGGTCGTTGCGCGTGGGGTTCAGAGATTGGCGGTCCTCGAGGTCGGATGGGACGGGGGTTGGTGCGGAGGTGGTGAGGGTCAGGAGAGAGGCCAAGGCGGCGAAGATCAGTGCGAGGTGCATGTTTGGGGTGTGAGAGGTGGCCTGTGAAGAGGATGGAGGAAGGAATGGTATGGAGTGAATGTGATGACGGCCCGCCTGGGGTTCGAACAAAGGAAATGGCATCGAAAGGGGGGAGGAGAGGTACCTCTATTATGTACCTTCGTGAAGCAAAGTGCGCGCGTCTTGTTTGTCTAGGCTCATCAGTCGCTCCCTTCCCGCATCCGATATTGCCGACTTTCCCCAGACGATATCTTACCTTCCGAACCCTGGTCCTGGTTCGTCTAGTCCTTCCCGCGGGGCTTAGCACCTGTTGTCGAAACCGTATTGTGCAGAAGCGCCGGCGAGAGTACCTTCATACCGGATAGTCCCATGAAATACACGCTGTTCACAGGTACCAGCTGATCGCTTTTTGCGACTTTGCCCCCAATGCACTCTGCAAATGCACTCTGCAAATGCACGACCGGGCCCTCCGCCTGTATTCGGTAGGGCGGCGCCGAGCTTCCATAGGTCATCCGACCATCACCTACATTAAGAGGGTCTGATTCTGGACGGCGCGCCTCGGCCCTCGTGGCAGCGGTAAACGAGTCAACTTCTTTACACACTTGCCGCCTTAAACGCGGCTCTCGACATGCTTCATCAACAACAGATTGCGATCTTCGGAGCAAGATTGGCTACCCGGCGGGCGGGAGGCTTGTATGAGACTGTTGACAAGCAGATGAGGTCTAGATTGAGTTGACCAGTGAGAACCACGAGGGGCATGAAGCCAGTGTGTGGGGAAAGGGAGGTCAGAGGACGGCGAGCAGGGGGTGGTGGTCGTGGTAAGATTTGAGCTGCAGGGGGTCGCGCAATGAGATGGTGATTGGATGAGAGCACGGTATCTGGACCCACTTGCCGAGGATTCACTGCCTGTCGACATCTCGGGGCATGTGCTGGAAAGGGAGAAGGGAGTGTGGTGTCGACTCTATTCGCAGCAGAGAGGTCACTTGCGCCGTGATGAACATGATCAGGGAGACCTGTATTACTAAGCCCTTCGGTAATCGAGGCAGCTTTTCGATCTCTTTTCGCTGGTTTGAGCTAGGGGATATGGACTCCAGGCAGGTCGAGTCTACAGGTCGAAGGCTTTGTCGTCTAGCTGGACTGCAATGAATGTCGGAAAGCCTGCTAGACCGTGCTCAGGCTACGAACTGCGAAAGGGTACGAGAGTCTCACGCGCCTGTCCGCTTACTGACTCCCGACGTGTGCCATCCCAGGCACAATCTAGTGCCATGCAGTTTAAATATCTGAGCGTACTTCCAACAGCAACAAGACAGTACTCGTTTCGCGAGCTATCCCAGCTCGTCGATCCTGCATGAGGTCCGTTCTAAAGTGTCTTGACTCTTGAAGCCGTGATCCCTGTATGCCCCAGACTTACAAGTCTCTACTTGGTCAAATGTCCGTTTCCGTGGAGTCTCGACTTCGGGTAGCATTAGTGAAGCCGGACGAGCACTTCCCAAACGAGTTCAAGCGTGGAAGGAGAATTATGAAGGCTAAAAATTGATTCCGGGGGGGGGGGGAAAGTTGTTACCAAGACACTGACCCGAACTCCTGACACCGCTTTGTTATTCACGAAATGGCACCCTGGAAGATCTTGGCCGCTAGCTCACTGAGCACTCTAGCCTTACTGCCCTGATCCAGGCTCTGGAAGACCTCGTACACACTCTTCCCGCTCTTATCGCGGATCTGGCCCGCCTGCTGTCCCGCGACCGCTCCAACGGCCGCGCCCACGATATTGCCCACAATGAAGCCCAGGATTCCTCCTGCGGCGGCGCCTGCAATGCTCCAGAATCTCTTGGTCGGCTGATGCGTCGAGCCCTCACTTAAGCCTGCCGCATCCATCATCTCCTCAAAGGGCCCTTGGAATTGCGACCGCGAGAATTCGTCCGCCTGCTCGGCGCTCGCGCTGCCTTGGCCTGTGAACCAACTCCATGGGAAGCCTCCGGCGCTGGTATTCGCTCTGGGGATTTCCTCCTCGGCGTCTTCGTCGTCTTCATCTGTGAACGTGCGCCCGCCGCTGCCGGTATGGAATTGCCGCGCCTCGTCGTACTCTTTCCTCCGTGTTTTCTCCGAGAGGGTGTAGTAGGCGTCATTGATGGCTTGGAATTTCTTGGTGCGTTTGCCGCGCTCGGGCGAGTCATGTGGGACACGGTCTGGATGCCATTTCAGAGCGGCTTTCTTGTAGGCGGTTTTGATTTGTTCCTCGGTAGCGGTTGGTGCGACTTCTAGTATGGCATCTGGTGCAAGTCAGTACGGATCGGAATTGGGGAAGAAAACTCCGGATGAGGCTCCTTGGGTCGCTGGGACATACAATAGTCTGGTAGAGGCTCCGTCATGCTGGGGGCACGGATATTCAACGCAAGAGCGCGTCGGGCTTGAATTGCAGGTGTATGCTTTGGTTCAGGCCTCAGTAGGGGATCGTCTTCCGTACGGAACGCGATATTTCCACGATTTGATCGAGTCTAAAGATGAAGACAGGAATACAACGGGTCGGAATCGTACGTATAGGGGGCACCGAGGAGAAGGAAGAGGTCAGAAGCGAGGTATGAGGGTCGTTTGCCCTGCTGAAAGATGATGCCTCTACCGCACATGCGATGACGTTTGCTCTCGCGGTCGACGTTTCAAGCCACAGTGGCTTGAACATCAGCTGTGCGCCTAATCTGCTTCGGCTCTAGAACGCATGATCCCTGCGTTCGCCGGCGAGACCCCAGCCTTCCAAGCACGCTCCCAGCCACTCGTGAATGCAGCTCGGAGAAGGCGGTCAGCCAACCGATTTTTGACCAGCTCTTGAGGATAGGCCAGGCCTTACAGTTCTACTGCGCAGCCAACAACTCTGGAGCCATTGCTGCTTCCCTTTCTTGAAGACCAGAATCGCGCTGTCGAGGCGACGCCGTACCGGCAAAAGTAGACCTGATCTCCATTGCGGAGTCCCTCCACGAAAGTACCCCGGCCTGCGCAACTCTGACAAACGCTGCGACCTTTTGGTGATTCGAACAGCAAGACCGAACTACACGAAGAGCGTGACAGAGTGAAGACTTGGGCTTTGACACCCACTCATTCGTCACAGTTGTGACCTGTCCTCCCACGTCCACTCAGATCAGTCCCAGATCCGTCCCACCCAGCTGGACCACCAGAAGACCAGGCACGATGGGTTTCTGGAACGACGGCATCCGTTCCCCTTCTCCCTCGCGCCGCAGCAGCTCCAGCAAGAAGACATACTACGCTTCGCGGCCCGCATATTCCCGCAGCGCCTCGTCCTTCTTCTCGTCCTTCAGTGGTGCAGGTGGTGGTTCCCGCGGGTACTACTCGTCCTCTCGCGCCCGGCCCCGCCATGGCTTCATGAACCGCATCAAGAAGTTCCTGCGCGATATCTATTCGTACATGAGGAGGCATCCCATCAAGGTGTTCATGCTGGTGGTGATGCCGCTCTTGACGAGCGGGGCCCTGGTGAAGATACTGGCGCAGTTTGGAGTTAGGCTACCGAGGGGGTTGGAGAGTATGGTCGGCGGGGCGCAGAGGGGCGGGGAAGAGCGATTCTACGCGCGAGGAGGTGCGAGAGACTATGAGGGTGGCTCTGCCTTGCCTGGCATGTTTTCCGGCGAGAACCTCGGGAGCCTACTTGGGATCGCGAGGGCTTTCATTTGAGGAGGATTGGAACGGCGAGATTCAGACTGCATATACATACAGACATACCAGACTTTGGATCTGGGGAAATGATAGCGAGCGAGCGATGGGATCATGAAATCTAATAGATTGAAGAACCACGTATCTTTCTATGCGCTTGCTAGTCTAGTTGTACATTTCGTATGGCCCGTGGCGTCTATTTCTTTCCCTTTCTTCGCTTCTTGCCGCCAGTATTTCGATCCGATTCGACGCCTGTAGCATCGACAATCTCGAAGCCATTGTCAGAGATCTGACTGGAGCTCATGCTGATAGCTGGGACAACGACCTCCGGCTCAGGCTCATTACCCACGGTAGCGACCTCATCGCTGGGCACAGGATGGGTGTTCTTCATGAAAGGGTCGAATGCTTTGCGGTATAGCCAGATGGGAGCGCGTACGACCGCTGTGTCACGGAAGGTCGGCTTGTGGATCTCGTCCAAGTCGAGGGGGAATTCGTCGACGTTGCCCTCTTCATCTTCCTCTTCCAGGAAGACATTGCCGACCGAGTCGACAATGAGCACCTTGCCATTCTCGGCGACCACACGTCTCCTCTCACCAGTCGTTGTCTGAATCTTCTCCGGCTTCGGCTCTTTAGACCTGCCGTTCCCCGTCTTCTTTTCTTTCTTCTGCTGACGCTCCATCTCACGCTTTTGTTTGCGGGTAAGGCCCGACATTTGGTCTGAATCATCGGCAGGAAGCTCAACGGGTGTCGGTGCCGTGATACCAACAATACCACTTTCATCGCCCCAGGCTTGCTTGCGTGCTGATCGGATATAGCGCTCCATGAACTCTCGCTGCCGTCGGTAACTGATCGTCAATGCAAAGTAGTGAGCCAATCCTCCACCGACAAGGAACAGCCCAAAGATAACTGTGCCTAAGCCAGGTCGGTAACGAGAATAATAGTAGCCAGTGCCCTTCCATGTCGGAAACCCGTGCTTGAGAAAGTGGTCGTACCGGTCTCGCTGCTCTGACTGCAGAATCCCTCCCACAACGGACAGTCGTTGATATCGCGCCGTCGCTCCAGTCATGAAGTTTGAAATCTCCCGCTGCGATGGACCTTTGGAAACATGCACCCCCTTGTCTCTTTTCTCACCCGACTTCTTTGGGGGACGGGTAGACTTGTTGGCGATGAAGGTCTGTCTGACTTTGTCAGGGTGTAGGGTTCGGGACTTTTTTCTTAGGGCTTTCTTGATATCATCGACGGTGGCTGTGCTCTCAACTCCGAGGAATTCGTAGAATGTTGTCCCCTTGCCCTCCGCGTCCTCCAATTCGTTTCGAATTCTGAAGATATCATGATCTTCCTTGGTGAAGGCTCTGACCAGGGCTACGCAGGCCAGCAAGGTGAGTAGGAAGTGCAGTGGCCTCATCTTGTACCTTGAACCGGTACGCGACCAAGTATTCTGAACAAAGGTGTTCGTATATTTCTGAATAATTTCGCAAACGACTTAAAAGGCCACCGCAGCAACGGTGGCGGACAGTACCATTCACTGCCCGAAAACACGCCATTCAACATCTACGCTTCGGCACAACGCCACGAGCAACAGGACATCGTCACTCAGAACCTGGATCATATAGCTGTATTGAATGCCCAGACCACATGATCATGGATCATTTGTTGCAGCTGTATTTGCATCTTACACTCGCTTCAACTACTGGTGCACAGTCAAACTCACAATCGACTAAACTGCGTCAATAGGGCCGAAGCTTGCGTCAACAGCTCAGCACCAGCTCCCCAGTTAATACTCATTAGATACCGGAGGTGGACGTCTGACCGTATTGACTCCAGAACGGCATCAGAAGTAATGCTCCCAAAGCTATCTTGGCTCGTGGCGTGTAGACCTGGTAAAAGCACTGGCAGAGCGTAAGCCGGGTCCACAGTGGATGTGGCTTGTGTTCTCTTTCCACGATTGAAGTTCCAGCGTGGCCGCGTGCTTGTGGGGAGTTTTCCATCTACGTTGTCTCGCAGGGCTTCAAGTAGAGACGTAGGCAAGTCCAGCAGCAGGCAAGGAAGGGGTCATTGAGGTCCAAAGTGAGGCGCAAATGTTCTCTCTCCATGCCCAGCAGCAGCGCCCAACAGAGATCTTGGAGCCAATGGCAATACTGTTACTAAGGTTCTGGCTGCAGCAGCGTGGAAATGGGGAGGGGTTGTGTTGGCAGTCGTAGTGACCGCCTTTCGCATCCCGCTGTCTTCTCTTCTTTCTGTGCCCTTGTCCTCAACGACCTACCTTAAGTCACAATGCGTATATTTTCTCACTTCTTCCTTGAGTCTGACGTTGGCCAGAATTGAGGAGGAAGACGTTATTTTTGGAGGGGTGCACAGGCAGGGCAAGGGGGGTTCTGTCCGAGCACCGCCACGCAAAAGCCACTTTCAGGTAATTTGCTGAACAACTGCATCTCAGCCAGGGCGAGCCAGGGGCTCCAAAGAACTTGTTGCCTGGAATTTGCCCTTGCTCGACACGCTGTTTCTCCTTTCCTACACACCAACACCTGCTCGTCACTCACTTTCGACGTCTTTCCTTTGCATACACCATTTGTAAGCCAGCCCTCCTGCCCTTGCCAACCCACAGCGCACCCGGCTGATCACTTTCAACAGTAATTCAATCGCATTCATTCAAGTTTCATCGCAGCCATGGCCAGACTCAACATCCCGATCGACGTCCTTACGTCTCGCTTCAACATCGGCGACCGTTTCTCGGGCCTGCGCAGCCAGTCTTTCGGTCAGCGCTTTGCAAATATCAAGCCAATTTCCGAGTTCCTCGATATCAAGAGGCTTTCCAAGCCCAACAACTTCGCTGAGGTGCAGAGCCGAGTCAACTACAATCTCACCTACTTCTCCAGCAACTATGCCGTCGTCTTCGTCATGCTCAGCATTTATAGTCTCATCACAAACCCTTGGCTGTTGTTCGACATCATCTTCGTGACCTTCGGCATGTGGTTCATTGGTAAGCTGCAAGGCGGAGATCTTGAGATTGGCACTATCAAAGCCACTACCTCACAGCTCTATACTGGCCTGCTGTGCATTGCTGTCCCTATTGGCTTCTTTGCGTCGCCTTTCAGCACCATTCTCTGGCTCATCGGAGCCTCCGGCGTAACCATCCTTGGCCACGCGTCACTTATGGACAGACCAATAGAGAATGCTTTTTCCGAGGAGGCGGTCTAGGTGGTCGGCCGCGAACTCCATACGATGTGCCCCCATGGGGAAGACCACCCGGGGCACGACTGACACGAGGTCAAAGAGCTTGGGCTGCGCAGTCGTGGTCCGAATACGATGATCGGTTCGAAGAACTCGAGACCGACGATGACGGCTTACACGGCGTTGAATTGGATCAGGGCTATGTCCCAAAAAGATTTGCTTCGGATGAATTGCGTTTTACTGGAATAGACATGGGTGCAAGGTCAGGTGCCCGCAGAAGGCACCCAGATTATTACGACGATGACTATACTCCCTCAGACGAGGAATATGATGGTTCTACAGGATTGGTCCGGCGTAGCCAAGGTCAATTGATGCTACGGGAGAAGGAGGAAGCCCTAGTTGAGAGAGCTCAGGAGAGAATCCGGCGTGCTCGGGCTCTCGGTAAGACCAACGTCAAGTTGAGTCGCGCAGAGATTGATGCTTTGGACCGATTAGAACGGAGCCAGAATCCACCGCCTACCCCTCCTATACCGATGCCTGCTCCGAAAGCGGCTCCCAAGGGTAAGAAGGCTGCTGCGCCCAAGCAAAAAGCCATCGAGTCCAAGAAGACTGGGAAGAGCAGCAAATCTGGCAGCAATTCCCCCAAACCCAAGTCAAAAGAGTCAAGAAGCCGAGGCCAGAGCGTCGCATCTACACGTTCCAAAGGCAGTGCCAAGGAGGAGGCACTAGTACCCTACCCTGTCTCCCCTGACGAGCAGTATGCCTATCCACCGTGGTACGGTCGTCCTGGTGGACCAAACTCTCTGCATCAAGAAGCTCGCGCTGGCTCAGCGTCCAGAATGCCTCAACGTGAGCCTATGCCGCCGATGCCCTACTATCACGCCTACAACTCGCACCCAGACGTCATCTACGGCCCTCGACCTGGATCCAACAGCTCATATGCCTCTCGACCTGATCCAGCCGACCCTGATTGGGAGCCCCGAGCCCGCTCTGCTTCGAGTCTGGTTAATTTCCCACTCGACCAGCTCCCGCAGCAAGCAGTTGCTGGCACAGGGCGTGCACCACGCTTTGATCCCGCCGATCCTCGATACGCCTCTCCACCTACTCGACGCGTCGTTTCCGGACCGCCTCGCGGCAGGCCAGATGAGCTCTTCCTGCCCGATGACCAAGAAGTCATGCAATATCTCACCGAATCAACTACCAACGATGAGGCCCGCAGTACCTCCGATTCGGATGACAGCAGTCAGGGCGTGCAGGTCAATGTTGAGGAGCGAGCAGGTGGTCAGTATGCGATACAGACGCGAGCGGCAGCACAGAAACGGATTGGTAGCGGTCCGAGCAAGGGAGCTGCGAAAAAGCGAAAGTAGATCAGACTCAACACTTGCATCCTAAAAGCATTGCAATGCGTACGGAGTAATGGTAATGATATTTCACATGCATACCTATTTATGCACTTCGAGTTGTTTAAAATGCCCCGATGCGCTGTCACATTCTTTCGTCGGTAGAATTAACTGATCATGACATGACACTTTATCCGGCGCTGACACGCAACATACGACTAGTAACTATCATTGCTCGAAAACCGGGTATCGATCCAACAAGATTCCAGATCCCACCCAACTGGCAGCAAATGCGTTGCATTTCCACGATCCGTGCGTGTACTGTTTGAACCAAGCTCCAAGGAAGGACCTCCTATCGTGTACAGGCCCACACAAACCCATCACTCTCTCGCAAGGGATGCACAGATTCGTCTCCCACCCACGCCTTGCTCATCCACGCGCGGGCTGCCACCAACACCTTCGACCGCTACTCTGCCTCAGGTCCCCCGTCCACTCTTCTACCCGAGCTTCATCACAGCTCCTCGTGAAAGCGACTTATCTCTCTACTCCCTCGAGGACTCTCACCTCTCGCATCCGCCAGCTTCGGCGGCGGCGCAAGCGAGACCTCCTCGGTGAACGCGTCTCTCGCCTCCTCACGCTCCTGCGTATCCTGGGACTTCTTGCCCGTCTCACCCTCGGCTTTCTTTGCGCCGGCATGGGGTGTGCCAGCTGCGGCGGGGCCGAGCACGACGTCCTTGTCCTGTGCGGACGAGGAGGTGTCTTTGTCTTTGCTGAGCTTGTTGGACAATGCGGTGCCGACACCGCCGGCAGGCTTGACCTTCTTAAGCAGGCGCTGACGAAGGCCGCGCTTGCCTCGAGTGTCGTCGGCAGCTGCCGGGGCGGTGGGCGAGGCTGGAGATACGGCCGCAGGGCGTTCTTCATCAGAGTCGCTCAGCGAACTGATACTGGGCGACCTGCCTCGAGTGACTGCTGTGTGAGCAGTTGCCAATGCATCCCCCGCGGGAGTGTCCTTGACGGGCGAGACTGGCGAGTCCGGCGTCTGATGCTCATTTGCGTCTCCGTACATGTCGCTTGTTTCCTCGGAATCTCGTGTTCTGCGGCCAGCGAGCGCGACGTCGCGCATCGAGTCGGAGCGGGGAATGTCAGTGTCACCGCTTTCCCTGGAGGCTTCTGTGCTCTTCTTCGTTGCCTCAATGGCCTTAGGGGTGGCGGGGCGAGCGTCCCCGGTCGTCTTGAGAGGTTCGTCATCCTCGGCTGAGTGAGACTTGCCACGGAAACGGCCAAACAGTGACTTGATTCGAGAATCCCGCTTGGAGGGAGAAGTGGGCTCATCATCCCGTTTAGAAGGCGAAAGTGGCTCATCGTCGTGCTTGGAATCTGAAGTCGGCTCATCATGAGAAATGACAGCCGGATAATAGGAGGGCGGAACTGTGTCGGCGGCCTCGACCTGACGAGTAGTGCGATCCTTCGCCTCCAAACCTGGAGAGTCGTCTGGCTCGATGATCTGGGAAGTAGGCTGTCCGGTCTCGAGCTCAGGGTGCTCAGTATCGTTAGATGTAGGATGGGCAGAGTGAGTGGATGCGCCCGGAGCTACTGCGGCAGTGCTGCCTACGGCCGCGGTGCCTGCTGCGGTGCCTCCCGCGGTACGGCCGAGGACGCCAGAGAAGAAGCCTGGTTTCTTGCCTCCAGATTTTCGTTTTTCTTCCCGCTCGAGACGAGCTCTCTCCTTTTCGGCTGCTACCTCGGCCTGTCGTTTCTCTTTCACAGCGTTTTCTTCTTCTCGTTGGACACGCTTCTCTTCGTTACGACGGGCACGTTCTTCTTGCTTCTCGCGCGCTGAGTCAGGTCAGTGGGCAATCTCCAACAGGATGAAGTGATTTTCGCACGTACCTTGCGAATCTTTAAGCTCCTTCTTGATCTCGGCCTCTCGTTGCTTCTCTGTTTCCTGCTCTTGCTTCAACCTCTCTTGTTCCAGTCGAATCTCCTCATCCCTAGCACGTTGCTTTTCGGCTTTGTCAGTGATCTCGTCCAATGTAGGCTGAAGCCGCTGTTTGGCGATAGCATCGATGTCGGCCTGATCGAGGTATTTTCCACCTCCGATGTTAACTCTACCCACATTAATCATGCGCTCATCACTTTCACGCTGTGCCCGTTCGCGAGCTTGCCGCTCCCAGAGCTCACGTTGCTGAGGGCTCGATTTGCCCGTGTCAGAGAAGACCTTCTCATCCATCTTGTTCATTTGGGCTGTGACGTTCTTGTGCGCTGCCACTAACAGGGCGTCTCGATCGGCCTGACGCTTCTTGCTATCAACTTCGGCTACCTTGCTTTGGAAGATCGACATTTGAGATTTGATCTTCCGCGACTGCTCTTCATCTGAATCGTCGGCCTCATTAAGGCTGGAAGCACGCCGACGATTACCGCGGATCGAAGACAGCCGGTTGGTTTTCTGTGGAGTAGTCTGTCCATAGTACTGGCGATATGCAGCATGCTCGTCGTGTAACTTGGCGAGCCTCTCCTGCGCAAGTTTCGTTGCAGTCTCTTGCAGGTTTTCATAGCCCCGACCCGGGTTATCAGGAACCTGGCTGGTGGACGCATCCGACATAGCTCGATTGCGAGCTGCACGGGCACCCGTGGTACTATCTGATTGCCTCGTAGATTTTGCCTCGTCGATATGTGTTTGCTGGATGGCGTACATTTTCTGAGCCATCGCGACTGCAGATGCTCGTAGCATGTCTTGACGCTTCTTCTCCTCGACCTCGATCGAAACTGGGGGCGTTGAACCATACATCTGTCTTGACACATTACTCTTAGCCATATTCTGAATTCTTGCCGCATCGAAGCCTGGATCACCACTTGCAAAGTCGCCCCGGGGATTTGATGTCTTCTGAGTCGAGTTTGCCGCCTTCAATGCCCACCCTGCACTTGGATTTGCTTGTGGTGGAACTGGCGCGGATCCAGATCTCTTCCTGCTACCAGACATTGCGCCAGTAGCTGCTAGTAAAGCCTTGCGGTGGTCACTTGCAGAAACATCACGTTCTGTGATTGGCTTTGTTGGCTTTCTTGCGGCATGAGCCTGGCCTGCTGCGGAGAGTCCATGTTCGCTCTCTGACGCTCTCCATATATCGGGACTGGTTGTGTGACTGTGCGCTTGAAGCGCAGCCTTGGACCCCGCAGCACTCAGTTCGGGCTGCCATAGTGGGTTCATCTTGTAATCTTTCGCTTGCATAGCAGCCTTGTTCGCGGCAGGAATAGGATCAGGTTTCCAGTGTTCGAAGGACTTCTGGTTCTCGTTCGCTAGGCTAGCGGCGGCACCTGCGGAGGCGAGCTTCACTCCACCTTGAGATGGAAATGAAGGGAGATCCTGGGCGCGAGCATACTTTAGTGAAGTTGCGGCGGATGCTGCGGAGAGGCGGCCGTCTTCATCTAGTATCGAGTGCGACGCCTGAGAGGAGGCCGTATCGCGGGTTACGTATAATGCGGCGGAAGCAGCTTGGTATTCTAGTCAGTTGCCAGCTCATGCCTAAGCGAGGAGGACAAGACGTTACCCGACCCCTGCAAATCCTGGCCCTGTGGAGCCCCGGGCTTCACTGTCGCCGACATGGCGTTCGTAACAGGGAGCGCGATTGTTAGTATAAAGATGTTGAAGGGAGTGTATATCAAAAGAACAACTACAATCTACAATATCACGACAACAGCCGGCACTGGCATATTGGGAGGGGGTGGATGAGCTTCTGGGCGAGAGGCACAGCTGATCCAAACCTTGACGTCAGTGCAAGCTGCAGCCACTGCTGTCATCGGCTCACTAAGTTGAATTTGGGGGCGACTGGGGTCCCGATCTCGAGGGCTAGCCCGTTGAGGTTGACTGGAGCCGACGCGGCGGAACGACGTTGCCTTGCCAGCTCCCAGTATGCTGTTCATCGACCTGGGATGACAATCAACGTCAGTAATGGCATATCAAATCTAGACACAAGAGTGGCTACTAGGCAGCTCTGATCCGTTTCGCGCAACACTGTATAACCCTGGAAGGATCATCTAGGAATCCTCCGAAAGTCGCTCGGCCTTCCTGTCCAGAGCTGGAAAGATGGGGGCTCTGAGACCCGCCGGAACGAGTTTCGAGAAGATATTGAACTTTCGAGATGTTGGCCACTTCGTTGGTGACACTACCATGACAGATGCCGGACCGAAGCTACGGAGTGGTCGCCTATATCGAAGTGCGCGTCTCGACGACGCCTCGGCAACTGACAGAACAGCCCTTGTCAATGATACTGGCATCAGGACGGTCATTGACTTGAGGTCCAAGACAGAGCTCATTAACGCGGCCAAGAAGCACTCTGACGCGGCAGCGTTGGCCCAGTCAGCAGTAATACCTTCGTCCAACAGTCAGATTGCACAGCCGTTGAAGATCCCTGGACTACGGTACGAGGAAATCAATCTCAATGGTAAAGGTTTCGAGCGAGCGCTGGTGTGGCAGCTCTCATACATCAGCCTCGCTCGGCTGACATTCTTGATGGCGCTTGGTATATCACTGCCCCAGGCCACCTACCAAGACTCTGCTGACAGCTTGCAAAGGATATCGCACCGAGGGTATCTCGGTGTTAGGGAAAGAGATTATGCAACCACGTGGCTTGATAGGTTTAGGAACGGATACTCTAGACCATTCCGGGCCCGAGATCAAACAAGTTTTTGATGTACTGAGCGATGAAAGTGCTTATCCACTTCTTGTACACTGTACGCAAGGCAAGGACCGGACAGGCATCACGGTGCTATTGGTGCTACTGCTTTGCGGGGTTGATCTGTCCGCAATCACTGCCGATTATGTGAAATCTGAGGCTGAGTTGGAACCTGAGAAAGAAGAGCGGATGAAGGAGATCTCCAGCATTGGTCTGGACGAAACATTCGCCCAGTGTCCAGCGAACTTCTGCTCCGACATTAAGGAGTATCTGAGTACCAAGTATGGCGGTGTCAGCAACTATCTTGAGAAGATAGGCGTTGACAGCCATCAGCAGGAGGCGGTGCGGCGTATCATGCTCGTATGAATTCCCCGACCAGGCACTTAACGACCTAGCATGCAACAGTGCTGTGCCTGGGCGTCTCCACAAACTCCGTGACTGAGCGGGTGCAGACACGAGGCTCGATGCAACGAGCGCTGTCAATCCCCGGAACAAGACAAGACTGCCAACCCCACCGCCATGTGCATGCATAACTTTCACTGCCTCGTCGATCAGCACAAAACATGCTGCGCCGCGAGGATTGTCATCAAAAGCCGCGGCGTTATCGCCGTGCATACGGGAATAACCATACCGTTCATAGTTTCCTAAGCGGCAATTCAAGATCTCCTTCGCTCCAGAAATGGCTCGTCGTGGCGGTCGATTGCTTAGAAAGCCGCGAGCATCCGAGCTGCAGCCACAGCCGCGAATTTGAGTTGCAATCGTCATGACGTATTTCCGTAATCAACCAATCCAAGGACTTGCTGGCGGCATCCCTGCTCAAAAACCTCGTCCGCTTGGCAGACGTAAGCCGTTTCTGTCGCAGATGGTGCCCACGCTATCCACGCAAACAATGGCCGCGGGAGACTCACGGCAGGGCTTAAAGCGTCAATCGGACACCATAGCCTCCACGGCAACGTCGCAGTTCGCGCTATACGAGCGGGAGAGTTTCTTGTTGACGTGAGTGCGCAAGAGCAGTGCCCTTGATATACCTCAGCGATTGTCTTTCTGCTCCGTCACCTCAACTCTCAATCACCTCGCCATCATCGCCTACGGCCCCTTCAGCCGCCATCGATATCGCCTCCTCCTATCCGACCTGCCATCCATCATTATTTTCTGTTCTCATCCTCAGGCTGATCTTTCCACACCTACATCGGTCAACCAAGTATCGGAGATCGGTGGTGCCGCTCAACGACCATAGTTATCCCCAATAGCAACACTCAGCTGCAGTACCGCCAACATGTGGGGATACGCCGCCGTTCTGCCTGTCATCTCAGCCCTAGTATGGCTTTCCATGCTGCTCGGGATGCTCCTCTGGTGGGTGACCTCGGGGTCGCCCCTTCTCCCCAGCATGGTAGACGACCAGAATCAAACCATCGCCTACATCAGCGACGTTGGTGCTTTCACTCTCAAACCCTTGTTCATCAGCATGTCTTCGGTTATGGTCGTAACACTGAATGCCTCATTCCTGGTGGAACGATATTTACGGCACAGCGGACTTCTGGCTGCCAACACTTCGAGGGTTCAAAAAGGGCTCAGCATTGGCTCCATCATCTTTTCCACGATCGGAGGTGCTGGCATCATTCTGCTGTCCATCTTCGATACCTATCGGCATAATACCCTGCACAACGTCTTCCTCCTGTGCTTCATCGGCGGTTACGTTGTCAGCGCGATCTTGGTTTGCGCCGAGTACCAGCGCCTGGGAATTCATTACCGGCAGCACCGCATCCTGCGCATTTCCTTCTGGGTGAAGCTGTTCTTCATCATCGTTGAGTGCCTTCTGGCCATTGCCTTTGTGAGCACCAACTGGACCAGTCACTACAACGTCGCCGCCGTATTTGAATGGATCGTGGCTTTCATCTTCACGTTGTACGCCCTCAGCTTCGCGCTGGACCTGCTACCTGCCGTGCAAACGGCACGACACGTCCCACAGGGCTTGAAGGATGCCGAGAAGAATCTGCAGAATGGTGGCGATCAGATGGGGCGACCAGAGGGATCCGTCAATGAGTTTGGTATGGCCTCTGTTGAGCAGCCGCAGCGAGCGCAGCAGTCGAGATTGTCGAGATTTATCTCGTGGTGAAAAGTTGGTTTGTTTGATTGGGCATCTACCCATTTCATGCACATATTCTTGGATTAGCACTAGCGGTGGGCGTTCAACAACGGTCACAATGATTAACTGAGGTTGACATAGACTCGAAGGCTGGTGGACGCCTCGTCTTATAAGAGAATGGAGTCCGGGGGGCCACGGGAATAGGCGTCGACTGGAGTCTAGCATCGGTCTGGCTGATCATGAAACGAGCTTCCTACCTCTTTGTACTATTCAGAAGCACTCTTGGGAGGGAAGGAATTTATTAATCACCACATTTCACCGCTGTTGAAGATGCAATAACTACTCACGACGTCCAATTTCGAACAGAATGCCTCGTATTGCAGGTGGGTGGAAGTATGTACGTGAGCAAGGCGTCCGAGGCTAATGACTGTTCTGGACCACTATGCTCAACCCGATAGGAGGGAAGCCAGCTATCAGTTGAGTCCAAGCGGTCAGCGCTGCCATCATGGACCTTCGCAGGTCGAGTGCCCCGATCATGTCAACCAGCTCAACTCTTCAGCACACATGCGGCAAACGGATTGCGCCCATCCTGCTAAGATCACCACGGAAATACATCCTCGATGAATGACGGTGTGCATCCTTCGAGTCTTGCCACCTCGTAATGAGTTCTACCGACGACTCACACGTTTACCCGCGACGGTGTCCACGCACGTGGTTGTCTTGTATCATGAAGTCGCTTCAAGTAGAGTGATGCTTATGGTATTTTGGCTCGAGGCTTGTATCTCACACAAAGGTGCTACTAGTACGTGGTTAGGGCCGGGCTTGGCTAAACTGGAGCCCCCGCGGGAGCCTGCAGCCTGAGGCGCGCAGTCGCGCATCGTCGCACTCGCACCCGCTGCCGCTGCCGCAGCAAATCGTGGGGTCGGTGTCTCAACTTGCACCCTTCTACAGCCCCTCAGATAACCTTTTCCGCTAGATACACCTCAGATGCGTGCGCTCGCCGCCACCGTGTAATCACTCAGCGCGCCTCGGTACAGTCTGTATTCTCTATAGAACAACAGCGATTCCACTGCATATGGTAGCAACCGCCGCTTGGACGTTGCACTCCTCTCTCAAAGTGGCTCAAACGCCCACATCATGGGCGCCGTCGGCTCCAGGGTCGACGATGGGTCTCCCTTCTATATCAAGGATCAGTCGCGCTGTGAGCATGTATCTCAATTGCTAGAATGTGGACCTAACATCATACAGTGACTCTATCCTCTCTTGTCGTCTCGAACGGTCTTCGCAAGGTCATTTTTCACACGACCCCTAATGCATATCCCGCGACGCGCTTTTCTGCGCGTAGAGAGGCTGGCGATGATACTCCTGTATCCTATGTCCAAGATCCAGATTCAACGAACCTGCAGTTCCTCCCGCGATTAGACCTCGACGATGAACTCGACTTCCGCTTTACCTTCGTTACCCGCCAAACTACAAATGCTTCACCCACACCTACCAGCGCGCCCAGCGTAGGACCAATCGACACTCAGATTAATGGACTGACATTTGCCTACGCATCCAACACGAAAGAGTTGGACACACTGGTTACAAGAGAGTTCCATGCGGACCCTAACCTGCACAAGAATTCAAACGTCCAGTTTATTGGGGACTTTCACACCAACGGATCACCCTCCATCGAGTTCGAATGGACCTGGAGATGGAAACCGCCAAAGATGAACCAAGATCGAGGGGGCGGATGGAGGCATAGTTGCAGCTTTCTTGAATACGACTCCCGTGCCCATCGTCTAAACACCCTCGCCTCGTTCGCATTTTGGGTACACAGGTCCTCCCCGATAGTACCAACTCCGTTAGCATCACCAGGCTTTGATCTAACAGTGCCTGTCTACCGGAACCAGAGACTTCCTTCTTCTCAATCCTACCAATCTGCTGTGAGCGATACGGAAGACTTTCAGCAGCCTCCATCACCGCATGTCATTTCAACAGAGCTGCCTGTACAGCCGCCGTTCGCCCCACCGGTGCCGGCTCCTGTAGCCCCGATCATTGATGTTCTCTGCCAGCGTCCGGGCGAAGACATGAGCTCCGTTGATGATGGTCCCGTATTTCGGGCCACAATGAAATCACTGGAGCAAAAGACTGGCAATATGCGGGTTCAAATCAAGAAAGTCCTAAAAAGAGCAGAAGCCGCCCACCAAGCCCAAGTCGAATGCAACACGACCATGCGGGCCTTCCTAGCTGCATTGCAGGAGGCATCTGCTTCAAACGCAAGCGCTTTCAAACCAGCATTGGACCATTACTTTACCAAAATTGCACAACGCCTTCTCGATTATGAAACTCAAAATGCGCTTCTCTTACAGAGGCAAGTCATCGAACCTGTTACCAGGCTTTATAACCTGGACATCAAAGCTGCCGACCAGAAGAAGAAGGATTTCGATGAGGAGAGCAAGGATTACTATGCGTACGTGAGCCGCTACCTCGGTCAAAGAACGGATTCTCTCAAAGAGAAGAAACGCGCCGAGAGCGACACCAAGTATCAAAACAAAAAGCGTAACTTTGAATTGAAGCGCTTCGACTACTCGTCCTTTATGCAAGACTTGCACGGTGGTCGAAAAGAGCAGGAACTTTTGTCGCAGCTTACCAAATACGCCGACCGTCAGACGAAGACGTTTTTGGAGACATCGAGGAAGGTTGAGGTCTTGACACCGCAATTGGATGCCCTTGTAAAAGAAGTAACGGAAGCAGACAAGGAATACAAACTGCAGCGCACGGAACGAGAAGAGAAAAGACGAAACCTAGAGAAGAACGCTACCTCATCGACCGACAATGAGCCAGTTGCACAAGTCAGCTCACACCCTTCCTCCGCCCCTTCACAAAACGGAGTCGGCGGCTACAATTCTGATACGGATCTCAGTCGAGCAGACAGCACGAGCTCACAATTTGCTGGCAAAACGGCCAAGACGCTCTCACCCAGCAATTCTCTTCATGCTCCGGGCGCGGGAACTCTATCAACGTCGCCTGGCGCTGCATCGATAACGACAACACCAAGCAAGTTCAAAGGCATTCGTGATCTCGAGGAGAGGGACTCTTCTATCGCTTCCACACTTGACAAGGCCGGCATGGGACAAATCCGCAAGGAGGGTCTCCTCTGGGCGTTGAGCAAACCTGGTTCCCACATTGATCCCAAAGGTATTAACAAACAGGCATGGCACAAGTAAGTGATACCCCCGATCGCCTGTTCCGAGCTAAGTCTTTGCAGGTTCTGGGTTGTGCTGGATCAGGGCAAACTTTCCGAGTACAGTAACTGGAAAGATAAGCTCGACCTTCATCGAGAACCCATCGATCTTCGCATGGCATCTGTACGAATGGCACGTGATGCTGAGAGGAGGTTCTGCTTTGAGGTCATCACTCCGCATTATAAACGCGTCTTCCAGGCCACCTCCGAAGACGACATGACGAACTGGATCAACTCCATTAACAACGCCCTTCAGAGTGCTGTCGAAGGACGCAGTGGGAAGTCAATCTCACAACACTCGTCTGAAACGGTTAGTCGAGAGTATGGGTCTGTCCTCACGGGCAAGAGCTCTTCGCAATCGGGCCCACACGGGCAGTCACACAAGAACGATGTCGGAGTCAGCAGGCGCATCACTGTAGGTGCGCGACCGTCGTACGTTCGGACCACCAGCAGCAGCTACGAAGACAATCCCTCGAAACTGCTGCAGCAGATCCGAGACATCGATCAGGGCAACGCCTACTGTGCTGACTGCGGCTCGACGAGCAAAGTTGAGTGGGTGTCGCTGAACTTGGCCATTCTTTTGTGCATCGAGTGCGGCGGCATCCACCGATCGCTAGGCACCCACGTATCGAAGATTCGATCTCTGACGCTGGACATCTACTCATTTACCAACGACATTGTGGAGCTCCTCCTCTTGGTTGGTAATCGTGTGAGTAACATGATTTGGGAGGCGAAACTGGATCGTTCTCTGAAACCAGATGCAAATTCGTCCCGGGATCAACGGTTGAGGTTCATTACAGCGAAGTATGTTGAGCGGGCCTATGTTGAGCTCAACACTGGTCAGTTTGTTTCGGCCGAAGACACTCTCTTGACGTCAATCAAGAAGAACGAGGTCCAAGGTGTTCTTCAAGCGATAGCACAAAAGGCCAATGTCAACGCGCACGATCGATCACGAAATACACATGCGGTGCTCCTGGCACTTGCGGCTGCCGACCCGGCCCATCCGTTGGGAAGCCCACAAGCATCACCTCGGACACCTCCCGCAGCTGCAACAGCAAAAGCCTTTCCAATCGCGGAGCTGCTCGTGCAGAATGGTGCGGAAATACCCACAGAGACGCCGCCAATTCCATTGAGTTCGGCAGCGCAGCTATACATCGAACAAAGGACAGCCAAGGCCAGTAGCACGGGACCGGGGAACGATACGTTGGGTCCTCTACCGAACGTTAGTGGGCGTGGAATTGTCCCAGCGGACAGTGCAAGCAACCGACTTCAGAAAAGGGGGAGTGCTGGATCACGATTCGCCGGCAAGGTGGTCGGGTTGGGGGAACGGTAGTATCGTTATAGAGAACGGCTGGGTTCAGCATCTGTGCATGTTGGAACCCAGCTTCTCTGCGATGCATGAATTTTGATCCAGAATCTGGATGGAGGGGGTTAGCTTCGGTGGCATATCTGGGCGATGCCCGAGCATTTCTCTCCGTTGTCAGGGATGGGGGAGATGAAAAATTTACCGTCGACACCTATGAGAAAGGAAGGACTGAGGTTTGGGCAATTGCCGAACAGGGGCAACCTGGTTGACTCCGCCCTTGGGTGATAATGATGATGATGGGGGTAGCAGTAATTATTGATGTCTTGTGAGCGGCATCCAACTGTTGCAGCTTCCGGATGATTGCTGTGAGAGGCGAGCATGTCGGTTCCCACCACTCCAACCACTCTAGCCACTCTCGGACCCTCGTGCTTGCCTGCCAAGCCCATCTACGTCCCCACCGCTTAACCGCTTGAATGTTCGGCGTCAAGAGCCTCTCCGAATTTTTCTGCTCGAGATACTGACACCAGGAAATTGTCCGGTCACGTGAGTGTCGTGTGGGACCCCAAGAACTTCCTGTGCGCTTTACCATTGCCCCCAGACAGCTCGAGCACAATCTGGCTAAATGAGGGTGACATGTCTCGGCATGTCCGAGATGGGATTGCTCCTTATCGTGATTTCCAGAATGTTCCTGGAGATTGGAGGAACACTGTTGCACATCGGTCCGGCACGAAGGACGTAACGCAGCAAGACTCATGAACGGTACTAAGCACAACGGTCTAGCGAATGGCTATCGTTGAACCAGGATGTGAGAGCTGAACTCCTGCAGGAGCTCTTTGGCGTGCTGTCCCCTGAAGATCTTCGCAGCAGGAGCTCGCCAAAACGGTACGAAGGACAGCGGGTACTTTTGTCGGATCACGAGCGACCCAGCTGGGCTTTCGCGCAGATACTTGAGCCCAAAAAAAGCACCAAAGACACTTCTCGAGGAGCGGAAATAGGCTCAAAGATCTCAAGACACATTGGGGTTGTCCAAGCGGTGATCGACAAACGGGCTCAGTAGGAGTTACGTAGACACGATGAGAAGGCCAAGGAATAAAAGACCAAAGCTCGGCGTTTCTGGTCAATTACTCCGTACTCCGTACAACGCCTCAATTGGGCGGAGAGTATTTCCGCAAACAGTCTCTGTGGCTGGAATGGGTCCATGCAGCGGTGGGGGAGAGGCCAGCCTTGCCTAGTCTCACCTAACGAGGCTCTTCGCTCGCCTAAGACCCTTGTGGCTGTGTCTGCTCCCAGGGCCCGGCAAGCAATCCAGCAACATTCGCCACCTTCTACTACTCCTGACAGCGCACATCGCTTGTTCCGGGTCACCTCACACGCCGATCGAATGATTCTGGACGAATAACTGAGTTCTGTTTGACACCATCACCGACAGTAGCTGGCGTAAGTTGCTATCTATAGCCAGAGATGGGACACGACCGCGTCACCTTGCGGGCCAAGAATGTCGCTCATCAAGGGCATCATAGAAAACGCTCGCACACCCCTGGCCGAAGCGAATTTGGAGTCACTGGAGTCCTTGGAGCCCCAGACGGCAAAGGTTTACACGCGCATGTTCGGGCGAAGTTCGAGTCCGATCCTGCGACGAACTGCATGCAGACCAGGGTTGTCCATCCAAAAGTCATGCCTGTCAAGCTGAAAAGTATACAGAACTCCAGAGATCGGCACCTGACATGCCTTGTTTTGGCAGGCTCAATTGGGAGCTTACAACCATGATACTTCCCAGTAAAGCTCTCCTTACTATGAGCTACGTACTGCAAAGCACAAATTTGTGCTACTAGTGCTCCAAGCACACCAACGCGCAAGGATTTCTAATTCCGAATTGCGGGCCACATTCTTCTCTTAGGGCCAAGATCTACCACATTCGGCGTTGGTCATCCGTCGATCATTCTGCTGCCCACGGACTTGTACAACCATGTAAAGGGTAGTCATGCGGGAGAGCGGCAGCGGCAGCACCACGCGTGTCACGGCCCTTGATGACGGGTGCCATCATGTCCATCATGCTATGGCAGACGTGGCTGGCCATGTTCGTGGGCCTCGGAACACGAGCCAGCGATCCCATGGTCAAATTCCAGATGATCCAGGCCTTGGTAGAACCGCGCTAATGCCGGCTTGCCCTGCCCACAAGCCACAGTGGGATGTCAGAAGGAGGCTACCGGAGTCGGCGGGCGAAAGCCTCACAGATCGACATTCGCTTTTTCTGGGCACGCTGCACAATCCCCACAGCGTTTTTTCTGCCTTCCTTCAGCTCGCTTGCGTCCGGAGTACAGAGCTCGGGTACTCAACAGCCGGTCTCAGAAACGTGGCGTCCAGAATCCCGATACGCGCCCCGGAGTTCTGGATCGCAAGCACTTGTGCTGGTGCCAGAGTACCTGGCCGTTGCTGGCCGTTTCGAGAAAGTCTAAGTGGTTACTTTGGTTCGACGTCTCTGATTTGGACACGTTTCGAGTCAGTGACATCGTACTATGTTACGAGCTTTATCCGCCCTATCTACCGAGGCAGTTCGTCAATGGTCCGTTGCTGAGGCTTCCGCGAGGCTAGGGAGTCTCCATGGCCATGTCGCCACAACTTAGCCTCTTTGGACCCCGTCTCGAGGTGGGCCTCTATTGCAAAATTCCATGCTTGAATTCCATCCCTCGTGGTCCCAGTCATCCGGCCCCAGGTGCAGGTTTGCTCGGCACTAAACCTAACTCTGTGGCTCGTTGGGCGTCTCCCACGCGCCTTTTTCCCTGTTCTGCGGCGCCTTAGCCGGTGTTGGCGTTCTGCTAGTCGTAACATCGCGTGGCTTCCTTGGGCCGGGTCTATGGAGCATCACGAATAGAGACATGCGATTCTCCCGTCATCATGTCGTCAATTACTCCAGTCCGAAAAGTAGCTAGACACAGTTGCTTCTATCCCCGGCCCTCATATCGGCATAGCCGTTATCTACTGGCTGTAACCGGGCTCAAGCGGCCGAGCCCAATGCAAGCATCACACCGCCGCAAGTCGAGCCATACCCGGTACCATGACTTTCGCGGAACCTGCAGGTACTGCTAGGCCCGCTCGTGGCTGCTTCCGCGGCCTTATGAGAGACTGGTTCGTGGCAGTGGCGAGTGACGAGCCGCCGATCGCACCGTCCACCCCTTCCATGCTGCTTGCGCTGCTGCTCGCTTGTCTGAGACTTTCTTACTCTACTCGACCTCACTTCTGCCTTAGATCATCTTCCGGCATTCCCAGTGTCCTCCAGTCTAGCTTCTCGTCAACGATCTTGGTTCGAATTCTCCCACTAGACCTATCCACCCTTTCTAGAGCCAACCGGGGTACACATCCACTTCGTCCAATCACTATCCTTGGGTACCCTCTAGCAATTCAACCTTTATAGGCAGACCCCTGCCCCCATTGCTGGGAACAACTATCACTTGTTCTGTTCCACAGCCTTAGTATCATTGACGAACTGCGACTACTACCAGTCGCATTAGAGATCTCTTGGTCAGGCCACTTTTGAGACACTTTGAAAGTCCTTTCCTTCTTTGTGCTCTATGTCTCTCTGCTTATAGCGCGGCCAATCGTTGCACAGTATCGTCTTCTCAGCACTGCCACACGGCTTGACACTTCCTCTTCGAGCCTTCTGAAACGTCAGCTTGTTGGCCATTCACAACGATCTCTTCCTTTTCGGCTCGTTGACCCTCTTCTATTCTGGCTATCGGCCGCCATTTACGGCACGAGCCTTCATCACGACAGGAGAAAACTGTCAACGAGCTCTCTCGGAAGCAGAGGATCCCGTTGTAAGCTCATCCCATAAGTCTTCACGGGTAGGGCTCTCTAGCTCGATACTTCATATCAAGCTCAGGTAACTTCCTCTCTGTGGAAACGTTTGCCACTATCGTTAAGCAACATGGCATGAACTGATGGCCTTTTTCTACGTCCAGTACTATTACCCCCTTCCAGTCATTATTGAGGATCTCGGAGGAATGGGCGATGCTCCGCCTCAGAGGCAGTCCTCTACTGACAACTTTCGAAGCAATCCTAATGGTAAGTCGCCGTGGCAGCCTATAGCACACTTTGATTGACCCTCACAGATACTTCACCACACTCGCTAGCAAGCGCAAACATTGCCCAACGGCCTCAGTCCAATATGGAATTCGAAACATATTACCAAGCTCAAATGCCCGATGCGAGCATATCTCCTAATGCACAAGCCATGGATATGCGCTCGATGGCAGGCGCTTTACCTGACTTGTCTTCGCGAAACTATCCACAACACTCGTTCCAGCAGATGGCGATACCGAGCGGTCACCATCAAGCTGCGATGTATCAACACTATGCGCAGGGTCCACAGTTTGCAGGTCAAGCTGGGGGCGCTTTCAATTTGCACTCAGCTCAGCAGTACCAGCCGCAATATTCACAATCCCAGCACCAACGGCATGGCAATTTTTCAGGCTTTGTTGGTGGACCGAATCAACCACCGTCTTTCCTAAGCCCGGGCCTCCCCATATCGCAAGGAATGGCCCAGAACGTTCAAGGTCACCATCACATGCAACAATTCTTGCATCCCCAGTCTTCGCCTCAGTATGGAACTGGTTACAATACCAGGGCTTATCAGCAGCCTCTCCGAGTGGCGAGTTCGCTACCAGCTGGTTCTGGAATGTACCAAAATACATCACCGAACAGTTTGTTACCTCCCAGCCTCATTCGGCCGTTACTGACAGTTACAGCCGTCACTCGAACCAGCTCCAACTCTTCTATGCATGCTGCCTCGTCTTCTGTCCTTCGGGGACCGCCTCGCAAACCTAAACAGTCAGGACACGCGCTCTGGGTTGGCAATTTACCCCCAGGTACTCACATCCTAGACTTGAAAGACCACTTTTCACGTGACGCAACGAAAGACATCGAAAGCGTTTTCCTCATCTCCAAAAGTAACTGTGCTTTTGTCAATTACAAGACCGAAGAGAGCTGCCAGGCTGCGATGAGTCGCTTCCACGACTCGCGCTTTCAGAATGTGCGACTAGTCTGCAGGCTCCGACGGGGCAGCAGCTCGTCAGCACCGCCCACGCCTCAAACATCTATGCCTCCTGAATCATCCTCGTCCGAATTCGCGACAAGCGAACAAGAAACGACAGTCGAGAGCACGACGAGTGGGGCATACTCCTCCGAGCAACCACAAGAGAAGGTCAAAGAAAAGTACTTTGTTGTCAAAAGTTTGACCATCGAAGATCTTGAGAGGAGTGTCCACAGCGGGGTGTGGGCGACTCAGGCACACAATGAGGTCGCTCTGACCAAAGCTTATGAGGTGAGTAAATTGGACGAATGGGTTCAAAGAAGATATGGCTGACTTGTTTTGCAGACAGCTGAGAATGTTTACCTGATATTTTCTGCCAACAAATCTGGCGAATACTTTGGCTACGCGCGCATGGAGTCAGTAATTGGTGACGAAGAGGCAGCCGCCAAAACGGAAATCCCGCCTCCGTCGGCGAACCCACAACCCATCGATTCGAGCTTGGTAGATGTTCCCGTCAATATACCGACTCCAGCCACGGCAACAGCTCCCAGTGGACGTATTATTGATGATTCATCACGCGGCACTATTTTCTGGGAAGCTGACAGCATCGAAGAAGATGTTGCGAGGACTGACGGCGAAGAGCACTCCGGCAATGTCTCATCTGGTGAGGCGGGCTATGAATCAGCCGTGTCGGGTGCACCAAGCGCCAGCCCTGGCTCAGCGACGCCACAAAGTTTTGGCAAACCGTTCAAGATTACGTGGGTCTCAACCGACAAGCTCCCGTTCTATCGGACTCGTGGCTTGCGGAACCCGTGGAACGCAAATCGAGAGGTGAAGATCGCGAGAGATGGCACGGAGATCGAGCCGAGTGTTGGAAGGAGACTGGTTGGACTTTTTGGCCAGCCTTTTCAAGCCCCAATGCCGCAGCAGGGCGCTGGAAGAGCAATGCCACCACCGCCGCACATGGGGCCTGGGATGGGAGGAGGATTCATGGGTCAGGCTCATGGGGGGATCATGCCACCAGGGTATGGAAGGGGATACTGAGATAGGTATGCGGAGGCAACGCGTCATCCGGTGACTAGGAGCCGAAAAGCCGTGTTGGGCTTCGAATGTTGGTTGGCTTTTACTAATCCGACCGCAGTCAGGTTGTCGAAGGGCAGTGGAGGTCCGAGAGGAAGATTTACTGGGCACGCCCAACACGCACACACACACACACGTTATGAGTAAATGACGGAACGGTCCGGTACGAGGTTCGCAAACATACGCATGGAAAGATGCTGAGGGTTGCGAACAGCTCAAAAACCAAAAAGAACACATCCACGTAATGAGCCGAGGGAAGGAGAGCTGTTGGACATTTGGGTTAAGTTCGACAGACGGGCGAACGTGAACGAGAGAAAGGCTTGTTTTGCAGAGAAAGTGAGTGGCCAAGGCTAGAAAGATGATTATTCCTCCCCGGAACGGGAGGGAGGAGGGGCTTCTTCAGGAAAGCTTGCTGGGCGAGCTGGTTCCTTTTCGCTTTTTCTTGCGAGGGGAAAGGTTGGATGAAGAGGAGAGGAGAGGGGAGGGGAGGTGCCAGGAAATGGTGGATGTGTTGCTGGCGTGTGAGATGTTGGGGAAGGGTGGGGGACTGTCTGTGATGGGGCGCTTGGACATGACCTGGTTGGGAACTGAGACTGGATTTAGGTATTGAGTCTTGAATCAAGTTTGAGCTACCATGTGGACTCGTTCATGGCGACATCTACCAGCATGCAGAGTAAAAACGTACCTACCGATCGATGCCAGCTAGGTCCTTTGCTTGGCTCACCTCACCTCAGCTTAGCTTAGCTTAGCTTAGCTTAGCCATAACCCTTTGTTTGTGGTGGCGCGCAGAGAACATTGTGATGGTGAGACGGTGAACGCGAGAACGCGAGAACGCGAGAGACGAAAGGCGAAAGCTGGAGATCCAGCCAAAACCCTGCTTGAGCTGAACTGGATGGGAATAGAGTAGAGTAGAGGAATGGAAATGGAAGTGGGAATTAGGATGAGGACCCTTACGTTAGAGAATCCTAAATCGGGGGACGTGTGGACGTGCACTGCACATACAGAACAACCAATGAAGCCATCAGCCTATCACTGGGCTGATGATGGCCTGTGCCTTTGTCTGCCTAACACGGTGTCAGAGAGCAAGCCTCATTTTTATTTTACGACGGAAAAGATTCAAAGCCTAGAGACTATTATGGCGAACCAAGCGCCCCCCACCTCCTATTTGGCTTCTCTTTCCCGTCCCACCTTTCCCCCTTTCGGTCTCCCCTCTCATACATACACATACATACATATATATACATATACGGCACGGCTCGTCACGGTCACGGTCACGTCCACGCCGCCTTGATGGAAAAATAGGCACACACCGATAGAGAAACTTTGACCGCGCCCTACCTACCTACCTAACTCTGTCTCTCTCTCTTGCTCCCCCCCACGAGCATTGCTGTCTCCTAAACGACCGTGTCATTTCGTGAAATGATGTCGACCTACAAACACTGGTACGTATGAACGGTGCAGCGGATGGGATGGTTGCAGGAGGAAGGAATGAGAGAGAGAGAGAGAGAGAGTATATATTTCTATCCCCTTTTCTGAGGCAGTGAATTCGTCCAGAATGGGTTTAGCGCTGTTTTCCATGTGTCGCTGCGCCCGACTTACAGGTACACTACCCTAGGGGTAGACAGGGGCATATATCTGCGCTGCCATCGAAATGTGCCTTTCGAAAGCTCTTTGGTGATCTACCGACTGCTGCTGCACTCAGATCTGGTGGCCATGATGAAATTTAGATTGGCCTTGAGGGTAGAGTTCCATGCTCATGGAGGTTTTACTGCGGATCGGAACCTCATATGATAAGTGACGACGATGTTTTGGCTCGAAGCTGGTTCGTATGCTATGGACGTGCTGCCCGCTCTAAGGACTTGGCCGTGATCATGGTTCCTCCTGGCCGTGAGCACGGGGGAGAAGCAAGAAGGCGTACGTCTGCGGTCGCCAGAAGCTTGAGTCTGGTCTTACAGCTTGACCAACGCATTCATCCCAGACACATCTTGATATCCTAGCTGCAGTTCTCACCAGCAGCGCAAAGTTCCTTTCTACGCTGATTAAGCCCACTTCCCTAGCAAGGCCATGAGACCACCTCCGAGACACATCAGGGCGAACGCCCACAGAACGACTGATATCGGTGCGCGCTTCATGGACGTGCCTACAACGATTAGCCATAGTGATGATAAGCATGCAAGATACAGACTTACTGAACATGAATTCATGTGCCATGAGCTCGACAAGACCAGTGTAGATTAGGATACCCGCAGAGATAGAATCAAACACACCGTTGACGATGAGGGTGGTGGATGACCCCGGAGGATAAGATTTGCGCACGCCCAAGCCGATTGCTATTGCGACGGGCGTGCTGAGGCCATAGACGAGGGCGAGGATGTAGGGAGTCCAGCGCCTGTTCTTCGGCCAAGGGGAAAGCGCTAGCCGGGAACCAAGACCAAGGCCTTCGAATGTCTGGTGAAAGATCAAGACAACGAATAGCGTGCTGAATTCCTCCCCAGCGACGGCAAGTGTTAAGCCAATGAAGACGCTGTGGAAGATGATACCGAATTCTAATATGAAGACAGCAGTCATCTGAGCCTTGTAATCTTCGAAGCTGAGAGGGTGACTGGCATCTTCGATATCATTGTGCTCGCGGGCGTGTCCATGATGGTCCTCGCCGGGAAGATGTACGCTCTGTTGGGGACGATGGGGAATCGCTGGCTCCGGCGTAGACTCTGCGCTATCTTGGGCATTGTCCTTGTAGCCAGAGGTGGTTCCCATGCCGATATTCTGACCTGGATGCGGATGGGCCTCCTCATGAGCATGTTCATGACCGCCACCAAAGTTGCCGTATCGCATGACCATGAGCTCAACGAAAAAGAGGACAAAGATTGTCATGAGGATGATACCCTCGACCCACGAGTATTCGGTAATGGGCCCTGTCAAACAAGGATTTGTGAGAGCTTCCTCTGCCGGCGCGAGCAGGTGAATGAAAGCCGTGGCAATGATGACTCCCGATCCAAAATATTTGCAAACGAAGAAGACCCAGTCCGGTATCTTGAGGTTTCCATGCTGCTTCGCGAAGACGGGGAAAACGGCACCGATGGATGAAGTGACCCAGATGATGAAGAGCGCGGCAACGCGGAGCCCCAAGCGGCCGTCGTATTCGTTACCGGTGTCGCATGATGGTGTGGGCTCGTCTTCGGACTCTTGTCGCAGCACCAGATGGGCGAGTTCGTCTATGGTCGCCATGGCGGCAGTCGGCGGAGTCGACTTTGAAAGTGATGGAAAGAATCTCAGCAAGAGTGCCCATGTATTTAGCTCCGACCAAGTTGTGGTTGCTGAGAGTGTCCAACGAAGGTCGGTGGATCTGGCGATGATGCTGATGACAAAGTTTTACCACCCGGAGGTCGTCAAAGTGAGAACCTTGAGAGACTCAAGTGGAGTTGGACGATAACAAGACACCCAAGCTCAGTAATCAAGAGGTGCGTTTAATTGCTTGACGCGGTGATCTCTTGGGCCAACTCATTTCTAGTGATGCTGAGAGGAGAAGTAGCAGACAAGGGAAAATGGATTAACGGGTCAAACGGCGATGTGCTCAGCAGCTGCCATCGAGTAGTCAGGCACGGTCCTTCCACTCTGCCGTACAGCCTTGTCCAGCCTCGAAACGTCCTGGACCTGATTGGCTGAGATGGCGTGATGGTCGCATAAAAATGGGGCTGGACAAACTCAATTTGAAGGTACTCATTTCTGAAAAGTTCGGGTTGGTTATTGTCCTCAACGCGTCACCGACGACATCCCCTGTGTGATAGGCCAGAATCACACGTCCGTGTGTAGCCCATCCCACGCTGCTGGCCCAAAGCCTTCTCATCTTTGTGACCACATGGCTTTTGGTAGCGACTGAGGGCTTTGCACGTGCGACTTGGATCGTGGTTGACGGCTTGCAGGCCACACAACCCAAATCAAATGTTAATCAGAGAGGCATATGAGCACGGCGCTGCCCTCGACCTCCTGGCCCATCCTCACCGCTATGCCTAATTCTCCTCCTGATCTCCCACAGCGCATCTTCAGTCTGGCATGCGACCGGATCGGCTCATCACGAGCATCACACGCCGCAAAGCTAATGACGCATGAAATGTGTTGCGAGGACATCTTCACCGAAGGCCGAGAAACTCGCCCGCCGTGCCAAAACCTCGCTGAGGGGTTGGTGTCCGCCGCAAATCGGGCACTCGCAGGATGCCGTTGTATAGAAGTACACTCGTCAGAATGACGGCTGACATTCCCGACACCAGTGCCTGGCTGTAAAGAAGTTGACTGCTGCGAACTCGCGATATCGATAATTGTTTTCTCTCATGTTTCGGCACTTCATCGTAGCCAATATGTGTTTTGACGCCAGTTGGGGTGAGGTAGGACTTTAGGACTGGGAGAGCCTCGGTGATGTTCAGGGCAAGGGAATTCGCGATCTGCTGAGGGCTTGGATCCGATAGCTGCTGCCACGGTAAGACATGCTTGTCGGTTTGGCCTTGTCGTGCCATGGACGGTGTCACAGTCTCCCCAAACCACTCTCGTCTCGTCTTTTGCGTCCATTCAGCAAGTCCAGGGAATTTTTTGGCGAGCGCGTCGCGCAGCCATGGCTGCGCACCATCTCCAGAATTCTGCATGAGAGCCAAATAGCCAATGGCGAGGCAATCGACGCTGCTAGGGTTGTCGCTGACCAGCCAAGGACCCTCGCCGAGGAGCTCGTTCAAGGGTTCCAGGAAGTCAGATGTGACAGCCTCGAGCCGGAATTTGCTCTTTCTGCTTTCATGGCCCAGCAAGCTGCTGACGGTGGTTTTCGGCTTTCTGAGCGACCGAGGTATCTGTGCTGCTAAGCCCTCCTCTTGCTTCTCGTCCTGCGCCGAGTCCACATCCAACCCACTCAGTCCCAAGTGCTCCGATGTTTTCCTCGCTTTTTCTCGAAGGCGGTGTGGTACAAACCAGCTATCGGGCCAATGCAAAAGAGCGCCCAGCGCAGGTTTGGTGCAGGTCGTGTAGTTCTCGGTGCTCACGTAGAGACTCAGGTCGAGTAATGGTTGCCCTCGAGATTGGATGAAGGATGCATAGGCAGCACAATCAGCACTTTCGGCCGAACTGAGGTTCTTGTCCAAATGAGATGCGCCGCCAGAGGAAGCCTCTAGGTAGTCCACAATGTCGTTGAAGCCGGCCACCCACGTGTTGCCATCCCTCAGAGCAGGAAGTTGCCCGAGCGGATTTCGAGAAGGATCAGCAGGAATTAAGGTCCATTTGCCAGTCGGCACGCATTCGCGACAATATGCGACAACAGCGAGGCAGGTCGCATCTATCGATGGAAGGCCGAATGCCGGCCCCCATATGTGAAGCTCAAAGGTCATGTCAAGATCACGCGGATTAGTAGAGACAGCATTAGGACAGTCCCAGATGCGTAGAGACCGCGCTCCGCGTCAGCCAAACGTCGTCCTTGGCGGTACAAAACTTCTCTACTAGCCGCACGAGCGCTTCCCCGGATCTTGGACGCACCCCAGAAACCGTTTCCACATCGCTCAGCTGAAGCACATGCTTGTGTGACTTGGGAAAGCCTCAGATTCCATAGCATCTACACAGCTTCCAATCGATCCGGTAAGGCCTTGAATACGAGTGCTCGCATCTTTGCCCTTTTGCGGCTGTCTGTCTTCCACCAATCGGCCCAAGTAAAGGCACCAGGAGCCTCGGTTCCAGGCGTTCGCTTCGCAGGCGGCAGAGCTCGAGGGTGTCAGCGTTGGCAGTGGCTTGAACTTGACCAACCAAGTCATCCATCTTTCATCATCATCAACAGAAACGCCCCGGATTGTAGATTACAAGAGCATTTTCGATTCTAATTGTCTTTGTGCTGCTCACTTCCTCCAACGTATATTCGCCTCACGTTGTCGTATAAGACCCAAATCTGGAGACGTCGTCTCCACACCAAGCATGCCCGGTACGTTGGTCGATTGAGGCTGTCAGCGCGCTTGTCGCGTGAGGGAAATAGACCACTGACCACATAGCTACAGTCCCAGCTCTTGCCATCCCGGCGGCAGCAGCAGGTCTCGCTTATCTCAATGGACGGTGGCGAGTATCAGAAGATGCGTACACCTTGAAATGTCTCGCCACATCCGCTATCGCCTTCAAGCGACGGGAGAGGGCAGATCGCCTGAACTCTTTCTATTTGCTCGAGGAGCACGCCAACAATCCTAAGCTCGCCGACAAGACCTTTATCGTGTACTACAACCAGCAATGGACCTTCAGGGAGACCTACGATACTGTCCTCCGCTATGCTGGATGGCTTCACAGCACCCACAAGGTGACCAAGGGCGAGTTCGTTGCCATTAACCTCATGAACAGTCCTCATTTCCTCTTCTGCACCCTCGCCGTCTGGTCTTTGGGCGCCGTCCCAGCCTTCATCAATTACAACCTCACCGGAGACGGTTTCACTCACAGCATCAAAATCTCCACCGCCCGCCTCCTCATAACAGAGCCCGAAGTCGAGGCAACCACCCTCACCTCCACTACTCGCGATGCCGTGCTTTCCCCGACTTTCCGCAACAATGCCTTTCCGTTGGAAATTACCATTCTCACCCCTGAGCTCCTCAAATCCCTCTCTTACTTTCCCCCACATCGCGCCCCGGATGCGGTCCGCTCAGGCATCATCGGTCGTGACCCACAAGTCCTGATCTTCACCTCCGGCACCACCGGCCTACCCAAAGCCGCCAGCGTCACCTGGCAGCGCAACCATGAGTCGTCCAAATTTGTCGCGGTATGGCTGGGCCTTCGTAATGCGGCTTCTTCCAACCCCGACCGCTACTATACCGCAATGCCGCTTTATCATAGCTCCGCCTTCCAAGTATGCTTCCACTCAAGTCTGATCAGCGCCACCACCATCGTCATCGGACGCAAGTTTTCCGTAAGCGCCTTTTGGGACGAAATTGTCCAAACCCGAGCCACCGTCATCCAGTACGTGGGCGAAACCCTCCGCTATCTTCTCGCAGCTCCTCCTCGGCCTGACGATAGCACTCGGCATAACGTTCGGCTTGCGTTCGGAAACGGCCTGCGTGCTGACGTCTGGACTCGTTTCCGCGTACGCTTCGGCATCGAAACCATCGCCGAGTTCTACGGTGCCACAGAAGGGACAGGCGGGACCACCAACTTCAGCCGCAATAGCTTCGCTGCTGGCGCGATTGGCAGTAATGGCAAGCTCATGAGTCTGCTGTCAGGCAGCATGTTCGCCATTGTGCAAGTGGACTGGGACACCGAGGCACCTTATCGAGATCCAAAGACTGGCCTGTGCGTCAAGGTCCCGGAAGGCACTCCGGGCGAGCTCCTGGCCAAACTGGACGAAAACGACATCGGCGCCAAGTTCCAAGGATACCACGGTAACCAGGAGGCTACCAAGAAGAAAGTGTTCCGCGATGTTCTCAAGAAGGGCGACGCCTGGTTCCGGACGGGAGACGCCGTGATTCGCGATACCGAGGGCCGTCTCTGGTTCAGCGATCGCCTAGGCGACACGTTCCGCTGGAAGGCAGAGAACGTGTCGACGGCGCAGGTGGGAGAAGTGCTAGGTCACCATCCCAAGGTCCTGGAGGCGAACGTCTACGGCGTCAGTGTCCCCGCGCACGACGGACGCGCGGGCTGCGCGGCAGTGATGTTGCGGCCGGGTTGCATAGATGGAGACGGCGAGCTGAAGGACGAGGTCCGCGAGAGTTTGGCCACGTGGTGCAAGAACAGCCTGCCGCGGTACGCGGCCCCGGTCTTTCTACGTGTCGTCAAGGACATGGCCACCACGGGCACGAACAAGCAGCAAAAGCCAAAGTTACGCGCCGAGGGCGTTGAGCCCGCGAAGATGGGCGGCGATAAGGTGTATTGGCTACGGCCTGGCAGTTCGACGTATGAGCTCTTTGGAGAGGCGGGATGGGCCCAGTTAGGAGCTGGGAATGTCAAGTTGTAGTGGACATAGGCTGGGCTGGGTCAGGGCGGAGGTGTTTGCGTCGGGATCAGGGGCGTTATAGCGTGGCAGGAGGATTTGAGTCAACTCCTACATATTGCATATTTCACTTCCGTCATGCGAAAGGAAAGAGAGGGTCTCTGAATGCCTACAAACACTGTAGGGAAGCATGTCTTTACTCGAACACATTACATACGAATTCAATTTCACAGGCATCCGTAGCCTCTCGCAAGCGGAGTCCTCGAGGCGTGACACGAGCAGAGATACTCTTTATCATGATCTGCGCGGACGGCAACAGCATGAGCTGGGGATCGTATGCAATTGACGTAAAAAAATTGTGGGCTAGCGACGGAGTCCCAGTATACAAGGGGTCACCGATCGGTGTCGTGCAAATTGTTCATTTGTGCATATCCCAAACTGCCTGTTCAACATTTCTGTTCAGGCCAGCTACTGGTCCCCCCCCATGAATCCCGCAATGCAATCCATGGTATATTTATCATGCCTGCGCGCCCCAGAAAGCGCTAAAGAGCAACATCCACCCAGTTCGCCCGTTCCAGGTGTTTGGCACGACTAGCCCGGTGATATACAAAACTCCTGAAAACCATGCAAGGATGGGAACCCAACAAGACATGTCTTTCTCTTCCTCTGGACCAGGCTAAAAAACGGGCAAATGCGCAGTATCGCCAACATGTCTTCCCCCATACTCCAACCTCACAGCAAAGCAGCAAGGCCCACGACACCAGCAGCCGCCGCGCCCATAGCGCCCATCACGACGCGCTCCGCGCCGCTGTCCCCCGTCGCCACGGCGCCCGAGCTCGACCCCGTGTTCGACGCACCACTACCTCCCGTAGCGGAGTTGACGAGGGAGCTGAGGTCCGAGTTGGTGGCGACGGCGGACGACAGAGACTGGAAGACCGAGTTGGTGGCGACCTCGGAGGACAGAGACTGGAAGACCGAGTTGGTGGCGATGGCGGAGGGGAGGTTGCTCGCGTCGCTGATGGCGGATTGCACGCCCGGGTCGGCGGCCAGGGAGGTGGCCAGGTTGGTCAGGTCGTCGAGGTCGGCGGCCGTGGCGAGGTCGCCTAGGACGTCGTCGAGGTCTTGGGCGTAGCTGAGGGTGGTGCTGGCGGCGGCGGCCAGGAGGAGGGTGGTGAAACGCATGTTTGTTGAGGTGAGGTTGGGTGTTGTAAAAGGTGAAGGCTGTGTGTGTGTGTGTGTGTGTGTGTATGTGTGCGCGGAAACAGATTCGAAAGAGTGTGGTTTGGTTGTAATGAATGAAAGAGCAAAGGTCTCGTGCCGAATGGGAGAATTAAGGGTCTGGGAAAATAGTGACAGCAGGGGGAGGGGGAGGTATGTTAATAGGAGATGTACTTGTACCGTACGGAGGACTTAGCCCCAACTTGCACGTTGCTTGGCCTCGTGCCGATCAAACGCGGATCCATTGCGATTGGAACTCGCACTCTCCATCCCTTGGCTGCGCCTCGATAGCGCAGGGCTCGTTCGCTCTTCTGGCTTAGGGTTTGGGATGAAACGGCAGCGTTGGGAGGCGTTGAATGGGAGTGAAAGAGCCGTGCAAATCTCGGTTCAGGGGGCGAGGCTGAGGTGACTCGCACCAGGGCTAAACTACTTTCTAACACTGGCCCAGACTGCGTCAGCCACAGTTAACGACGCCCGCCGCCACCGTTCTCACGGTCTCCGAGCAAGCCTCCGAGATCTTGAAGGCGGATGACATGTGAGCAGCTGCAGACTGACCAACCGAGCTACGTGTCTAGAAATATCAGTCACTTCAACAGGTCGACACAGCAGCATAGCGATCCGTTGATGCGCTCCCAGTGCTTCCTCTTCGACATCCCCGGCACTTTGTCGTCCAAGGGCTTGGCCGGTGATCGCAATCACCCGCAAACGAGCTGCCGACAGGCGACAGAATTGCTATGTTCGCCCAGCTAGCAAGCCTGACAACTTGAGCAACTAGGAAGCCAGCCATGTCGTTGTTGTGTCCGTCGTATCCGTATCTCTAGCTGTGGCGGAGCACCTGGATGAAAATGGTGCAGAAGCCGGCAACGGCAACGTCGTCGCGCTAGGAGACGTACTGAGGGCACACTGCAACAGGAACGCATACTATTGCTCCTACCCAAACGGACGAGCTATCAAACTAACCTATCGCCAATCTTCTCCCGTACTGCCTCCCTCGTAGGCCATGTGCTCATAGTCGGCCTCTTGGGGAGCAGTTCCTCGTCTTCGTTCATCTTGTGCCACGAGTACATCACACCCATGCCCGTGACTCCCTCCTGGTCTGATGCGACTAGAGCGTCAGCGAAGTCCTTCTTCTTCATGGATTTTGATCCCGTCACATCGAGTCCCCGATATTCTGCTTCGACCACGAGCTCCTCCTTCAACATCTTCATGTAGTCTGCTTCGGTCGGAAGGGCTGGGGCTGTGGCCTTCTGAGTTGGAACTGTCTCATCACCAGTCCCCTCCTGCGTTGACCGACTGCGTGACCTTCGAGCGGACGTCGTTGAAGACCGGCCGCGGGTCGGTTTGCTGGGGCCCGGCCTAGTCAAGTCAATGGTGGCTGTCTTTTTGCTCGGTTTGGGACTGGTCAAGTCAATGGTGGCTGCTCTCTTCTTTCCCCTACCATTCCTGCGACGCGGAGTGCTCGGCGTCCGAGCTCGCCGTGTCGGGCTCTCTTGGGTCAAATCCACGACAGCCTGGACCTCAGTCTGAGTCTGTTGGGTTTTGGTCCGCAGAGGCTCTTCTCCGTCCACGTCGCTATCACTCGGATACAGCACGCCTTTCAGACTTCGCAATGTGGCCTCAACCATGTCGACATTGGCCACCACGCTTGTGTCACCACTCTCAAAGAATCGAATTGTGTCATCCATCTGTGTGACCGCTGCCTGTATCAGTGCATAGGCCCTGATGTCGGGACTCATGCCCTGAGCGCCATATTCTGCCCACTCAGGAGCGGCCTGGTATTCCTGTGGCAGAATTCGTTTTCCGAGCCCTCGTCGCACGATCAGCAGCTTGTCATGTGCGAGACGATACGAGTCGTGAATGTCTTGATGGCTGAGCCGACTGCTGGTCCGCGATGATAGCCCATCTATTTCCATGAACAAGTCTCCGATGTTCCGAAGGCAATTTCGCAGGTTGTTGGCTTGGTCATGATATCCGACAAATGTTCGAGGCCTCTCAACATTCCAGAGACGATTCGAGTCGACTCGATTCTCTTGAGAGACAGACGGTCTGTTATGAAAGAGGTCCCTCAGATTCTCGAGATAAGCGACGAGACCTACCACAGCGGTTTCTGTCGCATCTGCTTGGCCGACTTCGCGCACGCTAACAGACCACAGCTTCAAAAAGTCGTCGTATTGAGGACCGTTGATCCTCTCCGAATCCGTTGGCGGCACAAAGCTAGCCCACCGAGGAAAATTGATGTGCAATGGTGATGCAATACGCTCCAGGTATGCATCTGTGGTGTTGAAGACCCTTCGTAGGCGAGCATACAGCTGAGCTTCACCCAGATCGACGCGGCTATCTCTTCCGTGAAGGACTGCGCGCACATCGCGAGCGACTAAAGATCCGAGATCAGTAACACCATCCTCGGGCCTCAACGGGAGATCCTTAGGGCCATCAATCGGATCTCGATCGCTTTCAGAGACGGCAGAGACAGAGTCTACACATTCCTCGTTGCAGAAATGGTGATACTGGCCACGATACGTTGGACAGGGGTGACATCTTTGCGCCAATGAGCTGGCAAGTGTGAGGGCCATGCCAGGTTGGCGATTTTCCGCATCCGAAACCTGGAGCAAGCTACCACTCCAGTCAGAAGGTCGTCGACTGCCGGACTCGAGGTCACGTATGTGGTCCTGCAGTCCGCCACCTTGAGTCCCGTGAGGCACCAAGGCCCTAGCGTTCCTGTCCGCGTTCTCATCCGGCCGTCGCCTAGCGGCGACCCTGGCAAGGTGATCCACTATGGGGCTTGTGCTTCGCTGCGGGGATATTATGCGTATAGACGAGCTCGTGCCGGTGGAGCCGCCACCGGAGCTACTACTGGACGTCATGCCTGTCGACTCACCATCGTGCATATTGGCGTTATCGTTCAGATACTCCTTGTTCGAACCCTCATCTGAATGGTTACTTCGATTACTAGCAGGCGGACTTGCATTCTCATTATTCTGAATCTCGTTGGACGAACGGGATCGGTGGCTGGGAGGTGGGGCGTTGTTCTCTTTATTCGAACTCTCATTCGAATAGTGGCTCTGGTTGCTGAGACTGTTGCGCGTCTGCTTTGTAGTGCTCCCCAATGGCGAAATACCAAAAGGCTCGAAGAGGTTCTCGATGCGAACAGTCGGTGCGACGGAAGAGGGAACGGAGCCATCGTCCTCACCTCCAAGCTCTGCCTGATCTTCGATATGATCCAGCTCCGTGTCTTCTTGATTGTATTCTGTGTACATTATCAGAAGACGATACGCCTCTTCCCATCTCCATTCAGACTCAAACAGGTTTTGGATAACTGTCATCATGTAGGTGTCGTCGATTACTTCTTGAGGTAAAGGGGCTATCGTTCGTGCAACGATTCGAATCTCATCCGGAGGCAAACCCGTGCCACGGCCGAACGACGAATCCGTTTTAGACTCGTATCTCATATCCTCTTCGGCGGTCTGATGCTCTCGCCAGAGTGCTTCAGCACCATCAAGGAACCAATAGCTCCATATAAGATACTCTGCAACAAGATAGTCGGCCTTCTCTTCCGTAAGATTGGTAACACCAATTCTCCTGGCAAATTCCTTTATGGCAGTCAACTGGCGTTCGTTCCAGTAATCCTCCCATGAGGTGTCACGTTGTCTAGGCCCACCGCCGCGAAGCTTCACTTTAGGAATCCGCGAGTAAGCAGCAGGCTTCGAGACACGACGCATTTCATCCCGTACAGGTGCGAGTATCTCAGCCGCACTTCCACTGCGCTTCGAGCCATCGTACCTTCGACTGGCGCCGCTGCGTCTCGAAGGAGAGATGCTTATGTCTGTTGAAAACTTGCGGGGGGTTATTCGAGGCAGGTGTTTGGGCGTTGGGCGGGAGAACTTGTTTCCCGAGAACATGTATCTGGCCAGTCGTAAGCCAAAGGTGATGGGGGCGAGCCCAGGAGAGAATCGCTTCCAGGGCGAGGCTTTGCTAGGTGGCTGAACATGTGGGGGAGGAATGTTAACGAGATCGTAGGTCCTCATACCCTCGGATACGATACCGGGCTCGACCATATCTCGAGTGATCTGTCTGCTGGCGGCGACCTCTCGAGCGCGGGTATCAGGCATGTCGTACCAGACATAGTCGTGCGGGCTCTTTCTGGGGATACACGTTGGCATGTCGAACAGGTTTGCCTCTTCTTGCGGGGCGGTGTCTCTCCCATACTCGCTGTCTGAGCTGACGGGATCTGCATCCTCAATCTTATTGAAAACCCTGGCATAGTGCTGAGCTGCAGCGCTACGAAGAACGCTGACAATCTCTGGGTTGAGGTTCTGCTCACCGTGAATGAAGGCATGGAGACACTGTTTGCTGCGTTCACTGAGCTTCCCAGCGGTGACGAAGCGCTGCTGTTGCAATTTGGAGAAGGCCTTGTAACAACGAGAACCGAAAGCCGAGACCAACATGGTGGCGTCGGCATGATGAAGGACTTCGTATGACCGATTCATACGGTTGAATACTCTATTATGCTCCTGAAGAAATGGTTCCTCAAGCTGGGAAGTAGTCGCAGCAACTGCGTAAGGGTAGGCATAATCGTTGAGCTTGTGGAGGCTCCACATCTGCTTCATTGCTCTCCAGACAAACAGCCAAAGCTCCGTGGTTGTATGCTCTCCGTGGGTAGCCCACTGGAATTCCTGGTGTAGGGATCCTATTTTGGAGATTGCACGCTTCGACTCGTTGGCTGTGAAGACATGAGGTGCGATGCTGTACCAGTATCTGGTGTCAACATCGACTGGTGGTTGTGAGGTGAGGCGAGCGACGAACTTGGCCAGGTCGATGAAGGGCGTATCTGTTAGGAACCATGGAACGCTGCCTTTGAAGTCGTTGTTCAAGTTCTCATATCGCTCAATGGCCTTATTTCGCATCTTGGGAGCCACGACAGACTGGAAGTCTAGCATTGCCTTCTTGTACTTGGTCCAAATCTGCCAATCGTGCTGGCTGACATCAAATTCGAGCTTTCCAGAAGAGCTTGCCGAGAGATTCTTAGTGAAGTACTTCGCAATCTGACTCAAGGACTCAGCAAGATCTGGGTTCTCGGGATCGTTCAGGCATTCTTCGTAAAAGTTGATCATGGAACGTAGCGCCTCTTTCTTGGTTTGGCTCGTAGTGAGCTCCAGCTGCAAAGCACTGGAGACTGCGCCAGCCGTCGAAGGCCCAGTCGGCGACATGACCATTTTTGAACCCTTGGCTGCCATGAAGACTCAAAGTGGACTAATCGGTACAGCAAGGTAGATAGGCTGTAGGACACTAGAGCAATGACAGAAGGAGAAATTGGAGAGAAAACACAGCAAAGGTCTTTGAATGCAAGAACGCGGACAAACGCCGTGATAACCAAGGAAAGCTCTCACCAAGAAGTCTGAATGCGAGTCCATCGCAAGCAGCCGCAAGCAGCATGAAGATGTGGTAGCAGCTGCAAGACAAAGGCCTTGAAGCCGTCGACCGCATCCGGTGACGAAAGTCTTTGAGCGATTCTGCAGGGCCAGCACGAACGCGATCAACAACAGCGTCTTGCGCAATTCGGAGCTCGACAGTCGAGCAGCTGAGACCGTGTGTCTGTCGAGACTGGACCGAAAAATCCATGGTTTAGGTGGCGTGTCATTGTGGTCGGGCCTGTAGCGGACTCGTTCCTGCCTGGAAATCCTTTCCCAACTGGAATCAATGCTGTTGCAAGCTGGATCGCAGTCCACATTGTGCAACTATGAGACAGCATGAAGGTGATGATCGTGAACATGCTGCAGCTCATCCTCAAAATTCCATCGAGTAGATCAACAGCGCGTTGCTCTCCTGCTGAGGATTTATCGGCAAATCTAGGCGGTCGGTGCATTGTATCGCCGCATCCGGATGGGTATAGGCACTCCTTCCGAGCTATGGCCGTCCCTCATCCCACCAGTGTTCACAAGGCGTTGAAGGCGCTCCTGGCTTCGGAAAAGACCGACCATGGAATCCTAGACCTACACTCGCACGAACTGTCAGCTGAGCCGCTATGCAGCCTTCAAGCATCCGTGTGTCCCGGTCAATGGGGAGGGGTTATTACGACTGTACTGCACCGGCCACTGGCTGAGGTCGAGATAGAGCTCACCGTTAGCAAGCCACTTCTGCATCAATCCGGCCTTCTCGCGGAAGCTCCGCTGCACCATTCGCCCCTCTGCTTTGTCGGAGAATGATGCAAAAAAGGCATTGCTTTCCCTGTTCCAGACCTGCAACTAGTAAGCTACCCCACAAAGTGCGAGTCTGGAGAGGCGACGATCTGCCCGCGCTTTGGTGTCTCTGGGCGCATGGTCCCTGGAGATGGCGCAGGCCAAGATATGCTTGCTTCTGGTGGTCCAAGCGTCTCACCCGGGCTGAGATGTGCAGGCGCTGGTCTCATGTATTTCCTTGCTCCTTGCAAGCCCACCTCCTCTCCCCTTCTTACACATATCCTTCTGCTACGATTTTGGGTACGGCCACTCTCACCAGCACTTCCTGATTGACAACTCCACCCGCCCTGAGCAACATCTATTGCTGAGAAACAACGCCTCATGCTGGCACCCCCACCACACCTCCTGACAATGACGTGACTATTCTGCCTTTGTCAACGGGTCCTGCTTAGGCCGCAATTTCGATAAGGAACCCCCAATCATCAACGACCAGCCCGCCATCAGCTTTGCGACTGCCTCGCACCCGAATCCCGACTGGTGTAGACCGAGAGATCCGACTGCAACCAAAATGTCTGACCAGCCTTCTGCCTCTCCTCCCCCACATCGCCGACGTTCCTCTATTGTTGACCTCTTCAGCCCTCGCGGTGGGAACAATACCAATGCCGTGTCCTCGTCTCCTCCCTCAGGTTCAGCCTCATCCTCGAATGCTCCTCAACATCGCCGAGGCATGAGCATAACCACCATGGGTCTCGCGAGCTCTGCTCCTGGTCAAGCCTCACCCTACGATGCGTTCGCAAGACAGCGGCGTGCAAGCATTGCTGCTTCATCCGCATCCAGTTCTCCAGATTTTAAGAACAGTTTCGGTGACGATCCGGTGGTAGTCGAGGATGATGAGAACGTCAAATCGCCAACGGGCAATCATTCAGGTTCCTTCGCGCGCAGAGTCAGCTTCGGCGCTCAGGCAATGCGTGATGTCAAACAAGGAAGTGGTCCTGGAAGCCCCGGTGCTGGTAGGCGCCCCTCCAGTTCCCTTTTCACTCTCAATGAGAACAATGAGAACAACCCTCCCCAGCAGCGAGTCTCGTCCGGCACGGCCAAGACTGGAGGTAAGAGTCGAGGCCTGTCTCTTTCTTCTACGACCTCGTTCAAGCCTTTTTAGTGACCAAAACTGACCTGACTCCTGCAGGTGAGGGCTTCAATTGGTCTGAATCCCTCAGAGACCGTACCAAACGCTCGCCCTCGTTCTCATCCTCTGCCAATCCTTTCGCAGCCAATGCAAATCGGGCTCGGGCTCCTAGCAGTAACGCTCCCGAGCCGCCCAAGGAGCTCCCGAAGGCGGCCGAACCCGTACCGGCCAGAAAGCGGAAACCAGATCATCTGGGCGAAAGAATGCTGAGAGGCGACTTTATGATGGACTAAGTTACAGATTCCGTTAAGAGACTCGTTCGTTCAACCCATGTATGCTTAAGCTTCGCCTGGGAAAAGCAGGGTCGGGTTTCAACTGTCTTTACGGGAAGCACATCGTGGCAGGCATGTGTTGGGATTCAATTATGTTGCAACCGCCGGTCGCGCGAGATCCATCTGACAAATTGTACCGAGAACGGTGACCTTCTGCACAATGAGACATTTTGAAAACTTCATTCTCTTACCTTGCGTTGTGATGTCCGCAAGTCTGGGAATTATCGACCCATGCACGAGCGTAGCGAAATAAAATTGGGGCTCAAATGATGGCGTAGCAACGTCAATAACGGGGGCTGTCCGGCAGATTGGGTTCCTTGCTGCTCCACGACGCAGCTGCCCAGAGACAGCGCCAACTGCGCCGCAGTCTTTCTAGACGCCGCTGCCACAACTTGTTCCTTACTAAAGGACTTGCTTCACTTCTCTCACCGTGCGCTGTCGACTCTTCGATCTGTTGAGAACATTTGCATGGGCGCCCACTACTTCCTGAGCGCTGGCCCTACCAAGACTATCTCCAAGCTTGCGACTGCGTCACCCTTTCAGGCTGTGCTATTCCCCGGGTCTTGATCACTCCCGCAAGAATGTATTGATCACTATGACGCTGTAGCGATTGCAGTTACTTCCATATAGCGCGCCGTCCATTAGCTACAAGCACTTCCCCCGGACAGACCCCGCTCAGAATCTAGAACAGCCCCCGTTGCCTCGAGCCAGCACGTCCGGAACCGCCAGCAAACATGGAGAAGATAGTGAAAGGAGCGACCAAGATAAAGGTGAGTAGCAGTCATGTGGCATAGGAGAAACTAAAAGTCTCTCAGCTGGCTGCGCCCAAGTCCAAGTATATCGAGGCCATACTTTCGTCCACTCAAGGCGGAGAGTCCGGTGTTGCTGAAATATTCCGAACTTTGCAACTACGACTGCGGGATTCAACATGGACGATCGTATACAAGTCGCTAATTGTGGTGCATCTCATGATTCGGGAGGGCGCCCCCGACATGACGTTACGCTATATTGCCGACTCTCCCAAGAGGCTAGCCATCAGCAGCTTCGCAGAGGCCCAGACCCAAGGTGTCAATATACGGCGATACTATGAATACCTGTCTGAACGCGTCAGAGCATATCGTGACACCAAGACCGACTTTGTGCGGGCTGGAGTCGGCAAGATGAGACAGTTAACGGTGGATCGAGGTCTCCTGAGGCAGACTGAGGTTGTCCAGGACCAGATACGTGCTCTTGTGCGATGCGACGTGAGTTGGACTGGGCCACACAATACGTCTGAGAATGTGCTGACGATATCTAGTTCATGGGCAATGCTGATCCAGATAATGAGATCAGCTTGACGGCGTTTCGTCTCTGCACCATGGACCTTCTAGAGCTGTTCAAGGTCATGAATGAGGGAACCATCAATGTGCTAGGTTGGTCTCGAGTTAGCTCTTCAGTCTTCAGGCAAAAGCACTAATCAGTTGCAGAACATTACTTTGAGATGTCACGACCGGACGCAGAACGTGCCCTCAAGATATACAAAACATTCGGAAAGCAGACGGACGAGGTGGTGCAATATCTCAGTCTCGCCCGGCAGTACGAGTCCTCGACCAGGTTAGAGGTGCCGAAATTGAAACATGCTCCGACAACACTCACAGCTTCGCTGGAGGAATATTTGAACGACGCAGACTTTGAGATCAATCGCCGGCAATACCTTGCGCAGCAGGAGGCTAAGCGTACCGGCAAACCTGTCGCTGCGGTAACAAAACCGGCTGCTTCGTCATCACAGCCGCCAAAATCAAATGCTACTACCACGGTCTCAGCAGCCACGTCTACGCCGGTCCAACCAAAAGGTCCTGCGCCAGATCTGATTGATTTCTTCGAGTCAATTGAACAAAACCAGCAGACTATGGGTCAGCCGATGCCTCAGCAGCAGCCCTTCAATGCCAGTTTCGCCCCGAACCAGCAATTCCAACAATTTCCGCAACAGATGCCTCAGGCAACAGGCTACAATCCTTTCATGCAATCGCAGCCGCAGCAGCAACCGCAGCAGCAACCGCAGCAACTGCAGCCCAATTTCACGGGAGCAGGTTTCGGTGGCTATGGACCGCAGCCTCAACAAGCACAGCCCAGCCAACAGCCATTCTCTTTCTCCTCTCTGCCAACGATAACTCAAAATGGAGTTGCAGAATTTCAGCAACAGCCGCAACAGCCCCAATCACCGGCTCCGCAATTGCAGCCTCAACAAACCTCCACAAATCCCTTCCGTCAGTCGATGATGCCTACGGGCGCCATGATGAGCCCAACATCTCCCCAGAGTGCTGTGTCACGGCAGTCTACCAACCCATTCGCCAAATCGAGTATTCCCATGTCGCCAGTGTCGCCGGTGCAGAACAGTGGTCCTCCTACGCAACATGACCAGTTCGCTCAATCATCAGCCTTCTTTCAACAACCAAGTCCTCCACCACAGCCGCAACAGCACTCGCCCGCGCCCTTACAAGCACAACGCACAGGAACGAACCCATTCGCCAAGAGCATCTCTCCGCCACCTGCACAGCCACTCACTGCCAGCGTCACTGGCACGAATCCGTTTCGACAGTCGCAGTTTGTCAATCAAAGCACGGGCATGGGTTGGCAGCACACAGCTCAGGGGACGTTCAATGGGTATGACATGAACAACATACCGACGCAATCTGTATTTCCTCGGCCTGGCGCAAATGGAAGCTAGCATAATTCAAGACACATGAATCTGATGTCGGCCATTCGTATTAATGAATCAATGCATTTCGGGATGAGTGCCAAATGAAGAACGAATGTGAAATTGCAAGTGCTAGCAATTCGCCAGTCGTGATGCACGTCGCCGCCAACATTTGTGATTCTTCGACGGGGCCAACGCTTTCACAGAAGCGACTTCGTTGCTATCAGCTGCTCTTTTCGAGACAAGTTTGACACTCTCGCTGTCCTTAGGTCAATCACTTGCCGATGCAATGCTCGTCTTACCCCCAGAGCGCGCTCGTCCACGCTCCTTTCTATCATAGGAGCTTGGCGATTGAACGCTCCTGATAAGCTCCCTCTACTCGGTAGCAAAGACGAAGCGTAGCCGAGTTAATCACGGTCAAGCACCTAGCCGCGGCACATCCGAATGGCTATAGCCAACCCCGCAGCTGCAGCACCTACTGCACGGCTCCGAGGATTGCCGAGATAGCATTTATCTTGTGAAGCTTGACAGTACCCCGTAAAAACGACCGCGTAGGGTTACATGGCTCCAGCTACAGATATGCTTCGAGCTAGGTGCGTCCAGTCGACCACCAGCTTGAAGCTCAAATGCCAATTAGCGCGTGGCGAGGTATGCGGCTGTAGCCTTGATCAGGAAGGTGCCCGTTGAATTGCTGTGTATGAAGTCATGCAGTGCAAGCGACGGGATTGTAGTGAAGTTTACTTACTTTCGGTACCTCAATAGACGGCCAACGTTTGCCTCGCACCTCCTACTGCTTCTTGTGTTCTTCCATTGACTATCGTTCCGCAACCATGTATGTACCGCTGGTAGGCACGCTACTGCCGCTATTAGCGCTGCAATGTTCAGCTTCATCCATCAGATCTCGCACACCATACGCCCTCAAGAGCGAACATCCCATTCCCTCACAATGGCGAAAGCTCGATCGAGCTCCTGCTGATCATCAAGTTGAGCTTCGAATCGGTTTGGTTCAAGCCAAATTCCAGGATCTCGAGCGAGAACTCTATGAAGGTAAGCTGCCTCTCTGCTAACAAGAACTTGGCCTGACGAGATGTACAGTATCATCTCCGTCCAGTCCTCGCTATGGCAAGCACCTCGCACCAGGCGCCATTCACCCAATGATTGCACCAGCAAAGGATGCCCTCGACGACGTCCATGAGTGGCTCGCAGACCACGGCATTGGTGATTTTAGCTACACGCCGGCCAGAGACTGGATCAAGGTCAGCCTCCCCGTAGCCAAAATTGAGAAGCTACTCGACACCGAATATCACACGTTCGTTCGTGACGAGGATGGAGTCAGTGTCGTCCGCACTGGAGCATGGTCACTGCCAAGGCACCTGCATGATCACATCTCTACCATCCAGCCGACGAACGCCTTCTTCCTGCCAAAACCACACGCCCCTGTCGACAAGCGTGAAAGCTATGCGATAGCCGGTCCTGCGCTCGAGAATGCTCCGGATGTTCCAGACGTCGGTGGATCTGTTGAATCAGTCTGCAATGTTGATTTAGTCACCCCAACTTGTGTCCGGACTCTGTACAAGACCATCAACTACAAGGCACAGGCGGCTAACAAGAACCGGATGGCCTTCACAAATTACTTGGGCGAGGTTGACATCCGGTCGGACGCACGCCTAATGCTGGAGAGATACCGCCCGGAGGCCGCGGGTGAAGCCGACACCTTCACCAAAATTTCGATCGATGGCGGCGACACCTCAGATGAGTTCAACGAGACGTTATTAGAGAACGCCACGGGTTTGGAGGGCAACCTCGATACGCAGGCTATGATCAGTATTGGCTGGCCAACTCCCCTGACGACATACTTTACAGGCGGCTCACCACCTTTCAACCCAGATTTGTTCGCCTCTACCAACACCAACGAGCCCTATCTCGCATGGCTTGATTATATTCTTGCTCAGCCAGATCCACTCCCATCCGTAATTTCAACTTCGTATGGTGACGACGAGCAAACGGTGCCCTACGATTATGCCAAGTCAGTTTGTGATGGCTTCGCTCAGCTAGGTGCTCGCGGTGTAACTCTCTTCTTCAGCTCTGGTGATAACGGCATTGGCGCCGACGGCTATTGTTTTAAGAACGACGAGCCGAACTCGCCACAGTTCCTGCCTGCCTTCCCAGCATCCTGCCCATATGTAACGGCTGTAGGCGGTACTTACAAGGTCAACCCAGAGGTCGCCGTTATCAGGGCTAGACCTGGGCGCCCGGTCTACACCGCTGGAGGTGGTTTCTCTGCCTACTTCCCGCGCCCGGGCTATCAGAGCGATGCTGTTGCCAAATACATCCAAAATACTGTGGATCCTCTGGGCTATGATGGCCTTTACTCACCTGGTGGGCGAGCATACCCCGATATTGCTGGACAGGCGTTGAACTACTCGACCTATTGGAACGGAACGTTGAGGCCCATCAGCGGCACTTCGATGTCAAGCCCTCTCGTCGCTGCCATCTTCACCTTGGTTAACGATGCCTTGATCGCCGCCGGAAAACCAGTGCTAGGCTTCTTGAACCCGTGGATATACGAGAAAGGCTACACAGCCCTGAATGATATCTTGAGCGGCGCGGCACTGGGTTGCAACACGACCCAGGGTTTCCCAGCTGCTGAGGGGTGGGACGCTGTGACCGGCTATGGTACTCCGGATTTCCTGAAGATCCTCGACACGTTGGGTGTGGGCGAGCATTGGAGTGAAAATTGATCCGAGGGCTCCCGTCGTGACGGCGAGCTCAAAGCTGACAAGCGATGAAGCAATGAATACAGACTACAAATGAGGATTCCCGATCTGCCTGTACTGTCTTGGCATCCATCGAATGGTGTGACCTAACTTAACAACCGGTCGCTGCAAAGTGTTTCTGTGAAGAGGAGTGTTTTGAGATGCGGATGTTGTTGTCGCAGGAGATACTGCTGCTAGTAATGCTCCAGGAGACTGAGATAGCAGCTGCTGGGCCAGGCAGCGGTACATGGGCGGGGAACCCAGCCAGTATACTTGCTCTGCTAGCAAAGAGGCTCATGAGAAGAAACAGAAAACTTCCGGGCGGCGACGATCCACAGCTCTTGTAACCGACCCGGGCGGTCCCTTCTCATGCTACCTATAACCGACGAATGCCGTCATCTACATCGCTATTTGCCTATTTGTTCAGATGCGGGGCCTCCACGCAAGTGGAAGCAACCAGCTCTCCCCGCAAAAGCGAGTCGGTCGATAACTACTACCTGGCTGCAGATCATGAACCGGTAATCTCCCGGTGGGAGCTTCCTCCTTGGAGATAATTCATTACATAAAGACCCGATCACGCTATGGAAGGTCGGAGGCGGTTGCTGCGATAGTAGCTCGTTGCTTCGATTCTGCGACAGGATCAGGCAGAGAACGACCGCCAAGGACTCATCATGTCCTGCCAAATACCGTATAATGGGCTTGCTCAGACCCCAGCCATGGGCTGGGACACGTACAATGCATACGGTCTGGCGTACAACGAGACCACCATCAGAGAGTACGTTTCCCATGAACGAGGAGTAGGGAAGCCGCTCGCCATGCACCTCCCAGCAGGCTCTCCCACCGTCGGAATGCCCATTCCCCAAATGACCACCTACTAACCCTCCTCGCCACTCCAAACAGCAACGCCGACCGCCTCGTGTCCCTGGGCTTCCGCGACCTAGGGTACGACGTCGTCATCTTCGACGACGCCATGACCGAACGCGACCGTTCCGCCAATGGCTCCCTGGTGGAGAACCAAGAAAAGTTCCCCTCGGGCCTGCACGCCCTCTCGGACGAGCTCCACGCTTTGTCGCTCAAGTACGGCGTCTACAGCTCCGCGGGCCGGTTCACCTGCGGCAGCTACCCGGGTAGTCTGGGGTATGAGCAGCAGGATGCCCGCTGGTGGGCCGACCTGGGCGCCGATTACCTCAAGTATGACAATTGCTTCAATGAGGGCCAGGCGGGGACGCAGAAGCTGAGCTATGATCGCTATGGAGCGATGGCGAATGCTTTGAACGCCACGGGGAGGAATATCACTTATAGCTTGTGCAACTGGGGGGACGATAAGGTGAGATGCGATTGTCCCCTGACTACATCCAATACTCTCATACATTGGGTCACTGACAATCACAGGTCTGGGAATGGGGTTGCACCATCTCCAATTCGGCGAGAATGAGCGGCGATAGTAAGTTGCTTGTACCCCTGTAATTCAACGGCCTTCAGCTCTCTAACGCATTGCAGTCTACGAGTACGATGCCTACCTCCCTTCCCCACGAACCTCATTTCCCTGGGACAACATTGCTGATCCGAGTTTTGAAACTTGTACAGTTCATTTGACCAACCATCCAACGGCTGCCCCTGCGACGCCGACGAGTTCTACTGCCAAAAATTCCCCGGATACCAATGCAGCGTCCTCAACATCTTAGGGAAGGCATCATACATTGCCGGCCGATCGGGACCGGGGTAAGTTCAGCCCTTACGCGCACATCAACGACCATCCCCTTCCCTGACTGGGTCTAACCCTCCTCCTTGTCCTCCTCAGATTCTGGATCGATCTCGACATGCTCGAAGTGGGCAACGGCGGCATGACCACAGCCGAGTATCGCACGCACTTCACCATGTGGTCCGCCATCAAGTCCCCGCTCATCATGGGCAACAAGCTCTACGACCTGTCTCCGGAAGACTACGCCATCCTCACCAACCCGGCCGTCATCGCCCTCAACCAGGACCCCGGCGGCAGCGCCATCGCCCGCCGCTTCGTGCAGCAGGTCGACACCAAGGATCGGTGGGGTGTCGGCGAGATCCAGGTCTGGCAGGGCAGTCTGTGGCAGGGCGACCAGGTCGTCGTGTTCCTCAATGCCGCGAATGAGACGCAGGGCTTGGACGTGCCGCTGTGGCGGATCTTCGGGACGCCGGGTAACGAGCTGTCGCTGAGGAGCTGGGATATGTATGATCTGTGGGCGGAGAATGTTACTATGCTGGCGGATGTGGCGCGGCAGGTGCTGAATGGGACGCTAGAGCTGGGGCCCAAGACGCAGGGGTACTATAATGCTTCGCGGATAAGTTGGAGGGAAGGGCTGGCGGCGAATGATACGAGGTTGTTGGGATCGTTTGAGGGGACGGTTGAGGCCGGCGGGACGGTGAGCGCTGAGGTGGGCGCACATGATGTCAAGGCGTGGCGGTTTAGGTTGGTGGGGAAGAATCGGTTGCAGAAGAAGGACGAGCTTTGATAGAGGATGTCAGCACTAGCACGCATGAAATATCCTCTCCTCAAAGCCCGAGGAGTACAAGAGTTTATGGAAAAGAGCGGGAACATGCAGTAAGTACCTAGAAATGGTCCGCCAAGACATTCACTGCCTGAGAATTGTATGTGGCAGAGAAGGGCTAGATTCGTGCAGGAGACAGTAGTGTTGCGTTTTCTATATGGACCATGACCATGGGAGTCGCTGCATGCAAGGCAAGGCAACCCATCTCATCTCATTTCTATCATGATTGGAGAGGGTTCGCGATCGAACACGAGCACGAACACGTACAATAGCGGACCTGGAAAGGACACCTTTGTCGAATTGAAGCTGGGCGGGATGGAATTGCAAGGAGGATGATTGATGCCCATTGACTCATGCTTGGTTGATGCTGCTACTTGCTGGTCTTGCCGGACGATGTCCCTGGTCGTGGCGGTATGAATTCGCTGCTCGCTCGCCGCCAGCACATTTTGCCGGGTGCAACTCTGGTGCTTTTCGGTAGCTGTCGCCAGCCTCGGCGGCGCCCAAATCAGCGACGTCCCGGCTCGTCGCTCCCTGAACGCCATTGCCGGTAGATGCAATGTATCCCCCACTTCGCTGCGAATGTCGTGCTCCTGCTATTCCATTGCTTCATAGCGGTGTTGTCACGGTGCTGATAGCTCGCAGTACCCCTACGTATATCTGCGACAATTGGTCCGGCCCCATTCAGCCCATCTTCGCATTCGAGAAGTCCATCTCCGGATGCTGCTCCATGAACTTCTTGAGCATGTCCTGCTTCTTCTGCTCGTCGCTGGTCGGCTTGCCCTGCCTCTGCATCTCCTGATCGTACATCATTTTCTCGACCATACCTCTGGTGTCCCCGTCGAGGTCCGACAGCTTCGAATTCTCAGGTGTGATTTTGGAGGTGTCGATTTTGGGCGCCGATGTGACAATGTGTGCCCACCAGTGCGAATTGGGCATCTTTGCGAGCGTGAGCACGATGTCTTTGGTGTTGTCGGGGCCGGAGGTCAGAGTCCAGGTGCTGTCGTCGACGATGATGGGGTGGGGGAAATCTCCCTGATTCATGGGTCAGTCTGGCGTCTCAAGGTACAAGTATAATCTCGAGACTCACATCGATGATGGCATCTTGGCCTTTGATCTGCACCTTGAGATGCGTCTTTTTCAAATCCACGACCAAGTCTCTTGCTTTGAGGTTGCCTGGAATAGGCACGCTGACCTCAGCCTCATTGAGAGTCTGCGTCCACTTGTAGGGCAGCTTTGCCTGCTCCTCCTCTTCCCGTTTGCGGTCTGCCTCGTCCTGCTTCTTGCGCTCCTCCGCGGAGGGCGAAGGTTCGCGTGATCCTGACATAGACCGTGATACGGCGGAAAGGCAAAGGAAATTCAATTTACTGCACGGCTGGAGGTTGTTTGAGTGTATGACAAAGCGAGAAGTCGAGTGTCTGCTGGAATTTGGCCGCAGACATGGCCGCGTCCAAAGACGGGATCCGGAGGGGCAGTCTTGGCAGCATCATTAGCCTAGAAAGGGGGCCGCAGCCTCGCTGGGAAATCTTCTGCAGTGATCAAACACGGAGGACGAACAAAACAGCATAGTTCAAATTGGGGTATCTTGATGAATGCAACTCGCTTGCTAAAGTATTGACAATCTTCCCAAAGCCAGACAATCTCATCACCTTTTTTTCCCTTTGTACTGCTCGGGTATCTTCGGCACCGGGTAGGGATCACCTGCATCTGGTATGTTGCAATGCTCCATCAGTGCAGTGAAAGACGTATCTCTCTTGCTTGGGTCGCCTTGATACCTGTGCGGTGTTAATGTTTCCCCTATCGGATACTCGTATTGCGAGCTAGCGCGTCTGGATGCCTGTAAGTCAAACTGTGAGCTGGTGCGTCGGAGGGACTGGTTGTAGACCGAGCTTGCAGGTCTTGCTTCAAGCTCAATTGGCTCTTCGGCACGTACCGGATTGTCATATGTTGGAGCGTTGTCTACTCGCGGCGGAGACGTGAAGGGACTGGCGAACCGCGGATCATGCTGCTCCGGGTTGAGTTTCTTCGTCCTCAGCGGCGAGACCGCGGCACTGGGATACTGAACAAGATCTGGAGGGGTGTAGATCTTGATGCTCTGCAGCGATGGCACGTGATCCCGCTCCCGGTTTGCTCCTGCCGGGGTAGGTGTCACGGGCGGCTGTGGTGGAGCGACAGGAATATTGTTTGGCACCGGCGGAGTTGGCATCTTCCAGGGATTGGAGTCGGCGCGGTTTTCGCCATCCCTGGTGGAGAAAATAGACATTGTTCTCTTTGTCGCTCGCCTCAAGAAGTCCGCCCTGTCCCTCGTGTCTCCCATCGGGATGGGGTCAGATATGAATGGTCTCCTCTCTGGTTTTTGCAAAGACCCAGGGCTCCCGTTTTGAGGTTTTTTTGCACGCCCAGTGAAGCCGACCCAGAGTAGTACGGACAGCGCCCCCACGATGGCACCTGGAACGAGCCCAGCGAAAAATGGCCCAGGAGGGAACGGGTTACATTTGGCGTCCTCGTCTGCCGAATTAGAACTGCTGGCTGATAGGGAAGCAGAAGTGGTGGTGGTTGTGGCGGCTTTGCTTGTACTCGCAGGTGACGAAGTCGAGGTGGATGTAGACGTCGAGGAAGCTGTGTTACTAGAGCTAGGCTCTGCACCGGGGAAAGCGCCGAGAAAGTGAGCTTTGGCGTTGTCAATATTGCATTGAAACTCATCATCGGACTTCTTGGAGCAAGTGTAGCCGAACGGGCAGCATAACGTGCCACAGCTGGGTAGGTCATCGTTCAATTTCTTGGTAAGCACCCCAGACGAGGGATTCTTCGCCGGATCCTGTTTGCTGACATCGCAGCTGATGGGTCCAATGGATGAGCAGTCCGAATTGGCAGGACAGCATAGTGCTGACGAGGAGCTATCTAATGATATGCAAGCCTGGTTTGATGCGCACTTGAAAGTATCTGGTAAGCTGGGATCGACCGTCTTGCAGTTTGGTTGATCCCTCCGCAGAAGGATGTCGGAAGCGTGGAAAGATGGGGAAGCGTTCAAGCGTTGTAGCAATGACAGCAGCGCCAGAAGTGTGCATGCGCGGTACGATATCGATCTTGAGTCCATTTGAGTCAACAATAAGTATGGGTGGACGCAATATGTCCGGGGTGGGAAACGCGCAAGTAAGAAGCGATCGAGCAGAATACTCGGTGTGCTGAGGACTAGGAACGATCTGGGCGCGGGTGACGAGCATATGACAAGGAAATAAAGAGATTCGTCAAAGGAACCAAGGCGCGAACTTTTCTTTCGTAGCCATACTTGGAAGCATCACCTGTGGTCTACTTTGTTGTACAGAGCGCTAACAACCGCGAGTTCTGGCCAGTTCTGGGCAGTGAGGATGCAAATTGCCATGTCAGCCAGTCCATGGTGAAGCGGCGAGTAGATGCGCAATGACCGGGCTAAATTCGGTAGTGCGCAGGCTTGGATACATAACTTCACAGTGGCTCGATAGGGTGAAAGCGTTCCAATGATGAAACATGGGGGGCAGAGGTGTAAATGTAGAAAAGGCAGTGTTGTTTCAAAACGATCAGTTCGAGATACGTCGACGCGTCTGTAGATTGCCGCTTCCCGGCGCTTAGCCAACCTGAGAGTCGAATCGGCGAGGCTGAGATTGTTAGGCTGCGTTTTCCCCTTTTCGGTCGCCGCATGCTCGTCTTCGCAAAAGTTCACGAGACTTCGGTCCATGGGGATATCCTGCACGAGAAGCGTCCGGATCTGTCGCTCGTCATGATTCCTCGACCGAGAGCGCGGCCGCAGAGTCTTCTGCAGGCTGTCACGCGACCATCATTATGCGTGAGTATCCGGAAAGTCGAAACCGATTCATCTACTGACCTTTCAGCAGCTCTCGTCACGGATCTGCTCATCTCAGCCCTTCCCTAGATCATACCACAACCTGCCGGAGCTCTCAAACGGCAAGGACGCCGTCTTCAGCAAATATGGCGTCCCAGGTTTCCTCTCCCCTGCCGCGTATGACGAAACATGGACCCAGTATCAAACTGCTCTCTGCGACTACCTGAACGATGAGACCCAGGGGACTACACTCGAAAGTATCCATGTCAAAAAACTCCACGAAATCACCGCCAAACAACCCTCGAAGGCCGCATTGTACAACCACGCCGCGCAAGCCCACCACAACCACTTCTTCTTCAATGGCCTTTCCGCCATCCCAGAACCCCACCCGCCCAATCACACTGTCCAAAACTGTGTACAAGAGTGGTTCGAGGGCATGGAGCATCTACGTGATGAGATGGTGGATACGGCCATGGCCATGTTCGGCAATGGCTACGTGTGGCTGATGGCGGATGGGAAGGACGGAGGCCTGGACAAGAGCGCCCTCAGTATCCTGTGCACATACAACGCCGGAAGCCCATTCGCGGCCGCACACGCACGGCGGCAGCCTCTTGACGGACAGACAGCGGGATCATTCGGGAATCAGTCGCGCCACAAGATTCTGGAACATGAGCGAAGTTTTGACGGCACGCCCATCTTGTGCCTCAAGGTTTGGGAGCATCAGTGGATGCGAGACTATGGGCTGGCAGGAAAACAAGTATATGTACAGAATTGGTGGAACCGGATCGATTGGGACGAGGTGGTTGCTCGGTTAGTTGTTGTACGGCCTACGGAAGGTCAGCAGTCTACCACTGCGCCTGGTGCTGCCCGCAATCAGCGCCTGGTGGATAGGCTCACTCAGCCAATGTCTGCTTGATTGTCTGGTGGTGCCCGGGGGCTTCAAGATGTACAAAAGCAATCCTACGGGAACTTCATGTAAAATCACTAATATGAAGACATTGCGGACACATCTCTCCGCTCGTTGCATCGTTCCTTGCGGTGCAATTAGCCATCTAGCACAGATCGTCCGCCCACAAAGGGATGATCGACCTCAATCCCAATATCTTACGACCCCGTCTCTCCCTCCGGTGGCGACCTTACTGCTCTCCTGCTCGTTCCATACCACGCATGTCACTGGCTCGCCTACCCTTCCCTCTTCCTTCCCCTTGCCACCAAACTTGCCCTCGGTTGCCAAGAACTTATGCCACATCTTTCCTGTCTTCCAGTCCCAGAAGCAAACGTATCCGCCGCTGTCTCCGCTGGCCACAATACCACCGTCCGGACTGATCGCCACGTCCACCGCCAACCCCGCGGTATTCATCCCCCTGAAACCCTTCTTGCGGTTCTGCCGGAACTTGTCGCCCGCTGCGTATACTACGATCTGGTTATCGCCGGACTGGTAGGCAACATATTTTCCGCTGGGATGCACGCAGGCACGTGTGAGCGCAAACATCTCGGGGTCGGCAATGAACTTGATGGGCACGGGAATGCCCCACTCCCAGGCTCGCAGAGACTTGTCGTCCGATGTGCTTATGAAACGACGGCCTTCGTCGACGAAGACTAGCGTGTTGATGGCACCAAGATGATGGTCGTATTCCTGAGTGAGCTCGCCGGAGCGCACATCAAAGCTGACGATTTTCTTATCCGACATGCCAGCAAGAAACTCGTTGCCCTCGGGCTGGAAGACGAGGCAGTGCGGCGTCTTGCCAGTAGTGAACCGCGAAATACACTTGCCGGTTTCCGTATCCCAAAGCTTCATCTGGCGGTCAAAAGAAGCAGAGAGGAAAGTAGTGCCAGACGGCGAGAAATTGGCATCTGTGATGGCTTTGGAGTGCCCGGAGAAGGTACGCAGAAGTGTGCGGTCGTGGTATGCATCCCACAGCGCGATTTTCGTGTCGGCTGATGCGGAGAGGAGGAGATGAGAGGTCTTGGGGATGAAGCGGAGCGTGGTGATGGGCTTGTTGTGGTATTTGTACGAATGTATGAGGCGTTTGGGAGCGTAGTTCTGGATAGAGCCGGGCTCTTTGCGTAAATCGATGTCGAGATCTTGGGGAACATGCATATACGTCCGGCCAAGATAGTCGCGTTCGGAGGCGCCGTGGAACTCAGTGGTTTCTGTTGTTGAAGTATCCTCGCCATAGGCAGTTGTGTCCTTTGATGGCGCGGGCATCGGTGTTGGTACTATGCCTTCCTCAACCCATTCTTCATCTGAGGCGAGTTCCCGATCAGCATCCAGCTCGGCTTGCTCGTAAGCCACATCGTCGCTCTGGTATTTCGCCCAGGGTCCAAGATACATGCCGTCTCCTTCGACTACGCTAGCATCACCTCGTTTTTGTCGCTTCGCTCTGATTGCTGCGCTCTGTTCTTTTGAGTGACCAAGCTGGATAACATCCTTGCCGCCGTACTTCTCGATCGCTGCTTGGTTGCCAACAAAGGCTCCATTCTGTGAGGGATCTTGCGTGTATCCTAGACTTTGAAAAGTACGGTGCTGTGTCCTGAACGTTGATTCTGATATGGCGGTTTCTTCCGCATGTCCGGTCAACACGTTCTTCCTCTTGAGCGCATTGCCGTTGGCGGTTTTATATGGGTTCGTGGGCCCTTGCGATGGTCGGGCAAGATTATCGTACGAGACATTCACACTCAATGAATTGCTCGTGGGGTTTGCCAGCATTAGTTCAAGTTGCGATGTGCCCTGCAAGATATTAGACCCTTGCCCGCCACTGTGAGCGCTGGTTGGGGACCAAACCTCTACGGAAATGTCTGGCGCAGCCCGGACGGATGATTGTTGGTTCGCCCTCGATGGCGCGGGCGCGGCCTCGTCATCGCTTGTGTCGTAGTTTGTGCCAAGTAGACTCGCCATCTTGGGCGTTTGATGAGGAGTACGCGCGAACTTAGGCCGCGGAGTGGTCTGAGAAACACCAGTTTCTTTGATTCCAGAAAAATGAGCCGGCAGCCTGATGACGACCGATGCCAAGACATACGAGGCTGAACTACTGAGGTCTGACGGGACCTCCTTGCTCATGACTTTGCTTTCGGTTTCAGTTCTGTTCTGTACTTTTCGGATATGTCTTCACGCGACTCTTGCCCGAAATGAACGCGTCAAGTTCACAATGACATACCCCTGCAGTGACGACCAATCTCCACATCCGAGATCTGCTCGGAAGTGGCGTTGCACGAACCTACTGCAGGCCACAATTAGAACCCCTATGGCTTGCAGATGACACCTCCGCAAACAACGGCTCAACTGCAGCTTTGTTGACCATATAATCGGATAGGTTGTACTTGTGCCCTTATAATGTCGGCCAGATCGATCTCGCCTGGACCACAGCATGGTGCTCGCAATCCCTGTGCGGTGGACAGCCCAGGCCATCACTGTTCTCGCTCTGCTGACCATCTTCTTCTTGTCAAGACATAGTGTGTATGACTTCGCTGAGAGCAGGGCAGGCATAGAGTCACCTTCCACATCGTCAGATGAGAAGCTAGGCTACGTGACATGGCTAGGCAAGACTGGCGTCGGGGACGATGAGAAAGATGTATACTTTCTCGCGACCCGCCTCCTTGTCTATCAGATCCTCCATGACCCCAGCACACGCTCACCACGTAGCCTCCCTATCATCGTGATGACGACGCCCGACGTGAAGGAAGCGAACAAGCAGCGCCTGCAGGCCGATGGTGCAACCGTCATCCCCATCGACTTCGTAACGGAAGGTCTCGACTGGCTCAAGCCCAGACGCCCAACCTGGGCGCACATCATGAGCAAGCTCCGCGCCTGGCAGCTGACCGCCTACTCCCGCCTCCTCATGCTCGACGGGGACCTAATCCTGCGACGGCCTCTAGACTCGGTTTTCGACGAAACCAACGCCACCATCATCCCAACCCTCTCCGCGCCACCCAACGAGATCAAGCTCGACGAGAACCCGCTGCCGGCAAAGTACCTCTTCGCCGCCGCCCCGGAAGTCAACGGGCCCAAACACCACTACCCGCCCACCCGCGAGCACGACGACTTCATCCACGCGCAGGAGTTCAACATGGGCTTCGCGCTCCTCGCCCCTTCGCAGGAAATGTTCGAATACTACATCTCGATCCTGCGGATCCCCGACCGCTTCTACGGCGGCAAGATGGAGCAGAGCCTGCTGAACTACGCGCACCGGCCCGGCGGCGCGATGCCGTGGCAGGACCTGCCCTTCACATACAACATCCGCTCGCCGCTGGAGGAGGATATCTTGGGCAACGTGGCGAGTCTGCATGATAAGTGGTGGGGGAAGACGGAGCAGTACCCGGCGCTGGCGGGGTGGTATCGGGCGAAACAGGAAGAGATGCTGCGGTTCTATGCTGAGAGGGAGATGTGAGACGGCCGTGAGGCGGCCGTGATGCGGTTTCATGGTGGGTTCCGGGCGTAATCGCAGGGGGGATCGACGGACCCTCGGATAGGCTGGCTCGATCGCCCACGATGTGGTTGAGACAGGCGTGCGAGGGTGGAGAAGGGCTAGAAGCCCTGTGGATTGTTGCACAGCTGCTGTTACTGAGCAGGCCAGCATGAGCGACACCTGAAAAGAGATTGAAGCCGAACAGCGAGAAGACGAGGCCCGGGTCTAGCGTGGCACAAGCTAGGGACCATCCTGATGCTGTTCGCCGTAAACGAAGCACTAGCCAACATGGTATCGTGTCATTGTTTAAGCTCGTCTGTCAACAGTATCTATATCCTTCATGAGTCGTCATAGACCACCGGGGTATTCGCCGAACAGCCACCCTGCAACGCTCAATCGATCATTCCTCTTCCTCCTCGACTCCGTCTCCACGCGTCAACACCTCCGCGGTCGACTTGCATCCATCATGGAAGCAGACGCGGCCGTTGTAATTCCTGTGTCAAAGTCGCAACCAGACATGGCGCTTCGAACAGAGATGGCTCGCGTGGCAAGTCGTAGTAACCGTCACCGCCTTATCAGTAGTAGTCGCCATGCTTCATTGCGAGAGCCGCTCTATCATACAGCTATGTCGACTCGTCCCGGATAAGGGCAACGATCATGCTATAGAGGTAGAAGAAGAACATAACGAGGTGGAAGCCGAGCTTGATGAAAGATTCCTTGATTCAGGTCAGCTTTGAGGTCGAATTTTTGCTACAGCCTCGACATACCTTTTTGTGGACATTCAATTTGCGGAAGATTTCGGTCGCATCTAGGAGATGTTGGTTTTCAACAATTCTGTTGATGCGGTTAGTTTGATGCGCCTTGATGAGAGATTCGGGTACATACTTCTTTGCGTTGAATGCCAGGAGAGGTAGATTCAACACCAATGCTAGCCAGTAGCCGTTGATAAGGAATAAGAAGGTAAGGAAGGCATGTACGGCAGCCTCGGGGACGATGTACGTGTTTAGGCGGTTGCAGAGGTCGATGGGGTTGATGTAGTCACTGATACCATGTTAGCCGGGGGGATTAGTACCATGGGGAGCGCTTTTACCATTCGAGATCGCTGTACATGATAGTGAAGAAGACCTGCAGGAAGAGATTGACGGCATTTATGAGGACGGCGAGCAGGTATAACCACGCTTCGCCCGACATCTTGAAGGTGTTTGAGGCCGCGAGAGGCCTGGATAGTTCAGGTGCGAGAAGCGACGGGTACTGGGGTATGCTGCAATCGCAGGAGGATTGGAGCAGGTGAATATCTGCAGTGAGCAGGGAGTGCAGCAGTTCGTCGACTGGGGTGCGATTGTACTCCGCCGATGATGCAAAAGATTTCCGCTTTTCTGGGCCGCAGCTATACAGCTCTCGGTTGAGTCGGGGGAGAGACGGGAGGGAAATACGAATGCTGCGCTCTGGGGTATCTACGAGGTCAAAACAAGCGATACTCGTAGGTGTTTAGAATGATGAGGTGGAGGGGCAGAAATGTGTGTGTTGGTGGGGAGGAGAGTGAGGAATTGACTTCAGGTTGGGCCAGGCTCAATTCTGGCTGTACGCCGTGGTTATCGCCATAGGTGGCAGGTCGGCGCCTGCACGTTGGGCCCCGAGACCCCTGCCGCAGCGCTGCGTTATTCGCGCTGTGGGCTGCAACTGCGGCTGACGTCATTGGACTCTCCATCTTCAACATCACCTCACCTCCCAAAACTATGTCCAGGCGCTGTCTCTGCGTTGAACCAGATTGTGCATTGTCCCTGTCATATCAGATATGTTCATGTAGCAGTATTAGATGGTCATGTCTACAGTAGTGGTCCTGGTCCTGCAGGATGGGTGTTACTGCCACTCTCCCAAAACGGAACGAATGAATGATCTGCCATGACAAGATCAACTGCCACTGCTCTCACACCTCCCATCAGGTCGCTAGCCAGCAGACGACATCTAGCGCGATTATACTCGCCAGAAGGGGTCCGGAAACCGGCGCGGTGCAGTGCATGCATGATCCGGCCCGAACGTCAGGTGGAATTTCCGGGAGGTCTGGATGTTTTCGAGCTGACTGCGCAACACCGTGCTGTCGATCATCCGTACGCCACCGCGCTGTACCACCATAGTACGTAACGCTTCTGCGTGAATGTTCACTTCGTCAGCCTGTCCAAAGTCAGAGGTATACACCACAAGTAATAGCACAGCCTGAATGTTAGCATCAGAGCTGGCATGTCTGGGGTTCCGGAGGCGGTTCCATAGGATGTTGGTCCCTCGTCCAAAATATTGCTGCGCCTGTTGCCGTTGCTCCGTCGCGACATCACTGTTCTGCTGTCTCTGAGCTGAGATGGCATAGCAATATGCCAGAAGCAGCTGTGTAGATGCCTCGTCTGCGCGCATAAAGAACATGACCGAATCTAGGAGCGAAAGTGGGCTTGCTGTAGGGCAGATATCACGCAAATCTGGTCCAGTCAGCCTTGGCCTATAACTCAAGACAGACAACATGAGAGAAAACTTACACAACTGAAGGGTTTCTTCTTCTCGCGGCGACAGAGGTACTCTCGGTGATATTGACCTGCTGCCGGGCGCCGAGGAGAAAGCTGGAAAGTCGAGTATATCGGCTGCTATCCCGGGGTCGTCCACAGTATGTGATCTGGTGAAGCTAACCGGTAAGGACGGTGGCGAACCTGCGCTGCCGGTTGGTGAGGTTCCTGGGGGTTCGGAAACCGGTCTTCTCCCCCACTCCAGAACTCTGGGCTGAGCTCCTCGCCGGAGTGAGCGCAATCGTGCATCTCGCCTCTGGGCAGCAGAATGATAGGCTGTATGCCGCTGAATGGCACTTTTGACGTTGGGATCCTGGCTGTCCACGAACTCGATAATATTGGCCGGACCCTGGCTGTGGCGCGACGTCGACCCTCGCCTTGAGCTCTGTGGGGAACTTCCTTCAGGTGCAGCAGAGGTTGGGCTGTTCTGCCTTGACCCATCTTCACCAGACGACATGGGAAAGTGGAGTGCGTCGGGGAGGGCCTAGCGTGACCCGACCGTGTTATTCAATGTTGGATGGGTAAGTGATTGCTGAGGTTGTCTCTGTCAGTAGGCGAGATGGCATGAAGGAGTGTGGCAAGGTCCAACAACACGTATTGACCAGGGTGAATTAGTCGAGGGCAGAGCAGGAAAAGTACGAGGATGGTAGATATATGATTGTCAGGAAACACGTGGTTTTGGTGATGAGCGTCGTGTCGAACGAGCCAGATCATTCATGATGAGTCTTTTCTGCCACGAAGATACAGTAGCAACCGCGCCGTTTAGTCTTGCAAAGACAGCAGTGAATGACCTAGACCGGAGAACGGCAGCCGGTATGCGCGACTGGGATGTCTGATAGCCCGGCTTCAAGGCGTAGACAGTGGCAACAAAGAGGTGCATGCCTGGGCCAGAAGATCTGAATAGAGTGTGCGGGAGAGGCTTCGGAAGCATGGAATCACGCATGCGAGAACCATAACCAGATGACCGGATGCAGCAAAGTCGAGGTCAAAGGTCAAGCGAAAGTCTACCAAGGGGTGTGTACATGACGAGATCGCAAGGCACGCGAACAGAGTGTAGTAATCCGGTAAGCACGGCAGAAGCGTGACTGTATTCCATAGATGCTTGTTAGTCAGAGAGATAGACAAGGTGTGTACATGGTCCGATCAAACGCGTTTCCACTACTCGAGACGGCGGAAGATGTACGTTGCGTCGGCAATGAGCTGCAGGACGCCGATGCAAGCAACAGCCAGGGTCCCAGAAGCCTAAAAGCCGCAGGGCTTCGGCACGTCATAATCTTGCAAAGCTGGGTAGACCCTTTCGATTCGGTCTGCACCAAGGGCCGTCCGCCGTGAGGATGCAAGGGCGAGCTCGGTCATCCGGTCATCCCAGCGGCCTTCCGCGCGCCATTTCTGATCCTGATGATCTACTGGTACCTGTACCTTTCCGCCGTACGTAGCTTTCTGGTGTTTCATTCAGCCAGTTCCATTCTGCTTCCCGTAGCTGCAACCCTAGGACCAGGACCCGTACGCCAGGGGATGGCCCAATTGGACAAACCGGTTGGAACTGTCCCGAAATTATTTCGAGGACTCGTACCACAGTACCCTCCTACCTCGGAGTCTTAATTACTGATCTGTTTTGTTGGCTCGTATATTATTTCTGGAACGATGTTCCCGCAGCTCCGTGGCTCTCGTCGACCTTGGCCGTACCGTCTTTCTCGGACAGCCGCGGCTTGAGTTCAAAGCAAATGGATCGGCAACAAGTGCTTGTTTACTCAAGTGTGGCGTAGACGCTGTTCTGTCCTTGCTATCTGAACTGGCAGCCACGACTAGATGCTTCGCGTACCTCTGCCTCCATGCTATCGTCTAGTGACACTCCAATAGCGACTGCAGGCTCGTGAAGCAGTGCTTTAACACGCTGATCCGGTCGGCCCACGACATCTCGTTGATACAAGAATTGTACAATCTGGCGGACTTCGAGCCGACAGCGACCAACGATCCACCAGTGACCAATTTCAAGCATCAAAGCAAGCCAGTGAGCCAGTATCACCAATGCTGCTGTGTCCAGATCAATCAAGAGTTGCTGAAAAGAGGGCGTTATGCGCGAGACGAAGGTCAGGAGCTTGGTGAAGCTCTCAGCGCTAATAGGTCTCATCCTTCTGCACCACAGCATAGTCTCCAGACTGATGTAATAAGGCTGCTCGCTGTCAGAGTCGGCGGCAATATTGCAAAGACGCAGGAAATTGGCTTCGATCAAATCGATTTTGCTGCTTGGCGTGTATTCTGTGTCATCTATTTCAGCGGCCAACACACGGAGACTGAATGCCCCATCGTGGTCAACAGTTCTGAATATCGGAAGCCAAAAGCTTGATGCGAGCCACGGTTCCATGGCTTGAAGAAGGCCTTTAAACCCTGCTTGGATACCGAGCCATTTGAGAGCAACCTCTCGTGCTGACTGATCTTCGAGCCAAACGAAGCTGCATGGGGCCGAGACACCGCCCTCTGCGAGATCTGAGTCATCCTTTTGCGAGAACTGGTGCATGGATATAAACATGACCGTGCTCAGAAGTTGATCCATGTTGTGCTTTGTGACATGACCATGCCTATTTGTTACTCTTCCGTCATCGGCAGAGATACCACCAAGCTCACGTCGAAAGCCTTTGATCGCTTTGGCCCAATGATAGCACTCCGCGACCTTGAGCTTCGCTGAAAGAGGCTGCATCTCGAATGTCATGAGAGATCGTAGATGAGCTGCTGCGAGTCCCAGGACAGTATGCATGAGATATGGAGTCTGGAGGGCCGACGACACAACCTCTGTCCTGGCAATAATCTGACTTTTGGAATTTCCACATGTCATGGCAGTCATGTTGACAAAGTGGTGCAGCACCGCGAGCGAAGAGGGTATTCCGTCCACCTGCAGTGACTCGAATGGTAATTGCGGTGTCCATGACCTGGAACAGGACAGAGGTGAAGTCCGACGGATGAGGGAGATGGGCCTCATTGCTCCCGTCGATGAGAAGGCGACAACACTACTCTGCCTCTCCCTTGAATCGTCTAATATGATCGACTTCGGTTTCTCATATGACGACTTCTCCTGCTGTGGGTTCCCTGAAAGCCTCTCATAATCCTTCATCGACGCCATACTCGAGAGGTAGTCACATCTCACTCCACGGACCTTACACTTGAGGCAGCCCCCGTCATGATCTTTGCTCTCGTCGCATTTCAGCCTTCTGCTTTTGCAGGTTTTGCACCCCCAGCGGCTCTTTCTGTGGGCTCGTCGACCACGAGGCTGCCCAACCGCGGACGCACTGGTAACTTGAGACAGCTCTTCCGCTGCTAGAGAGCCAGGTCTAGAGCTGTGCTTTCTTCTGCCATCCTTGACTCTGAACACATTCTGCAGAGACCGTTGCTGTTCCTTGGCGCCAATGGTCATTGCTAGGACGTTTGACGTTGCCATGATGCTTCAACTATATCAGTCGGGCATGATGGTCCGGGATGGGTGTTGCAGTTTTATCACAGCAAGCCCCTAATACCATCGTCGCATCCTTTTTCCATAGTAGCCGTGTAGATTGATCGCCAGAACTACTAGCAGAGTCCCTGACTCTGGAAGCACGAATTGATGAAGTATAGCCGGGGTACGTAGGCGCATCTTTACTGCTTCGGGGAACTGATGATGAAACTCCACCAACAGTCTTGGCAGAAGCAGACCGTGAACCCGAACTCGGCAGGCGTAGGCCTTCAGCCGTGTATTCTCTGACTACCCCAAGGACTGGCGCTGTTCGATCTTCCACAACTCGTGCTGTACGACCGATTGATGAACGTCTCGGCCATCGGAACGGATATCAAAAGACTGTTCTGCCATCTCTACCCGACCGCCAAGACCCTGCTACTTATCCCGGTTTTCGACCTTGACCAGCGAGGGGCGCGGAAGCACGGAGCGCGCAAAGCAAACGATGAATTAGGTCACTGGACAGGCAACTGCTATTGCGCTCGAAAAGCTCGCCGGGTTGCCCATTCCTGACAAGATCGTTGCAGCCCGGGAAATGTATGGCATCTTCCTGGGGTTGACATCACTGCTAGACAACGGCCGTACAACAGTCGCAGATGACAATCTTGAACTGAAGAGCTAAAGCTTTGCGCCATTATCAACCGACCCCATATGAGCAGCCTGACATAATCAATTTACGAGGTTAGGTCATCTTCGATGTCTGATCTTCTCACGACCGGGATCGAACGGAGGGTCTCGAAGTCTATTATCCAGTAGGTACGTTGCCGGCCTACGACCGTGAAGCAGGCTCGAGCTTCTCCTTAAGCCTCACAGGGACCTGGCTATCTCGGAAAGAACGAGACTACAGTCTCGTCCGTAACATACTGTCACATGCATACGCGAGAGCCGCTTTCTAGAAGACGTGGCATGGAGCCAGCAACCTTCGCAAGGCACTCCAGTCCAGCTACACGAATTTCAACGACCATCTTGCTGAAAGTATATCCGTCCCTGAAACGTTCGAGATACTCCTCGAGAACAAAAGACAAAGTCCGTCGCGTGACGAGACCCTTGCCTTGCTCTGACACCATACCTCCCATAGGTGCCACAGACTCCCAGAGCCACGATTACACGCACAACCTATGCTGGTCTAAAGCCTATGGTGATATTTCGGTGAGAATGCACATGTCTTGACACAGCTGCTAGGAGCAGCGAATTGCGAACTCCCAGAGTTCAGTCAATCATCTCGCCCACCCAGACGTGACCAGGAAGACTCCTTGCCTACGTGGCTAATGAATCGTAATCATGGCTGTGACAAACGTTCGCAATTACTCGCTCATGCTTGCTGCTGAACCCTTGCAAACAACCCGCAATCTTGCAAGTGCTCATTGTCGAGTCTCTTTCATAGAAGATGCAACGTTGAGGGAACACTCCGACTCTGACACAAGTATACATACTTTGTCGTTCTGCTCGGAGCAGCGAAAGTCACGAGTGCCTGCGTGGGACGAGCCGTGTGCGCACTTTGAGCGCGCAGACTTTAATTAGACGATGTACCGGGCTTGCCACCCGGAAAGTACTGTAGCCTGGCTTGTTATTCCGAGGACTCGTTCTGATGTATACGATGCAGCTGGCTACATCAATCAAAGTCCCCATAGCCGAACGTCCCAGCCGCATCTATCGGAAGAATATGATTCATCCGGTGCTGGCTCGCCAGCAAGTACACGACCGCCATGTTAGTTTCTGAAGCCAAGGAAAGGTGATGCGAATGATCTGACAGTATAGATTGTGTCCTGGAATCGAATAAATCCGGCCCTCATCTGCGAAGACCCTCAGCCACTCTTCATGCAGTTCTCGGCATCAGCCATGCAATCCATCCCATCTCGTCTCATCGCTCATGAGCCAGACATACCGCTATGCACATCACTCCATCTCATGCTGAACCACGCAATGCAAAAGCATATGTACCACAAGCCGGCAAGCTTGGCCTGCCATCTCCAAAAATGAATCTTGAAAACCAGAGTAGTTGAAATAAAAACGCCGCGCTATGCTCTCGCCTCGTTCTCGCCTCGCTCTCGCTCCTGCTCCTATCGCAATGCCTTGATATATGTGTTGAAGCAATCAATCTCCAGATGGCGATCCGCTGATCACCGTGTCCCTCACCAACATTTGATTGAATCATCCTGCATGGTGGTTTCGTAGGGGATATTGTTGGCGCGGTGAGACGCATAGACTCGTCTGGCAATGTGATACAGAGGTCGGAATCCAGTTCAATTGCAACTGTCCACGAGTCGTCGGAATCTTCACCGCAGCTTTCACGTCCTGCCTGATGTCGGGTTCTGACGCAAATTCTAACACACTCTTTCGCCAGCGAATCATGACAAACAGCAGCCATCTTCTTGTCTTCTAGCGAAAGCCCCCTGAAAGAATTCTTGCATTGCCGTATAGTGGAACAATATCCCTCCCAATACTGCGAGATGCCAGATGTTATGGCTCGCTCCAGCATAATCAAACTTTCCGGGCCACCACTTCTCCGGGACCTGGGATGCATAGATGATTGCACCTGTCAGATACACCATAACGCTCTTGGCGATCGGCGCGTAGAAGTAGAACGTCCATTCTGGCCCCCGTGTGTAATTCAACTGGATGACTGGCGCGAAGCCAGTACATGCGAGCGTTACGTAGAACAGTACACGAAACCAGGCCATGTCATTGCGATTGAAACTCTCTCGCCAGGGCAGAATAGAGCCGGCAACGCCGAGTGCTATTGTTAGGGACATATACACCGCACGAGAGACGGGCTCGCAATAAAAGGCCGTCCATTCGGTAGACAATATTGATGCCGCGACGAGCAGCGCAATGCCGGAGTAGTCGACGCATGCGAAGCGATCGAGAATGCATTTGTCGGCAATGCTGTTCATGGTGTGCCACATGGTGCTGCAGATCAAACACTTGCAGGCGGCAGCAAAGAAACAGCCCGCGATGAGGATGTCCCATTTGGTGGAGAGAGGATAGATTGTGGTGGCGGGGTAAAAATAAAGGGCCAGCCCTAGGACTATGAAGAAGCCGATCAAGTGGGACCAGATGTTGATAGTCTCGTTGGAAGGACGGAAAACACTGATGATACAGTCGAGGGACGTTTCATTGAAGCGGTAGCCCTTCAGAATATGTGGGTTACCTCGCCAGGGATGGGGAAGGTCTTCGTAGGTAATGAGGCGAGTTTCACGTGCTCGGGACAGGGCGTATGCAATGTTGTCAGCGAGCAGGTCGCGGGCATGCTTAGCTTTGTCGTAGCCATCTTCCAAGATTTCACGTGTGGTGGCTATGAGATGCTTGCCGTTACGGCCTGCGTGAGTGCGGGCCTCGAGTTCGGAAAGATATGTCTCCATGACCTTCACCGAAGCTTGGGCTTTCTGCTCGAATGTTTCTCGAGTGGGCATCAGCTCGTTGTATTTGGTGTCCAGTGTTTCGACCAGTATGGCAGCTCGGTGACGAGCAGCTCCCCACAGAAGGTCGCTCGAAGGGAATGAGGAGCATGAATCTCGCACATCCCGCAGAGCATGGTATCCGCGCTCAAGCTGAGCATCGAATTGGAGGCGACTCTCATGGGTGTACTTTTCTAGGCGGTCGAGTCGCCTCTTCAATTCGTTCAAGAAGATGTCGACCCTCACAAACACAGCATCTGCATTGCACAAGCTGACAGACCGAGGTCTGAAGGTATCGTAGGAATGCCGTCGCCCGCGCTGGAGCAGGGTAGATGTATCGTAACTCTCGCGAGACGTACTCGAAGCCCGGCTTGCGGGCGGAGGAACTTCCAGAGTCATGGAAGCAGTGACACAGGACATGTCGAAGGGTCTGAAGTACCCCAGAGGCCTGAAGAGGGCTTCAGGAACGTAGCAGAAGCAAGTTGCGGAATAGCATAGGAGGCAATGGCAGTCAATGACGCGGTCGGGTGGCTCGGGTAGGATGGAAATTTGGCCGTTAGGGTCTATTCGAGGTATATAGGGAATGACAGGCGTTGAGTATTACTACAGCGAAGAACCGAATGAGCGACAACAGTGGGGGGAGTGGCAAGCGGTGTCTGGGAGCAGAAGCAGTTCTCCATCCAAGGCGTGAGAGACTTGGGGGTGGACCTGTCGCTGCGAGAGAGACGAAGGCGAAGGCTGGAGAAGCTTGGCAAAGATCGGCACCTCGTCATCAATTTTATTATACCTCGAGCCAATCGACGCATCGCAGATTTGCACATGTAGTGACAAAAACGCCAGGATGATTGTGACTTGGGGTTCTAGAATTCTTTGTTGTCCATACCATTTAATGCCGTTGAGCGACAACATGTGAATGTGGGGGTACATCGGCCAGTCCTGGCCTATCACCTCGCCACGGGAATGATAGCGAGGCCGCGCCACGGTCGCCGGCTTCAGCCGTGCGTGCTTCATGCAGGTCAAGTTACTTCGGGCTTCTGGAAGCGGCCTTGTATCCAACACCGGTACATCTTAATCCTGCGCTGGCGGTTGACGATCAGCCTCCTATCAACGTCTAGGTCGAGCACGTTGAAGTCTTGCCCCCAGATACTCTCCAATTCATCCTTCTCGAAGAAGTAGACCTGGGTGCCATCGCCCCGCACATAGAAGTTCTCGTCCATCCACCGTCCAGCCTTGAATCTTACCTGAGCCAGATCTCCTCGTCCATAGTCTCTGAAGAGGACATAGCCACCGGGTCTGAGTAGACGGTGGACATTATTCACCGCGTTTGTCCACTGAGCTGGAGTGAGTGCCGAGAAGATGAAGATCATAACCACGATATCACAGATCCCCTCCTCCAGGCCTTCAGGCAGCACTTCTCCTGTGACATCCCACTGCTCCGCCCTGACTTTGCCCACTTTGGCTTCAATGTCTTCGGCACTCCTCATTGTCTCGACAGCTCTCTTACTAAAGTCAGCTGCAACCACTTGAAGATGCGGGTTCTGATTCATTCGCATAACAGGAAATGCGGTGTTGCCGGCCCCTGCTCCAACTTCGAGAAGAACCTTCTTCCCAGCATCGGGTTTCGTTATGTCGCTCAGAATGGGGAATTCTTGGACAAGCCATTTCCTGTCCTTGAAGAATGTACTCGTCTTCTGCTTGTAGAACAGATCCCACCATTTCTCGGGCTGTGAGTTGAAGCGGTTCTTGTCGTACGAGGATACGGGGGCAGCCCTTTGCTTGGCGTATTGGGCCTCACAGAACTCGTAGTGCTCTGCGTCCGGGGTGACATGGTCCCACGCGTTGAACTCAAAGACGTCGTCCTCATCTTTGAGATAACGCTGGCCGAATTGAAATGGGTCAGAACGCTTCGCGTTGCTGGCTGGGTCGTGAGACAGATGTGGTGGAACTTCCTCGTCTGTTGGCCGAGACGCAGTGTCTATTGATAAATTTCCAACGTCGTTGACAAGACTATCTTCGTCTTGCTGGACATCGTCGGGCCCTCTGTTCGGCGCCATTGCATGATACATAGAAGGAGAGTTCGCCGTGGCCGTGTCGAGAATATTTGAAGATCGCGATTGGTATATGATTGGTCACAAAGGCAAGGCTGTCATATCAGGCTGAACTCCGCGTCTGATCCGTATCCGTGAGCGACTCAGTCTTCAGGTCGAACAGTCTACTTGTGCATGCTGCAGCCGAATGTTTTGCATTGTGGACATCAACAAAGCCCAAATGAGTACCGCCCTTCGCGTGTTTACAAGATGACCGTCGAAAGCATGGTCAGCGACTCGTCGCTTCAGCCTCTTCTGCAAACTTCCCATGCTGCGCTGCGCCAGGTACAAGCCATTCTCGACTGGCTAGAGGAGAACGCTACATCTGAAAATCCCTCCCTAGAACTGAAACTCCAACTCTCGTCACAACAAAAGCTCCTACACGTCTACCTCACAAAGTTGAGGACCCTGCACCGACGGTCGGCGCTCGGTGTCCGCGCAACCAAACAGCAGACGGCAGAAGCCAGGCAAGAGGTGGACCGGTTATTACTCCAGTTGCAAAATCTTTACTACGAGCAGAAGCATCTTATTGGAGAGATAGCCGCATGCGAAGGCTATGATCACTCCTATATGCGTTTACCGCTGCTTTCGCCGGATGAGTACGTTGGCCTGTTTCCAGACCAAGCTGGGCTTTCGGAAGAGGAACTTATGCCCAAACGAATCGAGCACGAAAAGGAAGAACGTGATAAGATGGAAGAAGAGCGTCTCCGCCTTGTCAAGATCAAAGATGAACTGCTGAAAGAGAACACGCTGAAGAAAGAGGAAATGCGGAAGATGGACGAGAAGCTGGAACTCATGATTGACAGTCTAAAACCGCTTGAGGAATCATTGATCAAAGATATATGAATTGATGGTTCTGCAATACCAACAGCTGCGCACCTTCTCGCAGAATTGACCGAACAATCACTGTTCAGACTTCTCCGCAGATGGTCAGTTCTATTAACGCAGCCTCTTGCTATGCCTGGATACCGCCTTCTCATGCCAGTACATCTGTGCACGGTTGAAGAGCACGTATTCTCGCAAGGGCTTCCTTCGAAGATCACGGCAGCCGGTTCAGCTTTCTGCGGATTCTTTGTATGAAAGAGCCCCACTCTGAGCTCGTACTCACGAGTCATGCCCTTTGATGCACAGGTGACGACTGGGGCCTCGAGTGCTTGGAGTTGCTGCATCCTGGTTTCGGATCTGGGTGGATTCCATCTTCGCTCCTTGACCGAGAGGCACAAGATCCGGCCATTCCTACCAAACTCACATGTGGATCCCCGCCAGCAGGAGAGGCTGACAGAGACAGACTTGTGGCTTGTCACAGTGAAGCCAGTTGTCTTAGTCGGGCAGTTAAACGTAGTAACAATAACAAGCAGGATCTGACCTGGTCGGACAAGGTCCGCCCCAAGAGCACTAGCCTAAAAAAGCCTAGAGGCACGACCTCGAAACCTGGATGCCTGGTTGTTCGAAGAGCCGAACTTCCCTCCCTCCCTTCATTTCTACTTCGCTCTTCAGTTCTGATGCACGTCAGGGGTTGGCGTTGAACATCTTTGTGCTTTTGTAACTTGCATGTATATCGCTGGTTTTTGGATGTTCTTATCAAAATAGATCGTCAGTCGCTTTAGTCGATCACCCCGCGAAGATCGCCATGATGTTGTGCTGTGGGACACGTTCGCTAGCCGACAAGCGCACCCAGGAGAAGTCGCAGGCAGCTAGAGAAGCAGAAGCGCGCCATGCCCGTACCATTTCCATCCTCAGCCCACCTCCACGAGCCTATGTAGTCGATCGTCCATTGTCTTACGATGAGCACATGGAAGCACCACCCCCATACTCAGCCGCCGTACAGTACTCCAGTCCTCCAGCTATGACCTATGATGAGAAGAATGAGAAACAACGTCTTGCGGCATCCTTCGCTGTAGAACCGCCTCAAAACAGCCCGGGACTCTCCGAAGCGGGCGAATATTCGGACACATCGTCAGTCATCTCGACTCGAACTGGCCTCGGAAGTATGTTCACTGGTACCACCAACACCACTAGTATTGCCCAAACCGTCAGGGAACGGCCATTCAGCGGTGAATTCGAAAGTCGTCCGCCTTCCTATTATGCAAGGTCCATCGACCGGAGAAGTTCAGTGTCGAGTTCAGAAACAGGCCGCATACTCAGGCATCCTGTTATGAGAGAGGGCTGGTTTGAGAGCCTCAACAGGGATGATAGCAGCATGTATGGCGATTGAGGTACTCTACTAGCCACTACGATGCCCATGCATTGCGACAACTGCACGAAAATCATATACGGAGTTTGGGATGCTCGATCGCCCTGCGAAATGTCTTACAGCTCGATGTCTGTATTGCAAGCACATGCAACATGCCGCGCCATTGTGACGGCTTTATTCGCCAGTCTTGGGATGAAAGTGCATAGCATTATCTCGTGGCCGTCTTCCGAGCCGCAATTATCCATCGAGGAGGGTATCATCTTTTCCAGCATCTCTCGGCAGCTGCTGCTAAGTCTGCTGAACAATCACATCTTTCCGACCTGCTAATGAGCAGGCATAGCTCTCTTCGAAGAAGTGCATCCCTGCCCCCATGAACAGCCAGCGAAGTCAAGCGCAATGGGGAATCGAAGGTCGTGGCGCGGTGAACGTTGGAACGATGGCCAAAAGTACCCTGTCTCAACATACGCCCACATTGAGCTGAGGCGAAGTCTATCATCAAAGTATGTTGGGAAGGCTGGCAGAAGAACTCGAAGAAGTTCCAGGAACCCATCTGAATCAAGAGCGACGCTCTGCTCCATCTCAACATGTTCGTTCTCGCGGACTATTTCATATTGCCGAGCTTGAAGCTTACTGCCGTCGCATATTCGAGCGTAGCCTCTACAACGCCAAGGACCGTGAGATACGAGAATGCGTAAAAGCCATCAAGTCAGTGGAAGATCTGCCGCAGGAAAAGTTGGGATATGATACTGCAACCGGTTATCGAGCAGGCGGCGAGCCGCTCCTTATCAGGGCAGGATCTTGAGAATCTCAAGAGCATGGCTGCGAGATCCACGAAATGATCTCTCGATGCAGAGGTTGAAGAGCCGAAGGCTACATCGCCAAGCCTCGACGTAGCTGTGCATCGGGGGTCGACAAAGTTGATGCGTGGCTTCCCTGAACTCACCGCAAATAGCATTCTACAGGAAAGGAAGTAGCAAGTTGCTATAGTGTCGGTGAAGTGAGAGTCGGACAACTAAGCCGCATCTTCCTTTGAGCTTTCCACAAGTCCTCTTTTTTGGTAACCTCCTCCACATGAACGTGGCAAAAGCTGCTGCTGAATACCAGTTGTCAATATTCATTTGTTGATCTCTCGTCACCTCAGCGCAGGCTCAACCACAAGAGTCACCGGTACAATTAAGAGAAGCATATTCAGGTGACTACTACAACATGGGGTATCTTCAACCACCATCAGTTCCTTCGTCACTACTCACAACTTCATAGCAAGAAGTCCAAGCGACCGGATCCTCCTCAGGGCCGTCGACCGAAGAAGACTTGGGTGCCCCTCGATTTATCCCAGCCTGCACCTGCTCGAACTCCACTCCATCACGCAGAAACGGGTCAAACGGTGACTCTAGATCCGCCTCGAACACCTCAGCTCGCAGCCATGGTCACGCCTCATCCACAATGGACTCCAACCCTCAACCAGCAGACTTCTGCATGGTCATCCATCTCATCCACACCGAGCATCCTAGAGAAGCTCAAGTTGCTCTGTCATAGTGATGCTGAACGCAAGAAAGAGGGTTACGTCCTCACGGATATCACTGAGAGGGAACTATGGTCGAAGATGAGATGTAAGGTCTGCAATTGTGAATACACTGGCAGGAGATGTAGTGTAAGAGTCGCTGATCCCGACCAGCGAAGCGAAAGAACCGGAAGGACAAGCAGGATATAAAGTCATCCGATCCTCCTAGCAAGAGGAGTCGACACTTTGAGAACGCATCGTTCAGACCAAGTGCCATGGTTACCAAACCTGCGCCGTCAGTCTGCTTCTGGCATCCTGGGCACACCCTTAGACCAGCAAGGGTTAGTACTCGAGCTTACAACTTTCCATTTTAACCTTGAGCGCTAGGTCTGGTCATGCTGCAATCAACCACTGGCTGCGCGCGGATGCGAAAGCTCCTCCACGCATAATTACGACGATGTCATCGATCCAAGCTTTCGAGCTGATTGGAAGTATCACAAAGCTGGGATCCTGTCAGGCTCAACCGACCCTCGCACCGGCTGGAGACCTGCTGTGGCTCTTGATTGTGAGATGGGTCACAGCGCAGTTGGCGAGAGCGAGCTCATCCGCTTAACGGCTGTTGATTTCATTTCTGGAAAGAAATTGTTCGATGCCTGATCTCTCCATCAGTCAAAGATGCAGCACCTCAACACATGATACTCCGGCGTGACTCAAACTGCAATGGCCAAAGCCATGGCTCAGCGAACCTGCTTCTTTGGCCGAGAGGCTGCAAGGGTGGCACTGTTTTAGTACATCGGTTCAGAGACAGTGATTGTCATGCATGGCGGCTGCTCTGGCCTCACCTCCCTACGAATCCAGCACTCTCATGTGATTGATACCTTTACGCTCTGGGATTATTTTGGACAGAAATTCGAAGGTGGTCGAGGCTTGAGGGACCTGACCAAGATATGCACTGGTAGAAACATTCAGATGGGACATGGTCACGACAGCTTGGAAGATGCTCTGGCCACTCGTGAGCTAGCCATTAGCTTCATGGACATAATTCCCGATGCGTAAAGCGGCCTTTATTGTGGCCAATGGTCTCGGATCGGCCTTCAGCAGTGCACGTGAGGAGAGGGGCATGAGACATCTGTGGTAATCGGATGAAGCTCTTGCATAAGTTCTCGCTGTCAGGATTGGGAAAGGCGGACTCAGTAGGCTGTATTTCCAGGGTACAGAGGTAGTTGTATCCGAAAAACAGTCGAAAGTTGTTCCAACTCTTTCCCATCAAACCCTTCAATCGACAGCAGTTGCGTCAATCGGGCTCGTCTACAAAGATATGTATCTGAGCTCGGGGGGCTTCTTCTCACCTGCTACATTCCGCTCGGCGAAAGCAACTTTATAGCATGTACCGATAGTCAGGCGACATGTCTCCCATCTCAGTCTTCTCGTACTCGCCAATCCCCACATCCGTCGTCGTATCCCTCTGCCGGTTCTGCCACCAGCACGCCGCCCCATACGCGATACAGCTAACGGCGCTCAAGCAAATGAAGCCCTCGCAGATACTGTAGCCCATCCGATAGAAGTTCACCGCATCCTTGGTCTGGAACGCGTAGGTGGCAATGATACCGCCGATGTTGCCAAAGCCGATGATCCAGCCCGAGCCGACGGCGCGGCGATGGTGTCCGCCCAGATTCATGGTGAACCAGCAGACGATGATGGGCATGGCGCTGTAGGTGCCGCAGGTCACGAGGAACAGCATGCCGTACATGACTTGCGTGTCGTGGTGCACGTTGAGAAGCACGGCGAAGCCGGTGATGGCGATCAGGATCGGGAAGATGCTGTGTTCGGAGACGTTAGTACACTTGCATCGGAAGACATGGGGCAAGACGGTAGAGATGAGAGTTCTCATGTTGGCCCTGACTCAAGTTTATGAAAGACTTACGTAAAGGCGAAGCGGTGGCGTATAGCGTCGCTTGCGGTCGCGACCAGCATGGAAAATGCGAAGGCTGCCGCCCAGGGTGGCACGCTGTGCAATTGCGTCTGGATGGGCGAGTATCCGTAGCCACGGATGATGCTGGGTGCGAAGTAGGCGTAGCCATAGGCTGGGACAATGAGGCCGAAGTACACTGGTGACGGTTAGTGAGGCTCTGACGCAAGACAGATTTTGGCTCTGCGGAAGGGGCAGCAGATTTGGACTTGATGGGTGCCTAGGCGCCTTTCTCTCTCTCTGTGGGACGTCGTGTCGACCAAGCAGTTCAAGATAGGAAAGGAGAAGTAACATACTTAGACCTCCAAGAAAGATCTTGTAATCTTTGAAGCAGTTGACGACGTCGCGGGCGGTAATACGGCGCTCGAGGGCGGATTTGCCTTGGTCTTGTGCAAGTCGGGTTTTGACGAAGGTTTTCTCCTCCTCGGACAGCCATCTGGCGTCTTCTGGGAAGTTCGGAATCACAAACCTAAATGTGTCAGAACGAGTAGGATGGGCGGGTAGATAACCCTACCACCAGATCAGGCTGATGACACATGTAAGAATACCCTCAAGGATGAAGATCCATCTACCTCCGTCAGTAACAGTTTCCCACGCGATCAGCGGATAGAAATGCCCACCTCCAGCCATTGTAATTTCTCACGCCTTGCAGCTTTCCGATGGCAGATGCTAGGAGGCCGCCGAAAGCACCAGCGAGAGTGGTGGAGGCGAAGAAAAATGTGTAGCGTTTCTGGGCCTCTGCTCTTCGATACCACATCTTTAAGGAAGGGCAGAATTAGCCGAGACCTGGACATCGGGACCAGGCGTAAAGCCTGAAATCACTCGCATCAGAGCTCTTCGTGTACTTACTGTGATGCAAGTCAGCATATACAGTTCCATTGCAAGGGAGTGACAGCCGATTTAGCAGCTGGCCATCGCCTGATGAGACGAAGGAATCGGAGATTTTGGCAATGCATCGCTCAGATGTGACCAAACCAATGCCAGCTTCAGCACGTACCAGAAATTAGATAGAAGCAACCGGGAAACATCCCTGCCTCAGTCAAACCAAGGAAAAATCGAGTTGTGAGGAGCCCGCCGTAGTTCGTCACCAATCCCTGGCAGATAGTGACCAAGCCGAAGCCAAACATGCACAAAGACAACCACACGTTAGGCTTGAGGCGCTTGAGAATGATGTTGCTCGGGATTTCGAACAAGATGTACGGCACGAAGAAAATAACGAGGGCAGTGTTGTAGTCGGTGCCCTGGAGATTGAGATCCTCACGGAGTTCAAACACGGCGGCATTGGCAATGTTCGTTCGGTCCAGAAATGCCATCAGGTCTACAGAGATTAGAAAGAAGGGACCAGTAGTTGCACATGAGAACAGATGCATGATGGGGCCGAGGAGAGCCCGAGAGTATGGCTCGCTGAGGTGCAAATTCATCCAGGGGGATTTGCTCTCGATGCTGTATCATGATGCTGAATTGCCGGAATTGGGGCGACTCACACAACACTGAGAGGACTGGAATCACCCTCAGGTCTATCTTGGTCATCAAGCGACGCTCGTTGATATTGCTGGGGGCTGCCGCCTGCTCAGCATCACCGAAGTTGGCGGCATGAGCAAGATCGGGGTCATAGGGGAGACCGCCTGTCTTCTGAGGGCCTTCGCCCTGCTTTTCTCCTATCAAATGGCATCAGACATCCAGACACTGAAGAGTAGTACTGCGTAGGGAGTAGGAGGAAACTCACCATCAATATCGAATCGCATTGTGTTGCGCTGGAATACGGCCTCGAAGCTGTAGAAATTCTTGATCTGAAGGACGTGGTCACTAATTTAATACAACCGGCACCGGTCGTGCGGCCGATGACCGGCACGCGTTGTGGATTGTTGAAGCGGATACCGATCTTGGTCACCAGGCCGTTGATGCCAATACCTGCCAATGCGACCCTGGAAGTCGGCAACCCCGCAGGATTGCTAGGAAGGACAATTACTTAGCGAATCAGTGGCCCCGGGCACGCCACTGCTTGGCTATGGCCATTGGATTCCGCCCGCGGCGCCCTGGGCATTCTCGCTTAGAACAGCGGAGGTGCGCCCGGATCCCCCAAAGAGCCCGGGTCGGCGGCATATCTGGGGAGGCAAATCGTAGGCTGTCGGCAAGAACATGCGCGATCCAGTAGTGCATATACAATTTGCGATCAATGCCAACAACCGAGAAAAGCCATTCGCCAGCAGTAAGTAGCATCATTGTCCAGGTCTCAAAGTCTCAAACGAAGCCGCTGCCGCATCACGACATCACGAGCTTACCGTCAAGCGACGCCCAACGCGTCGCAAGGTCAGATAGTCGAGTTAGCCCGGAGTCTTCGGCTTGAACCCCTTCTCATTACGATGAAGGGGACACTTGAGATCGAAGAGATCGACTATGCGAACAAAAAAGCGTTGGAAGGACCATGGATTGAGCTTTCTTGTAAGCAGTAGAATCGCGCGTTGCGGCTCATATGGAGGGCGTGCTGAGGGGGCGCAAAAAGTGCCTATTCTAGTGGCTGAAGACTGCCTGAATGGGCTGTCGGGCTTGGCCGCTGAAAGAGTACCTTCTAGCCAAGCGGTGGACCAAACCTCACATCATCGTCTCCGTCCGACACTCTACCCACGATCGTCGTCCATCAACACTTCATGCAATAATTTTTGTAACGAGCGGTCACCATACTACCGGCGTCGACTCGCATACATTCCGGCCGTGGACATCGATATTCTCAGCGCGCGCTGTCATCAGGATTTGCCACCAAATCATGAAGATATCACCACCACTTCAGACGTCCACCCGTAGCTAACATCTCTCTCCCTCTTTCTTGCGACATGGACAGTCACGCTGCTGCTGCGAGCTCAAACTCCAAGTATGGCGAAACTCCTGCTTTCAGAGTCTCAGCGCAGACGCCGTCGCGGCCGGATCCCCGGAAATCCGCCACCATGTTCAACCCCGTGATGCGAATGCCACCGGTTTTTCAGCCCTACCATTCCACACCCACTGGCTCACCAGAACCTCGGCAACAAACTTCGGCACAATCTGTTCCTGCGAAAAGATCATCACCCGCACCAATAACCTTCATACAGCAGAAGCCGGCTCTGAGACCTCTGGATCAGCCGACGAAACGTCGACGAGTAGAGGAGAAAGTTCCCAAGTACAAATTCACCAACAAGAAGACACCTTTTAGCATTCATCGCCCGCTCAGGAACTCAGACGATGTCCACAAAGATATCTGGACCCACATACTCTCCTTTTGCCCGCCTCGATTCATGCTGCAGGCCAAGACGATCAATTCGCTCTTTTACGAGATCTTGTCTCAACAAGCAATCTGGAGGGAGAGTCGCTATCGACATCTCGGTGACGCTATTCCGAAGTGTCCGTCAGGAATAAACGAACAGCAATATACAGATCTACTGGTAGGCAAAGGCTGCCAGAGTGCTTCGTGTCGCCGCCAAAACACAAACTCGGCCAACTGGGCCCTCCTTGTTCGCTTGTGCCCCGATTGCTTGATGTCCAAAACCACCAGACTACAAGATCTGCCTGTCTCGAGAGTCCATCGTGTGTCCGGCATCCATAATCTCTGCGATGCATTACCTATGCTGTCCATAGCAGCCTCACATCGAAGTGAGCCGCGTGAAATTAGAGTGACCGATGAAGAGGTGTCTTACGCTGAATCTGGTCGATCAGCATCCTTCCGATTCGTCAGGTCAGACTATGATCAGCTCGAAGCCGAATTCCTGGATCTTCGCGACGGCGGTGCAACTGATGAGGCGATTAATTCGTGGTGGCAATCCAAATATGATATCACGATGGGCCAAATGAAGGAGCGGATCGAGCTGAACCGATGGAACAACAGCAATCACTACAGTTCGTCGGCGGCGGAGACTCGTTCCGACCGCGAAACATTTTTCATCTCCAAAGCCAGCGAGCTCGATCCGCCAATAGAGAAGTCGACCCTTGAGTGCTTTACAGCGTACAAGAAAGCCCTATCAACCCAGAACCCGCCGACGGAGCGCTCATGGGAAACGCTCAAGGTCAAGCTATTACCTCTACGTGAGAATGCCGAAGAACTCGAACGCGCTATCAAACGTGTCGAGCGATCGACTTCTGGAGACGTATGGGAGACACTCTCTGATCATCGCATTGGTTGCACCAGATATCCGCCCGCCTTGAAGCCAGAGCAGGAGTTCGTTGTTCAGCTCGGTCGCAGGGAGTTTGAACGCTGCAAAGAGAAGGGAGTTAGTGACGCCGATCTGGTCCTTTTGACTTTGAAGAACACGTACGAGCGCTTCTACAGCGCAGAAAAGCGGCCTCAGGGCCTGAACTACAACGGCAGGCGAGGACCATACCAGCTGAGCTTGGATGACGCTCGTTTAATCATCGACCTTGTTATCAAGCGCGAAATCCCAGCTGGGTCCCAGCTCAGCGTGAGAGTATACAATCGCTTCAAATGTCCGGCCTGTGTCAGAGAAAAGGAACGTGGGCGATTGTTCAGTTTCGCCAGTTGCTTTGAGCACCTCCTCAACCACCATGGTCGAACGGTTGGTGAGGGTCCCGAATTTTGGCGTTATGCACTGGCGGAAAGACCACAGCGGGGTGTGTATTGGTACAGACAACTGCCATTTCCCTGGTATACTGTCCGCTGGCCACGATGCCTGCCAGTGCTTCCCGAGCATCAGGATCCAGCAGCGCTTGAACCGTGGGATCCTGGTTCGACCCGTCCATACATTCAGGAAGTTGTCAACACAACTTCAGCTTTCCAAGGTCGTGAAGTCAATGCCGAGGTCGAGGCATCAGGCTTCTTAGAACTCTTCGTACACGCAGCTAATGCTCTCTCCGGCATACGGCTTGAAGGACAGGCCCTCACACGAATTGCGCTCCAGTTTGCGGTCGATGTCAGTGAGCAGCGCGGTTACGTCAAGCCGGCACTATCGCAATTTTTAGACGTGGTTCCAAGCATCCAAGGCTCCAATCCAGCCATGGACTTTCGATTTCGATGCGGGACATGCATGGCTAATGGCGACCAGAAGGCTTCATCGAGGCATATCAAGCACAATATCCCGATTGACAACCTGTACCTGCATTGGAGAAAATCTCACGATGACGAAAGCCCGACCTCCAGCCGTCGGCGTGGAAGCGAGGACTCACAAACGGCACCACGGGACTGGACACGCGATTTCATGCATCTGCCCTCTGATACGGAGTTGCATGAGCAGATTGTGGACAGTGATGCGGTTCTGGCCAAAGAAAAGGAGGAAATTCACGCGGCGGCCACTGCCAGCAACGCCAGACGAAAACCAAAGGCGAAGGCAACCGTTATTCTTGCAACACGACCGGCTCTGGCAGCGTTTGATGAGCTGTTTCCCATGCGGGTTGGTTGATTAGGTCAGCCTTTGGTGGTGTGATGCAGCGGGTGACCAGTACCCACGGAAAGCTATGGCGTTATTTCACAACGGACTGTACGCGGTGACTCATCCTATGGAACGGTATCGCATTTGAAAGGCATTCAGCAAGGGCGCACGGCGACTACGTGCTCATGGGAGGGTATTATCGGGATGACGGTGGCTTAATAGGGAATTCGCGAGCGAGAATCATGTGATTATCGGATTGCAACTAGTCCGAATTTGCATCAACGGCGGCGAACGGCAACGCTAACGTAACGGCGTGCTCTCTTCCTTGCCTTTTCACTGGTGCGTCCCTGCCAAGGTGGTCCGCCCATGTGCAAGGCTCAGCTTTGGCCTCATTTTCTGATTTTGATACCGAGATAAGGCGGAATTTTTTCTCTCGCCGACGCTTTTTAGAAGTGGAACTTCTCGGAGAGCAGCGACGGGGCCTGTGGCCTGTTGGCGGCTTTGATGGAGACCCTGGGTGGAGGCCAGTAGAATGTTCCGCGGCCACTGACTGTCACGCGAAATCCGTTGCTCAGCAGGTCGGACCCGCCCTCACTCCTACCTTTTCGTTGCCTCCCGAGACTGGGGCGTCCAATTTGCTCTTTTATCAAGGCAGTGGTCACCCGCTCCTTGCTTCCTATCTACCTGTAAGCCTTCTTCAAGAACACATCAGCCATCATGGCATCCTCCACCCGCACCTTCACGCGGGCTATTCCCAAGTCCACTGCCGCTCCTCATACATCCGCTCTGCGTGCTGCCACTCGCAACTCGCGCCAGAACGCGGCGACGAGATTTTTCCAGTCTTCGCGCCGCCAATACTCGTCCTCTCAGAAACCCCTCGAATCCAACACCGCCAAATATGCGGCTGTTACGCTCGTGTCTGCTCTCTTCGGTGGCGGCGTCTATTACACCACCTCTCAGCAAACTGCCTCCGCCGTCATTCCCGAGACTCTGAAGAAGTCCTCCAAAGCCGAAACCCCATCTACCGCTGCCGCGCCCTTCACACCCACCCAGGCTGACTACCAAGCTGTCTACGACGCCGTGGCCAAGCTCTTGTGGGAGAAAGACGATTATGACGATGGATCATACGCTCCTGTTATTTTGCGCCTCGCTTGGCATGCCAGTGGAACATATGATGCCGCGACCGGCACTGGAGGTTCAAACGGGGCTACGATGCGATTTGCCCCAGAGGCCGAGCACGGTGCCAACGCTGGCCTCGTAACCGCCCGCGAATTTCTTGAGCCCATCAAGGCACAGTTTCCCTGGATCAGCTATGGCGACCTCTGGACTCTGGCCGGAGTATGCGCAATTCAGGAGATGCAAGGGCCTACTGTCCCCTGGAGACCTGGTCGGCAAGACCGAGACGTCGCCCACTGCACACCTGATGGCCGACTGCCGGACGCTAGCCAAGGTCAAGACCACATTCGTGCCATTTTTGGCCGCATGGGCTTCAATGATCAGGAGATGGTAGCGCTATCGGGCGCACACGCGTTAGGGAGATGCCACAAGGACCGCAGCGGCTTTGAGGGTCCATGGACATTCTCACCTACCGTGCTCACTAATGATTACTACCGCTTATTGATGGAGGAGAAGTGGGGATGGAAAAACTGGTCCGGCCCGAAGCAATACGAGGACGCGACATCGCATAGCCTGATGATGCTCCCTACCGACATGGCTTTGATCAAGGATGAGGTGTTTAAGGGGCACGTCGCGCAGTATGCCGCCGACAACGACAAGTTCTTCGGCGACTTTAGCAAGGTCATGGTCAAATTGTTCGAGCTGGGCGTGCCCTTCACGCAGAAGGATCGATTTTCCTTCAAATCGACTCTGGAGGCTGAGGCTGAGTGAGTCCGGCGATGGTCGATCGCTACTGCGACATTACTTTGTAAAATCGATTCGCAGCCCCTTCATGGCGGCTGTCGCCAAGTAGCGCATGCTTCCAATGTCCAGACTCTGTTGGCGGAGAGAAATACCCTTTGGAGCGCTGGCGTTGAATAATTCTAACATAGAGCTGGTAGATTTGAGCTGTATCGCTTCACATTCTTGCTACCGATGATGGCATAGTCGAGAAAGCATAAAGCATCTGCCTTTCGAGATAGTGCTGCCTTTCGTAGTCCGGTCCACTCCCTCATCTCTTCGTCAGGTTCATCGGGGCGCAGCGGGTTCCGATAAGTAGCCGCCAAGAATCGCCCTCACGTACCGCCTTTCGGCGTGAGGGTGTGAGATATGGAGATCCTAGAAAGCCAGAATCAAGGATGCAGTACACATGGCGGCGAGGTGAAGGAGGGCGGCACAGTCGTTACCACCAGATCTGGCATCGGTAGTTGCTAACACAAAATCTCACAACAGAGAAGCAGGGACCGACTGGGCACTGTGCCAGCATGAAGGGGGCTGAAACCCACGGGAAGGCACGGGCAGGGTCAAGCGCCCGAGCCCGAACTCTCGGCCCCTTGGTCCCTTCGAAAGAACCACCCCAACCTCTCTGGTTTCACAGTAAGAATATTATTCATTATGGTATACGAATAGAGTGGACTATTAGTTTGCCGGCCATGATGTACAACGGCGCCCTCCCGGCCTTATGATCGGCCTCGCGAAAGCGGCGATGTCCACCATGAGCGAGCTTTCAGCAGCAAGCCGCAGGACGACCGCTACGACCATTTCATCCGCGAGTCGATCGAGACCCGACCCCGGGGCTATCCTTAACTCTCAGCTTACATATCAGCCGACATCGACGGTAGGGTCTATCGAAGCTTCAGCTACCTTCGAAACCGTCCGTTGCTGCACAAGCAAGACGAGATCTGCGAACTCGAAGACGAACTCGCCAAGCTCGATGATGCCCATGCCAAGGGCGAGGATGTCGACTCGTACCGCTTGGTGACGCGCCGGTACGATGAGGAGGACGCCGATTGCCAACGACGGAAGCTCATGGACCGTATTGGCGAGGTGATGAAGGAGTACGACGAGCTCCTGATGCGGGAGCATGAGATTCTAAGCGTGAAGCAGCCGTCCAAGTAGGAGCATCGCTCGTACTTCAACTACATCTGGAACGAGAAGCCGGTCTGCCGGGAGGAGTACCAGTTCATCTACCGGGAGGATGGCTTTGTGCGGCTTGGATCGCAGCACGACAGCTGGCTACCCCGAGGTCTTTTTCAGTGTTCTTCCTGATTTTGTGCTGAAAGGTAGAGTCGTTGGCAAAGGGACGAGGTTCTTCTCCAACTATCGAACGGTGCAGCTGGTCAAGGTGATTGCTGTCACCTGCACCAGCTTGCTGTTGGTCTTGCCAATTGTGGTGTTGTACATTCTGTCCGAAAAGGACGCCTCCGAAGGTGTCAAAATCGGCGTCACGGTCCTTTTCGTTGTGTTGTTCGCTCTTGCATAAGCAGCATTGACGCATGCTTCCCGTCACGACCTTTTCGCCGCATCGGCCGCGTATTGTGCGGTCTTGGTCGTATTCTTAGGAAACGTGGTCACTTGATGAGCCCGCTTCACATCAGACCTCCATACGGATCGTCCTGCCGCTCCCAGGAACTCAAATGACCGTTGGTCAGCTTCTGTTGAGGTCCAGTGGAGATTCTGAACCCACAGACAGTCCTCGCGGCCGGCTGGACATCCTGCTCGGGATCAGGATTCAGCATCCGCTTCACCTCGGCATTGGAACTGAGCAGGGCGAGATAGTCAATCTCCGTGGTCCCACTGTTCAGCCATCTCCCTGCCAAGGGATGTGCCTCAAGGGTGTCGAGGACAAACTGGTGGAATTTCTTGATACTGAACCGTTGGACGATCTCTAGCTTCTGAAGCGAAGCCAGAACGGTGTCCAGCCACTCTTCTGGTGGGATATCTGCGGGGACTGCGGCTATGAGCCTGCCAATTTTGTCCAGCAGCGACGAATGGCGCGAGACTGCGATGTGAATGTTGAGAATGGGTTGACGGGCCGATGCCGCGTACCGCGTGCGGACGCCGTTTCTGCTGAAGACGACCGAGTATGGTCTCTGAAAGTTGACGAAGCGCTTGCGTGACTCAGCAAGCAAGGCCCAGTCGTAATGAGACAAGGTTCCCGTCGGGCCGGAGGAAGTACGGCCCTCAGCGAGGGTATCTTGAGGCGGGAAAACAAGCACCGAAATCAGACTCATGATGAATATTCGGCTGGCAGAAATGTAGACGAAGAAAACTACCTGACAGTAGCACTGGGCGTTATATGCGGTAGTTCTGATTAGAATTGGTTTGATCGTGACAGCGTCGTCATGTGGCACCTCAGAGACGCAAGGTAAGCAAGCCTCTCTTCAGCCCACAAGGACGGCCTTGAAGTCTCTTTTATATTGTACTACGCGTATCTCCCGTCTCCCGCCAATGCCACCATCACATCACTCTGTCCTTCTGCATGCAGGACCCGCTCCTCTTCCGATTCGATGCGACATGATACGCAACCACCGAAAAGGAAAAGGGAAAGCATATGCAAGGAAAATCGCCGTCACCGAAGGATGAGATAATAACGGGTGGAGTGGAGTGTGCCCAGCCAAAGTCGATCCCGGCTGAATGTCCGCGATCATGGGCGGGCGGAAGAAGTGTCTAGCCCACTCAGCGAAGGGTTCTCTTCGAGCCTCATCAGCACATCAGAGGCGATCCGTCTCAGCCTGACTTCGGCGGGCATCGTCATTGGTGGACGAAGTTCGGGAAATGCGATCGCGCGGTTGCGGGCTTTTTGTCGATCGTTCGAGTCTTTCGTCGTTCTCGCCATGACTCTTCTGACGGTCTGCGGCGAAAATTCATGATAAGACACACGTGTTTGACAAAAAGGTGAAAGTCTTAAGCGAGAGGAATGTCGGGTGATGTTTGACGATAAGTTATCTGGTCCGACAATCCGACACATGCCGCCATATCATCGATGCGGCTCTTTCAGCGATACCTGTCGGACTTCTACTCCGGCTACGAAACGCTGCGAAGAACGGGAGATCGCCGCCGCAACAGCTTTATTCCCCACATCATGCCAAAGAGTATCATGCAAGCTGTAGAGGAAATGGAGATACAAGGTCAAATTGAACAAGTTGAAATTGCATTTACGCTATACTTTGGATATGATACAGAGAAATGCGACCCTGTCTTTGTTGCGAATCATTCGGCCCGTTCATGGGGCACGCTGCTCACATATAAGAGAGTAAAGAAAATCGTCAGGGAATGACGGACCGATCCAGCGTCCTGCTACGTATTAGAGCTGATCGTGTACCAGCTACTCCACCAGACATGCGATCAGTAGGCATGTCCTGGGCCCTGCTGGTGGCGTTGGAATGAGTCATACTGTCCCGGGATGGCGACAGATTCGTAGACTTGCTCGCCTGGCGCGGCAGCAACGTGCTCATTCATCCTTTCCTCCGGCGGCGGCGATACTGTCGGAGGTGGAGGCGGAGGAGATGAGGTGGTGGGCTCGAAGCCATCTTGTGGTGTTCTTGGGGTGTGCCTCGTCGGAGGGGCTTGCAGCTTAAATGGCTGCGCCGCTTGTGGCTGGACCTGAGAAGACTGTGCATACTGCGTTGGCGAGTCGTCATCTTCATCGTCGACATTCTTGCGCAGGTTTGGGAAGCCCGGGGTCCTGGGAGTGTCGGCAGAGTGGAACTTCTCAGCACGCGGGGTGTTGATGAAGCCGGGAGTGTTGGGGGCGCTCTGACTGCGAAGCTGAGCAAGATACAAATCCGTTCGGGCTCGGTCGCGGGCGTCCATGCTCTTCCTGAGCTTGTTCTTCGACCAGAAGCGGTAGAAGACAATACCGTAGATGGCGATGACGATGACCTCGACAATAACCTCGATGATGCAGCAGATCAAGCTCCAGTCCTGCAGGCGGCACACAAGTGCGTAGTGAACGTCCTGTTCAAACAGCTCTCGTCGCTTGTTGTCCTTGCATGACCATCCCCAGAGATCTTGACCGCCGCCGGTGGACTTCGTGCCCTGTAGAATGCCTGCGCCAACGAGCCACATGACGATACTGAAGATGAACCAGCCAAGTGCAAACATGGTGTAGTAAACAGCAACCTTCTCAGCTCGCTTGTGACCACCTCGGCAATATGCTGCCAGCACAATGATCGCGAAGAGCAGTGAGACACAGGCGATTGTGAGGACAACAACCTGTGGCCAGATGGGAGTGTTGGGTGCCCATGCAGGCGTGTTGTTCCTGGGCGGAATAGACCGCGTTGCGTGGAAGATGGTGAGAACAGTGCTCAGCATAGCGAGCACAATCAGCGAGCACGAAAAGTTAACGCCTCGCAATACCATCTTGGCCATCCGGACTCTGGTCTTGACTTTCTGTGAAACAGCTTAGCCTCATTTTCTGTGGGAAGAAGATGCCAATGCTCACCAAGTCGCGGGCTTGCTCCTTGTCGGTTTTGTCTTCCTGCTTCTCGAGGTCCATTTCCTCCTTGAAGGTGGGGCTCAGAGGGTTCAGCAGCCGGCCACCCGTGCCTGGGGTCTTCATGGCAGATTTCAGAGGTGGAGCGCCATTCTCAGATGGCACTGTCGCAAACTGTTCTCGGGGTTGGCTGTCGGCGATATAGCCAAAGCCGACGTCAGATGGCTTGGGGCCGCCCTCTGCCATCTTGGGATCCGCAAAAGGCGAACGAGAGTCACCAGGACCAGTGGCAGGCGAGAGGACGGAAGTTGCTTCAGCGAAGCGCGCCTTCCGTGGTGACTTCAGTGACGGCGTAGTTGATGAGCTCGAGTCGGTGCGAAGAGAGCGAGTAATGACCTTGGGTCGAGACTTGTCGTCGTCGCTGTTGTCGAAACCTACAGAGCGATTGCGGTAAGGACCAGAAGTGATGTCAATTGGAGAGACTGGTTCGTAGCCTGGAGAGAAAGTGGGCGAGGTGGGCGCCATGTAGGACTTATGCTCGTTTTTCGTTTAGGTTGGGGGCCTCGTCGGGCGAGGTGCCAATTCTGACGTGAGGGGTAGTCTATTCGCCTATTGCGAGGCGAGGATGCACAAGTCGGCTGGGATAGAGATAGCGGCGACGGGTCGTGGAGAGTGTCGAGAGACCAGCTCTTTGATCGCAAAGAGAACTGTACAAAAAGATGAAGTTTTGTCGAATCTTGACAACAGCTGCGCAATTTGGAGGAAACGCAGCTGAGGCCTTGCAGAAACAGCAGCGCTTGCAGGTGTGATCTGGGCAAACTCAAGTTAGAAGAGGAGAAACGGTTGGCCAGAAGGCCAGACAATTGTGGCTCATACCTCCAGACTCGTGGATTGCGTGGATGCGGTGTCGCCCGACTGATAGGTGTCGCGGGAGGCGCTCTGCGGCCGTTGGATCGGTCGCCGAGGTTCGACAAGTAAGACAAGGTTCAGGCGGGCGGGCAGGACAGATGCACGCGGCTGTGAAAGAATATACCTGCGAGGCCTGCTCGAGTGTGAACGGGGCAAACAGCAGCAATGAAGAATAGAGCAACGTTGAGGAGGATCAAGAAGTGCCTGGTCCTATATTGCGCCTTGAGATGGGCACGCCTGGGAAAGCGCTGCCGGGAGTCTCTTTCCAAATGGTCGGCCATGTTCATTCATTTCCCCATTCACCATCGAGGGCGCTTCTGCACAATGTTTGGCCATTTGGCGATGTGATTGGAGCCAGCAAAAGGACGCTGATGCCGGAACACAGGCGGACGAGCCCAGGTGGAGCCTGCGAATCCCACTCTTCCCTGCTCGATTGGTTGGTGGCGACTCTCGAAGCGCTGAATAGCCAGCCTACTTTATCACGCTCTGCAGCCAGGGATGCACTGCCCTGCAGGCGAAAAACAGGGTGTTTCCACAGCGTTCGTCGGCTGCTGCACCGTCGCCATTGGTTGCATTCATGGCATGGCGCTTCTGACCGTCCTGCATGACAAACTTGGCGGGTAGTCGCAAAGAGGCTGGAAGCTTCGGCAGCTTCCAATTGTGCTGATCATTCGACCAGGCGCCGTCCTGAGACAAGCAGACAGGCATCACACTGTAGTCGCATGATCGAAGTGAATGTACTGTGTAATGAATAAGTGGACGATCAAGCAAGAAAACGAGCCTACGAAGGGCGGAGGAGAAGGTTCGGAGGAGCTAGCTGCCCTGCGCTGTGCGGTGGCCAGGAGCGACAGTCTCGCACCTACGCATCAGCTGGTAGCCCCGAGGCACAAACCTACCGCTAAGCCTCTAACCCTGGTTCTCACATGCGGGACAGTATTTTTAGGTGTCAGCTAGACCCTTATCCGTCGATCGTGGCCTGAACGTCTGCTCGGCTGCCATCTACGGAGTACCAACGACATATAACGGCGATCTTTATGGACAACGGTCTTCTTGCCTTGTAGGGAGCTAACTGCCAGATCGCTAGTATAGAGGCTGCCAACAATAGCACACCGGGTCAAGCTGTTGGAAGAAACATCTTCGTAGCTCGATGTTCTCCAACTCTTCTCCTCCTTCCACAGGACGGCACAGGCCACGTCCATTTTTCCGACACCTGTGAACGATCAGACTGTGAGCACAGCAGCAAGCTGTGGCACCATATGAACAAGAAAGCGATTGCCACAATCGGCTTCAAAGATTCCGAGACTCCTACTGAAGCAGTACTGGGGTTTCTGTCAGTCAGTCTACTTGTTGCTGGAGAATCGCATACTGTATGACTTCGCCTGCTCCGTTGAGCGACCGGTCTCAAATAGTCCCATGACCAACCGTACGGCGCGCCCATATACCGATCGGGCGGTTAGAATTAGAGTCACTCTGAGCTATAAGCATGTGGAATTGGTGTGTATGTTATTCATGGACGTAAAAGGCTAAGTAATGATGAGCACTTGTTCGACTTATCAGGTCCTCGCTGGCCGTCAGCTAGATGTCGCTAGTTTCCACAAGCTCATCGCCCGGAATGGCTTCCAGTGCTGGGATGGCACATCAGGGTCCAACCCAAGCAACTCCAACCATACTCAATTCAACCCGATGAAAGCCGGCTAGTCCTTTGGTGCGGTAATATGTCTTCGAGGAGGCTTTGTGGCATTCGTTATTGACTTGCTTCGCCTCGGCCTTGTTGAATTTGGCTTTGGCGCCGTCCTCATCATTGATCACGAGTACCTTACGTGCACGGATTGGCAAAGACTCTTTGTGTGCTTGCTTAATCTCAAACTCTCGCACGGCCTGCAAAGCCTCGTCCAGATCCCGTTCCTCGCGACCCTCCGCAGTCATCATTCGGTCCGCTGCCTGGCGAGCTGCCATTCCTAGCCGGGTTTGGTTGAATCGGTAGTGTCGCAGAGTCAGGTGGACAGAATGTAGACCATCGCCCTTGAGCTTCATCAGAGGTGTAGTCCAGTCTGCATTCACGCTGAGCTGGGTCGGCCAGGTTGCCAGTCTCAAGTCTAGCTCCAGACAACGAAGGTTGGTCATGTTTCGTGCGAGTCGGGCGCAGGTGTCCTCCCACCGTTTGTCCTGCTTGTTCTTCCACTTGGTGTCTCTGGTCAAGCGCGGCTCACCGTAGCTGGAAATGGTGAGACTGATCTTTGATACGCTCTGTAGGCCCGAGGCTGGAGCGATATTCAGGAATTTGTGAATGGTCTTGATGTTGTTGAAGCAGATGGTTGTCTTTGAGTAGAATACCGGAACGGCTTCTTGATTGATCAGGCGACAGGTCCGGAGAAAGCCCAGCGGATCGGCATCAGTAGTGTCGAGGGAGAGGACGTGCCCACTCAAACGGTAGCGAGGTATTTTGCGGATGGGATCAAGATCGTGCTTTTGTGAGGCTTGGAACTCGCGTTGTGGGTGGCTGCCGATCACAAGGACGTGGCTGCGTGGAATCGTAAGATCATAAATCTTGTTGCGGATCTCGCCAGGCAACTCGAGGAAGGGGAAGGTCGCCCAGACATCGTAGAAGTGGGAAGAGGTTGCTTCGTGCAGAGTTTGGACACTTGGCATTCTGGTAACGGCGGCGACTGCGCGCTCAAGGCATGTGAAGGAAGCCAGAAGTCCTCAAAAGATCATGGAGTGGATTTGCTTGAAGGTAATGCAGCCCTTGGCAGGGAGAAGTTGGAGGCGATGTTCAGTCTATGGTCTGATTCCAGACAGCGGCCGGACAGGTCGCGCATGAGTTGGAGAGATTGAGGACGTAGTGTAGGAACGTGCTGACGAGTGATGCCGGTGCTGATATGATTGTGTTTAAGTTGGGAAGTGAATCCAGATCAAACACTCTCCGTTTGGTGACTCTCCATTTGTGCTCGTCGAATATAAGCAGCACGTGAACCGAACGCCAATCAATGACAGGAGACCACCACAGCACCACCCGAAGGATAGAACCGATGCCCAGGACAACAACGATGATAGAAGGGGAAGGTGGTGGGGATGAATATGAAGGAGGAAGTGTCAGGACCGGTTCTGCCTGGACCAACATTACGGAACCCTAAAACGCCCGGACCCCGCCTCATCGTTACGTGACCGAATCTACATCGTTGGCACGACTAAGCATTGCTTTAGACGCACAACACTGTGCTCTGACGTAAAGCTCAATGATGGGAGAGCCGCTTCCTAGCAGGATTGAGTTGTAGCAGGGGTTGTTCACCGAATGAGACTTCAGGCAAAGGTGCCCTTCCAGAATGGCAGGCAGTTTTCGGTTGCACGCAACGATACCGTATGCGGCTGCGCACGACAGGCGTCTACTGTGCGATCAGAGAGCCGATTCCTACCAGGTCACCGCGTTCTACTGAACAGTCAAGGTTGTTGACGAGGCTGAACAAAAGCACAATGTTGACTCCCCAAAGCAGACGTGCAGGGACCTGGCCGCATCGTCTCCGAGCCAGTCCGAAAGAAGACTAGTCCCTTGCGTCAGCGGGATCGGATCAAATCCGATGTGCAGCGAAAAAGATTGGCCCAACTTGACTTTTTATGATTATGCGTACCTCAGCAGGAATACAACCTTGAGTCAGTCGTTGGATCAGAGTCAGCCTCGCAGTTGGCCAGAGTTCCTATCTAAAACGCACAACACGTCCCGCAGGTAGCAAGCGAGACTAGTGAAGTAAGATGGCGAGCCAAAAGATTGGTATGTCCCCCACCATCTCCAGTTCTCTAGAGACAACGAGGCTGACAGGAAGAAGCTATCTTGTCTGCGTACGACAAGACAGGTCTTCTTGATCTCGCCAAGGGTCTCATCAAGCAAGATGTGCGCCTACTGGCTTCCGGCGGCACTGCCAAGCTGATCAGGGAAGCCGGATTCAAGGTCGAGTCCGCAAGCCTCGTATCCTGTGCCTCTGCATATCACTCTGACTCTTAGCTTACTAGGGATGTATCTGCCATCACACACGCTCCGGAAATGCTCTCGGGCAGAGTCAAGACGCTCCATCCTGCTGTTCACGCTGGTATCTTGGCGCGCAACTTGGAGTCAGACGAGAAAGATCTTGCCGACCAAAACATCAACAAGGTCGATTATGTTGTCTGCAATCTCTATCCTTTCAAGGACACTGTTGCTAAGATCAACGTCACCGTTCCGGAAGCTGTCGAGGAGATTGACATCGGTGGCGTGACTCTGATCAGAGCAGCTGCCAAGAATCACGCCAGAGTCACAATTTTGAGCGATCCCAATGACTACTCGACTTTTCTGCAGGATCTCGAGAAGGGCGAGATCACCGAACAGCAGAAGCAGTTGTATGCCCTCAAGGCTTTCGAACACACCGCCGACTACGATGCTGCTATCTCCGACTTCTTCCGAAAGCAGTACGCGGGCAATGGCTTGCAACACATGTCTCTACGTTACGGGGCCAATCCTCACCAGAAGCCTGCTGCAGCGTACATGAAGGACTCTGAACTTCCATATACGGTCCTAGGCGGTTCGCCAGGCTATATCAACCTCCTTGATTGCCTGAATGCCTGGCCACTGGTTAAAGAGCTCAAAGAAGCCCTTGGCCTTCCCGCCGCAGCTTCTTTCAAGCATGTTTCTCCTGCCGGAGCTGCCATTGCGGTTCCACTTGACGAGACAGAGCGCAAGGTCTTCATGGTCGACGATATTGCTGGCATCTCAGATTCGCCTCTCGCTCAAGCCTATGCTCGTGCTCGTGGCGCCGACCGAATGTCAAGCTTTGGCGATGTTATCGCCCTCTCTGACAAGGTCGACGTGCCTACCGCCAAAATCATCTCCCGTGAGGTGTCTGATGGTGTCATCGCCCCTGACTACGATTCCGAGGCTCTCGAAATTCTCAAGAAGAAGAAAGGCGGCAAGTATCTGGTTCTGAAGATGGATGAAACATATATTCCGGCATCACAGGAAACGCGCTCCGTCTATGGCGTTCAATTGACTCAACGTCGAAACGATGTCAGAATTTCGCCCAAGGATACTTTCGGTTCCGTCGTGGTGCCCAAGGATACTAAACAGCTCTCACCGGAGGCACTCAGGGATTTGACGGTTGCCACCATCGCCGTCAAGTATACTCAGTCCAACTCGGTATGCTACGCAGTCAATGGCCAGACGATCGGCATTGGTGCAGGTCAGCAAAGCCGTATTCACTGTACACGGCTGGCCGGAGATAAGGCAGATAACTGGTACATGCGTTTCAATCCACGAGTTTTGGATATCAAGTGGAAGAAGGGAGTCAAGCGCCCAGAAAAGTCCAATGCCATCGACATGCTCTGCTCCGGTCAAGTTCCACCACCATCGGAATTCGAGAAGGAGGATTATGAGCGCAATTTCGACGAAGTGCCAGGGCCGTTCTCTCTCACTGATCGTCAGAAGTGGCTCGAGGGACTGAAAGGTGTTGCGGTTAGCAGCGATGCCTTCTTTCCCTTCGTGGACAACGTCTACCGAGCTGCCAGGTCAGGGGTCAGCTACATTGCTGCCCCAACCGGAAGCCAGAACGACAACGCGGTGTTTGAAACTGCGGAAAAGCTCGGTATAACATTCGTTGAGCAGAGCACGCGGCTGTTCCATCATTGATTGGGGACTAGTGTTGGTATTTGCCTGCGATTTGCGGATTCAGCGGGGTGGGCATGCCACGAGTACCAGGATGGATGGAGGTAACGACATGACGATGTCAAGTTTCATGAGCCCAAGATACCAGGTCTGACTCAACTCATGCTGATACAAGGGTGCAGGTAGATAAAATGGCAGAACATTCACAGTACCTCAGCAGTCATCCCTGGTCAGATGACCGCCATTGAGATTCATTATGGCTGCGACAAGAGTCATTCATGCACGGGGAGTCTGGCGAGACCTTTCTCTCGGTCCTCGCACCGGAGTCTGCCCAGGGCTGCTCGCTGCCGGTCACGTCCTGTAGTCGCGCGCATCTGCGGAAGCGAGGCAAGGCACAGTCGCTTTCAAGGGGTAGCTGGAATGTGTATCGTCTTCACTGATCCAGGGTCGTTGATGTCTCGTGTCGCTTATCGCCTCGACGCACTCGACCCTGTCTCGGCATTGCATTTCGCAGGTATAGCACTCTCTCATTGGTTTCCCTATGGTCGAATCCTAGATAACACCGCATGGATCTCGCCAGCAAGGCCGAGACTTCTAAAGTCTAGAAGAGCCGGAAGTGCTTGGAACAAAGAAGCTGAAGCTGTCATATTTTTCCGTGGACCGCTTGGCTCGCATATGCCGTTCGAAGAAGCAACAGATCTCCACGCAGCTTGTTGCAGCTAAGTGGGCGTCAAGACATCTCTGTCCACGCCAGGCCATGATTTGATGCTGATAAGCCTCGTCCTTGCGGCCGACGGGCACTGCCGATCACCACGCAGGTGGGTCCGCTTGCTCTTTTCCTCAGCAAACGCTTTAGGCTCTTACACAACACGATTTACGATGATGTGCTTATCATCATGCTCATTTCTTTGGCCTGGGGGACATCCGCACTACGTCTCCGCGCCCCGCCTCGTGGGGTGCGGCTGAGGCGCTACGATTGGTTCCCAAGTCGTGATCGAAGCCTAGATAACGAACGTGCCTGTTGATCTTTCTTTCAACCGCAAACCAGCCACATGCCGTCCACCGAACGCGCATAGGCGGGCGCCGATGATGGGCTGAAGATAATGCAACTCGTCAAGCCCCTGCTAGAGTTGTGCGTTTTGCATTTGTACGAGTTTGGTGCTTCGTCCTGTCATGGCTAGGTAGGTCCTCTGCGCCGGTGTCGCTCATATGGAGCATCAGCGATCCCACGCGTTGAGGAGCTGTATATACAGCTTTCGAGTCCCCTTCAAGGTTGTCAGTCGCTTAACGCGTTCGTCTTCGCACTTTTGATATTGATTTTCTTTGTCGCTATGGCTGAAGTTTCGAAAGTTCATCCGCCGCTTAGCCAGGCAACTGGCTATGGCCTCATCCTGGGCCTCGGCTTCGCGTTTGCCGCCGGTATGATAGGGACCACCTGGGCTCTAAAGCGCTACCATGGCGAAGTGCAGACGTCCGAAGCCTTCTCCACCGCCAACCGTACCGTGAAGTCTGGACTGGTGGCCAGTGCAGTGGTCAGCAGCTGGACATGGGCTGTATGTTTGCCTGTCTTATGCCTCCATGGTCAAGTCGGCTAACTCTGAATAGGCCACTCTGCTTCAATCTTCTGGTATAGCGTACCGTTATGGCATCTCTGGTCCTTTTTGGTATGCTTCCGGTGCAACGGTCCAGATTATCCTCTTTGCGACACTGGCCATTGAACTGAAGCGACGTGCGCCCAACGCGCACACCTTCCTGGAAGTTGTGAAGGCGAGATATGGAACCATCACTCACATCGTCTTCCTGATTTTTGGCCTTATGACGAACATTCTCGTGACGGCCATGTTGCTCACGGGTGGCTCGGCGGTCGTCGAGAGTCTGACCGGCGTTCCCACCGTGGCTGGCAACTTCCTGCTCCCAGTAGGCGTCGTGCTGTACACGATGTTTGGCGGCATCAAGGTATGTCTGTCTCTTCTGCAATCTTTGAAACCCCGAGTTATCCGCGCCGAACGACAGGCTCGGTAGCTCCCCAGTGCTTCGAGCTGTCACCAAAGCAACGCATCCCGTGCCTCGAGTCGTGTCTTAGCCAGTGCTCGTTTCCTGACTGGCCGCAGGCTACCTTCCTCACCGATTATGTCCACACAGTCATCATCCTGGTTATTATCTTCGTATTTGCTTTCAGCGCCTACGCTACCAACGAGAATCTTGGCTCCCCTAGCAAGGTCTGGGAACTATTGACCCAAGCCGGCCGAGACCATCCAGTCGATGGTAACCATGACGGTAGCTATCTCACGATGCAAAGCCGCGAAGGGGCCATCTTCTTCGTGATCAACATCGTGGGAAATTTTGGCACCGTCTTCCTCGATAACGGGTGCGTTTTGCAGCTTCCACTGCTCCCAGGTCATGCTGACATCTTCCAGATACTACAACAAGGCCATCGCTGCCTCGCCAGTCGACGCACTGCCCGGCTACATCCTCGGCGGACTTTCTTGGTTCGCCATCCCATGGCTCTGCGCCACGACCATGGGTATGACAGCTCTTTCTCTGGAGAACAACCCCGTCTTTCCGACTTACCCCGGCCGCATTCCTGATCACGAAGTGACTGCCGGCCTGGTTCTGCCACACGCTGCTGTTGCGCTTCTCGGCAAAGGCGGTGCCGCCGCGACGGTACTGCTCATTTTCATGGCCGTCACCTCTGCTTCGTCCGCCGAATTGATCGCTGTCTCATCTATCTTCACTTATGACGTCTACAAGAATTATATCAACCCCAAAGCCACCGGTCGCTTCCTCATTCGCATGTCTCATGTCGCTTGCGTGGTGTACGCAGTCTGCATGGCTGCTTTTGCTACAGGACTTTTTTATGCTGGAATCGGAATGGGTAAGCTGCCCCTCTGTCTCGCAGCTAACGGACCTTGGAAAGAGAGCTCGTCTCAAAACCTCTCCGACCGAGTACACAGCCTTATCTCCGCAGTACATATTTGGACACAGAGCGAGATATGCTGACATCTCACAGGCTACATATATCTGATGATGGGCTGCATTGCAAGTATCCCTCCCCGCCCACCCATTCGGATGCCGCTTCGAACAGAAACTGGCTGAGCAGACCATGGTCTCGCACCCAAGAACATCCCCTGCCCAAACCTCCGCGCAAAGTCATTACCCGGATCATCCTCGCTAACAAGCACAGATCTCTAGCGCCGTCATCCCCGCCACCCTGACGCTCACCTGGCCGGGCCAAAACTGGCTCGCCGCAGCCCTCTCCCCCGTCCTTGGCCTAGCCTGCGCGCTCATCGCCTGGCTCGTAACGGCACAGAAGCAATGCGGCTCTCTCTCCGTCGCCTGCACAGGCTCTAACTACCCCATGCTGGCAGGCAACGTGACCGCGCTACTCAGCCCCATCATCTTCGTGCCGGTCCTGACGTTCGCGTTCGGCCAGCAAAAGTACGACTGGCTGTCGATGGCAGCTATCAACCAAGGCGACGACAGCGACATCGCGGCGCGACTGAACATCGACGTCGAGAGCATTCGTGGCCAGAGCATCACGACCGAGACGATCCTGGACGCGGGAGAGCAGAAGCACCTCAAGAAGAGTGCGGTCATCGCACGCACGATGACGGTGCTGATGACTCTTGCGTTCTTGGTCCTGTGGCCAATGCCCATGTACGGAAGTGGTTACATCTTCTCCAAGGGCTTTTTCACGGGTAGGCCTTCCCTCTTCTATTACCCAGAACGAGCGTGTCACTAACGGACGATGCGTCACAGGATGGGTCGTCGTCGGCATCATGTGGCTGTTCTTCAGCTCCTTCTGTGTCGGGTTGTTCCCACTGTGGCAGGGCCGCAAGACGGCCGTGCACACCATCAAGTCCGTCATTCTTGACCTCAGCGGGAAGAAGCAGCCGAGTGCGCTGCACATCGAGTCGCGGAGCCCTCCGCAGGAAAGCGACACTGGCGATGTCAGTGAGGAGGTCGCGGAAATCAAGGAGAAGAAATGAGGTCAGTCACAGGGCCAGGTCACGAACTCGCAACAACTACTCTGACGGCCAAGAGAGTGCAGTGAGCCCCGCAAGAGGAAGACGTCGCGGCTCTTGTCATTCTTTGATTGCGGGTACGTTCCTAGAAGACACGTCCCAGCTGTTGTTGATCAGCCTCTCGCTAGAGTCCCTTTGCTCGATAGTCCCAGTAGTTCTTCCTGATGATATCCCACTTGGTTCCCAGCGCCTGTAGACATCGCCTCGCCTTCTCTTTGCCTTCCTCTGTGCCCTGTTCCACGTACGCCTGACTCAACCAGTCGATCGCGTGACTGCTCCGGACTGCGTCGCCCTCGAAATCCAACTCGACGCCCTCTTCGCCCGCCGGCCTCACAAAAGTCTCACAGAACTCCCTCTCACTCTGCAAATTTCTGCCCGCCCGCTTCAAAACCCCTCTTAAATAGTTCCACGGACTTGGATTCTGCGGTGCCACCTCGATCCATTCCTTGGCATACGCGATCTCCCTCTCCACGGCCGCCTCATCCACCGGCAGGAGACCCTCATCCAGTATCTCCTTCCTCACCTTGTCCCCCTTCTCCATCAACTCCAACTCCTCGAGCCCGAAAACCACAAAGTATCGGTGGCTCCAGGCGGAGTTGTTGCGGCAGTCATCGTTGAGTAGCTTCTCCATCTCGATGAGCTCTGGAGAAGGGTCGACGAGCAGGGTGGACGCGTAGCGCCGGCAGAGCCATTGGCGGTAGGTCCAGACGTGGTAGTTCTTGGCGTCGAAGGAGAGGATGTGGGCAAGAAAGGAGATCTCGGAAGGTGGGAGGACACTTGATTCGGGTAGCAGGGAGAGAAGAGATTGGCGGTGGTGCCTTGGAGCGTTGTCAGGTCAGCCAAGAGATTGCAGACGTGTCTCGGGGGGG